GACCTATCGTCGACGTGCCATCGAAGCGCCAGAGCGTCCACGCTCTCAACGAGCTGCTGATTAAGACCAGTTCCGTCAAACGATTGTATGATCGGGAACCAAATGACCGAGCTGTTTTCTGGAACATCCGTCGGCATGCGAAACACCTTATTCATAAAACCATTAGCCCCTTATCATGTATTCAAAGACGAGCTGTCAATGACGAGGAGTCTAATGAACGTACGAATAGATGGGCGCGAAAATTCCAAACGTGATATGTTCCGTGCTGTCGTCGCTTTCGGGGGCTCTTCTGGACGTGCGGACGGACGGACAGTGAACGGTCGGTCTATTAGAGAGGCTTTTGATGGAGACAAAAAAAGGAGCTCCGCTCTTGTTCACATTAACTGCTTTCGGGCCGAGATGGCTACCGCCTCGGTATTACAACCGAACCAGCGACCCTTTCAGGGAAAAACGGAGAAAATGAAGAGAATCTCCACTCTGACCGACTCGTTCGCCACTTGAGCGCTGTTGAGGTTTGTCACGCGAGCTCTTGTTCTTACCGTGTCGTCGCCGTGCTCTTATTGAATTCTCTCTTCCGCCGATGCCGGTGACGCCGCTGCCGTATGACGACGACCGCGTCGTCGTTGTCGCCGGCGATGCCGCCGCTGTTGTCGTCGTCACTGACTGAGTGACCGTCCCTGTGCGGCGAAACTCGGGCGTAGAAAAGCAGAGCGTCTGGGCGCGGGATGACGGAGTTGCGTGCGTGAGTGCGTCCGTGTGTCCCCAGTTGCTCACAAGCAAAAGCGCTTGCCGATGTTGCTTCGTTCGCCCGTTCATCTGTGAACGTTCTAGGGGTCTGAGGATCCAACCGACCGACCGACCGGCCGGCTGTGACCACTCGATGTCACTTGGAGTCAAGTTGGCGAATGCCGCTCACTGAACGCTTTCCTCGTTACGGTTGTTCTCCCTGGACGCTCAAGGAACGTCATAATCGGTATACGACTCCAATGCGTTCAGTCCGAAGAAATCCTCGCCTCTCCCAATCCCTGGAAGAGTGCGAATTCGTGCTCGGCGACAAGCGGCGAAGACGTCTCGTTGTTATTGTTTCGAGAGAGCTCGAAACGTTCCTCCTTGGAAGGAGCTAACTTGGACCATATCGATCCGACGCAAGTCGCGGAGCCAGACTCCATCTACTTAGGATCTAATCAATATATGGAGGTCGCATCATATGTGCTTATGAAATCGGGACCACTCGGTCACTCCTTAGGCTGAACGTGAGACTTCGGCGCCCGGAACTGGTTTGGCGCCGAATTTCGGACGGAAAAAATGGAATGCTCTAGCGCGGCTTCATCTCGCGGATGATGGAAACCGTCCTCGGGGATTCCCGAGAGACTCTTATTCGATTCTAGCGGGATCTCCGGAAGGTTTCCGTAGCAAATAATCGGAGACATCCGAATCGCGATATTCCACGGAAGACACTGCTACTAATTGGGGCCGTTTTACTCTGGATGAGACTTAGCTATGACGCATCGGCTATCCTTCGAACTCCTGGATTGGAATTCTCTAAGGAGGCCTCGTTCCGCCGCGGAGCTGCTGCGCGCCCAATACAATCACGCATAATCCGCTGCTTCGGGGAATGGTTTGCACATAATCGCAGAAAGAAACGACAGTCTACCAGAAGTTTGTCGCCTCCCTGTAATTCGCCGTTCAAGGCCATTGAGGTGGTCCCGCCGTTCCATGCCGTAAAAAATGAGTCTTTCCAATCCGAGATGCGACCTCGATACGGATCGAGTGTGAAGAGGAGCATCGTCTGATTCGCGTCGAAGGGTTTGAAGCCGTCGTTGTACTCTGCATGTATTGAGTACTGCCATTCTGCGCGGCAGGGATCTCCAGGTCTACCGGCAGTCACCTTCTCTCTCCGTGCCTTCAGCGTTGGATGTTGGGAAAAAGCATGAATCGGAGAACAGCAAATAGGATGACGCGAGAGGGGCTTTCCGGAGTCTGAGTTATTGGACTGAATCATCGAGCGGAAAATCGTGGGGCCATCCTTCACCCCGAACAGATCGGGTCCTCATAGGAACTCGAGAAAATAAATGTCCGGGAGATGGCTGATCGCCTCTTTCAAGTTTTCTGCCTTGAGATCTGGGGATGGAGAATCTCTCTCGGATCGGATCTCCGCATGGGGCTGGAATCCAGTGTGGCGATTCGCTCCTGTACTACAGCATTACGAAGGGACCATCTGGGAGAGGGCTATAGCCCCTCTAGCCCCCCCCCCCCTGCGTACGCCCCTGGACTCATTCCGAAACAAGGACGAACTTCACGGAATTATGGTCCGGGCCGGAATTACCTCTGTAGTAAATTTCCAATGGAACGATGTCACTGCTGCGGTCGAGTCCCGCGGAAGTTCGGGTGCTCGACGGATGTTTTGTTGCGCCCGCAGAAGTCACCTGTGCGGCATGAACAAAGAGCACTCAAAGGAATCGTGGTCTATTCCCATTTCTACTTTTCTCCCTTTTTTTATACTATCATTCCATTCTGTCGTTGATAGGTTGCAATCAAGGGCCCACCGGCCGACCGCGCGGCAGCGATACGTCCATCCGTTTGGTCGGACGTCTTCGTCGTCTTCATCTCCCGAGCGATGAGCTTCGACGATGACGGCGTCTGCTTTGGGGCGGTGAGCGCCCACTGTTCGGAATTCATTCCAGAGATGGGCGTCTAGTTTCACGCTTCGACGCGATTCACCTGCCAAATTGAAATGTGCATCGCGACCAGCTTTTGCTAGCGGGCGATGGACGGATGGAGCAGCGAGCGAGTGGAACTGCCGCCGCAGCCGCACGACTCAGTCGTCACCAAAGCTCGCGGACATCACACAGCTCATGGGTGCCGAACGTCTGACCGACAGAAGGGTTTGATCTGTCGATCGGACTTCGACGACGACGACGACATTCTCGTCTCCGCGAACGGATCGTCAGACGCACAAACTCGCACGTTCACACGCAGGTTGGCACGCTCACTCACGGCAAAAGTTGAACCAACACAGAGCAATCATTTCTTCATGTGGCCCGCGTCAACTCACCGCAGTCAGACTGACGACGGACTCGGTACAAAACCATCGGCGGCACGTCGACCGGATGTCAAACACCACGAGCCGAGAAACGAACTTTCGGATCGATACAAACAGTGGAGCAGCAGCTGCACACCGGTGGACAGCAAGGGACGAGGGACTCTCTTTTCATGAGCCCGCAAAAGCTCGCTGGCATACGTTCGCGATACATCGTATTTGTTCAGGGCACTGTATGATGGGATAATTAGAACGTTGTTGGTATGTCGGCGCGCCTCGATTGTGTTCCGAAAGGAGGCCGCCACCGTCTGGAGACTGTTCGACCGAAGACAAAAGACTGTTCGTGGAGAATTCCGAGAGGTTACGGCGCAGCGTGGGGCTGCGATGAAATTGGAACCTTCGTCTCGCAATCAAATTCTGTAGTGATCAGAAGTAATTGGCCAATCAATCAAATGAATTCTCATTCTCGACTCGGAAGCTCTTCCAGGAGATTCCTCCGCCGTGATGCTCTTGTACAGAATTCCGCCGCGCCTCGACCCGCGCACAAGCCTCCTTCTTGAAGTCACCACGGAAGTTGAGGGAGACGAATAAACTCACTGGAGAATGACACTGTCATGTGAGGGAATGGGTTTCCCTGTGTGTGGGTGTACCTTTGGTAAGCGGCTCATGGACCGGACGACCTCCGTGAGCTCGAGGGGGCCTGTTTCGTCCTCTCTCGCAGTGTTCCTCTCTCAGAAGCGCTCGGAAATCGTCTTTTCCATCCTCAGCCTGTCGCACCGCTCCGCAATCTCGATCCTGTCGTTTTTTTGTCTCTTGTTCGTCTCGGATTTTCGTTCGTTGACTGGTTCTAAGGCTGATGTCGATCATGAACATCATGCGAGCTGTCAGTCACTTTTAGGCCATCTGACGCTCGGGGGCGCTTTCCATGGACACTTTCCCCTGTTCTCTGCGCTAATTGTCCCCCTCCCCTTTATTCGAAGAGCGCGCAAACGACGGAACTCATTGAGTCTCTGAGAAGGTGACGTCTGGACCAAGCCTGCGGTTCCGCACGCGGTCTCGACCCTGGCCACCCCAGCTCGTCAGCCTTCCACCGAGCGAAGGGGCAACCTCCGTTCCCGTCAGAATGTGCTGGAAATCGTCGCTTGCGAGCTCTGTGCTTCTCGTACCACAAGAGTCGCGAAAAGGCTCCATCGGGAGCATCCCCTTCAATCAGCGTACTAGCGTTGAGTTAGGAGGGAACGACAACGAGCAACCTCTCCCGCGGAACAAGATATCCCCTATCTGCGGACAAAGAGGAACGGCTACGGATTCAGGTATGACTCGGGTTGGTCGACCGAGAATTCGTTTATTAGAGTCGCGCAAATTCATTCTGTTGTTTTTGCAGGAGTACTCTCGTTTTTCCACAACATCTGACGCTACTTAAATACACTATGTCGCTGCCCTCTCAGCTGATTTCCGCTCACATTCTGTTCCTTCTTCTTTTCGCATCAATTGGTTTTTCTAAGTAAGGGTAATTACACAATAAGAGATTCTACGAGGTTTGATGAGGAGTAACGATTGAATGCTCAGGCCTTTCGGTTGATCAATGAAGCTCGGGGTTTTTGGGCTTGACGGGGGATGCTGCGCTAGAATGAGAATAATGGATTTCCTTCTCGCTTATCCGAGATATCTTCTAGATATGTACAATGATGTGTCGGTTCCCTTGAAAGAGGAACATTTTGAGATCGACGAAGTGAGCCTCCACTCAGTCAATAAATAGTAACATGATGCTCCATCCTCGAGTTCAATTCACAGTTTCACAGTTGGTGGCTAGGACGCTCGGTCGCGATGATCCCCGGATTGCTTGAATCCTGCGGTGTGGCCTTGTCGAAGGACCTGGGGTCCGAGAGGTTTATCCTGCCGTCACCCTAGTTGTAGACAAAAGAATAATAATAATACCTCATAATAATGATCGGTGGTTCTATTGCATCAATTTGAGATGAGTTGTTTCTTGCACGAGCGACGTGAGGGATGCGCTCATGTCGTTGATGACCATGTTGCCCGTAGTTTCGAGGAGAGGGCTGCTGCGTCTCTGAGCGCGACTTTCTGAGCTCGAGCTGATCTGGCATTGCTGAACGTATTCCAGGGTTCTCTCATAGGCATCTCGCGCCATCGAGCTCTGACTGACGGAGCGGCATTGGATTTCTCTTCGGCCCTGCTGGCTCGGGTGTCTGTGCATGACATGCGCGTGATCTTTCAGATGGTTCGGAGTCATGTTCATCTGCTGCACATGCAAGTTGTTCGCGTGGTGGTTTCGGTCGACGGGCACTTTTTGGGGGGCGGCGGGAAGATGGTTCATGTTCTGGTCGTGCTTCATCACCGGCGGATAATTTACAGCGGGAGCCGGCATCTGGGCCTGGGGAGGAGCAGCAGGAGCAGGAGGCGGGGGTGGGGGCGGAGGTCCAGGATAGTAGCAGTTCTGCGACATCTGCTGAGGCTGAATCCGGTGGTTCGGTTGCGCCGGTGCGGGAGGCGGTTGGTAGTACTCGTACTGCGGTTGTTGGGCAATCACCAGATTCTGCGTCGCCTGGTAGCAGTAGGGCCGCGGAGGGACTCCACGGGTTCGGGGAGCCGGATGTTGAGGAGGTCCCATCTGACTGCGTCGGATCTCGTCGTACTGACTCACCGATGAGACGGCGGCAGAACTCAACGCGGATCCTGGCCTCGCCGGTTGATCGTCAGTTCGCTCGTTCATGAAGTTCACCATTTCATCGGGGAGAACGAGATCGTCCAACGCCTCTAGAGGTTTCATGTCGTTTTTGATATCGTTCGTATCGAGATCGCACAGAACGGTATCGACTAGAGCGCTGCTGCCATTGGAGTCTTCATTGTTTTCTCGCGGAACAGGAACATTGGGATTCAGCGGCGGTGGAGGAGCGGTCGAGTTCAGGTACGGTCCGTAGTTATCACTTCCGCAGGTCGACGCAACCGGGTCGTTGACATCGCTCCGGGTTGCTTCTGAGGCCATACTACCGTAGTACGTGCTGATGCTATCCCGTCTGACAGCAACGGCGTTGAACGACGTTTCCTGGATTTGGGGATGGCGGGTGATTTCGGTATACCGTGGCGATCCGCCGTTGCACGTCCGGAGCTCGGCGTAATGCAGATTTCCGTTGTAGTTGCCCTGATGGTGGGTCGCATGCGAAGGTGGGGCTGGTATCCTGCCCATTGCGGGCTGCATTCGTTCCTTGATACGGTTCACCGGATTGAAATTCGGTCTCGAGGCGGGTATGTCACCGTAACCATTGACCCCGACGGCACAGGGTACGGGCTCCACGAATTCATCCATTTCGTACTCCAGGGAGGCGTAGGGACTCGCTTGCTGAGTGGGGACTAGCGAGTCGACCGGAGCGCAGGTCGTGGTGGAAACGTGCGAGTCGTTCACGGGAGACGCATCGCTCGGTGGCGTCTGTGGGTTGCCGAGATGGGTGTAGCCCGGCGCCGAATCGGGTATCGACTTCCCGCTGCCCGGACTCAAGGGTGAGCTGTTGTCGGAGTTTATTCCGCCCGAGTTGGGATGTTCGTCGTATTGGGGTCCTTTGTGCTTTTTGTTCGCGTAGAAGTCGGCTCCATGGACGGTCTTGACGTGTTTGCGCAGCGAACTGGGATCGGTGTAGCGCTTGCTGCATCCCGGCGCGAAACACGCATAGGGTTTCTGTGGAGAAAAATCGAGATTAGGCAATCAAAAACGCTGACGTTCATCCCGTACCCTCCCCAGAAGCCACCGCTATCTATTGCGCTCGACATAGTTCTGCCACGACACCTATGCGGGTGAATTTCCAGAATGTCTCCGTTGGCTCTCTTCGTCTGATTCACACTCTCAGGCTTCTTTTCTCTCCTATTCTCCCGGTCATTCGTTCATTCATTGAAGCGTTCGTTTCCTTATGAGTACAAAGATCCCGTTGTCGCCTCGTTCCAACTCAACGGAGAACATCATCAACAACAGAAGAAAGGAAACCAGGCAAATGGGAGCGACATGTGAGAGGTGTGATATATGCATGTACAGCTCCGGGAACCTCTTCCTTTGTTCCATCACATGAGCAAGGAAGATTTCGGCGCTAGCGGCAACCAGTCAGTCAGTCGGTCGGTCGGACGCGTTCTTTCTGTACATTTCACATGTGCGACACACGTGTAGTGTTGTTCACACCTCCGAATCCCCCTTGTTGATCGTGTCCTACCCGTCGCCTGACCTGTCCTTATTCCTGCGTTTCCTCCCCCGTCGATTTTTCCCTACAATAATAACATGTACGCCTCCGATCGACAAAGCACAAGGTCGTTGATTCGGCGAAAAAGCGACGAGCAAAACGAGCTAAAGAAATATCTCGCTCGCTCTGAATGAGAGTATGACTGGTGATGCATGGATGTGTCCTGCGTCGACAAGCGACATGTCAAATGACATGAAAGAAAATAGACAGCAACAGGAATCCACGAGACTGAGGAGAGAAAGGAAAAAGCCTCGAGGGTCGACCTCCCTCCGGGGCGTCGAATCACGCCAACGAGCGAAGGACGGAGCGAAGGTGAGAAAAAGAACGAGCTAGGCAAAAAGGACTCAACTAGACTCGCTCGTCCACCTGCTTTCGGCTCACTGGAGCGCCGGCGTTCTCGCAGCGGCATCAGCACCCATAAACAACGTGGAGGTGATAAAAGATATAAAACCAACTGCGACCAGCGAGTCGGGCGAGCAACGAGCGCGAGACAAAGAATGCCGCAACCAGCTTCTTTCCCGCCACACGTTCGAAGAAATTGGCCGACGTAAATCGGAATCAAAGGCTCCGTCGAAAAATCCTTCCGAAGTCCCTTCGCTCCTTTTTTTTTCTGGCGAAACGCTCCGTTTTATTCTTGACACCACTTTCGTCCGATACTCTTCCGTTTGATCCCGTTCGGAACGTTCCCCTCGTGGACGAACAAGAAACGTATCCTTCGCCCAAGCGGTCAGGTACGGGACGTAAACGAAGGTGTAGTACAAATCAGACTTTGGCTGACGACCCTCTGAACGCCGGGTTGTCTCTGATTCGGACTGAGCAGAGTAACTACGTCCCCGTCCCGAACCCTCAGCATCGGGTTCCAGAGAGATTAAACAGCGAATCACGGTCACGCTCCTCGAAATACATCCGCTTCGGATCTCGCGCGGATCGAAGGCGGACGAGCGGGTGACAATAATCCGCGCTCGAGGATTGTTTCTCCCGAACGGCCTTCTTGCCCTTGTTCTTCTGACAAACAGACAGTCTTGATATCTTTCTTCTCGATGCCGAGAGGAATAAATGTATTCTGTGCTTGTCCAATTACGACAATTACTCGCTTGTGATAAGTTCGTCGGTTTGTCCGATCCTCGTCGTCGTCGTCATCATCGCCGTTGTCGTCGTCGCCGCCGTGGACATCATCAGCTGAAAGACTGTGGAATGTCCAGCAAACGATCCGATACGCTGTTCCTCTTTGCTTGGCAGCGCTCTTTGAAGTTATTCTGCCGCTGTCGCCGGCATAGCCGATGACGACTCCAAGGCGTTTACAAATGAGTGAACCGTGTTTCCAATGGGAAATCATCTTCAAAGGAACTCTACGACGTGAGAACGCATTTCCCGTCGACGACGATGATGACGACGCTAACTGCCACCAAGAGCCGACCGGACAGCCGACCCTGCCCTTCGTATCGAAAACGACCGAGAGCAGAAAAGAACAAAACCCAACGCGATTTCTGACGACTTCATCAAAAATGCCCGTATGCTCGAGCTCTGTACGCTCTGGGCTTCCTACCCACCCGCATGCAATGAGTTAGTTCCGCTCACTCGCAGATATGCTCTGAGAGTCGGTGACATCTACGCATGTTTGTGGTTGATCTCTATTGAGACGTCAAAACGAGGCGCGATCGTGCTGGCGAAATCGACATGAACGGAACCGGTTTCTTCCGTCTGAAACTCCGCCGGTCGAAGCCCAGAAGACGGGTCCGCATGGCAGTTGCTCTCATTAGCTAAGCCAACGAGGTAAGCTTAGTACTTAAGCTCGTATATCGTCGATCGACGTCGTCCGATAATTCTTGGGTCTACGTACCTCATTCGAGTGGGTTCGATTCTGATGCTTCGCTCTATCGGAAGCGTTGCTGAACGCCTTCCCACAGAGCTTGTGTTCGCACACGTAGGGCTTTTCACCGGTGTGAGACCTGGAATGGAGAAGCGAAGCCTCAGATTTGGATCCACGTCAACCAATCGATTCTGAGTAAAGGTTCGCACGGTATCGGCTCGCGATGGAGTTCCGAGGATGCTCTCGCCGTGCGCTCCTTCGTCGACTTTTCAGTGGAGGAATTCCCCTGCCGCAGATGTCCTTCAGATCATCGTCGAGATCATCGTTGGATCTCCCCGAGCTGAACTCTACAGATACTGGGAGTGCACGCATCTGCATTTCAGGGAGAAATGGAGTCGATTGACAGTAAAAGCGTCGCCTATCCATCAGTGGACACTCCCCACGCTTTCTTCAGACGTACACCGCGCCCTGACGCTATCGCGAGAAAACAAGCAGTCAGCCGGTTGCGTGGCCAGCCAGCCAGCCAGCCAGCCAGCCAGCCAGGTAGGCAGTCTGCCTGCCTGTTAGTCAGCGAGCGAGCGAGCACGGCCGATACCTTATCGAGGGCGACTATCATCGGCGTATCTCCCATTAAAAGCAGCGTTCAATGGATGGACAGACAACAAGGGTTCTTGCTGAACGGTAAGAGAGATAGACGAAGAAGGGAGGGGGAGGAGAAGCTGAGAGACAAAGACAGGGAGTATTTGAACGAAAATTTACTGTGGCGGCAAGGTGCCTCCAAGGGGTTACTCCATCAAGATGACACATCTCACAGCCTTGAACGCACAGACCAATCTAGACCAGGAGGATCCGGACCCTTCCTCGCATAGACCCCCGTCTGACCCTTGAACCCCTTGAACACAGAGGAGAGACTGACGACGACGACGATGACGACGAAATCGATCCCGAAGACAGAGACCCGTCACGGTACCCGCGACGCGCTCCGTCGCCGCGTCCCCGAATGCGCCTCGTTGAGGGGAACAATAAAATTGCTCGAAACCGTAGAGCGCGGTCGGTATGAGTTCGCTCTGCGCGCGTAAACGCCCGGCCGCCGCGCCGCCGTCAACGAGCGGATCGTATTCACGTTCTCATCGGTGTAAATGAACGTCAAATTAGCGACTGCGACGAGGGGAATTCGAGCCCCACTGAGAAGTTGAGAACAGCAGCGTAGACTTCAGTGACTCAATTGAACTAATTGCGTTAGCCGGCCGACGGACGAACGAATGAACGTCCGCCCGTGCTGCCGTCCTCGTTCCCTATCCATCTGACAGAGTGGCATCGCTGACGTTGTTGTCGGGTTTGATTCGTTCCGAGGCGTCTGGGCTTGCTTAGAGTAGAAGATCATCATTATCTAATAACTCGTGTGTGAGTGTGTGTCTGTCGGGCGGGCGGACGACTCCAGCAATCCACACACAAGTCGACTTGAACTGACTGAGTCTGCGGCGTGTCCGTTAATTGTCGTAATTTTGTCCCTCTTCACATGATGTCTGTTGTTCCCTGCTTCTGATGCCGTAGGAAGAGCAGCAGCAGCAGCGTCGCGACGCTGAGGAAAGATGACCTGCCGCTTCGTTCTCTAACTTCCTCGCAGGCAGCCTGCATATAGTGACTGACTGACTGACTGACTGACGGAGCGACTGAGTGACTGACTAACTTACTGACTGACCGACCGAGTCGACGAGCAAGCCAACGAGCGAACGGATGAATTAAGCTGCCCACATGGATTCGGCCATCAGTGGCGGCAGCGTCAGCGAGAACTTGAGACCCCTCAAGCGCGACGACGCAGCCTCAAAAGGGGACCAAAGTACAGACGACAGCAATGTTCCACCACAGAAGGTTCAACACAGTGATCATCATCGACAGACACGACGTTGATGAGGGAGAGAAAGGGAGAGCGATAAGGAGCAACGCGGGATTTGGGAAACCCAAAGGCCGTGAGCCTCGCTCACTCAATGGCCGCGTCCGAGTGACACCGGCCTGTAGTCGTCTTCGTTCGCGAAAGTGGTGTGTTTCCATCAATTCATTCAACATGGTCTTCTTTCGGGACTTTCATGCGGCTAGGGAGGAGTACCGGAGCTCGAACCATGGGCGTAGGTGGATCTGTCGGGAAGCAATGTCGTGTAATGCGGAGGAGACCTCCGGACAGATCGGTGCGCGAGAATGATTCTTGTGGTCTCCGTCCTAGAGCCAGGCCGAGAGGGTTCGACATGCTGGGCAAGTGCTCTCGATGTCAGCCAAGAGCAAAAAGAACTCCAAGGACCAGCCGAACGGCTGGATCTTTCAACGTGTCTACTTCTGAGCCATATCCGGCTCAGGGCTCACGAGACAACACAAGGCCCTTTGTTGTGCTCGGCTTTATATATAGAAATGGGTTCCTCAATGAAAACCAATTAGCTTCCAGCGGTACGCAGATACCAGAGGACAGATAGGTAGGTAGATGCCAGGCGGTGGAGTCACTTCTCCGAGTACCCTCACGAACAGGAATGTTCTATGTTTTTCATTCCTTCTTTAAAGTTGCATAAGGACCGCGCTTCCATATCTCACTGGGAGAGTAATGATTCTTTGATTCTCGATTCAATCGGAATGATCGCTTCTTCAAGCTCTCGTGGGCTCTTCTTCTTTTTTCTTCCTTTTCTTGCTGCTGTCGTCGTCACCGTCAGGTAATCTAATGAATGTTACACAAAGCCATGTGATGTAGCGAGTACCGTGTAGGGAGTGACGAGTTCTTTTATTTTGTTTTTCGATTGTAGATTGTGCACCCGGTCGGTGGGCCGGTCGATGGGTTGGCAGTAGGCAGGCATGCAGACCGGCCACCGACAGGCCGGTCGTCTGCTTTGATTCGATGTATGCTCCTGTGAGAGGAAAAAGGCCACGGGACGGATAGAATCCCGAAAAGAAAAGCTACTGTCTTCAGGCGGCGTTCTTTCGAGGTGTGAAACTTTTGTTGCCGTTGTTTGATGAAGATGGATTCGGAAGAGGCGCCTTAGAAGCCGAAGACAACGCTCTTCTCCAGCGGAGCACCACTTTCGTATGGGCATGCATGCCCGAACGAATGGTCGGACCGACGACGGACGGAAGGACGAACCGACCGACCGACGAGCGGGCAAACACTCGTACGGACACGAGCACATCCAGGGGGTGGGATTGAAGGTTATTCGACGCGCTCTATCCGATCGTCTGCACTGACAACGTATTCCCCTTGCCGCTTCATCGAATGATGAAGATTTTCGGTCCGTGAATACTTTGTTTCCAAAAAAGACAAGGCTCGCTCCATCGAATGCCGATCCGACGCTAGTCCAGGCGTTGTTCACTTGCTGATTCATGTCTGAGTGAGGAGATTCAAGGTTCAGTCGGGCTCGATGTTGCTCGGTCGAACAATAAAAACAAAGAGAGCGGATCAATGTCTGATGAACGGCTTTTGACACCCGAGACCGCAACCAGAAGTCACTGACTCGGCTGACCGACGCCGTCTGTTGCCTTAGTTCAATACTTTCCGCGATCGCGCTCTTCGCGTACTCTCCGAGCGACCAGTTTCTTCGAGCGTAATCCTTGAGGTCGAACAGATTGAGCTCAGCTCGGACCAGGAGGCGAGAAGTCGTCCGTCGGTGGGTCGAACGGAACGTCGTTCGCTCTGAAGGCGATGTCACTCGTTCGGCTTACAAATTATTCCTTATCTCTACGCTTTCGGCCGGACGACTGGCGGACGAACGTCGCCTCGGAAGGATAGCGGCGTTCCGATCGCCACCGCCGCGCCGGCCCCATCTCCGTCGATCACTTCAAAACCGAAAAAACTAAGCAACGATAAGCTTGCAGAATCTACACGAGTGAAGACGCTCGCTGGGAGACTGATTGGCTAGCCGGATCGACGCTCGTCACAAGCAGAAGCTATGCGCTTTCACTCAAGTTCAGGGCAATCCAGAGCCACGTAGGAACTACTCCTCTCAACCGCTAAGCTGTTACGAGAACAATTCAACGTAAGCGGCGCCTACCTGAAATGCGTTTTGAGATTCTCGAGCCGAGAGTAGGCTTTGGTGCATCCTTCAAAAGTGCACTTGTTCGGTTTTTCGCTCGTATGCCGTCTCATGTGAACCACCAGCATGTACGAGGCCTTGAAGGGCTTCTCTTCGCGTTGGCAGTCCTGCCATCGACACACGTAGGTTTTCTTGTTCGATTGGATGTGATCCTTGTTGATGTGGTGGACCTGAAACAGAATTTCACACCTGTCAGCTGCCATTCGATTCGATTTCCGCTCGGATATCAGGAAATCCCATGATCGAGTTCACTGTCTCGCTGCCCCAAACCGGCCCCCTCCCCCCTCCCCCTAATCCCGTCCTCCCCCCCCTCCCCCTACTCCCGTCCTCCCCCGCTGCCCTCGCACTCGAAGGGATATGCGCGCTCATGGCTGCGTTGAGCTCCGAGTCCGAGGTTTCGAAACTAAAAACGCCCGTGTTCACATCAAATGGAGTACATACTACTCCGCTATCAGGTGGATCTGACTCCGATTCGGCGGTCTGTCTCGTTAACTGCGACGACTGGCGGAGAATAAGAAAGGAAGATGGGATGCAAGATATGAATCGGTTGGGCGTTCGATCAAAGTCTCCTAAGCAGACAGATACGAGAGAAGCGAGATCGCGGCGAGCAACGGGAGAAACACACAACGAGCAGAGACAGCCGTGGCGGCGGGCGCGGCGTTGTTTCGGACAAGCGGACAGACAATCGGGTGGACGAACACACAACTCGAGCGGTTGATTCACAATGCAAGATACATTCATATTGAGGAGTCACCGCTATCCGGAGAGCTGGTAATGCCGCTTTATGACTCGCCACAATAAAAGCACCGAAGCAATGAATCTCTGTCGTATTCAGTATTTCAGTAACAATCGGGACTCAACAATTCACCTCCAGTTCGCGGTCGGATACGCCGTCGGGCACGTCCTATTCAATTGAAACGAACTCCGCATATGTACAACTCAATTCTCTCAACTTTCGACGCATCTGTGCGCGGAACCACTGGGCTAGAAATTTCCCTCTCGAAAGCGGGGGTAATTTCAGAATTCGACCATCAATCAACGATTGCTCAGGAGCGCGGGCCGTGAACCGGAATGAGTCGGCTCGAGACCCGCGGTTGCTGTCCGCTACTCACCAGTTCGGCTTGTGTGTTGAATTCGAGTGTACAATCGGCCCAGTGACAATTTGTTTCTATGAAGTCTTCTTCTCCGGTTACTTCTTTCTCTTCCTTTATTTCTTTCTTGATCTCCAAGTTCGTACTTGACACCACGTCCTGCAAACAGAACAAATAACCAATTAGAGTTGGGCTCCGCAGGGTGGGGATGGAACAAACGAAAAGCTCGCGCGTCTCGGGACTGAGCACACACAGCTGCGAGAGACATTTGGAACCGGTTAGTTGGTGGCCGGGTTGAATGTTTGTTTCTTCATGATCAGGGGACCCGTTGGTTTCGCGCCGTCCGATCGAAGCGATTTTGTCAGACTGGATCAAAATTCCCCATGTTTCAGAATAAGAAATCTGAATGGCAAATGAACACAACCGCATTCCCGTCCCCTCTCGCGCACCGGAGTCACTGGTGGTGCCGATTAGTCCCGGATTCTCGGATTTAGGGGGAGCCTCATCCGGCTCCTTTTCGCCCTCTGTTGAACTTCCCTGACAGCCTGCGATACTCAGATATCGTGATCTGTCTTTTCTTTACCCAGTCGGAGAGAGTCTTCCATGCTCGACGATGTCTTCCATGGAGATTGTTATTCCGCGGGAAAGGGGCAATTCGCATTCTCTAAGCGCGAACTCCTTCCCGAATGCGGAAATCTCCCCGTCACCACGAAGTTTTCGGCGAAAGGTACATTGGCTTCGTATGCACAGCAAGTAGATCTGGTCGGTGTGAATAGAATGAGCAAAGACTGTGAAGCAACCCAGGTGTCGCACCAGGAGGCATATTCTTAGCGGCAGCCTTCGGCGTCAAGATCGACTTTCGGTGTAAAGAGGGCTCCTCGTCGATATCTGTATTTTCGTGGAGTTGATTGTCGATGTTGTTGTCATCAACACCTTTCCGCGAAATATGTTGGCGATGTCTCATTGGATCGCTTCGCTGTGGGGAATCGCTACGGATGCGGCCAGGGATTTCTCGAAAGCGCTCGTTTTAACTCATCTCCCTGTTCTCGAGCCGCATTTGCGTTACTATGTTTATTCGGCAGCCCTGGCTTGGGGAGACAGGCACGAAGACGTATGAAGTCATCAATTCGGCTTACGAGTGTGTTTTCAACCGAAGATGAGCGAATTCCGATTGGAATCAAGCGACGCGCCACGAGACTCCAACTCCTCGCTAATACTATTCAGGGAAGCCGATCAGAAATCCGTGGTTTCGACCGCAGCCCGGCATCATCGGAGAACTACCGATGCCCATGAGACGATTTCCTGCCAACGATCGCTGCACCTGCGAGCAACTGGTTCTCGTTGAGAATTCAGAGCACGCCCGACACTCATTGGCACCGCTGCGGTAACTTGGTTAAGTTCTTTTGTTTGTCAAACATGAGAAATCTGTTGATCAGACGACCACCCAACTCGTCTTCATTCACTTGATCAACGAACTTCCGCTTGAGCGTAATATTGCTGCTGAAGACCTACTCGATCGTGCTCATCGACAGACCTAGCGCGGCGCCGTCTCCGGTTCTCACATTCGAATAGAAACATATGTTCGGTCTGTCTGTGTGTGTGCGTGTGTGTGTGTCAGAATGCGAGTAGATCCGAGAAACACGGAAGGAAGAAGTGTGGAAAATTTGTTGTTCTTCCCGTGAATGTTCTCCGGATTCTAGCGACCCTAGTCGCGCTGGGGTAACGTCAGCTCCACCGATCCCGCTTTGTTTCAAGGCCGACCTCGGCCATAATCCGTAGCTGCACGCTTTAACACGCGTGTCTCGACGATGAGATTTCCCTGCCTGCCGACCGGAAACTAGACTTCTAAGAGAAACACAAGATCGAGTGTTTGATATGCGCTCCCAAAGACGTCCATGAGTTCCGGGACTCCTTTTCTGGGCGGGAAAGAAGAGGCTCTGCTTCTTCTCGTTAGCTGAAGTGACCCGATCTCATGACTCAATCAGCCCGACAGGCCGCCGATCACATGGAATCAACCAAATCGGAATGCTCTTCAGATTACCTCAGGGCCTCAGGTATAAGATTCGGAGCGGAACTTTTCGAGATGAAGGCCGATCCTGCTCGAGAAATCCGCTCGGTCCTCGCGTTCGAAGCGGGAAACTCGTCTTGCTAACCGAGTTCTTAGCAGTGGTCGTCGGTTCGATTCGACCAGGCATACAGACACCTCTTGACAACCAAAGCAAACTTCGAAAAACCGAAAAAGAGGACCGAGATGCAGAGCCCGCATACGACAGAGGTTGGCAACCTCGTAAAGCCACTGGGTGCCATCGAGACGACGACCGAGCAAGGTTCACTGTTCTTTCATGAGGTTCCGCCGTGGCAAAAGTGAAGAAGCTTAGGACAGCAGAAGCAGAAATCCATAAAACGGAGAAGCTGCCGCGGCTTCTGCTTGGACCTTTACGACCAAAACAAAATAAAGAGGACGAGCTGCTGTTGCGGCTGCGGCGGCGGCTACTTTTACTCTGGCTTCTCTCACTTACCGAGGATGGATCGGGAAAATGAAGAAAAGCGCAGAACCGGCAGACGTTGCCGACGCCCCTACGTATGGTGTTCGCATATGCGCGTACTCGAGACCCTCGAAAACTTAAGCTCCACTTTTGGAACACCCATTTCCTTAAGGGCGGCTGACTGATCTGCACGCCGCGAAACTATACGAAAACGAATGATGGTCGCCGGCAAGACCTGTCGTAACCTCTCGTTTTATGGACCGGGAGATGAACCCCACATTTTTGAAACATTAAACACTTGGCTCCACCAACGGCAAAGGTCTCCGTCGGTCGACATCCTGATGCGGAAGTCTGGGATAACTTCTTCTAATTTTCTTTCTCCTTTATTCGGAATCTTCAGCGGGGTTGAGTCATCAGGGACTCCGAATGCTATCCTCTTCTGGGAATGCACCGTGCTCGCAACGATATGCGTTCCAGGAATTTACACCAGATCAAGAGACTAACTCGGATTCTTCTGACTTATTCTGTCATCGGTTCTGAACGGTTTGTTGTTCGTTCGTTCTCTTGCTCCTAGTATGTCATCGGGCAGATGGATTAAGAAGGCGCTGATTTCTTGAGCGTGGCTTGTGGTGTGTTGGGGTAAACGACTCGCTCGAAACCGAGAAATCCGAGCCACAACACCATCATCATCATCGCCACCACCACCACGAGAAAGTGACTCCCGGTTCCATTCCTCAAGATATTCGAGCCAGAGAAAGCCAGCTCCCCTCCCGGCTTCTCAACGCTTCAAGCAGAAAGATCCTTGATGAAAATCTCTAGGTGTCAAAGTGTATTCACAAGAATTCCGCATCGACTTCTTCGCTCTCTCTGCCACATTGGGAACCCTTCTCTGTTCGTTCGAACTGAACCGGGAACAGCATCAGCAGCGTCGTTCGCGATGCTGGGGAAATGCGAGAAGCAAAGATCAAAGTTGAACATTGAGACATCAACTACATCGGCGCAGAGATGGAAACGGACGCCGATCGACGGAAAACCGCGATCGCCGCGCGCGACTGATTCCGTGGAAAGTCGACCACATTCCGCTTCTCCGGAGCGAGTACGATCCTCTGCCGATATTTTCCCGTTTCTGGACTAATGAGGTCTACATCGACACCCCAGAATGAGGACACAATGCCATTGAGCGGAGTGAGTCGCCTGTGAATTCCTTTGCGCTAGGTTCTACCGCGCGTTGCCCCTCAGCCTTTCATGGCTGTCTCCAGCTCCCCCGAATTCTCACAGCTATCGGTAAAGAAGGGCGCTGTCCTCCGTCGGAGAGTATTCCGAAGAAGCGTCTCCGATCTCCGGATGGCAGTCAGTCAGCTCAGGTCACTGAAGCTCGACGAACAATGCTCTCCGAGTTTTATACCTCTCAGTAGCGGTTCTGTCGCTGCGGCGGCGAGCTCGCTCGCGCGATTCTCCGCGAAACGTACGACGAGACTCGCAGAGGGGTGTAAAGCCATTGAGCTGCTCATTAGAGCCAAGTCGAGAGTACCTACTTGCGACGAGGAAAGGAGAACCAAACAGAAATTGAGGTCGTTCTCGGTAACGACAATAGCTTAGCGGGAGACCGTCGAACAGTATCACTCCCGAATATACACGTCTTCTCTTTGGACAGCCGAGCTGTTCAATTCCTGCATGGGGTAGGGTACCCATGGCCGCCGCCACTGTCAGAGAAGTGAGCCCGCGGCAGGAACGCCCAAAGTAGACTTTTCGGTGAAGGTTTGTTCTCCCTGTCCAGATCGACCGAACAGAACCATCACACCTAACAGCCGAAGCGAGCCAGATACTCGCATCAAGCATTCTTGAAGCGGGTACAGAGTTACATCCGCCTGATGACGTTCTCGGAAGTGCCACCAGAGGGCGTAGAGTTTTTTCTCTCGCGAACCCCCGCTTCTTGTGGTTCAAGGCACACAATCAATCTGACCATTCCTGTCGCTCTCTTTCTCTTCGCACATCCAGTCACAAAAAGCGAATGAAAGGATCCACATGCCTGTGTATCATAATTTACAAGTAGACCAGCCGTGCTGACTTGAGCATGGGGAGCCCGTGGCCGACTTTACGGTATAGAGCTCCTCTCTGTCATCTAAGAGATTTTCCGGCAGTTTTTGAGGTCAGAAGCTCCTCGATACCTCGCCTCGAGCTCGTATGATGCATATCCTAGGCGGCCGAGGTGTGTCGAGAATCGAGAAATCCGACAAGAGGTCCGTCTGGAAGTTGTAGTTTTGAAAGCACGCGACCGGACTCGACGCAGAGAATATCCGATTGAGAGCCGAATAGGCAAGGCGGAGCGTGAAGGCATCATCGGCTGCTCCTTTGTCGGCTGCCATAAACGACATAACGGCTCACCCGCTCAGGACGGTAATTGCGAAATTTATGTCCTGCGGACAGCGACGTCATCGCCACAGCGCCGCCTTTGGCCAGCTGGCGATTCAGCTCGCGACCAGAAAACCCTTTCTCTTTCTGTTTTTTATGTCGGAAACCGGCGACATAAGCTGCCGACCACCGAGGAAAGGGAGAGTGGCCATTACGGCTATTGTGTCATAAGTGCAAGGACTCTCCTTCTATTCGCTACTCGCCGCTCTGGAATCGGCGAAAGTGAAGCTCATAAGAGCGGGAAATAGGAGCTCGAACGGGTTCGCCTCCTCGGCCGGAGTCCTCGGAAGAACTTCGTAGGTACTCCCAAGGAGCAGATTTTCACAGTTTTCCGAGGCCCTCGAGGTGACACCGTTCTCAAAAAACGTGCCCCCGAATTCATATATGCACATGTGCATCCGTATATAGACGTAGGAGCCATTCGTGATTGGCTCAAGTAGACCGGTTCGAGTAACTTGGGAAAGGGGGTCCACACGCCATTTACGGGGAAGTACGAAGACTAACGACTACGACGACGTCGACAACATCTACAACAGCATCGGCTCCAAAATGAAGAAAATGGCTTCATCTGGGCTCACTCACACAAGTTGTTCACGGAAAGCCTCACGTCTCAATCGATCTATAACACCGATCTATGGACATGCCCGCGCCTCACTCAGCTAGCTCGCTCGCTCGCGAACGAAAGCCACTGCTGGGGCACAGGCTGGGTTTAGGCGAAGTTCTCTATTCTCCGGCAGCATCAACTCGAAAGACATGCTTCTTCGAGCGAATGCCTCAATTTGAATTCTAGTTCAGAGGGTCGGATTCGGAGCTCCCAATAATACGTGGCTTCGATGTTGAGGCTCACTCAGAGTGTTCAAAGGCTCCAAGGCCCGGCACGGAGCCTGAGACGGAGCTCTGCTCGCTCAGGCGCATGGAAGCAATGTTCATTTGTTCATTGTGTTCTCCTGCCCGAACTACATTCATTCGGTCGGTCCGTCAGCCGATCGGTCGGTCGGTCACACTGGGTGAGTGAGCACCCCAGACGATTTTCAACTTGGCTCCCGAAGCAAACTTGAATAACAATGCCCGCTGCTAGTAGCGCAGGTCCATAGGACCCGAAGCAACGAGGCAGTCCGCACGATTCAAGATCGCAAATCACTCACTTCGAACTGATTACGACATCAAATGCATCTGAGAAAACAAAATGTGTCTGTGCCCATCCTTCTGTTTTCAAATGAAAAAAGAAGCATATGTTTCAGACACCCGCATGATTCTCGCGTTGTCTTGCTCATGTTGATCTTGGACCGTTGTGTCTCGTTGAATCGCCCGTATCTTCTCGAGTATGAAGACATTCACAATAATACATAATGATGATGTCTCATTGCTGTTCGAAGAGAATCTTGGCGTCGGGCTGAAGCGCGAGCCGTAAGTTGACGCGCGCGATCCGATTCCGAGTCAACGCATTTCTGCCGAGAGCGGTTTTGAAATTCGATCCGCCATGGAATTCGAGTCGGAGACTTTTGATGAATTCCTCTCTGCGCAGATCGAGGGAAATGAAACCTGGTGTTCAGGGTAGAGGAATGATTTTTTTTCAAAACCAATCCCGCATCGGAGTGCGATCGAAGAGCTGAAGTTCATTGGGGCGGCTAAGAAGATTTCTTCTTTCCGAAACGGAGAAGATATCGAGACACTCTACGGATGATGCTGAAACCGAAGCAGAAGAACGGTGCTCTCCGCGGACACGACCGGCAGCGACGGGCGTCCGAGACAGCTCCGTGGTCTTAGACACCGTCAGTAGAGGCGCCCCGGCAAGAGCAGCAGCAACGATCTTTTCGCGGAGCGAGCCGTGAGCTAGCCGATAGATAGACCGATCGAGCCAGCGAGCGAGCGAGCGACCGGTCGGCCGACCGACGGACCGACCGACCGGTGGCTTGTTCCGATGAGAGAAGACGACGCAGACGACGAAGAGCGAAGAGGAGACGCGGTCTTCTGTGATCAATAACTTCGTGAAGACCAAAAAGAAGAAGAAAGAGAAAAAGCCAGAGGAGGCAAAGTCGATTTTTGGATCGGTGGCGGCGGAGCCTTGAATGTCTTCATTATCGAGACATTGGCTCACAGAGATTCGGCGAGAAAGGAAGCGAGAGTCGGCTCGATGGATGGTACGCCGAGCGGGAAGGTAAAAAGAGGAGACGGTACAAGAACCTCACACTCTCTCGCTTATATCTATGATACAACGTGAAACATGAAGCGTAGTCGAACAGCCGGAATTATTCGAACGCCTGAAAGATTACAATTCCAGCGGGGGCTCCAGGTGGAACCTCGAAAAACCTCGCGGATATGAATTTGCACCATTCGACTTCAAACAGAGCCTGATAAGAAAGATGATCACAGAATGATACTCACCGTTCCGAGATCGGTTGTGCCGGGGACTGGTGCCAGCGGAGTGACTGGATGGTGTGGATAATGCCTTTGGAGTAACTGTTGATGCAGCGGACTCAGCGTACCGGCCGACAAATGACCGTACGATCCACTTCGGGAACCGCTCATGAAATTCACCAATTGGTTCGGCGAGAAGTGTATCATGGAATTGACGTCGAACGCATCCGAGTATGGCGAGGATGATAAAGCTCTTTTCCGACCGCGTCCCGCCCTTGAGACAGCTGAAAAAGAACCTCATCAATCAGTGATCGAATAAATTACTAAATTGTTAAATTTGCTCCTTCCCGAAGGACATGCTGGAAGGTATATGCTCCGGTCGCGAGAGGGTGTTCGCTGTCAGTTGTTAATTAGGCCTTTCGGAAATTCTGACGTCATTTTTCAAAATCACCGACCACTCTCCGGTGGTCGTTCTGTGATGACTTAACTTGCCATCGTGATCACAAAGCGGCTGGCTAGAGCGTTGCGCGCCCCGAAAATTGATGCTCTCGAGAACAGCCTTCAGATTCCGTCGTTCCGGCTTCTGGTCGGATGGACGACGTGTGAGAACGACGACAAAAGGAGGGCAAAGCGATTTTCTCCGCTCCGGGACTTTCGCGCTTCTTATGGCGGGGTTGACAACGAGCAAAACAACGCCAAGCGAATCAATCAGGGTCCGGCGCTTCGATCGGCGTAAAATAGCCAAAGATCGTTCGAATTTATCCGGAGTCATCAATTCATCTACGTCAGCGACGCCAATTCATTTTGCCAACTTATTCCCATTGAGAGATCCTTGAGCGTCGCCCATCAGAAATTAACTGATGAAAGGGTGATCGGCATTAGCGGGGATATACCCGGAGCGCTCGAAAAACATTCCGTTTAGAGAATTCGAGGAGGGACGGAATTCATATCTGACAAGTAGCTTGACTATGAGGAGTCGTTACCGCAAACGTGTTTTTCCACGCCGGGGGGAAATTGATAATTGCCGTCACGTGATCTCCGGCGACAAGCTTCAGCCTCCACGGATTATGTTCTCTACTTTCGCGTTGTTGTCACTTCTGCTGCGTGTCCGCAATCGGTGGCACACATCCAACAAGTCTCGACATGACGGGTCGTTGATGATGAACTACGCAATGAGGCTCTCGACAAATAGATCTCTCTCTGCCGTGAAATTCCGTAGGAGTGTCGAGTAGCCAACCTCACGCGATAAGCCAATGCGAGCCAAAGCGGCCTGGCTCGCCGAACGAGTGATCGCGGTGAAGTCGAGCTGCCGGAGCGCTCCACAATATACTTCCTACCTCTCGCTCGTCGTCAGTGTTTCGCCCGCTCGGGTTGACAAGACTGCGAGTGGGAAGTAGGTAATTCAGTTCCACGTGAACCACTGCGACGAACCTTCCAAGGCGGGGGGATGACCACTGTTCGTAACATCGGGCATAGCGTCAACTGTCGAGTCAACCGTCTGAGAGCAGTTGGTCGTGACGGAAACCCGTTAGGCGCTCGTGGGCGTTAACACTTAGAATCATCGTCAGGGATTTATCTGTGAGCGATTCGCATCTCTTTTTTCGAGTTTCTCGAAGAGAAGTTGTCCGGCTAAGAAACACGAAGCGAGCACTCCCGTTCCGCAGCTCTCTGTCCCGATGTTTAGGGTCATGAGCTAAGCTCGTATGCATATTAGAGAATATAAAGCCTCATCATACGGCCGGCGGGTCGGTTCGTTCTCGCATCTCATATCTTAATCCTAGATCGGTTCTCGGAGGGCGCAAGCTTCCGCGTTCCCCTTTGTGCATCCGAGTCCCACAAAGCAATCGAGCTCTTCAACTGAGCAGAATGGGGGTTTTCCGTAGCGAGTAGCTCGAAAGTGGAGAATCGCTCTCCATAGAGCAGATCAGCGATGAAAGAGAGCCATCGTCTCTCATCAAACCCATCCGTCACACAGGTGATGCTCGAGATGTTTAACGAAAACGCCGAAAGAGGAATTCGGATCTCTAACAATGACCGATGTGGATTTCCTCTTACGGAGACTGGCCGAGCAACAAAGCTTGATCCTTCAACTTTCTCCCAGCTCTTTCGTTATGGGCTCGAAACTCTCGACTTTCCTCCTCTCCCAAATCTGAGCGGCACGTGCTTTTTCATAAACTGAGGATTGTATCTTCTTCTAACCAAGATTCAAAGATGCTCCTTCGCTAACTCAAACCAATGGTGAGCTCTGCGTAATCCCACCTCGTAATGACAGCCAGCCTGCAAGCACCGCATTGAATTTATCGAGCCAAATCGCATCCATCATTTTCCCGTTGACAGCGGTAGATAAACAGAACTCAGAGAGTTAGGGTAAGGGTTAGAAGCAGTCCATTTTCGGCGCTTCTGCGTGACGAATACATTAGCGTGTCGATCAAGCGCAGGGCCGTGAAAATGTACATAGAGCATCAGCTGTCTGGAATCCTCTTCCAAATGATAGCCCCCGTTAGTGCCGTTTGCTTAAGCTGAAAAGCGTTGAATGCAGTCCGAAGGCCCAGGCAATCCAGAGCACGCGCCTTGAACCAGCGAAACTGCGGTTTGTTCTCCGCGTCCGACTGGCTCATACGCAGGCGTACTGACGCACCGTCGGCCCGACTGACGGTGACTCGTCGGCTCGCTCCGATGGATAGACTCTTGGATACACAGAGACGCATCTTTATCTGATAATAATGGCTGGGGAGTGGCGGTGTCTCAGACGTCGAATGCCGCGCTCGCTCCCATTAACGCGGAGAGAAACTTCTTCCATTGTCACAGCAATCGTAACGGAACTGCAAATTAAGTTGGCCGAATCTCGGCGCAAACGGCACGAGTGGCATCGAAACTGAAGAAAATCAAGCTGCACAACAGGAGGAGACCTTCAACAAACAAAATCACAGCTACAAACTGCCATCTGCTCAAGGTGCGTCTCAGCTGCTCCCTTAACCGAGGGACGGGCAAATGACAAAGTCACCGAAATCTACGTTTGCGTTATCTTGCTTTCGGTTATTAGCATCCCGACGTTTGTTTGTTTTAACGCTTGTTTCTGTTGCCGAGGATTTCTCTCGGGGCTCCTGTTTACTCCAATTTTAGTCCGACTCTCATGCTAGTTCGTCGACTCTGTTTCGAACTTTAATTCGTATCTTGATATTGGTGAAAGGAGCGACTCGGCGAAGGGCCCAACACGCGTGTCGCCGGATAGAGAAGAAGATTCAGGAAAAGAACCGAGGGAAATCCTCTTTTCGAGCCAAGTCATGCAAAAGACTAATTACACCGCAGATGATTCTCGGTTACCGCCCGTAAACGACACGAACGACGGGTCGAAAGGGTCGAATATCTGATCAGCTGATGGAGCTGTAGAAAAAGTGAAAAAGGATTTCTCTCATGGAGCCAATGTCTCGAAGCGAGCCGCGTCAACCAAATCGTCACTCTCACGCTACGAATCCATCTGCTTAGAGCCGACCTCGATCCGCGGCTTCAAACGTCGAATCGAATCTGTATTGGAATCCATTCCAAAGTTCCGTTCTACAGGATAAGCGCCAAATAATTTGCCAAGAAGAAGCTTTTATGCCCATTCATCCCCCGAATTTATCCCCATTATTCTACACTGAGTCTACGGAGGTCGGGGAGAGATTGGGAGACGATTCGATGATGGAGCGAGCGTTGTGAGATTCGGATCGAGAGCGTCGATCGCGAAACTTTAGGCTCAAGCAGCTGGCCGTATAGATTGAAGTGTCTTTCCACAGATTTGTTTGGCGAAGTCACCTAAATCAATCTTTTGCCGTCCAGCCGTGTACCGTCAATCTTTCGCTGTAGTTATTTAAATGATATTATATTCCCGCCGACAGAACGACCAAGCAACAGGAAGTCAGGGGCCAACTGCTCAGAGCCTAACCGCCAATTTGCAATTACACACATGAGAGCGGCGAAACCCCCCGGACAATACAGATCATCATCCACGTCATCATCGAGAGTGACTACATTACGGCCGCCGCTCACTCGGAGCCGTTACTCCCGTTCTGTGCGTCCGTATGTTGTTATCATTAGCCGCTGTACTAGCGACGTTCTTCTCCAGACGGGCGCTCGGTGCACAAGGCTGTGCGTGAGTTTGTAACGAGCCTGCCCGATTCTGGGGATTTGTTCAGACAGCGTAAAACGAGATAAAAGCTAAAGGATTCGGACAAAAAAAACACGTCACTATCAACCACGGACCCCGATCCGGTGATGAACACGTGAATCCGTAGACAACAATCAGCTTATTATTCGACACCTTCCTGAGTAAGACCCCTTCCTTTCTGTTTCCGATAAGAAAACGAACAGGACAGACAAAAACCCGATTCCGGAATGTTTTTTTTCCTCTTGACGAAAACAAACAAAGACTCACACAACATCTTCATATTTTAACCGGATGAAAAAAAGCGGATTCCTTGCGTCACGAACGAAAAATGAAAGCCAGAGCACAATGATAGACCAAAAAAATCCAGAGAGACATCTTCAGCGATCAACAAGCTCAATAAGGCGGGGTTCTCGGCTGAAGAGTATCATGCGCGGAGCACGTCTTCATTATTCGACAGATATACCACGGTCCGATTCTTCCGGGATTAGGTAGTTCATGTGGCCAACGTCTGCGATGATGACTCTGCTCACCGGATTTCCGAAGAACCTAGAATTAGGGTCACACGGGAATAAGGTGGGACGAGGCATTGCTCCCCCCGAATCCCCTCCTTCTTCTTCCGAGAGTTCTTCATCTTCATATCCGAGAGATTCACTCTTCCAATTAAAAAAATGAGAGTCAAGTGTTCGAGGAACCGTTGACGCTCTCGGGGAGCAGAGATACAATCTGGTTATGACGGGTAACGCTTGAAAAGATCGCGTTGTAACAAGGTAAACGTTTTGATAAGCCGTCCAGATGGTTCCAGATTGCTTTTTTTCTCCTTTAGAGTGACTTGACGCCAAGCTTAGTAAACAAACTAGGCAAGGAGTCGAACTAGTCTAACCCGGCAACTCTGGTTAGGATAAACTCAGAGACGTGCGAATGGAAATCACCAACACTACATAGGAGCAGCAACGCTACGTATTCCGGTGAGTCACCCTGAATGAAGTTTCCCTACGATCCGATAACTACGCGCTCGCCACGCAATTAGGCTGGAGGGAGCAGCATGGAAGAATTGTCGTATTCATTGATCGCAGAATTCGAAAGGAACCATAGACAGCGGGGAATCAGTGGATTGCGGTCATTCCTTTCGCAGCGATATCGATCTGAACGTCTCGAATCTCTAGAGACTGAAATCTCCAATCAACCTTCCGTACACTTGCGCAAGGTCGAAGAGGAGCGACGCTTTTGCGGAGCGAAGAACTTTCTGAAACGAGCCACTGGATAGAATGCCACAGGGCATCGATCGACGCCATCAAGCAAAATCGTAAATTTCGGCCAGCGCTCCCGATGACGACAGTTGATCTGATGATTTTCTTCTGCCTCATTTCTTTTTCTTAGATCGCTTTTTATCCTCTTTATACCGGGGAGATGCAGGGGATCGAGATATTCTTCTGGATCCGACTGAACTTTAAACTGACAACCCCAACATTCCACAGTCTTTCTGATCGATCGCTCCTTCACGAACGATCGTCAGGTCCAATTGGAATACCCCGAGGGCCGAGGAATACCTAGAAGAGCTCTAGAGACTCACGATCATTGACCGATTGTTGGAGACTTGCTCGCTGCTGTGCGAGGGCAGCTTGCATGTGTTGGAGGTAGTCCATATGCTGAGCGACATCTGAAAGGGGCAAGAAATCCGTTTTTAATCTTCCTTCTTTCCCGACCGGATAAAGTCTAGCTGGTGCGAAGAAGCCTAAGGGATCAGCTCGGGGAGGTGTTCCTTTCGGGGGAGCCCAGCCTGAATTCCTCGCACATTCGATCCTGTAGCCTGGAAGAGCTGTGTCTTGATCGAAATTCAACCCGACCGGGACATGGAAAACTCTACTAGACCTCTCGCTAAATTCGCGCGGGAGCCCATTCGCCTCCAATACCCTCCATCTATTCGCTCCGCCTCCAAAGCCTTCGGAGGAAGTTTCAAAATTAAGCTTGTCCCCATCGTCGCCTTCAGGTTGAAGCCTAGACAAGGAGCCCGTAAGTGGCGCCAGTGCGAACCGCTGCCGTCCGCACCGCTTGAAGCATCGTTTTCTGTTGTTGCGGCAGATTCTCGAGCTTCTCCTGACGGGTAAATAAATTGGAGTACTTAATTCTGACCACTACCCCGTCATTTGCGACTAGTTTGGTTGTATTCAGTGGAACATCCCACGGCTCGTTTCAAGAGACATCTGGCTGCGCTTTTCTCCGAGCTTCTTCTCCGCCCTGCGTGAAAAAGGAACGGAAGCCTCACCCGAGAAAACTGCATCATTCGCTGGGCCACGTTCTTATTCCAGTCAAACGGTCTCATGGAACGGAATCTCGAATTTTGAGCCGCAGGACTCGAAAGAAGTACCCCACAAAGAGCGGATCTTTTGGTAGGAGTTGTTTTCACTCTCATTCTTTCCTTCATCCCATCAGCCTTCATTCATATAGCAGAGCTCCGGCAGAGGCTTTTTGAGTGAGTTACGCTTGATGGCTGCAGTGCAGACGCGTCGTGCGAGCGCTCCGACAGATTGGCGCGCAGCAAACGCCGGCTACTTGATTGAGTGCTCCCGAACGGAGATCTTATTTTAATGCCGGCATAATCCTGACGGAGAGTGCCAACAAGCAATCTAAATGCGGCGGGAAAATTCAAGAGAGCACACTTTAATTGAAAAACAACATATACGTATGTCTTGCTCTATCCGCGGAAGCTGAGCCTCGTTCACCCTCATTCTCCCAGATGTGGCGTTCAAGTTCGCTTGCATAGCCACAAATCACAAAGCATGACTGGTCTAATAAAGTTCATCAAAGCATGTTGAATTCGTTGGAATCTGCCCCCTCGGACCAGACTATGTACAGCTCCTCCTGCACTTCAGCTTTCGACGGCTCCGGCGCCATATAATACTCATGAGGTCCAGACAAGTTCGGGGGTAGCTCTCCCGAACATCATGTTCTCGGCAGCACTACCTCGCTCCGAGAGCCACGTCGTCTCGTAGAATACTTTTCAGCCGCGGGACATCGCTGCTGACGGATATTCTCCCGATCCAGATAGTATACGAATCATGACTTAAATCGGAGTTGTACTCACTGACTGGACTGAGAACCCTTGCGAGAGGGGATCCGCCGGTGAAAGGGTTGTACAGCTGATCGAGATACGGTGAGAATCTATACGGAGATCTTGCACCCATCCCGACCGCCTGCTGGAATGCTAGCTCGGGTGACGCGGGCAACCTGTAAAAAGGGCAGGAATGGTCGATGTTGAGTTCGTTCGAAATCGATGCGAATTTATGACTCGGAATCGTTTATCTATGTTAAACCGATCGCTCGGCAGCCTTCGGCAGTTTTTTTTCCGCTACTGAGATACTTCGCGCCGTTCGCTGACCGGTACATAATCTGTCATATGCAGGATCGACCGAGAATAAATGACTACTCAATTCATATTAGAGAGGCGTCAGGATTTTTCGATTAGAGAGATTCGGAGCGAACAAGCGTTGACGATGGAAACAACAATAAGAGAATGATTCGTTGCGTGAAACGCGGTCCCGACTCGGTGTCTACCAGGCTAGAGAAACAAAAGGAAAATAGAGAATGAAAAAAAAACCATAAAGAACGGATTCCGCAGGTGGAAAAGCTCTCTTGTTGTTCTTGGCCTCCCCGCATAGCAGGCGAGAAGAGGGAGACGCTTCCAAGTGTCGCAGCTTTCGCTTCCGATTCGGTCGACTCTCGGCGGGAAAATGGACGACAATCATCGTCAGGACAACGTTCCTCGCTCCGACCTTTCATCAAGATGGCAGGATTTCTACATTTCCAGGGTAGAACGGAGCGCACTTCTACCTATCAGCGTGGACGAAGGGGCTTGAAGGAAGGTATCATCGGAACACTCCCGGTCTCGTAACACAAGAGCTCGAGCATTCCGACAAAGACCGTAATTTTATTTCCCCAGAGCATTATCGAACAATCGACGAACAAGAGGAAAGTCTTGAACAATGAGACGAAATTCAGGCTCTGAGATTCCCAAGCGAAACCTCGGGATGTTTCGCGCTCAGATGGAGAATTTATTGAAAACAAAGCGAGAGCGCTCTCGACAGAAGCCGAGTTCAAAGGCGGGAACGACTGGAACTAAGTTCGGAAGAAACGGATTAATGCCACCATCCGTTGATGGTTCTTCTCGGTCTGTCGGAATTGTCGAGTAGTAAAAGCGATGGCGGTAGTGGGGAGTAGTTTTCGTGGTCGTGGTCGTTCTCGCGAGTAGTTTTCCACTCGAGCATGAATCCCAGAGTCATGGAATGCGAGGCCGGCGGAGCAGCGACTCTCACACAAGTGATCTCCCCATCGAGGCCGAATTTTCTTGAGCGAGGAGAAATTAGATTTGTTCCGATCGGAGCGCTCTTGTTGTTCTTATTTTTTCGTTGACGCTGTCGAGATCTAGCTCGACAAGAAGGAGCACTCGCAACAAAGAGCCAGACAACAAATGATAAATGATGTCCTTTCGTCAGGTGCTCTGCCTTCCTCGGTGCGTCCGAAAGCTCGGAAGAAGACGAAAGCAGATGGAAAGGAAGGTGCTGGAACGACCGCTGAAGAGAGACTTCCACAAGAAGAGGACGGCTAGTCTCTAAATGCGGCCAGTTTACTCGCCTGCTAGGCAGCCAGCCTGCCTGACTGACTGCCTGCACATGATGGAAACGACAGATGTGGCGGCGGGAGCCTCTGGCAGGAGACCAGCTGAACTCCGGCTCGCTCCATGTAGGTGGAGGTTTTTACAGAATCTCACTCTCTTCCTCCCGCTGGCTTCTTCTGATCGTGTCGATTTTTATATTGACCTCGTCAAACAACAGGTAGATCGTCTCTCTGCCGATTACCATGCCGCTCACTCGCGTCTCACTGTTTACACCCATTAGGCCGATAAGTGGATCTGCTTCCGGGCATACTGGATAACGACATTCAAGGACCAAGAGATCCGGGGATCGGTGCTGTATTCGGTGCGAGGCAGTCAGATTGCCAATTCGAATGGGGTATCATCGGTAGTAGTTCCGACCCGGAACTCTCTCTCGTGATTCCAGGAGCCGGCGAGGATACTCCCAGAGAATCATGAGAATCACGCGGGAAGATCGACGGTCCACAGAAAACTGGCTCGCGAAACCTCACCAAAAGCGCAGTGAGATGAGCGCTGGGCAGAGAAGCCCGCGCGGATCCTCCTCGAGACGCCGCCGTGGCTCTGCAGAGCCGACGATAGATGCGAGCGAGTGCCGGGACCGGTGTCAACAGCGGAAATTCGAGCGCGGAACCGAAGCCTGTCGTCTAGCCTCGAGTCGGGTCTTGAGCTTCGACGTATTACGTACGATCGTCCCAGTGAAACTCACCCTGTGAACGGATTGATCCGAGGTTCCCAGACATAGCGGCCCTCATGGGTTCTCTGGTCGACCGGTATGGCCGCATGAACCGCGGCGAAAGCTGAGGCCGTTCCGTGCAATGCCCCAACGCCAGGAACTGACGGCACCTCTGCCATGAGAATGCGTTGGGGTATCGTGTGGTTTCTGTCCAAAGAGTCAATTGTATCCTAGTGTCGAAGGCGTAACATTGTCCGGTCTTCACTTTCTCACTTGTCTTGCGTCTGGGAACAGTTCGCAGACAGCACTCACGAGCACCATCGGTCGTCACACAATCCACGCACAAATTCGTCCTATAGAGTCGAGAGAGATGGATCTCTGGGAATTAACTGTCACCGGTAGAAAATTTGCGCACACCGTTTCTTTCACGTATCGAGCCGCCTGCCGTCGTCCCAGATCAACGCACATCAGACTCTGACGGTGCCTGGCTGCCCGTGAGCGGAGGCCTTGTCGCTGGAGAGGATTTCACCATGGGCGGCGCATGGACGCCTCCGAAGGCACAGCAGCAAGAAAGAGCGCCACCACACGCTAGAGTTAGCTAGAAACAGAAGAAGACGAAGAAAAATAAAGACGCACCGGACGGTCCGTAGGCTCCGCCGAACGGGCGATAGAAGAATCGATGCACCTATGATAATGTCTTGATCAGCCGTGGAGCAGTTCGCCTACCAGCGAGCGCCAGGCTCGGCGAAGAACTTCGAAGAATTCTCATCTCGGGGAGTCTATCATCTAATCGTCGACTTCTACAACATACGAGCGTGTCATCACATGTCGCGATTCCTCGCGACCCGAAGTCGTCTTCCTTCGGGGCTCATTGACGGTGAGCGCTTCTCGCGCTCCTCAAAATCAGATGAGGTCCTTCGCGAGTTGTCGGGGACCGTTCCGTCGTTGTTCGGAGCATCAGAAATCAGAAACACCGATTCACGTCGCTGGCACGACGGAAATCTCGTTGAGCGAGTCTCAGGTTGTTGATGGAGACCTTCCCCCGACATCGACTGTGGAGATCTGACCCGGGGAAATAGTTCTCGGGATGTATCACATCATCCCAGCGAACGGCTAGGATCGGAATCAATGGAGTAGCAGACTTCTCACGAAACTCTTCTCAGGAAGATATCAGAAACGCTCTGCAGAACATCGCAAGCCGCATCGCTCCGAACGGGTCCGTATTCAGATTTATGCAAATAGCCATCATCGTCGTCTGAAGAGTCTGGGATCGAGGTAGCTCGATATCTTATTTTCAAGGAGCCCCCGGTCCTCCAGAAGAATACTGTGCTTTCTTTGACGATTCGGTATAGTTTGCCGGCATCAAAACTCACTCTGCTAACGCATGAAACGATTAGATTTGGTCCGGATCGAATCTTTCTCGTGTTGAGTTCGACAGCGGACTTGGTTCTCCGAATTTCAAAGTGGGCGTGTGTCCGACGATAAGATCGATTCGCTGCAGCCGTTCCAACTGCTCGAGGACTTTTCCCCTCAATAATCTTGTCAGCGACATGGAAATGTTTTCGCTCCTCGTCACCGAGTAGAAATCAAATCATTCGGTGTCTGAACCTAGAATCAAGTTCCGAGAGAGGTCTATGGAGCATATACCCACAGATCGTGGAGTCATCGAATCTGGACTCTGCGAAGGACAAGCCCCGAATCGATAAAGATCATCCGACATCCGAATGGGAAATACATATGATGTGGCACCTCGATGTTCTCGGCGGGGGAATGCTGCCGCAGAGGCTGGCCATCGCGGGAGGAAGGTCTTCGAACTCCATAACCTCAGCCTAACCTTGGCGCGAACGGGAGACTCCGGGAGCGGAGTTCCAGCGTTCGCGCTCCCACGCATTGGTGCCAACATGAAATCCCGTGGTCAACGCACACGGCTTACACAGTGAGACGGATGAACTTTTTCTCACGGACTTTTTCGAACAGGAATTCTCGTTTGACTGTCTCCGGTATCCTACTATTGACGGCCTGGGGTTCCCATGAGGGAGCTCAACTCACTCACTCAGTCAATCTGGTCACGGTTCTGGGCTGATTGGCGCGAACTTATACGCATCTCCGCCTTCCTTGGACTGTAGACCTTCGGCGCTCCCCGAACATTCGAGGGTACCACACGCTCGTATGATTTCGATTCAGCCTACACCTGGAGGGGGTATGGGGTATGGAGTAAGTTGTTAAGTCTTGAGCTTTTGTCTCCTTAAGCTGAAGTTCCCTTGTCCCCTTCAGCCAAAATCCTCAGGATACCTTTCTTTCCGCGAAGTGTTTCCGGAGACGTGACGCCGAGGTGTTTTTCGCTAACTGTTATGTACCCAATGGAGAGCGGGCTCCTCGGAAGGCATGCTCCGATGTTAGATAGCGCATTCGTATTGAGGGAGCTCTCCGGCGCCAGGAGCAGACTCGGTGGGACTTCGGAGGATGTGGAGCAGCAACTCCCACAGAATCATTCATCTAAAGATGAATCTACAACGAAATCTAGCGAATTCCGTCACGGAATCGGGGTACTCCACGGGACGGAGGCTTCCAAGGAATGTGACACAAAAAACTACAGGACCGCCTTCTTGCACGGCCATGGGTAGACGGGGCCTGATCTTTCGCAAATCTGGCAACCACGACACATTTTTCTTCGATGTATCGAATCATTTTTCCTGCGTAACCCGGATAGAGTGAGATTTGGAGAAACAGAGCCACGCGGACTGGCAGGCTCTTCCGATGAGAGAAGCGCTTAGAAGATATTCGCCTTACAAACATGCTGATGATGGCATCTGCGCGTGCTACCCGGCTTGTAGACTCCTTCTCTCAGAAACCATAGCATGAATTTCATGCAGATTCTCGCTTCTGACGCGATGAGCGGCCTAATGGATAGCGCGGACAGCACCTCCTGTGCGGGAACGCTCCACTCACATGAACTCGGGCTCGTGGAAGAAGGCTGCTCGATCGAGGGACAGCGTTTCCGAGAGGGAGACCTCATTCGCGTTCTCTACATAGGTATCGACCGTTTCCTCCTGCCGTCGGCTACCATGATCCTGGTTCCGGACTCGATCTACGTTGCGACGTTTGCCCTGGATCCGTCGTCGGAAGCGACGGCGCGGCGTTGCTGATACCCGCTGTGGTCGTGTAAGCCTGATCGAGAAATGTGGCTTGTCGGAACACCTTGCCGGTCTCGTTCTTGATGGGTCCTTCCTTGATCTAACCTCCAGAGCAGCACCGTGATTGGAAGGACTGAGAGCTTTAGCTTGAACGACACTCATCAACGAGATCATTCGCTCCAATTGTCTTACCCCATCGAAGGCTCCTGTCGGGGAGGCTGGAGAGCTGTCGGGCAGAGGCTCAGCGTGGGGGGGAAGGGGGGTGAGGGGTTCCACCCCGGGCATCACTGCTCCGGGGGCATCACAATGCTCGATAGAAGTCCCGGAAAGACGAATTCCCGAGGGGAGGCGGAATCCTCGAGGTTCGGTCGTAATGAATAATGAATGGAGACTTATATCGACTTCCATCGGTATCCAGATCGCGAGATTTGGGGAGTTTTCGACAAAAATCTGAGGGCGGGGGGCATCATGTCGAGGTCCCAGCACGCGATTTCAGGAATCCGCCCCGGGCATCATCGAGGCACGCCACGCCACTGCTGTAGAGCAGGCCCGAGAAGCTCAGGAGGGAGCTTCTTGAGAGGGCTGAACGGTACGCACATTCCATAGAGCTATGGGGAGGACATCCTTTCCCCTCCGTCGGTCGGAAAGTTGCTCCAGAGTACCCCGTTAGGATCCTGATGCGTTTGGGGTATTCACGTTGACGCCGCGGGCATCAAGACTCTGAATGCTCCGAGTGCTAATGAAGGACCGGGAGTCCCAGCCGGGGAAGGATTTCTCGCGGATACGGAACGCCTCGAGACCCTGGATGTCGTCTCTTTCGGAATCAGGACATACATATATATGTGGTTCGTCGCATATCTGGTCCGATTCGTGTTCTCTCATATGTTGTGGCATGGGCCGAATTTCCTTCAATCTTCATGGTACTCCGTAATGCCTCCGTCCGCGAAGCTCAACGACGAAATTTGTCCTCCTTGCCATTCTCGCCAGAACATTATGGAGCGATTGGTGATCCTTCGTCAGCTGTTCCCGTCCCGGCTCGACCGCCTGCCGAGGGTCTCCCTCATCGCTTTGAAACTTTCTTTCCTGGACGCTCAGCCTCGATCGGCGGTCTCTGACCGAGTCCCTCCACATCTACCCCCTCAACATGGATGGCTCCCTTCCGAAGCACTTTCCATATTAGACTTGTACGAGCACGGTCTGACCATTGGGTCCGAAATTCTCGAGACCTCTTGGTACTTCGTTCCTTCCGTTCGCGAGGGGGACTTCAGGGCTTGAGCTCCGAATCTGACGGGATCGTAGGCTCACAAGTTGAAGCTTCTATGTCCTTTCAGAGAGGAATCGGGAACCCTGCGCGCTATCGAGAGTGAGACTACCGGATTTAGGGTCACTCAGCGCGACAAGTCGAGCCTCTCGAGATTATTCGGTGCGAATCTCAACTCGATTGAGTCGAGGGATCGGACATCGAAACTCAATGGGAGCAACTTGGAACCAACTTTTATTTCATATCGAGTTTTGTATCAAGCAATGAGTAGATGATCTGAATGATACCTCCCCGAGCTAGCGTCTCAGAATGAGCGTATATTTAACAATAAACAGTGAACATTTCATTTGGCTATTTCAACATTGTCGTCCCTTTCATCAAAATGTCCTTTTATGTTGCTCCCTCCGGTGGCGGTCCGTGCGCGACTAAATGCTCTTCGTCATCACCGCTCTCTAGCAGCATGATTTGTCAATTGACGCCAGCGAGGAGCTTCATTTCAAAATGGTGGAACCATAGGTTGTCTTCTGCTTCGGAGAAACCGACCCTTCGAAGGCGACTACCAGAAGGGGCACCAACCGATATAGCATTGACATAAGTTTTCGGGAGAAGTCGCTTGACGAATCAGCCGTTCGACTTGTTGTGGAACGTCCAGTGGAGTCTTATTCTCAAAATCACAACCTGGAGAAAAGAGAAGGCATGTTTTTCGTAGAGCCCTCCTGCAATGACTGAGGATTGGGAAAAATACTTGAATCACTTCTCGTCAGTCGAGAGAGCCTGGTACCAACCCGTTAATTTATCTCTGACACGTTTGATGATGGCGACAGCTTTCCGATTGAGCACTTCTTGCTTCGGCTGCAAGGCGGTGCCCTCACGAGACACAGCTTCGAAAGATGTCGGTGCACCCTCGGTATCGGATTGCACACCTTGATTCTCGGTATTCGTTTCTGGAAAACGGTCGATCGATTCACATTCGGCTGCCTACAAGCGACAGAAAGGTCATCTTCGAGTACGATGAGGCTCGAACTTACCGGGACCCGCAGTCGGAGCCGGGTTCGGCTGGGGTTGAGGCTCCGAGGCTGAGCTATCTCTGGCGACTATCGTATCCGTGGGTCGTTGACTTGCGAGTTTCGACTTCGCATTCGGTGGATTGGCCTCGACCAAACGCCAATTCAACAGGGGGTCGTAAACGAAAGCCTCCAGGACGGCCATCAGGGAATCCTTGTGATTTCTGAGAACTTTGAGCACCTTCTCACACGTGATTCGATAGGTCCCTTCGATGCCCGTGACTTCCATGGCCAGTATCAACATTCGGGTGAGACGGAAGGGAATTTTCTCCGGGAATTTTTCTCTCGTCATCGCAACTTCGAAGCAATCACCAAAATCGATGTGGAGAATCTTCCCCGAAGTGCGGAGCATCAAATTCGATGGATGGCGATCCCCGAGACCTGGAGCGGCGAGAAAAAATTCGAGTTTCGACATTCAAGATCGAGGACTGTCTTGCGATGCGCGAAGCGCGTTGTCTGGAGGATGTCGATCAAGGTTTGGTCAATCAACTCACCGAGGATGTAGCCGACCATGGACATGACGGCAAGACTCCGAGTATAATTTGTCCGCCTTTCGAACCATTCTTCGGACGTTGGGCTTTTCAACCACAGGAGGTTTGCCAAATCATGGGATGAACCCATTCCGATGCAATGCTCGAAAACTTCAACCTTCTGAGCTAGGGGAAGATGATCGTATTGCGGCGACATTCGCAAAATAATTCGATGTTCAAGGTTGAGCATGATCTTTTTGCGTTCTCTATGCTCCTTGATCAGCGTATGGAGCGTGTCGCAGTTAGGAACCCATCCGATAAGCCCGGAGTTGGTGGAGAGTGGAATGACCGAATATCTTTGAATTGTTAGATTCCTCCGAGAGGTTTCAGGATCGTTGATCAGCAGAGTATTGACGAGTCCGAAGAGCTGCATTACACGCTCGTCCTGCCGCAGATCTTCGTGACCTGAGGAAGGAAAGAAATCTTCGTCAGAACGGATGAGGAGCGTGAGACGCGCTGGATATTTGTATCGCTCGTCTTCCCGGTCGGTGAGGTTTCGAAACCAAGCGATAGAGGAATCGATCGGAAATGAAGAAAAGTGACGAAATCATGGAAGCTTAAAGGAAGAAACGGCGTCTTGGAAATCCCAGGATCGGTTCCCTGGATGAAAGCATAAGGACTCCGACGAGATTCGCATACCCTTCAGCAAGAAAGTGAAATCGCTCCCGTTGGAACCTCGGATACACAGCTTCCGTGGTCGCTGCTTCGAGCTGATAACATTCAATGTGGAGTGTATCGAATGAATTTTCACAATTGGTTGATTCGGGTTGTATGTTCCGGGGACGGCGAGTTCTAAATTCGTGCACTCGAGCAACTTGGGCGAGCACTGCTGGAGCTCGAGGCTGGTCAGCAGAGGCAGCTGCTTCGATATCCGTCTGAAAGTGTTGTAGTAGAGATCCCAAGCAGTTCCGAGTTCTTTCAGATTGTGGTTCTTCCTGTAGGTCTGACAGCATTCGTTGGCACGCACTAGATCCAAGCCGTATGCCTGTAAATGAACGGAGGGCCACGAGTCATTGAATGCAGATGCAGCGCTTCTGCCCCATCGTCGGACGAGAGCAGGTCGATGGGAAATGTCGAGATTTCAGTAGAGGAACAATCGCAAGGCTAACCTGTTGGAACGAGGATTCTTTGCTCGTGTCTGGACCGCGAGCCATGAGGTCGTGGAGTGGCTTGAGGGTGTCAAGCATACCTTGGACGTTCCGCTCCCCGAAATATAATCTCGAAGCTTCCTCTAGACCTTCGTGCCACAATTCATGCCACAGGATCGAGACTCGGATCAATTCGTTCGATACGAGTTGCGCTTGTTTGACCAAATTCGGTGAATGCTCGCTCATGTATGAGAGAACAATGTTCGCCGCCAACGAACGCGTGCACGCGTTACTCTTGTGCGCCACCGTCAAGGGATAGATCAGGGCCTGGGGGTGATGCTTCGAGATGTCCATGAGAAGTTCTTGGATGAGACCTGCGACTTTAGGGTACGGCATGTCGATTCTCGCAATCAGCTGCGGAATAACCTGGAGCCAGGTTTCGATGGGAACGCTCTTCTTCGCCTCCGTCAATGCCTGTAGGACCGGATCCCAATGTCCGTAGTCGAACCAGAGGGTCAACAGGCGCAAGGTGTCTTGTAACGAAGATCCGTCGCTACCGTCGGACAACGCTATCGATCGGAAGAATCCTGCAAGGAAAATCGCCGGAGACTTAGCTAGACTCAATTTCCCTTTCAGCAGAGGATTTCGACAATCAGGAAAGGCGGAAAGGAGGAACCGACCTCGAACGGCAGGAACAGTGAAGTCCTTCATCAACTGTAGGGACATCCCGCGATCAGGATCTGCTACTTGATATCCTTGGCCGGGACCGAAATCATTCTTCTGGTTTTGGCATCGCTGATGGAGATGAATGGCTTCGTAGTTGATGTAGGCAAAGGCGTGCCACGCTTTGTGCCATTTCTTGTTGTGATCTTTCGCCAATGTGAGATAATAGAGAATGTCCTGGAGGGATGCCTCGTTGATCCCTTCGATATCCTCCTTCCAGCGACCGCATTTAAGATAGCACTTCGACAGGAGTTCTCGATACTCTAGACTTTGACCCGGTGCGGTGGGCCCGGTTTCGTTGACCATCCGTTGGAGGTCCTCGTGGCTGAATCTGCGATGGAAAACGAATTAATATTCATCGCTCTCTCAATTCGCTTTCTCTCCTCTCCTCTCTCGGCCCCCTAAGCTTCGGAATTGGATCGAAGAGCGCTTGTCACGGTTAACGGAGCTTACTTGTGCAGGAGGTTCAGGACGTTTTTCTTCGCTTCTGTGTCCTTCGCGATCGACGCCTCCCTCCACATGTGTTTCATGAATGCGAATACTACTTCGGGCTTCTTGCGCGCACACGGGAGGATATTGTGCGCTGACGGATCCGGAACTTCGAGCAATGTCGAAAGAACTCGTCGGGATTGTTGCAACCGTCCGGCGTTCCGGCACAATGAGGCGAATTTCAACCATGTGCGTTGGTCATCCCGAGGAGACGCAGCGAGACTATGGACCTGTAGAATACGCTGCCAGTCTTCGACCGCGGCTTGGCATCCCATGAGACGATCCCACCTGCGGATAAACGGGGTTCCGTCGTCAGAATCGTCTACGCTCGACCCTGGCCATGATCGATCAGAGCCACTGCTGAAATCGAGAGGATGGTGACGGATCATCCTTGACACTGACCATTTCTTCCTGATGAAATCCTTGAGCTCGTGTACGAGTTTGTATTGAATGACTTCTTCGAGTTCCGCGAGCATCTGAGCCTGCACCATGGCCGGATAGGCTCTCGGATAACTCTCCTTCCACAAAGCACTCAAGTCAGTCTCTAGGAGATCGCGAGCTTTGTCCACATTCACGTAAGCTTCCGAGTAGTTGTCCTCGTGTACGGCTAGAACCGCCTGGTGGAAGGCGTAGTCGAGACCGTTTTTCGGCAGAGCGCTCGAATACTTTCTCATATCGTCCCAATTCTGAAGACCCCACGCTGCGGCGGAAGCCATGCGAGCCATTTTAGCTTGGGTTTCCACCGATGACTTTTCCCATTCCGCGCTCGCGACTTTGTAGAGTTGCTCCCATTCGGCGAGTACTTCCAAGCATCTCATTTGACCGAGGACGGGTTCTGTACTTTCAGGGTTCTGTACTCTGAAACGCGGAAGTTCCTTTCTTGAGATCCGTACCGTGTCTTCGATTCGAATGGTAAATTCGAATATCTGCCTTTCGGTGACTGCTCCGCCTCGGAACTTACTGTGCTTCTCTGTAGGCCACCAGGGCAGCGTTCCAATCGTGTAGCTTCTCGTACCAGCCACCGCGCACTTGGATTTGTCTGTGTACTTTTTTGGCATATTCCAAAACTCCGGCAGCGCCCTCAGGCTGCTGCAGTTTGTTGTTAATCATGATGAGCGACTCCAACACCTCGGGCTCGCTGCCTTTACCGGCGACGAACTGCTGCTCACGGTAGCGCAGGGCTTTCGCATACGCTCTGGTCTCAAAAGCTTTCCTGGCGAGTATGTTCACATCCAAGAAGGTCTGTTCGTTGTGCTCAATGAAATCGTTCAGATTGAGAATCGCGTGCGTGACCTCAGGAACTTCTTGAATCTTCAACACCTCGTGGAGGGCGTCCGTCACTTGCACCCTCTGTTCTCGGGTCAGTTCCAACCAGCACGAGAGGAAGGCCGTGTTGAAGAGCTCTCTGTGGACCATCGAATCGGATTATTACGACCTCATTCAGCCGAGCCCGAGTCGGTATACGCAATGTTTAGGATACGTCTCTCGGTCAGTACCTGTGAATAGGAGAGACGTGTGTGGTCACAGTAGAACACCAGCGCACGGCCCTGTCGGCCGCCTGAGAAAGCGTGACCAGTTGCACGCTGTCAAACCACGTGAGCCAGTCCTCGTTGAGAACATGCTTGTCGAAATTTGTCGTTAATGTTACAATGAACTCATCCCCGACCCGTTGTTTGTGGGATACGGTTGAGCTTTTCTCCATCGACTGTTCTCGCAGCTGTCGCTGACGATGAGGAATAATTCCTGTTTCGTCGTCCGCCAGTGAGCTCTCCTCTAGGACCTGGAACGAATTTTCAGGATACTTGCAAGTCTAAATCCGCTTCCAAGAGCCATTTCTTGACCCATCGACCGTTGTTCAATTCGCATCGATCTTTCTCCAAGTCCGATTGAGCCTTTATGGCTACTTTTCTTACCTTATGACACATGGCGTGATAAACATCGACTTTCTTATGGCCCTGTGGAAAACTGCGACGAAGTACTTCATCAACAGGCTCCTTGAAAATCCTAAATTTCTTCCGTAATTGGCAAACCATCATGATCATGAGTTGTACAGCTTGCTGTAAATCGGAAAGGAGGAGCCCGGTGATTTCCAAGAACAATGATAAATGGGTAAGCAAGGATGCGAGCCGGCAGCTCGAGAAATCCTCAGGGAGCAAAAATCAAATTCATACTCACGTCTTTAAGCTCTTCACCGCAGGAACTGTCGATAGTGCGAATCAGGCCGTGAACAATCATTGAGCTGAACTGACTGACGTCGAGTTCATCCGCAAGTCGATCCACGGTCTGGATTACGTTGCGTCTGAATGCTTCATTGTCTCCGGGTTTCTCGAAGAGACGTACCAAGGGTGGTATCAGCAAGTGCAGATATTCTTCCAAGGTGCAACCCAGAACAACAAACGTGTCCAGTAGCTTCTGGGTCACGTCGTCGGGACTGGCGTCATTTGAGAGCACTTTCAGAGCGTGCGGCAACAACCTCGGGATGTATACTTTGAAATCAGCTCCTGAAATCGGGTCGAGGAATTTGAAGTCTCTGCGAGCCGCCACCTCCTCGGAAGATCCGAGGCAACCATCGCTAACTCGCGAATTTGCGCTTGTGCGCAGTGATCCATTGATTTCGCTCACCCAAAGCTCTGACTAGAGTTTGTACGAGATCCATGACTCCAGGATCCATCGGAGAATTCACTTCCCACAGCTCCCGCGTACACTTGAGAATTTCGTCAAGATACGTCGATATATGCTTCCCCACAACTTCGGTCATTTTTATAATTGGAGCGAGCTTCGCCGCTAAACTATGCGAACACTTCCGAGGGATCACTGCTAGAAGAGCCGGGAGGAGCTGCGACAGATACGGTAGTACGCGCATGCCTGAAACGAACAATCGAGCCATCCGAAATTGTTTCCACCGCAGAAATCAGCGGAAAACACGAATAAAAATTCGTCGGGAGGACTCACCGACTTCACCGATTAGGTTGCCAAGTGATCGGGCGATGGCACAGCAGCAGTTCTCTAGTTGCTGCTCGCCCAGCATTTTCGATAGGGAAGTTATGGTCATAGCGGAGAAAAACTCGTCGAGGTTGTTGCTATGCATCACCAGAAGCTCGCATGCGTGTTGTGAAGTTCCGGGAGCTTCGAGGGTCCCATTATCGTTCGAGAACGAAACAACTCCTCCTGTGACATCCGACTCGATGGCTCCGATGTTCAGTTTGTGCTTGAACGGATCCAGAGCCCCGAGGAAGCCGAGAGCTCGGAGAACGTCGCGCTTGACGGTCGGCGTGTTTTCCGTTTCCAAAATGTGAAGTAAATTGCCCAGGAGGTTTGGGTATTTCTCGTATGGAATTACGACGAATCCCGTCGACTCGACCAATTGACTCAAAGTCCAGAGCGCCGTGTCTCGTTTATCCATCGAAACGTGGTCCTGCATCATGTCCAGTACCACCGGCATCAATTCCTCCAGGTACTGTTCCATTTCGGGACCCGAGACCTGAGCTTGCTCGCCGATGGCAAACATCACGGCGACGATCACACCGACTTTCTGCGATTCTTGGTCGGTGATTTTCGGCAAGAGAACCTTCAGCACAGGCTGCATGTACGGCTTGACCAATTTCGGTGCACTCGAGAGGAGATGGGCGAGCATTTTGGCGGACTCCTCGTTCTTCCGAGGCATGCCCGAGTACTCGAGAGCCGTGAGGATTTGCACGAGGACCTTGCGCAAATGGGGCATCACGTAGGCGGGGTTGAGGGAGCTCAAGCGTCCGATGATGATGAGAGCGAGCTCGCGAATTTCGAAAACCTCATCGTTGAGAATCAAGAAAAGAGCGTCCAGGTGCTCGACCTGGGCCAGGTGCTCATCGAACTTGTCGGTCAGCGACTCCAAAACTCTGCGACGGACTTCGGATTCCGAGTCGGTGACAGCGGCGCTCATGAGCTTCGAGAGTACGTCCTGGACGGTGCACATGAGCGTCGGGCTGTATTGGTTCGCTCTTCGCATATGGTACAGCTTCGGAGAAAGGATGAGACAACACGTCCGGACAACTTCAAGACGGATCTCGGCTTGGTCCGAGCACAAACAGTTTTTCGCCACGTATTTGATGAATGGCAGCAGCGAATGATCCTCGAAATCGAACTGACCGAGGGTTTTCAATGCTTGTACCATAACCGCCGGATCCTGTTGATTCTCGACGAGAATCGGGAGCCGCATCGGGTCTCCGGGATGGCTCAGAGGCCTCTTCATGATGATCCGCGACAGTACGTCGAGGAGACCTCTCTGCACTTCGCTTTTCAGGGCCGGAATCCGTTGACAGATCTCGTTTAGTGTTCCGGCCATATAGCCCGTGAGGGGCGACTGAAGAATAGCGTCGAGCAGTTGCGCCACCTGTGCGTGGAGCTCGGAGCCTTTCACTCGGACGAGGAGGGAAATACACGCGAAAACCGCCGGCTCCGGGGAGCTTCGATCGTGGCGTTTTTTGCTTCCGCTCTGATTTTTCGAATGCAGGCTTTCGCTGATGACGTCCAGAACAAAACGAAGGTCCCCGATGTGTTCCTCTCCGACGGCCAGCGCGAGCGTGCCGACCGAAATGAAGGCGTTACCTCGGTCTTTCTCACGTTTTAAGCACTGATGTAGATAGGTCAAGCTACACGCGAGGTGTTTCCGGTAAACGAACGAGTCCGGTGCGAAGGCGGCAATGCGAGGCAGCAGCTCCCACAGGGCTTTGTGAATGAACATATTCCGCTGCTGCATCTGCCGTACGACGTGGTTGCAAATTTGATCGAATCGTTCCGAAAGCAGACTCTTACAGATTTTGCTCTCCTTGGTCGGTGTACTATCCAAACGGCTGACGGCGGCCAGAGCCCTGATCTGCTTGACGGGCCGCTTCGTGTATTTGAATACCCGTCGGAACGTCAGCGTGTCTTTGTCCTTGCCCCGGATGACCGGACTGTATTTGATGATGTCCTCGACTTTGTTCAATTTTTGTTCCCATTCCAAATTCGAGAAACGGAAAAGTTCATTCAAAACGAGAAGGTTGCCGTGGATGAGATCTTCCCTGATGAGGATTTTGCTCGACGGCGGAACGGTCGACGCCTCCGCCAGAGCTTCCAGGACGCGATCGAGACAGCTGTCATAGTATGAAAGCCTTTGTCGTTCTCTAGGTTCTCGTACAACGATGATTCGAAAGATCGCACTCAATGCCTCTACGGCATTTTGTCTCAGCTCGGGTTGGGGGTGCTCGACCGCGAGAAATATCGTCTCGAAAAACCGAGCCAGGAACTTTGAGAAAAATGTGGGATTTACTGTCGCGAGTTCTTTCAAAACAAGGACAGCGCTCATCGCCTGTACGCTGTTCAGAAGAATATCCTTGTCCACTTCGAGCGATGTGAGGGTGTCTAGCGAGGTCTGGACCTGACTTTCGTAGTACGGCTTCGCGGCATTGCTCGTATAGTTTTGTACGAGCATACCGAGCGCTTTCGCCGCCAACGTGACGACGTCGACGTCGTTCGAGCCCTGCGCCTGCTTGATGTAGTTCGAATAGAACTGACTGGTGCCGAGGTCGGACACCTGGAGGAGTACCATGATCGCTTGCATAGCTCCTCGTTTCTGATGGTTGTCCGGTGAAGAGACCATCTTGAAAACGTGTTGCGTGAAGTCATTGACGAACGCCGAGATCTCCTCCGGTGGCAGAGAGCGCAGCTCTGAGCTGACAAGATTTTCGAGCTCTTTCGCCGCGGCCGCTCGTACTTCATCTTTGCGGGATTTGAGTCTTTCCACAAAGTACGGAACTCTGTCTCGCAGACTCGAAGCCACTGAAAGAAGAGGAGGTTCATTGCTAGCTCGTCTCCTTTCCAACTCTCTAACGATGAGCCGCCCAGGAGGCGGAGTAAATAAATTCTCTACGATCATGAGAATCGCCTAAATTAGGGACCACGGCCTGAACTAGATCTGCCGTGTAAGACCTCCAATCATGTCGCATAGAATACCGCTGCCCACCAGACAGACAGACTGAATGAATCGACGCGCGGGGAATCGTCCGTTTCGGCGAGAAATGTCGTTTCAGAAGAAAAGAGCCTCCTGACCGTCTGAGGCGACTCCGATAATAGCGCAGGACGTCTTTGGTATCTCTTCCCGTTCTTGCTTTCGTTCCGAATCTATGGGGCATGACGGTTTCGCGCCTCTGTCAAATAACGCGCCATCATGAAGAAAATCACATGGATAATAGTGGGCAGTGGGTTCTGTTGGGAGCTTGGTCACTCTTGCTCCGAGCGACAAACTTTCTGTCAATAGACTTGCGCGGACTGAAATAATTCTCAGAACGCAGAATCATCTTTTGCTTGACATCGCTCCGGTGCCATCCCGAAAAAATTCTGTCTGAGTCCGCAAGTGCGTACCCGGCCCGTAACGGCAGAGACGGGCGGCGAAACCATGTGATTCGCTGGTGGAGGTTTGTACTTGCTCTCCCATCGGGAAAGTAACGCACGCATTCAGCAGGCAGCTCCGTGAAACAGCACATGAAGTGAACGACGGGTTGGTCGAGTATCGTCGGAACCATCAAAGAAACTCACTTTTTCGCGGAAAAAGCTTTTGTTCAGCGAATCATGTCACTGGCAATCATCAGGAATGACGTTCGATATCATTATTAGATGTACACTTTTAGAGAGTTTGTGTTTCCACTGGGGGCCACCGAAACACCGCTCTCCACTCTATTTGACAATAAACCTCCGAGTCTTTGGGAACCGCGGGCCAAAGGCGGATGCTGATTGGCATTCTCCGCCGTCTAACACCCGGAATAGCTTCACTTGTTTTGATCTCATTTGCAGCCCAACAGATCAGGGATCGGAAGTCGTTGAGAGGAAGTTCACACTGGGCTTGGAGCTCTGGGAAGTTTCGCGGGAAACCGAAGTCTCCAAACGAACGGACCGCTTAGCGACGGCTGAGCACAAGGTCCGGATTTCGGACACGCGATTCTCCGAGAAGAGAATATGACGTTCCAAGCGACTTGGCTGTTAGGATACATTCAACCGGCATTTTCCCGGGCTGGGCCGACGAGGGGCAGATCGACGGGAAATTATCCCGAATGGCATGCGGAGTACCTAGACGTATTGTAAACGCAGAGGACCCATCATCAGGATCGCGATGGTGATGGCGATGATCTCTGCTGAGGAGGAAGGAAATGTCTAAGCGAATTTGTGGACTCTTAGCTCGCTCCTGCATGAACGATGCGAAGTTGAGCGGCTCGTGAATGAGGGGGGATATTGAGTTCGTATTCGACTGAGTGTTAGAGGGACGGAAACGGAGGACATGATACATTGGCGAGTCCAGGAATCCTTCGAGGGGCGGCCCCACGTACGGGAGGGGAAATCGAGGTCTGGGACCTGCTTCAAAATGGACTGTCGGAGTCCTCGAGGGTGGGGGGAGGGCCCCCGCCCCCGAATCCGGCATCAGGGAGACAGCTGATCTCCGTCCCATAGCCCTAGCGGATTAAAGATTTGTAATAGACTATGATCGCTTCCGCTACCGATCCGCTGATCTGCACGACCCCCGCGCTGAAGAATCGTGATTTCTCGGAGCTTGCCTTCCAAATAGAATGGATCCGAAAGGATTTAGCAAGGCTCAGGACTCTTAGCTCCAAGCACAGTATCGCTTGCTTAAATTGATTTATTATTAAATAGGAGGTAAAGTATTGTCGATGATCGTTGTCAGTATTCAAATTCCCACCGACGCGAGCGTTCTCCGAGGAGGCTCTCCGTTCTGGGATAATAATTTTTAATCATCACTATCGTCCGAGTAATCATCGCCTTTCAGCTGACTCATCAGAACGTCTCGGGTCTTCGGTCTGGGATCCGCCTCCAGGTCTGTGACGAAAGCCTTGGCTTTTTTCGCTGCAGAAGAACACGGCATCGATTGAGTCAACTAGGGAGGTGCTCTGTGATCGAATTGCCCTTGAATTTATCCGCGGCCGGTGGTTCCAGAAAGGGGTCTCAACTCACCTAGAAGCCATTCGACTACGTCCAGTGAGGGCTTGTTGCCCCAGAAGTCAGGTCCCACGTACTTCTGCTCCACTTTGCCATTCCGGTAAACCATGACGCAGGGAAGGTGCGCGTCAGGGAAGTCCGGCATGCAGCTCTGTGCCTGTCCTTTCAAGAACTTGACCGTCTTGAATTTCACAGCGAGCTTCTGGAAGTGGTCGTTCAGCAAGGAACACAAGGGGATCCCATTCTTGAATAAATGAACAATCACTACGACTCCTTCACCGGCTTTGTTGACCTGAAATGAGGCGCAATCCGTGATATTGAATTCGAAAGCATATCAGCATGAACCAGGGGCGTGAGAGGAAATCGCGAGCGAGAGCATCCGACGAGAAAGAGATGAGGGGGCGGAAAGTCAGAGAAGGGTCTAACCTGTTCTACCCAATCGTCGGCAGCGATCTCTCTGACATCACCAAATTTCGATTTTTGAGCTAGCGCTTGCATTTCGGCGATTCTCTGATTCCTATAGGCAAGGAGAGCCCGTTCGTCTTCTTCATCTTCTAGCAGCTCCAGCTCCTCCAGACTCAGTTCGCCGAGATCTCTTTCCTGAAATCGCTCATGGGCATCACCGCTGTGCGATGCCGAGAATCGGATAGAATGAAGCGTAAAGTCTAGGATGTGAACTGACTTTGGGTTCGAGTCGCTTCTGAGCCGCCTCGTCGATCAGGGACTTGATTTGATCCTCTGTTATTTCTTTCTTGGCGGGAATGATTCCATGCTTCCTAAGAGCATCATTCCATTGAGTGTCGTCATTTGGGTTCTGAAAGCAAGAGCAAAATGCCAATTCAATACTCCGACTTCGCCACGCTCATTCAGAAAAAGCGGGGGAAGCCCGTAGCGGCTTCGCGAGAGCGACTTCCCCTGATCTGGTCGACTCCCAGAACTTTAACCTCGCAGGGCTCGCAAGGAATTGCGATTCTCTCTCTAGATGGGTCATAAGGACTGCGGAGTTCCTCTCAGCCTCAGAAATGAGACACTATCTGCTGTTCAACACAACATTATGATTTCCGCCTTCCCTTGATCTTGGCGGCGAAGCCGGCTCTAGTTCTATCGAAGTTGCAGCTCCGAGCCCCGCCTACGCAGAAAATCAGGAAACCGCGTTCCGCCTGGAGATTTCCCTATAAGGAGCCGGCTCAAGGGCTTTTGTCCTATTTTGTATTCGGCAAGCAAATGAGAGGATATTCCCCATTTCAGTTCACTTTACCTGCATGTCTCGCTGTGTGAGCTGTGCACCGAATCAGATAGTCCACCGTTACTGTAGGGAACTTTTCCCGAAACTCTGCAAATCAGTGTCCGACTGCAGTCTCACAGACAGGCTCTTAAGATCAGTGATACTCAGATTTCCGAGTTTTTGAGCGAGCTGAGGCGGCCCGGGCGGCTCGTACCTCAGGAACGAGTGTCGGATCTCAACACGCACAATAGCGACCTTAAGCACCAGCGGATGATAATTAGATACAGGGGAAATAATCAGACACGGAGCTCTCCAGAGACCCCACTACCTTTTCCGGGTATGACTCGAGCTAGTATGACGAATATGCTTGAGAGAATACAGACTATCCGGACTTCCGTCGTTTACAGCCAGCACATGGTGTTGTGATGTAAACAAGCGTCGCGCGTGGAGCTCGCGAATTGCGTGTTCGGCGACGGCACCAGGAAAGACTGTTTAGCCCACATTGGAAGAGCTTGAGCGGATAGTCGCAGGCACTGAGTTCTCCATCTACTGTCGCATCGATTGAGCATGAAGTTGAAAAAATTGAAATCCATTTTGGATGGCGTCGAGACTTTTGACAGCCCGAACGTAGACTTGGAACAATACCCCACACCCCCTGACATCGCAGGTGATTGAAGATTTCCTTTGATCTATCCTGCGACAGTTTCCAATCTGGATCATCCCAAAGTGTGCTCAAAATTTCGTTGATTTAACGGTTTCGTTGACGGTTTCCAAACCCGCGATTCTCCGGATGACACGAATTTACCTTGCAGCTGAAATGTTGCATCATGTATTCTCATCGGGCGACATCGAAGGGAAATTGATTCTCGATCTGGGTTGCGGGGGAGGCATACTTTCTATAGGGGCCTCGATCCTTGGAGCGAGGTTCGACTCAGCCATAGAGAGCTGGTGTATAATAATGTCTAGTGCTCAATCCCCATGACACAATCATCAGTCCAGCATATTCATGACATGTCTTTCATCTTTTCCAGCCAAGTTGTGGCGATCGACATCGATTCGGGCCCCTTGGAAATTTTCCAGTCCAATCTTGAGGAGTTCGAAGTGACGAACATCTCCATGTTACAAGCTAGCGTCTCGCACTTATCATCGATGATGAGAATGAAGGCCGACACTGTCATAATGAACCCTCCATTCGGTACCCGGAATAAAGGTGAGCTCGGAGATCGATGCTCGGCCCTCATTGTTCGGGATTCGCTGGAGGTCCGCTATCGAATCGTCTCATTCCAGGAGCTGATCTCATGTTCCTCGAGATAGCTTCTTCATTGTGCTCTAAGCACATCTATTCCCTACACAAAACATCGACGAGAGAGCATCTGATCCGGAAAGCCGAGAAACGCGGCTTGAAATGCGAGGTCATCGCCCAACTGCGGTACAACATCGACAAGATCTACGGTTTTCATAAGAGGGACTCCCGAGATATTGAGGTGGATTTCATTAAATGCTGGAACGCCCGTCCGACGTGATCGAGCGCCTACTACCGGCTGGGTCGGTCACTCTGTACAGAATCCTCTGTGAAATACTAAAGACTCTGGAATGTAGATATCGACACAGTCTTGCGAGTTCCTTCTGGGAGCCCCCTCGTGTCACCGATGCAATGACGGATAAGAATGTTGCAAGCCTCTTCTTTCCCGCGAACCAGATATCTTTCCGTAGGGGGACTTATCTACCTATGTAAACTCTGAGCCAGGGGCGAGCGGGTAGCTCCGCTAGTCGTCGGGGACCGCGGGTGCATTGAGCGGCTCTTGCCCCCCGCAGAACTCTCGATCTGCGTTGCCCCGATGGCGTGCTCCCATACAGCCGATTCTCCATCTTCTACCCTCATGTACCCGTCACCTTCAGCCTCTCGATTCGATTTTTCTCGTCTCCTCAAAGTCATCTTGCCGCGGTTTCTTGAATGGTTCGAGGAACTTTCTCGGAGCGCTTGCAATGATCGAGAACCTGACGATCGGCACAGCAGAATCAGCAGATCGTAACAATCTTCGCCCATGGATGCCGATTTCACGGTCGAAGACTGACTTCGCGCAGCCTGAATTCTCGCAAGATCCAATGTGCCTGACGATAGACGCAATCTGAGCTCAATTCGATGGAGCCAAACCTAAAGGTGGAGGATTGATGCGTCACGATTAGCGATCGGGGCGCCCAATCTCGTTCACATATTCAGCAAAGATCATTAGCACAGCTGTCTCAGTCTCTCCCCCGGCAGCAGAAGAGCTCTCAACGGAGGAGGAAAACATCTCTCTCCGCGTTGATCCTGAAAGCATTTTCTCGTGGGTTCTTTTTACTCGGAGGAACAAGTGGAACCAAGAGGGAGTACGGCGTAGTGCCTCCGGAGCCGAACTTCACTTCAGCAGCGACCCAGCTTAATTCATCATGATGCCCCTATCGATTGAATCGGACGGACCTCCGAGATCAACCGCGGGCAAGAGTGGTCTAAGAATTTTCATGGAGTCGTGGTACTATGATCCGTTCCGATGGTCCCTCCTGAAGTCGTGGGGATTCTTCTTTGGGGGAATCTACTTTGCACAGGAGATCGCAAGTATTGACATCAACAACCCGGTCCCTGTCACGATGTGAAACTCAGCACCTCAAGCGAACGTTTCGGTAAGCCTCTGACTGAGGGACGTTCTGATTTGAGGGAAGCTCTTATTATCAGATCAGGAAAAACGGTTTTCTTTACAGGCAACCATGGAAGAAGTGATCGCGGGGAATAAGTTCCGATGAGGAGTTCTCTCCACCTTTTTAGCGCCAGGTCGGCTGGAACATAGACCTCGAGACGTTCTTCGCGCACCGAAGGAAATAAAAACGTTCTACTGTGATTATTGTGCTATTGCTCTTTCTCGCATGCTGAATGCTGAGGCTCCCGGTCGCTCCTCGGCCCAATGACAGAGTTCCAGAACCCTGTCGGGAAAATTCGAGAATCATTCCGCATTCAGGGCGCGCGACCCCGGGCACAACGAGGAGGAGCGGTTAAGCAATCCTTTCCGCCTTGGAGAGTGCCGCCGAATCATCTCTCACTCGGCTTTCCAAGCCCTTCAAACACCAGAGTGGGATTGATTTGATCGTGGGGAGAGGAATCACATCGGGGAAGCCTCCATCTTGAGTTTGACGGCGAGGGAGGAGCAGGCAGAGGATCGAATTAATGAGCGATTTCTCTCGGATCTTGAGGCTGTATCACTCGAGTTTATTATTCCCGGATTCGACCTCCCTAAAGCTTTCCCGACAAATACTTTGACATGTACCTAAGTTTCTATTGCTTTGACTTCGGCGTTCTCGCGTGACTTGAGCGTCCGATACCTGAAATCGGAGCGCCTTCTCTACTCAGCGTTCCGAGCTCTACTGCTACTATAGAGAGGATCCATGACTTATGGTCACTTTCGGATGTACCCAACAGCACCTCTCAGTCGGCTGTCCACCAATTGCACCTACGCAATTCAGGAACGAATTCCTCAAAATAAGTTTGAACGCTCCGGAGACTTTTCCCAGAAAGGTTCACCATTTGGGTCTTGATCTCTCTTGCCGTGAAGTTCCACTGGGGGCCACTACGACCTCTGCATATTCATCAATAGATGGATGTCCATTCGCGTCGTGCCTGAAATTTCTTATGGGCCGCACTCGCGTCTCCTCGGAAGTCTCGCATGTTATACGCGACGGACGATTATTCACGTTCCGTCGAGAAGAGACAGAGCAGCAGAAGCGAGAGTGTTCCATCGAGACGGACTCTTTGAGCTCACTGGAGCTCAAACCGCGGATAAGCAAAGTGCCAGAGGCGACCTCGAGCTGGTCTTGAGCAGAGAGCGAGCGCGAGTGAGCTCAGGAAATTTTGCTCGATCGTCACTGGCGTGTCGACAGAGGGACGCGGAGCCGAGAACATTCTCGACACGTCCGAGCGAATGACCACGGTGATTCTACGTCGGAATCGGCTCAAGCACGAAACCATCTTGACAGATTATGAGATGATGATCTGTATCATTCCTTGTGCGTAATTCTCTCCGTCGGATGTCTCCTGATGGGGGTGCATGGGTCAGGCGGGTTCGCCACTGTCAAGGGGCGAGCCTCCATTCTCGTCGTCGGAGTCATCAGATGTCCCACGATTCGAGCATGTTCTCGGAAGCAGGCCCGGAATTTGCTTGTTTGTCATCCCAGCCTGAGGAGGGAAAAAAACCTTAAATGTTCATCCGCGAGGGCAAGCCGTGAATAGAATCTTTCGTGTTCGAAATCCTGAAATTAAGCAACATGGAAGCTATCCGAAACTTCTTCCGTCTCCCAAGTCAGGATCAGCGTCCTTGAGATTTGGAATATGTTCGAGGGCAGAATCGGGCCCGATATGTGTCTGGCGTGCGAGCATTCCCGCGCCGAAGGTAATGTAATTGAAGGAAGAAAAAAGTAAAATTTGAACAAAATGTTGTTTCTCTCTCTTTTATTCCAACCAAATCGTTGCATGCCAAGGTCGATACAAAAATGTGAGACGTTCCTCGATGAACGTACACTCAAAGATGCACAACAATCTTTGTAGGATGGAAGCTCCTCAAAATATATTACTCTACAGCGATATCATCCGGCGACATATCCTGCAGTCATATCATCCCAGCTCTCTCACATGAATCAATCTCCTTAGACAACTGAAAGTTCCTCTTCGCAAAGATCCCATTCCGTCTCCAGTCCCCTTACCCCGCCCCTCTTTCCCAAGAACCGCCATTATCAAGATGATGATTGAAATTCGCAAATCGCTCCATTCACGAGGCCCGGGAAGTGCTTCTCGACAGAACGACGTAAGCGACTCGCTCAGGCCTAGAACACGAAAACTCCCCCGAATATTCGAAGGAGTAAACGGAATCGGGAAGTTTCTAGACCTCCGAGTGCGAAAGAGAAATTATTGTTTCCCATTCTCTTCATCATCGTCGTCCATGTCGTGATGATGGGTTACTTGCGTCGGTGTTTGAGGCACTTTGTTGGTCGAGCTGACTGGCACCGATACCTGGATTTCAATGGCAAGAAGACGGTAGTAGCGAAAAGAAAGGGGCCTGCTCGTCTGCTAGGTCGCGCGCACTTCCCGGAGGCCTATGAGCAATCCAGTGGAACTGTCCTTGCACCAACTAACCTTTCGAGTCAACGCGAGGTGCAACGGTGTGACCTCGTACGACTCGTCGTATTCCACAGTGGACTCGTGAGGCATAAGCATCGCCGGCGATCGGAACATGTAAGTGAACGGGTAGTACAGCAGGTTGAGGAAAGTATAACCGTAGATGTCTGCGTAGCGGCAGATTTGGTCGGCGAAGAACGTTTGTCTCGAACCCGATCGGAAAAGAGATCCAAAGATTCCGTAGCACATGTCAAGATTGTGCGAGGTTTCCTGTGCATGGAGTCAAGACTTCCTCGTTACTATCGGACCGGTCTTCGCCTCCTGGCCTCCTATTCAAGGTCAGGTCGCATTTAGATGAGAATCTGGAATTTTATCCGTACCCTTATTTTGTCTTGAATATTAGTGATGTCCGGGCAAACAGTTGAGCTGGAGTCCAAGTTGCGATAGACGTTCCCGAGCTCGACGTCGAGCTCCTGCAGTTTTTCGAAAAGCACCCATTGCGTCATCGAAACATTGAGCTCATGCACGAGTTCCGGAATGAGAAGGAACGTACGCCAGCCTTCGAAGAGAGACGAATTATCGCTTTTTAACTTTTTCGGTGTCAACGACGCTGGATAAGGAGGAGCTAACGCGGAAAATATTCGGCAAGGAATCATCGGCTCACCTCTGGTCTTCTTGGATTTCAGTATATCGCCGTAGATGTGATCTCCTACGTACAGCACGTCCTTGCCCTTGGCCCTGAGAAACTCATTGAAGACGTCACAGCTCCCGCCAGAATAGACTTGGCCCGCTTGGAGGGGGCCGATGTGATTTCCTATGCGGAGACCACCAGTCTCCTGGAAGGTCAATGCTGTCTCAGAGCCATGAAAGTCTTTCTTTCGGAATAGGTGGAGGCAGTCCAGGAGAGGCTCCTCACCGTATTGACTTGACGCAAGATAGTCCCTTCTCCGAAGAACAGTGGTTTGCGGGCGTCGACGACGATGTAGTCGAAATAGCTTTTCCAGTCCTTGCACGACGGGAAGTCGAACAGGAAACTCATGATCTTCTCGGTATAAGCGAAATCAGAGTTCGTCAGAAGGAAGATTGTCTTGTTGTGAGCCTTCATGCGATCCAACAGCAATGGGAGACGCTCGTCACGTTCCACGTATTTTTCCAGGTTGTCCACCGTCTCGTTCTTGAGGATGTTCTGTACAAGAGAATAACCTGCTATAAAAAACTCCGAGATTCGCAGCGAAGCGTAAAACTGAGCGTACGTGGCAAGGGCCGAAGATCGCATGCGAAATCGGACGCATATAGATAGCTGCCGGGGGGAGTGGATGAGTTGCGGATAGAGAGTTCGACGGGGAAACGTCCCCTCATGCTAGGCCAGTTGATTGATGCAACTCATGGGATATAATCGTCGCATGCTGTTCCTCCAATGGGTGACTTCCAGCAAGGAGATAGGTATTCAGAGTGGCACGCAAAGCGCACTGTGTGATGGGGGAGAATTTTCAACAAGACTTTCAAGTTGAAAAACGGAACATGATCCACAACAGTCAGTGTCAGGATTTACCCATTGAGATTTTACTCCTTTTTCACAGCAGGCTTTGGTTGCTGGCCGCAGCTGATGATGATAAATATTTTCTCATTATGAAAATCGACTCTGATCGAGCCATCGCCACTGACCCACGGAGGTTGATATTTCCTCGCCCACCAAGGTCGGCCGACGCAGTTTGCAGTCGTTGATTTTTAGTAAACGGCAGTACATCCACCAGAAGCTATCCCGAACCCCGAAGCGGCGACTCACTCTTCCATTCATAGAATCGACAGAAAACCGTTTCGACCTCTGAACTCACCGAATCATGCATCATGTCCATGGCGCAACGCAGGTCCCGGAAAATCGTTTTGAATGACATACACAGAGTGCCCATGTTCACTCCCGTCTTCGTTCTGGAAAGCAATCGATCTTGATTTGATTGGACCGTCGATAATGATTTGATTGGATGCAATAACAGGAAATTATCACTTGGTTGCGGTGTCCGTCCGCACGGATCGCTCGACTAATGGTGCTTGAACGAAGGTTCGGACAAATTGGCGTCCGGAGCGCTTGTATCTAGTATCTAATCGTGTATGTCGTATGTCCATCTCACTTCGCGCATCATAGAAGCGACAATTTCAGGACAGGATCAAATAGCTTATCGAGTCCTCACGTTGTGTAGCCCTGTGTCGTGGTGAAGTAATGCACCAGAGAGGCCAGGAGGTAAGTCTCTGGAAGATTGAACATGGTGTTCAGCACAAAAACCCTCGATTCCTCAAGTTTGATGAACTTGTTCGGGTATAGCTCGTAGATCTCCGATGTTTTCAGGAATTTGAAGCCGTGACAGCAGACTAGAATATTCCCGTAGGGATCGACTTTGAGCAGATTTCCATGCAGGGTGTCAAACCATAGGCCCCTGGAATTATTTATTTATTAATCATTTCATAAGATTTCCTCAGGTACGGCTCCATCGATTCTGGAATGACACATCTCCATGGAGAGACGGAATTCCCGACCTCCTCGAAAAATCACAAGCTGGAAGAGACCTGTAGACTTTCTCAGGAAACCCACCTGATGGCAAACGTTGGATCGTACTGGAACTGCCTGAGTTCATTGGGATAGCCCATCTTGAGCAATTGATCCACAAGCATAGTGAACTGGAGCACCTCGTACTCCGGACTCTTGTATTGAGCCAATGTGTAGTCCATATCGAACCCGAAAAACTTAATTTTATCTAGGTGAAGAGATCTGTTTACGAATATCCGATGCATAGGTTCTCGGTAGTATTTCTTGGGCGGATGAGCATCTGATCCATCGATCCCATCGGACAGCGTTCTGTTCGAAGCACGATGAATCTGTAAAAGACGTGACCCTCGAATTATTCGTGTCCTGTAAGAGCTCTCATCTCCGACGCTGACTAAAATTCACGTTCCTTGAGCCACGTTCCTTCCTCCAAATTCAATCATGGATCAACATCGTTCTCGTATTTTTCGAGGCAAGATATTCCTTCCTGAAGCGGTCGGAGAGTCGCGACTTGCGAGCAGTGGAGCTCAAACCACCCAGCACCAGAGGATTCCAGTCATGAGGCTTACCCTGGAGCCGGGCTGGGAATCCATGATTCAGCCGAAAACGAGAGTTCCAGAGAACTAGGCGCCTGACAGAATCTCGAAAAAGGTTCGGTCGGCGCCCGTGAGTCAACAGTCTGGCCGCGATGTCACTCGAGAAAGGGCACGTATCTTATCTTTCGATAGGGCCCACTGATGTTCATCGGCTCACACCGTACCTAACCATGCTAGAATTCGAGCCGCAAGACGCTGACGACCTTAGTCTGTTGCGTCACGCAATACGGTACAATGATGAATAGACCCCGATCCTTAGCTCTATGGGAGACTTATCCGAATTTCTAAACTCGTATGACCCTCAGAGCGTAGAGGGCTCGCTCTCCGTGGAACATCGCAAATCTGAGTAGAATTCCTTTCTCCGTGACCTTTAGCAGCACCACGCAACTCTCGAGCGCGGAAAACGCTCTCGAGGAGGTGGGGGCGGCTGATTCGAGCTCAAGATTCAATTTCGGCTGACAATTCACCCATTCGGTACCTTGATTTAGTACGTAATTTCGGGGGCTCACTACCCAAGTCGAAGTCTCGCTCGGCGAGACTTATCGGCTTGGGTATCCCCAAAGTCACTGAATCGCATTGCCCCGCTAATTCTCCTCATCTGCGTCTCCTCCGTTTCTCGTCATCGTCCTCTCTAACAGAAAATTTTTCTCCTTCAAAAAACCTAAGTCGAGTATTACCCGAGGTTCCGAGATGTCACATTCGCTGTCACTCACTGCATGGTGGAACGGTACATCGCGGCTCTCTTCTTCTGATACTCTGACGAGCTGTCCCAGAGCCGCGGAGATTCCCGAGAGTATCCGAGAGGAACACTACATCGTCAGAGCACGTTTCCCTCGTCCAATCGACGAGCGAGTACGCTCCTAAATATTTACACAGCAATATCGCGGATCGGGTCCTCCTCCCGTACGAGAGCATACGGCCCACGCGGCTACCCAGATCCGTGGATGGATCCACTTGAAATACACACGACTCATTCACAGCATGTGCTCTCAAGTGAAATCGGAGGGGCATGCCTCTCGGAATTTGGCCTCTCGATAAATATTGACCAGACTAAGCTTCGGCGTTCCGCTTTCACTTCCGGTTCTAGTCCGCGCGAAATTGAGCGGAATCAAGACTCACCTCGGGTGAACTTCCACTCCCGTTCATGTTGGCGGATTTCCTCAGTTAGGTACTCTTCACTTGAGGAAATACTTCGAGACTGGATTTGAGTTCGGAGATGTCGAAATCAGTTCTGAATCTTGTACACGTCCGTGATTGAGTTCCCAACGTGTCGTGCACAGGAGGTTCCGAACGGTTCCAAATATGGTTGGCAGACGTGTCACGCTTATAATTCCTCGGTTTTTGGCAACGGGTCTGGTGCCGTCAGCAGTGGGTTCTCTCTTCTTTCTACGGTGGAGAGGAGGATTTGTCGACGGCTACGAGGACTGTAAAAAAAACTCGTCATGTCGAGTGCTGCATGGCAAGTTGATCGTAGCACGTGGACGGCACGGTTTCGGCTATCCGATCCAATGACTCAAGTCCCAATAAATTATTCCAATTGAGCGCTGTCATCGCCGTCCGGAGCCGAGCGGGGGGAGCGTGGAAAACCAGCATTCGTCCGACAGCGCATCTACAGCTGTATATCATCCCGAGCTCAAAACAAGGCTCGTTCGAGATGATCGTCATCTAGGTTCTCACTCGTGAGTTTCGCTTCTCGACACGACTCGTCCAAGTGGCGAATCATTCGGATATCTTGCACAGACAAGTTCCGAGTCCCAACTGATCAACATCGAGCTCTAATCCCTCGGAAGACACCGGTCTCCCATCGAGAAAAAGCACGAATCGCCCTTATCTCGGACCCATCTCTTCGGAAAGTCATCAGCGTCATCTCCGGACTTGAATCAAGCAGCAGTCGGCGACATCCCTCTCGTCTCTCGTGTCGCTTGAAATGTTGCGTCATCTTTCAAGAGCAGAAGGTCTTCCATTATCATTAGGAATTCAGGAGGGGATAGACGTTGGTTGATTGTCGAGACGTAATTTTCTGGCCGAATTCAATCGCTTCGCGTTCCGGCGAGATGAGCGGTCTCCGCTTTCCGATCTCTCACTAATCACGCTAGATGACCTGTCAGTGACATGCACTCATCAAAAGAGCGACCGAGAAGGGCGCAGGTTACCCGAATAAACGGGCGATCTACGCTTCTCACGAAAACGGGACGTAGACAGGAGTTTTCCGTCGACGAATCGCAGACTGCGGCGCGCCGTTCAATACTTAGACTGCAGATCGTAATCGTTGAAAACAAGCCACTCGTCTCACGGTGGGAGCCGACGCGGGCAAAATGTTGTTATTGTCAGAAAAGTCCTCTTATCTTCTCGACAGCGGAAAACAAGTCTCTCACTCACTCACAGAAGCGGGGCCATCTAAATTCCAAGCGGAAGCATCATAGTGACAAATCTATCGCTCGACACCGCGAGCCCGACATATTGAATACTCTATTTCCCCGTTTAATTCTGATCTCGGTCAACATCTCGTACCGCGTCACTGCGATCATCATAATGAGACGAACATGAATACGGCGAGCCAGTTCTGCACCGTCGGGTAAACAGCTCGAAGGCTCTCTCGACAGATGCTCTCGGTTCCGGCGATTCTAGTCTAGGGAAAAAAACTAGAAACTCTTAGAAACCTCGTTTCTCCGAACTGCTTTTATGACGAAGAAGGCTGTCAAGCTATTTTTACTCCAGCTGTCTAGAAGAGCTACCAGAGACGGTGAATATGCCTACGTTCTATCGACCGTGAGGTCCTCTGAATACGAAACAGATTCCTGAATCGCAACCGAATCGGCCAGATGAACCAGAAATAGAGACCTGATTGAGCAATAATGGAGTTCGACGTTCAAGATCACGACCTTGGTTCCGATAATAAGCGAAGATTTGACAAGCTCGACCATGTAAGCCCTCGATCGACGGTAGCATTACAAACTGCGCCCGTCATATTCTGGAAGCCCCGATAGCAAATAACGGAACCTGACGCCATGACTCCACCCCATGTAGTACAGGAGGGACATCGAGGCCGCGGAACAATTTCCGAATTATGATCTTTCATCTCCTCAGGTCTGCCGAGCTCACGATAAGCGAATACGTAAGGGTTGCGGCAGGCGTGAATCGATCCCGCATTATTTTGAAAAGGTGCTGACATCGGAAGAGCCAACACGGCGTACGGTCGAACGTCGAAAGACGTCCGAAGACGTCATGCGTACCAATGAGCGCGGAAGGCCACCTGCTTTTGAGAATTCCCGCGTCTCGGAGCTTTAGCCAGCAGGCGTTTGACGCGTGTCGAACACCGGAACAAAACGACTTACTTATAGCGATAGGGTGCTCGATTGTGTTCTGAAGATTTCTGCGGCGTATATCAATTAGGAGAGAGGCACTTGCAGTGATCAGGTCCTGTTGGTGACTCGTGCGTTCTGGGTTCGATTCCCCGATTGTTCCTGTGGTTATTTCGAACCTCTCTGCGTCAGAAAGGGAGCAGCTACAACGGCATGCGCGCGCGCATGGTGTTTACAACTTTGACTCCACTCCACTGACTCTTTCAGGAATGCCGACACGTCACTCGGTGCGGCGACTTCTGTAGTGCATATGGCAATCGCGGACTCTCGAGCGTCAGAGACAGACGCCTAGGTCAGCTGGGACTTGACAACAGAACAGCTGAGCGCTCTCACCACGGGCTGCTCGGTCGGCATTTGCCGCGCCAACTTTCAAATTGATTGACTGCGAAGTCACGGACTCCGGTTCCAATCGGATCATCTGATCCAGTTCAAAGATGCCCGAACTGTGGTTTCCGGACTGCGGAGGGTGTTCTGAATTACGGAATTGTCCGAGATTCGAGTCTGCGAGTCTCACCTCATCAGCTCGCGAGGTAATTTGAAAATGCGCCAGACGGAATTACCAAAGGAGGAGTTCGTCACGCCTACTCACCCACAGAGTAGCACGGGAACCGCCTCCGATCGGTCGAGTGCCTGGAAAAGCTCGGAAGAGCGCGATTCCACTGAAAAAATCACCTGCCATGTCGGCTGGCGAAAGTGGGTCGCCCGCAGGATGAGTCGATGACGGTTCCAAGTGATTTGGTAGATCAGATGATGAAATGAGCTGACGGTCTTGAAATCGACATCCTTTCGAGGACGGATAGCGGATCGGAATAAGGAAGGACTCCTTCGAATTCTCTATCCCTAGACTATTGTCAAGCACGCGGCTTCAGTCGATTTCGCCGCGCGAAATGGCATCTGTCGAGCTCCGCCCACTGAATGATAATTATGGAACTCCCGATTTCCCAAGGAACTTCGTGCCTCCCGCCATGTAATTCAGTGAGCGGCGTACGAACATTATTTCACATGAAGCAAACATAAAATCTATATCCCCCTACTAAATACTAATAAAGTGCGTCTGTCCGTGATCGCAAAAGTCTTTAGGAACTCCTGGAATTCTCCTCAGGGCATCGTTAGTCGACGCGGAATCAGGGCAGCGTGCTCAGGTTGCGAATCTCATCCCGCATTCGCCGAAATCACCCACCCGCGGGGATCTACCTCGCCTCTCGCGCTGCCTTCCAGTTGTATCACTTCGGATACAAGATGAGGAGCGGGGTCGTAGGCCGTGCTCCCCAGGCTGGTACATCTATAAAAGCGAATGTATGTTTGTCTGTGGGTAACCTTTAAACTCCCAAACCGCTCGGCGGATCACCGTCAATTTCGGTCGCATGGTCCTCCCTTATTTGCCGAAGGTTCTTGAGGAGTTGCTGTGTGTCAGCGATCCACCATTCCACCGAAAACAGAAATTATTGTGTTCAAGTTGGTGCTCCGTCGTTGAATGTCACATTCTAACTACCCTTGCTGGACACAGGTGAGATGGGGAGGCTGCTGAATCACTGAAGAGGGGGTAAATGGGTGCCCATTCGGACTGTGGCAAACCTGGGGACCATCCCCACACGGGGAAATGTGGTGACAGAAGCGGTGGAATGAAGGGAGAGACGGGAAAATTTTGAGACGGATAAGCATGACCGGGAAAAACCAGTGAATCCGATTCGGACATCCGAACCTATCGAAGACGGAATCAGCATAGGAATTAGCACGGGGAGAAGAGCGGATGGACCAGATGATAATCAGTGTTATGAGTTATGAGCGGGGGGGGGTTTCAGAAAGTGGAGGACAGTTTTTTGGGAGGTTCAACAACGAAGCACGAGTCCGAATATTGAGTGTATCCTATTGAGTGTATATATTTTCCATTCCCGGCTGCCGAAAATAAGGGCCAGACAGGCGCGTTTCGCAGAATGGGCGGAAGAAGATTGTAAAGCACCTGGAGAGGAGGAAATATGGAAGAGACTGGGAAAGGGGGGAAATAGGTGTCGCGGATAGGGGAAAATATGGAACCACGAAAGAACAGCGAAAGATTGAATTTGAGGAGAGGTAGGGGTCGAGTGAAAGATACGGGGAAGCAATGGGAAACGAAAATGAGAGAAGTAGGGTGATGGAGGAGAACGGGGTAATCTAGAGAAGCGGATCGACCGTGAAACAGTATTGGAGAGGGAAAATGGGGGAAACTCGAGTAATTGACAGCAGGAGATATGAGGAAAGCGAAGAACACCATAGGCGGAGGAGCACGGGATGTTCGCGGCGATGCGCGACGAGCACGGCTACTACCGTTGCTGGGGAGAGGGAGGCAGGTAAATCCTCAGGTAAAGGAAAAGCGGTGAGCGATGCAATGGATCGTTCCGATTAGGGGTAATCCTTGCAGAAACTCCACGAAACCTCAGGAACGGGAGCGACGGGAGGAAAGGGGAAGAATGGCTCGGAATCTATCCAAGGAGCCTAATATCGTATCGGAGCTGTTTCGGAGAAACTTTCGGAGGGTACAGTACTCCAATTTTTTGAAGGTGAGCGTTTTCTGCGCAAGCTGCCTCGCGGTTCCCTCCACTACTCCCGCCTGAGTTGCGTGTCTGCGCGGTTGATGGACTGCGATTACCACCGTTCGCGAAGCTCATTCCATGTCCGGATGAGAGGCGCTGACCGCCCGGGAGATTATCCGCGACGATTTCTCTCGCTCGTACGTATCATGGGAATAAGTCCGGGTTACCTCGGAACCTCCCGGAGCCCTCAACCCCTCGAGCCCTCAACTCGTTTCTCCAATAATTTCTTCTTACAATCTAGAATCTAGACAATACCATACATAGGTACGTCCATAATCATAAGCAGTGATCACAACCGGGCTGTGAGGGGGCTGCTTGACTCGGGAGCCCGCAGACTGTCTCGTTGAAGCGTTCGGATTGAATAGAGCCCCGAATCACCCCGAGGTTCAAGTCACTCCTCCCTCGGCTTCTGCGCGCTCGATTTCGGCTCCCCATGAAGCTCGCGCCTTGTCGGAGTCATCGGAACAAGCGGGACCTATGCCTATCGCCGATGAAGGTCCCATCACCTGAGAGGGACGCTCGTTGGTAGTCGTAGATGGTTCGTCAGATTATTCAGGAAGCTATATCATAGGGTGGTCATTCTGGCGAATTCTCGATCGGGAAGTTTTTCGCCCCGTCAAGTCCCGGCTCTTACTCGGCAAAGGTTCCAATGAAACCATGTTGAGCCAACCAATCAACAGCTCTCGCCAAGGCTTACTCGCGGTCGATTATATTCGCAACACGATGGATTCACCCTTCGCATGTCAGGCTGATCCCCCTCCCGCCTCATAACTTTGATGACCCGGAGATCCACAGACCTCCCCAAGCTTCCTTGAGCGGTCTGTTGATGCGTTTCCGCTCGAGCTTGCTGTCTTCTCCCAAAGTCCAACATTGTTAGGTCCGTGTCGACTGCTCTCGGCGGGAACCCTTCGCCCCTACAGATTTCGCGGGGAATCGTTCCGGCCTCTTGGAAATCGTAGTCAAGGTAAAGGCCAGGCGTCGCCATCGGGTAGAAACGCTTCGTATTCCTCATATTGAAGCAAGCTCTCCACACCATTGGGATGGGTTCTCTTCACTACTGCTTGGAGATCTTCTCGAGCCGCCCTTGCGACAGATGGAATGAACGACTACCGAGCTCTCCGGATGAATCGACCCTCCTCCCCGCCCCCGCACCTTGCTCTATGACGGTGCTCGCTGGTCGGCTCTGCGACGGGGAAACCCTCAGCAAAGGCCCGGCTCCCAACTCATCGATCGCCGACTCCTGATACAGCATCACTGCGGCTCGAGAGATGTGCTCCTCAGCTGAGGAGAAATCGGTATCAGATCTTGGTCAATAACGACGGGTAGAGCACGGAGTGTTGCTCTTCGAAGTCTCACAGCGCTCGCGCGATTGATCTCGCGTAAGCCAGATGACCTTCTACTCGTCTGTCCAGGTAGTACACGCCGCCGAAAACAGCTCAGAGCCGGTTGGAGTATTGAGCGGGCTCACCACACCCGTGTCCGTATTAGGGAAAGATACGGACTGTTCCCGTCGTGACTCGCGACCGGAAGACCGAATTCTCGCAATTCAAGTTGTTCGATATGGATCGCATTAGCGCGGGCTCACCAAGCGCGTTTACTCCACTCGTCGCGAAGGCACCCGCTTCAAAGCAAGGAGCTTGCAGTTCCTCGTCGCCTTCAATTGTCAATATCATCGAGGTCGAGGCATCATCAATTGGCCATATTCGATAAGCTCAACGGATTCCCCTCCGGCGGAGAGAACTTCCGGCGCGAGGACGAAGTTGAAGCCGCGAGAATAATGTTTGAGCTCCTCCGCCGTCCATCCGCTGTGCTCCATCGCTTCGATCTCGTCGTTCGGGAAAACAGACGGTGCTGTCGCCTTGACAATCCTGAGTCCTTCTTGAAATTCCTTTCAGATCGTTGGAGTTGAACGATGCGAAAACAGATCCTCCGGACACCTCAGTGACTTCTTCGATCGAAATGGAGAAACGATTTCCCGACTCCAACACAGTTTTCGACAACGATCGATTCTGCCAGACCACTTCCGAGATCGGTTTCGTCCACCTCTGCCGGAAGTTCTCCCATTCTGGAATAGGAATGCGGACGAGCCTACGAAGACTTCGCGATGACCGAGACGACGCTGCAACCGCAGCCGGTGAGAGGAAGTATGGGATGATCTAGAGAGAGCTTCCTCGCTTCCTGAGATCCAAGATCAGAGACTATAGGATGAGATGACGAAGAGGTCCCGGTTCAAGTTACCGAGGCCGGCTGATATTCAGGTCGGGAAGGAAGGTCTAGGCATAGGTCGGGATCTCAGGGTATGCAAGAGTGAAAACTGCTTTCCTCCGGCGCCGCTGTTTCGGTAGAAGCGAGTAGAGATGAAATCAGACGGTGAAATGAGCTGACGGTCTGGGGGCTCACCGAAGCAAGCTTTTCGCGTTTACGTATCCGATCAACGACATGGACCGTGCGGGAGTGCCCAACGCGATTGAGTCTCCCGATATAACTTTCTACTTGTGTCGAAGTTTAATAAGCAGGCGGATCAAATCAGCTTGCGCGAACGTACGGAACTCGTAATCTTGTGCACATGCTAGGGATAGCGCAGGATCGTACCTTTTGACGCATGACGAAGCTACGGGAGAGCGTAGGAAGAAAACGCTTGCTTAAGCTCAACGAATCTGAAATTTTCTCGACGGGTGTTCAGCTGATGAGGTTGCCGATCTATGCCAAAATATCGGAGTCGAGCAAAGCATTCATCATATCCTCATCAGTCGACGTCGCAAGTATCCGTACAGGATCCCACAAGTTGCAAGCCGCGTGCAGAGAGGAATGGAGAGGAGGCTCCATACGCCTCTCTCTGAGAGGATGGGGGGCGGGGCATCATACGGAGACTGCACGTCTACTTTTATGTTCTGAGGAGGAAATCGATCGGGGTGGCTCGAACTTTTCTGGTGAGGAAGTCACCCTCACTTACTCAAGCGGGAGACAGAACGTACGCGGTTGATCCACCCGCCAAGCATCAACGCGGACGGCAGCGCAACTGCTGTCAGATTGCACTCCACCTCGCACCACAGATTGAATGCGAAAGAGGATTCCCCGAGACCATCTGTATCCTTGGTGAACGCGGCAGCTGAGCCGGGAAATGGCTCATTGCCGCATTCATATCTGCGCTCCGTGCTCAACACCATGTGTAATCCGCTAATCACAACGTCGTACGCGTTGGTATGCTCGATCGCCAGGATCAAGCGTCGAATTAATCATAGGTTCACCCACCCAACGGGGGCAAGGGATTCGGGAGGACGAGGTTGAGGAGCCCGCGCACCAGGGAGCCCTGATCATTGGTATGGAGACGGAAGAAGCCGACCCGACGGAGAAACGGTCGATTCAGGCAATACTCTGTTCGATAATGCCTACAACGTCTTCCGACATTTTCCTGATCCATTTGGCTCATGTCCGGGAAAGAGGCAGAAGCGGGAAGCTCTCCACTGCCAACGAGACGTACGTAGGACGACATGGTACGATGTGGAAAGCAGCGACAGCGGCTCCGCGATCTGAATAGATTCCCCCGAAGAAGAGTATTCTCCGAGCTAAACGACGTTCATAGTGACACCGAGATGCTTGATAGCAGTCGCTTGGCTCTGATCCAGAGAACTAGAACAGCTGCTCTCTGCTGTCTCAAGCCCCAAGGTGTTAGATATGCGGAGTGCGGAGGGACCGAAATGTTTCGCCCCTGTCAGGCAGAGATCATCGTCATCAACACCATGATTCTTATGGGTCGAGTCCGTCTGCAATCTAAGTTTACCTCCGCTTACATCTGGGATGATTATTTGTCGTTCTCTGTGGCCCGTTGCTCCCGTTCCTCAGGAACGTATGTTGAAGATACCAATCCTTCCTTACCGCTAGGAGCGCCGCACCTCCGTATCATCGTACCAAAAAATTGCATGTCGGTCTCCAGCTGGTGTTGCTGGTGGGTAGTTTGCTTCTTCATCGTCGGGCTATTTGTTCATCAGCCCTGTTGCGCTTCGCAGTTCCTCAAGGATATTCTTGCAGCGGGCCGCGGTCTCAAGACCAAATCCTCGACCCTGTGGTTCCTGTTCACTGACGAGAACCATAACGCAGACGCCGATGGAGAGCGTGGCCAAGAAATGCCTCCAGAAGGAATTGAAAAAGTTGATGGATGAGGGAGCTGAAGGTTTCACCGTGAAATTACTCAGCGAAGAGAACATATTCGAATGGGAAGTCGGAATCTTCGGTCCACCCCAGACGTTGTACGAAGGCGGATACTTCAAGGTAGGTTTCTCCGGAGTTCTCCGCCGAGAACGGCCGAGCTCCTCGGAACTCATGAACAAGACTTCGCCGCATGTCCGTTTTCCCAATTATGTCGATTGCAAGCTATCTATCTTGCAAATGCACTTGACGGGTGAAAACAGGTCCGAGCTTGCATCGAGCACTCCCCCTATCCGTCCGTAGGCAGAGGAAATAGGTACTTGAAATTTATCGCCCCGCATAATTAGCGAGTCTGTGAATCGGTACGAAGCGACCATCGAGGGGGAAGTTCACCGGGTACTAGGTAGTCGCCTGTTCCGTTGAACTCCCCGGAAACTTCGGATGGCTTCTCCCGCTTGAGAGAACAGCCGTCGCCCCCATCTGCAGCTTCACGTCATGGTGATATTCCGCTCTGGAGTAACTTCGCAGACTTGCGTCGCGAGATGGAATGAGCCTGGGTTCGTGATGAGATTCGTGACATTGCTTCCGAGCTCGCATTGTTGGTAGCTGCCTTCCTGAAAGAATCCATACAGGGTTCTCGATCAGGATAGTCCCGTACGATTCTCCGGCCGCGGAACTCCTCAAAGGCAAGCAGGCAGCAGCGAGACGACTACGTTGCGAGCGAAAGTGCATGACTCATTTGCGTGAGTCTCCATCTCGTTCTAAAATATTGTGTCTCCTGGATGCCACATGGGGTTGGAATGCCACGTGAGAGCAAATCGCGACGGCGCCACAAGAGATCGAGGGAGTCTGATTCCATTCGGATAAGCTCCCCTTGTTGATCTCGCGGTTCGGATCGGCGCCAGATTGCGGATGGAGAGATTTCATGGCCTTCAGCGGGATCCAGCTTGGTGAATGCTCATTATAAGTGATTCCGAGCAGACAATAATGTATGGGCTCCAAGAAAACTCACCATCGCGTCTCGGGAATCGTCTGAATCATCGCATCGTACATGTTTCAAATTTTTCGCTCGAAATACGATAGTGTTGGGTCCAAGGCACTTGCGCCGCCGACTGCGCACCTGACCAAGCACTTCCTCGACCGAGCATCCGTGTGTGAAGTATCACCAGTGTGCTCTTTCGGCGCTTATTGTACCAGAAGATGGAAACTCCTCGATTTTGGAAGCGTAGATTCGTGCAACCATTCTTGCAGACGGAGATGCAGGCCTCGCAATCCGATGAGAGGTGACGCCGGGCATATGTCAAATTCGATTCGAATGTTTATCGATTGACTGAGGGCTTGCTCTGAACCCTTCTCAGCATGGCAGATGTCCTGATCAAATTTGATATCACGATCGTTATCAAGTGCCTAGGTCCAAGACTTCGACGTGCGAGATTCACTCCACATGTTGCTAGAGTTCCGGAAGGGGGAGATCTTACGGATTTCCGCTCTCATTTTCAGTTATTGATGCGTTTCCCGGCCAACTACCCGTTTTCGCCACCGACAGTGAGCTTCTTAACGCGCATGTGGCATCCGAACGTATATGAGAATGGAGAAATATGTATTTCGATACTTCATCCGGCCGGTGATGATCCGCACTCAGGCGAACCGGCTTCTGAGAGATGGAACCCAGCCCAAAGTGTTCAGTGAGTGTTCTGAAGGAAAGATCGGAGGCAACCCCGCTCGAGAAGCCCCATCCGTATTTCCAACAAGACTCGGTGCAGAAACTCTAAAAACAATAATTCTATCCATAAAGGTCTGTGATTGTTTCGGTTATCTCCCTCCTGAACGAGCCGAATACGTTTTCCCCGGCCAATGTCGATGCTTCTGTAATGTATCGGAAATGGAAAGAGAGCAAGGGGGAGAACAATGACTACGTCGAATACGTCAGGTAAGTTTGAATGCCCTGCTCTAGATGATCTCCAGGACGGGCTCATCTCCGACACTGAATATTATATTAGAGCTATATTTAAAGCTCGAAACGGTCATTTGATCGAGACCGTGTTCCGCACGAGACGCGATCGAATGAAACAATCATCACTTTGCCCTGCGATAACTCTCGCCGCTCCCGCAGGAAAATTGTCTCGGAGTCGCAGGAGGAGGCTGCCAGAGATGGGGTGAAAGTGCCACTGACCACGGAGGAATATATCGCCACAAAGAGATCATCGCTTAATCGGAACAACGTGGAGGACACCGATTTCGGCACGGGTTTCGCGACCGACGATGATTACGGATACGATGAGGACGATGACGAGTCCGAGGGGGAAACTCTCTCTGAAACTGCCGACTCGGGTAATGGAGACTCTTGAGACCTGGCAACACCTCCGAGCTCCTCCAGCCCGAACGGGCGGGCGCGGCTGGAGGAGTCCTCGGCCGCCGCGCCGGCGGGTTCGGATGCTAGACACACTGTTGTATCATTGGGCATGCATGTATACTGGGGCCATGGGCGAGGGAGAGAGATCTTTTCCTCTTGATGATCGACATCAGCGGAAGAGAGGAATCCGCTGTGTGAGGTCCCGCAGTCGATTTCATGTAGATATCTCAACGGACCCGAGACGCCGAAGGAAAAGCATCCGAAACATCTAATTCCATGAGACACCTTTTTTCATTTGCAATTCACATCCCTCTCCTCCTAACAGAGAACCTTTCTAACACGGTCTTGACCCCGGTTCCTCATCGAGCTCGTGTGTTTCTCTCGCATTGTATTCGAAGTACCTACATATGAGTTCCCAAACACATGTGACCACGCGAGGATTACCGATCGACAGGCTGGCGGGAATTATTGAGGGGCCGAGTCTGGGCCCCCCGCCACGCTTCTGTCGTTGTGGAATCGATTGGGTTGTCCCATGCTTCTTTGAACTTGCGTAGGCGAACGGGTCGTTTCCGAAATGAAGAATCTCTTGCATCGATTTGACTCGTTCCCGGTTCATGTCCACCATCGGATTTCTTAGTTTTGTCCAATACGGAATATGTTCTGACTTCGAGTCGGTGAATACGAATAGCCGGCGCGGTGGGGTGTGCTCACCCCAAGTTCAAAGCGATCATCCCATCGTCTCAAATCGTCTGTATTGGGTGAAGCCTTTCGAATACCGGTTCACTCGTTCTGAGAGGGCGCTGCGTCATTTGCCGAAAAAAAAAACATCTTCAGAATGAGAACAATCAATGCCGGTATCCGAATGAGCCCAATCAGAGAAACATCGGATTTCTGGTCCGTCTCTTCCATCGGAGCGCACTGTTTCCATGAATGACCTACCGTGGAAATCGAAAACGTCGCGTCGGATAGACGAATAATGCAGTTGAGTGCTTGTTAGGCGGCGAGTGAAATCATCTTTAATAATATAAGTGACAATAGATGGTCTGAAAGCAAGGCTCTGATGCCTAAAGGTCTGAATCACAACAGCTTGTGGGGGGAAGCGATTGTACGAATCGAGGGATATCTTTGAAGTAGAAGATCGGCGCCGTAGCCGGAAGCGACAAGCGGACGGTCGAACCCATAGGCTGAGACGAATGAAATCAATGTATAGAAAGTTGAACTGCATGATGAATGATATGGGGGCGGGATGGCTTTGATGGAAACGGACATGCCAACGAAGCCTCGCGATGCCGCCGAAGAGCATTGTGTGAGAGCATTTTTTCTAATCTAATCCACAATATTTCAAGGAGTGAAAATCCACCAGATCGCATGGTTGAGGAGTGATAGATTTTGACATCAAATAAATAAGATCTGGTACGTTGCGTACTCGGAGCTGTCATCACTCTATGAAAGATGCCCCAAGCAGAATGGAGGGTCCCTACGACTCTCGCGATTTTTCGGTCGTAGATCAGATCGGCTTAGAATTAGTGGAGAGATGACGAGTCGGATTCAGTCTTAGGTAGGCAGCTGAGATGGATCCCGGGTGGCTGCCTTGAAGCAACTCTTTACTACGCTATGGAGCCCTGAAGGAGAGTTGATTCTCGTGTTTTCCCGAGTCCCTCATAGCTGAATTTACACTCGGGAAATTCTTTATTTTATGTATAAATAGAATAGATGCTTTTACGTAAGCTCGCGGGAATTTCCGCGCTCTCGAGTGCGGAATATCGCGTCTTTTCCCCGCAGAGCGGGATCTCACAGACGAGGAAGGCCCGGCGATGGTAGAGTAATCCCTGCTCTCGTGATATGATAATAAGAATAATAATAATAATCAATAATATACGCTGTCCTCGATTTGGGAACAGTTTTGACCCCGATACGAGGCGATTGTCAAGTTCCACATACAGGTGATCACAGATGCTTCCATGCTAAACAAGTTTTCTCAGCGGTAGCGGGTTTGCGAATCCGATAGCGCTCCCCAAACTGAGCGTCGGTATTATCGATTTTTCCCTGGAGATGGAGAGAATAGGATTGAACGATGGACGGAACCTGAATACTCAGCAAGTCATCCGTCATAAAATTAACCGCTAGAAACTAACTTGTATGCCGTCACCACGATGTTCCTCTTGGGTTCCTGGTCGTAGCTCTGACCTGTGCACCTGTAGACTTCTAGCAACTCATAAATGAACCGCCTCTGATCCCGAGGCATAGGTTCGAATGAGAAAGAACGACTCGCTTGTGACGACTGTAAACGATAGTGTCAATGTTACTCGAGCCCGACGGCAGACTCTTCATTCTTGTACATGGGGCTCCATATAGATCCGCGAGGAGGTCTACCGTTTTCGCCAAGTCCACCAAATCGTTCAACTTCTGCACGATCTTCGACGCGAACTGCCAGTTCTTGCGAGCTTCATCTTTGACGAAGTCGGTGTACAAGCCCGAGGTGAAAGACGTATTAGTTGGGTCGATCTTGAAACCTTCAGCCATTTTCTTATTACGGATCTCGATGGCGCATTGCTCGACACACTTCAAAAAGCCTTTGGACAACTGGAAGAAGAATCTTTCAGACGATATCATTCGCGGAAGTATCGCAGAAGGAGCATTGAACCGAGTGACAAACGCCAAATCTACCTGAATGAGGTCTGTTGCAAGATTAACATCTTCTCCGCGACGGATCCGTTGCTGAATCTGATTGTTCACGGCTAGCTGGAATTGATGACAGCTCCGAGTCTCCACGATCCTGCCGCAAGGACAGGTCAGGTTGACATTGGCGAAACAAGTGCTTGGTGGGCAAATGTCATGGCATGGCAGTTTACAGGGATGCCCGCAATCTCTAGCCACCTGGCACGGCTGTTCGCACTTTTCCGGGCATTCTCCGGAATGACAAATTTTATCGCAGGTATGCCTCTTGCAGGGCAGAGGTAGGCCGCAAGCTCGACCGCAGGACACATTCTGCGAAAGGAGACTTCTCTCGATTTTGGATCGGATTCCGAGCCAGATCCAGATTCGGAGCTCAGCTGGATTCAGGGCATGAGTTCGATCGAAACCCGATGATCCGGACAGCGACGACTCACCTCAAGGTGACACGGGATATTGCGACGCATTTCGTGACCACCATGACATCTCTTCTCAGTCAGCGATGTGCAGGGCGGACAGGATGCATCCGAATGGCACGGATGTCTCACCGGATGTGCGCAGCTGTGCTCTCTGTTGCAGAGCTGAGTGCATTCCGGCGGAGGGGCATTACATTGGATCGGGGGATAGAGAACCGACGCGCCACAATGACAACTCAATTCGTCGAAACCTATTCGATGCGAAAAAGTATTCAGTGCCAGACGAGAAGGACATGACCCATAGCTCGAGTTATCAATTCTCAGAGCCTGGACGGGTCGAGATCATGTGGCCATTTTGACGGAGAAAAGGAGATGTCGAAATCGATCACTTACTGACGTTATCACATTTTGGACAGGATCCTTTGTGGCAGAGAATTTGACACGTATGCAGTTTACACGAGAGCATTTTCCCGCAGACGAGATCACAGATATGGAATTCCTTGTCGCAACACTCATCTAGGCATTTGTGACGTCCACAGACTTTCTTTTTGTTGCATCTTCTCTTACATATCAAAGTCGTCTGGCCGCATTGAGCATCATCGACGATATACCCACATCGACAGCGTTTCCTGTAACAAACATCGACAGTCAGAAAATCCGCACGAGCAATGAAGGATCTTTTCAACCTCTATCGGCAGGCAGGGGGTGGGGCGGAGGGGGGGGGAGGAATCGCTTCATACGTGTAGAGATCGGAGTGGCTTGACGCGAACAACTCACCCTCGCGCCGGGACCGTGCACGGTGGACACTCATCGAAGTGGCACTTTTCCAGGCAGCGATGGCCGCATTCGAGCGTCTTCTCACAAGCTTGCGTGCAAAGAGGAACTTCTTGCGAGCACTTCCAGGTATCGGAGAGGCGCATCTTTCCACACGGACAGGTCTTGATTTGGGCCAATTTACATTTCTCACAAGGACCCTTGTGGCAAACGGCGGAACACTCATGATTTCGGCAGTCAAGTGTTTTCCCACAGGGTTTATCGCACCGAAAACTATCCTCAGCCTCACAGGACACCTCCTGAGACGATCTCCCGCATACACAGCCGATGGTCTTGATTTCCTCGCAGGGAGAACATTGTCCAGGATGACAGCGGTCCTGGCAGTAGTGCTTCATACACGGCAGCCGTCGCCCGCATTTCTGCTCGCAATGGAAGCTCATTTTGCTATCACATTTGATCTGCGTTTTTGTCTTGGCACAGTGACAGGACCGGGATACGATAGCTTCACATGGAGGACACCTCCCAGGATGACAGGGTCGATTACACTTGTGCGCACACGGACGAGGCTTGAGGCAGAGCTGGCCACAGCTATGGGGCAGGCTGGATTTAGCGCTCTGTGGGTTCCTCTGCTTTCCGCAGAAACACTGATAGATCGCAGGCAGGACAGCCGATTCCCCCTGGCATGCGGGACAGCGCCACGTGGGATTCTCGCGCGACACCGAAGTCTGAGCCCATTCGGCCACGCACCGGAGATGGAAGATGTGGAAACACAATTGACAGTTCCAGATTGGTTGCGCGTTCCTGACCCTGATGCAACAGATAACACAATCATAGCTCCCGTTCTGAAGCTGCTCCTCGAGTGATTCTTTCTGCGCCTTGCTCTCTTCCAATTTTTTCTTCGGCGGTGGCGGTCGTTTGGACGGAAACCTCATTGTACATCTCGATTGGGAATGCGACGCTGCCGCACCGCTGTCCGCCTGATGCCCGGTGGCTCTGCGTTGAGCCCTCGGGGAAGCGTTAGGGGCGTTCGGCGCCTGTGCTGTCCCGGGTGTGAACACTTCTGCATGGACATTGAGCTTGGAAACTATTTCATCCGAGAGATCGTCACTTTCGGTGGCTCGCTCTTTGTCGCGTTGGGAGGCCACTTCGCGAAGGGCTTCTCTGTTCCTCTCATTCCGTTGGTGCTGATAGCCTCTGAGTCGCCCAGAGGGTCCTCCAGCTCTCCGGCGACTGAATTTTACTTCGCCGGACGCTCCGTTGAAAACTCGCTCCCGATGTTCGCCCCTCGATTGTTCTGCAAGGATTCAAATCATTTGTAGCGAACGATTCGAGCCATTTTCCAGGGTGGTTCATCACGGGGCCCCGACATCGATCAGCGGGAGGGACGGGAACTCCGTCTAGGCTCGGCGGTGACCCGCAACGGTCAATGCATGCATGAGACCCTCTTTTGCTGAGCGAGAGAGGCAGAGCAAGCGTGACAAAACACGCTCAACGAGCAGGAGAGTCCCCCCGCCAATTCCTGACCTCAGAGGATCGCAAACAGCCCACGTTGCACTCCTGGCTGGTCCCGCCAACAGAGCTGGGGAGCTCGCAGTCATTATACTCACGACTCGAATCCGACGTTGATGGGCCGGCTTGGTTCCGGGACGGAGGGTTTCCTTTCCTCCATGATTTCGCTCGAGGAGAGCTGCCGACTCGAACTTCTTCGTTCGACATCAGATCGATCCTCGCACAATACGAACTGGAGAAATACGCGACAGTTAAGGAAGAACTCGTGCTCGCAAAATCGGTGCACGCGGATAAAGAAGACACCTAAGACGGATTTGATAATCTAGGTTTCCGGAGTTCGAGACCGCGAACAATCCCAATCAGCATGAGAGAGGTCAGGACCCAAGTCATGAACCGCCTCTCCCCAATGATGTTTACATTCGAAATCGAACGGCCGAGCAACAATATTGTCACAGGTGATTCTCTTCTGACGAGACATGTCTCGTCTGTCCACGGAGGAGCCGGTGGCAAGTCCGGTGAAAGTAGCTGCCGACGCACCGTATCCCAGATTTTCATTGACTTAATCGGAGCTCGGGGCGAATACGACCCCCATGGCCCGGATAGTCAACAAACATTCCGAAGATATTGCCACCAGGATATATATCACACGGCTCGACTTACCGCTCCTCTCACGCCTCTCACCTGAGGCTCTTCACTGTTACACTGACTGACTATCGAGAGCGCGCGTTGTTGGATACGACTCGGGTATAACGAGCGTTGTTGGGCACGCGATCGCGGTACATACATCCGGATTGGAAACCGATAAGAGCGTAATTCTTATCACGGATTCTCCGAGAGCGGTGTTGGAGAGTTCTTTGATCCTGGAATCCGCCAGAATAATGATCGAGAGCTCGATTTCCGAACAGCGATCGCAATACCAATGGTACGTCAAAAAATGGCGCGCCCAGCGGGATGAAAGGATTGTAAACAGAGAACGTCCAACGATGCCCACGACTGGACTGCGTGAGATTTATGCTTGATGAAAAGTGAAAATTGGCATATTTCTGGGTCTCATTAGTGATTCGTCTAGCTGCAGAGGCTCGGGGCTACGAACCCTGATCGAGCAAATAACTTGGAACGGCTCGTGAGGCGAAAGCTAGATTGAGTCGGCTGCGTTTTTAAGAAATTTCCCGAGACGGGCGTAGAAAATCACTCTGTGAAGGCGTCTACGTAAAGTGAAGTTGACTATACGAACTATTGACTCTGAGTGTGAGATCCGTGAGAGTGTCAGTGTCTCGATTCCGGCCGTCCCGGAGCAAAGTCGCGGCCGAATTCAGCCTCCTGTGTTGTGGAAGCGAGAACGCTTGTGCATCGAGTAGTGGTGACGAAGAATTTGTTTTGATTTCTGTGCGTGATCTGTGGCTTACGTGCACTGTGGAATAAACGCTTCAGTATAGTGCCAGCCTAAAACTCTACCATGGGATCCTCGAAGAAGAGTCACAAGGAGCGAAAACGCAGCAAAAAGGATTGGCGCTCCAGGTCTCAGTCGAGCTCGAGCTCTCAATCAGACAGCGAAATCTACGAACGACGCAGGAAAAAACCTCAAAAGGACTCTAAGGAAGACGTAAGTTACCTCTTTATTTGAAACGGGCCGACGTGGTCGTACTGTGCTCGATAAAGATCGAGCTCTCTAAAGATCTGAGTCTCCTACTCTACATTTTCGAGAGCCTCACTCGGGGCTCCAGAACTACGGGCGGGACTCGGTTGTGGTTTCTCGCTCTGACAGGTGTCTTGTCGACCATTCGGGAGAAATTATCATGAGGGATCCGGGAAGTTCCCGAAGTTCTATCGTCATATGCGAAAGCCGAAGACGATTCAGAACGTTCGGATCAAGTTGTTTGTTTACGTTTGGTGAGGGTCAAGATGCCTGCAAGATCGGCTCTTAATCTCACGATCGTTCGATCAGGAGTAGAATCCAGAGCCTCTCTCGACAAGACATCTGACCAGAATACATATCAAGAACAATGAGGTAACGAACGATTCTTGAACCAATGTATCTAGCAGCGTGCTGCCAGTGTTTAATGGGGTCCACTCTCGGATATATCGACGTGTTCGACATCCATCAAGCGCCCGTTCCGTTCGTAACAGTCGAACCATATGATTCTCGGGTTCCGCGCCGACCGACTCAATAATTTGCGAGAATATGCGGCCGTTTATCCTCAGTCAGATCAAAAGTGAATTTGCGAATATCTACGAATCGTTCCTGTTTGGAATATTTGACTCCCCGAAGTTCGCGTCCGTATTTCCACGTAAACCGATTCCGGGATCGGAGGGAGCATGTCCTGCGCTCCTCGTATCGCTCTCAATCTGTCGATAGAAGGGTATGCTTGAATCACATGCATTCGAAACTCGCAGGGTATACCTTCCGGCACCCTCAGCGCCTCTAGGCTGTGTGTTCTAATCTCTCTGCGTTGATATCATAGATGCTTCGAGATGTGGTCTCCTTTGAGAAAGAGCAGCATGTTTCGGCGTGCTGCACGATCGATCGAGGCATCGCATCCCAGGATATCCTTGATTCGTGGAGCGATGGGCAACTTTTGCTCGCGACATCAACTCTCGTGTCTTTGAGGGCTCCTGAGGAGCCAGTATGGTCTGAGACATGATTCTAATATATATTTGACGTGCAATGAGCCGACTCATCCCGAAGGAAGACCAACTTCCGATTGCGGCAAGCATGCGCGGGTTTGTCTTCCGGCATTCTGTTCTCCTCTTTCGGCGCTTCACAGGAGACTCGATTTGTCTTGTCGACGAATTCCATTCCGAGATTCATCGATAGTTTCTTCGAGGTTTGCACCTCTCATGGAGTTCAATGAGACGGCACCCATAAGCGCTTTGCTCCGTCCTACAAGGAAATGTTGATCCTGATGGTCTCCTTGAGCAGATCGCGAAAGCTGGAAACACCTGAAGCTGATGCGGATGTTTGAGTAATTTGGCTCCCGCGACGGAAATTATCAGTACACAAGCTCCGAGTCAAGTATCTCGGCGGATTGACAACATTATACATATATTCCTCCGTTGATTGCGAGAGGAAAGTCCCGCCTCTTCCATTTCCGGAGTCGCCGGCATAGCTCCGCGGCGATCCATCCTAGGGAACATTGCTTGAATCCCGAGCCGGTCCGTACATCAATCCTTCATCCTCCATATCCGAGAATCGGGAGATCTTTGATTCGAAGGGTCTCCCTCCGATCATCGCTCGGTAATTTGATGCACGATGTCCAGAGCTTAAGTGTGATGAAGGCTCTCATCATACCGATGCGCGTTTTCGTCTCTGCTCAGTCAGATCAGCGGGTCTACAACCGGCTAGATTGAATCGGAAACGCGGACCGTCGGTCGCAGTCCCACCTGATTGATTTCATTTCTCAAGAGAAACTCTGCAGCCTCTTGACTCGGCATACCGATTCGGTCCATGTTCCGTGTAGCCCTTCCTAGGCAAACGCTTGCTCCAAACAGAAGAAGTTCCCCCCATTATTCCAACCGGCGCCTATAATCAGACTGTGCCGGCTCATGTGATTGTGCTCCAAGATTGCGTTCACACATCAATCAAGGAACTGAAATCATACGAGACTGCCCATGCAAGCGAAATCATCCAATGCGGCGGTGACCACTAGCTCGCTCCGTCGAAGTTGTTTGGGAATGTCCTGCTCCGACTTGTTGTAGCCGTTTTTATGATGCCCTTGTTCAAGCGAGCGTTCAAGGTCCGTGTAAAGCAAGTGTGCTTTGGTGCCACGAGAGGGCGCTGTAGGCGTGCATCGCTTCCTACATGCAGCGCCGTCTGGTCGTTATGGAGGCGGTATGACTCGAGTGTTGGTAAGAAAACCTGTCGCTTGACATACCATCGCACAGCGCGGCCGCATCTTTTGAACGGGCAAGATATTGTTGCGAGAGCGATCGCGGAGTATATACGGAGCTTTCGGCCTTACGTGGTCTCCGGGAGGTGCTCCCTGAGTATCTTCAGGAAGTTCGTGTGCTCTGGATGGAGAGCTAGTCCGTGCATTGACAAGCTCATTCTTCCGTCTCGAGAGGATGCGCGGTCCTCGCTGTCGGGGACCGAAATGATGATGGAACGTCTGGTCTCCATTCGTCCGGAGAGGATATGTCGGTATTTTTCTCCACGGTTCCTCGTTCCGTACATGTACCATACTTCAGCTGTTATATCCTAAGGCCCGGATCAGGATCTCTGAAGACTTTTTCTCCCTGAGAATTTCTGACGATGGTTATCCTTGCTTTCGAATGACTCACGCAAGATCAGACGACACGTTTCCGGACTTTCGGCTGAGCATCAAGTCCCGTGTTTTTCCTCGCCTTCATTGGCCTTCCATAGTTTGCGGAAAATTCGCTCGTTTCCTTCTGAGTTGTCCAGAGGTTGATCTCCCGAGGTTTCCATCAAGAGGCTCCCCCGATAAATGCATTGAACCCTCAAAAACTGCTTTATATTCCAGCTCTAACCGCGTGTCGAAGATAGGTAGTTCTGTGAACCACGACCGAGATCTCTTGGCTCTGATTCAAAGTCGGCCCGTTTCGCGAAGCACTTGATTTTTTTCAGCTTCTCGTTACCCCCAAGCTGTGCGGACCGACCATCCCCGCAACTTCGGGGTAACAATTTTCAGGTTTACAGGTCCTAGGTACTCTGAACTGTAAATTCACTTCGTTGAAGCGATGTATCATAAAGAAATAAATCGGCTTCCCGGATCAGCAAGACGATCTCGCTTTTCGGTCAAGCCAGAACCTTTTGTCCATCAACCCTCATTCCGAGTTTGGATGCTTGATTTTTATCTTGAGGAAATGCTCTCCCGATGGATGCGAAGAAGAAGGTAACAGAAGAGGAGGTCTCTCATTTGCGGTCGCCACGATTCGTCGAGCTCGGCTCGATTGAATTCGTCGACATCTGGATTTTGCGAGGAATTTTTTTCATCTACCCAACGTTTTTCACATCGTGGGATTTTGCTCTTCGGATCATCGCTCGGACTTCGATTGCTACGCTTCGATTCACTTCAGGGTTAGGTTATTTGGTAGGTGGGTGGGTATTGTGATATTCATGTGCACCTTTCTCCATCCTAGCAACCCGACAAACACGAGAGGACTCATTCGGACGAGGAGGAGAGGCATAAAGATTCGTCGAAGTACCGTGATGAGAAAACTTCTCATGGCGAGAGAAGGGATCGGAGAGAGTCAGGGAGACCGGAAAGGGGTGAGCATCGGAAACGGAGATCGTCTCTCGAGTACCAGAGATTCGATCACCACGAATTCGCCGTGGAGATCCTTCCGAGCATCGCATCTCCTTTTCTCCCGGATCTTTGAACTCTGGATGGCGGAATCGACGATTACTTGACTCGCCTCAATTTCTGTCTGGAAACGGATGCTGATCTAGTCTGAGAACACTTTACGTCCGCAGAGAAGAGGCGGAGCGCAACGCCAGAGTTTCGAGAGGCTACTCCTCCTGATGGCAAGGAGAAACTTTCGATGAGTATTGAGGAAACAAATAAACTGAGGGCGAAGCTGGGCTTGAAACCGCTGCAAACCGACGATGGAGCAGACGAGAAGAAGGGCAGCGGGGAGAACAACGAAATATTCGTCAGAACGGAAAATATTTCCGACAAGAAAGAGGCGGAAGCTTTCCGCGAGAAACTTCGCTCGCTTCGCGACAAACAGAAGATTAAAGAAAAATACGGAAAGGTTAGCTATATCGCCCAGTCCCTTCTCCTGATCTGATTCATGGCCAGGAGACGGCCGGGTCATCCGAGCTCATAGAGATTGACTTGAAATTTATTTGTCAAGGTTAAAACTCTGGCCGACGGCGACGAAGACGACGACGCCGAAAAATGGATCGAGAAGTCTCGGAAGCTGCAGCAGGACAAAGCCAAAGCAGCGGCTCGAGAAAAACTCCTGATGGAGATGGAGAATGAATTAGGTCAGGGATCGAGATAGGATGAGGCGTCGATGATTCTGATCGCGTCTGGGCAACACACGCTGTGGTTCGAATCTCCCGTAACAGAATTTCTTTCCGACAACTCGCAGGTGTTGATGATCTCGTCAATAAAGAGTTGTCTCTCAAGAAGGAGTACACCGCCAAAGATCTCCGAGGAATCGAAATCGTGCACAAACAAGACAGAATCAAGGAAGGGGACACAGTTGTTCTCACACTGAAAGACCATGGCGTATTGGATGAATCGGAAGACGTTCTAGAGAACGTTAATCTCGTCGATGACGAGAAGGCCGAAAAGAGTGTCTTGAACAAAAAGCTAGGAATCGATACGTACAATCCATACGACGATGTCGACGCCGACGAATTCGGCATCGTGCATAAAAAAAGCGTGCTGTCGAAATACGACGAGGAAATCGATGGCGCGAAGAAAGAGAGCTTCAAGATAGGAATCAATAAAGAACAGCGGAAGCAGAAAGAGCTCGAGGAAATCCGTGTGAAACTCTCCAAGCAGAAGGAATCCTTGGTGCTCCCAGAACCTGCGCTCGCTCGAGACTACATGACCGGAGAGGAGATGGCCGCCTTCAGAAAACCTAAGAAGAAGATCCGCAAGATCCGCAAGCGCGAGATTCTCAAGGCTGACGATCTTCTGCCCTTGGGCGATGAGGTGACGAAGGCAGACCATGGTTCGAGGAGTCAGAGAGTTCCGAAACACGACACCGAGGATGATCTGATCGAGCCTGACCAGGATCTCTCAAACTTCAAAGTCGAAGACGATCTCCCGGAACAGCGTTATCGCTCCCGGCTCCAGAAAGCTAAAAATATCGTGAAAGAAGACCTCATCGTACAGAAGGTGGCGGCACAGATCGCTTCGATTAAAGACGAGCCCGAAGACGACGAAAATAGCTCAGGCGTTCCCTTCGCCCCCTCGATGATCATGAATTCCACGGCGGAATTCTGTCGAACTCTCGGCTCGAAGTCTACATACGTCGCTAAGGAGACAGACGAGACAAAGGAAAAGTCCGCATTCGACGAAGACATGGAAGTCGATCAAGGTAAGCCCATCGTCGCTCAGCAGCTTCTCGTCCGCAAGGTCGCTCTTCGCCTCTTCGGGACAAGTCGGAATAAGCAGATTCGATTACAGAGCCTGAAAGGACTATGGACCTAGAAGAGGAGGAGGAATTGAAAAATACGTGGTCCGAGGTGGATCCTTCAGTTCAGCAGAAACAGAAACAAGCGCAGCGGGCTCCTCATGCGGAAGTTATTCCTGTACATCTGGAAGCATTCCCTATCCTCGAAGCGGAACCGAATGTCGCACAAGGCGTAGCCGGCGCCCTTAAACTTGCGCTCAAGAAAGGTTTCATCGAGGACGAGTCGAAGAACAATCCCGCCGCGGTCAAGAAACTCCAGGATCTCTCAGCAAAGAATTATCAAATCGAGGAGAAGTATTACGATGACGAAGGACGAGGTCAGTACAGACGGGCTTTCCCCGAGGCAATCCCAATAGGCGATCCCGATATTCCTAAGACCCCCCTGAAAAGCAGGACCTGAATGAACTTTTTCTTCCAGGAAGGAGAGGTGGTGCTAACAACCATAGCCATGGACCTGTTTCGGACTTCAGGGATAAGTCTAATTACAAGCCCGACGTCAAGCTAGATTACATTGATGACAGCGGTCGGCTGCTGAACCAGAAAGAAGCCTTCCGATATTTATCGCATAAATTCCACGGGAAGGGTTCGGGGAAAAACAAGATCGATAAACGTCAGAAGAAAATCGAGCAGATCAAGAAACTGGAACAGATGTCCAGCAGTGACACACCCCTAAATACGCTCAAGCTACTGCAGGAAAAGCAGAAACAGCAACAAACGCCTTACATAATGCTCAGTGGAGGTGCAGCGAACACTTTGAGTGGTCCCAGCGGTCTGAGCAAGAAATGAATGTATCCTGCCGATAAGAAAAGGTCCAGCAAGTGTGAACCTTGTTCAAACCTTGACGGTGTCTCTGTAGCATCAAAATGTGTTTTGAATCATCAAAGAATGGAGGACTTCCGGTTCTCTTCCGCGGTGACGTGTACGATAGAATCGCCAAAACTCTAGTTTTATTGGAGCAACTCAGGGTTTACGAAGGACCCATAATAAAAATATCAACCAACCTCCATTCTAATTCGCCTCTTCTGTCTGCATCGATTGTATCGTGCCGGCGGCAGCCGCCTGCATGCACAATCCGCACCTGCCCCGATTGGAAAACTCAACGAATTCTGATCTGAAAACACGGCTAAGGAAAAAAATGGTGGTCGTGGATTACGTATTAACATCCCTAGTTTTATCGAATGCTTCAAGCTTTGCAACTTCAAACTTCGACTCACTCGACGGCAGCCCCAACGAATCGGAAACAATTTTCCCTTGCTGGTGGTTAGAGCGATTGTGAACGCACGATTTTGGATGGCAGCGAGGTCTTCCGGGCTCATATCCATCAATTGAGTATATACCTTGTCGTCTCCTGCACTCTGACGCGACGGGGGCGCGGTGATTTGTTTTGGGGGTCCGACGCGCCGAAAGGAAATAACCGACGGGTGGTTTGCGCGTTTGTCACTACTCGTGTAAACGTGCATAGCCGCAACGACGCCGCTCGATCCCTGCTGCCGGAAAAATATGCAGGTACTCGGCCTTGATCCTCCTGGGTACATTTGCTCCATGGATCCGTCCTCGGAAGCAATGTGAATGACAGTACCCGGGACGTTGAACCTTGGATGTGTGGTTCAGCCCGGGAAAGTTTTGAGCATCAAAATGATGTGCTGGACTGTCCTTCCTTTCTACCTGATCTCAGTCTCCTCTCAGCCTCGAGAAACCGTCTGTCTCCTCCGCGAGTCCACTTTTCTACATAGATACAGAGCTGGGAAACTCGGTCATCTGAAGAAGCACTAGAGGGTCCACGCCGGTGAGAAACCCTACCCTGCCGGTTTTGTCTGAAGACTTCGGAGACATCTTCGAACATGCGCACACGTAACTCCGCATTGCTCAGAATCGTCGTTCAGACTCCTGCTTATCATTGTTGTAGATCGTAATTGCGATGCCGGCTTGCAGGTTCGTGAACGGATTCATACCCAGGAAAAACCCTGCGGCTGCAAGCATTGTAGACACCGCGACCCTCAGTCTCTCCGCGAGCGTGTCGTCCGAGTTCGACTACCCTCAGCTGCGTAATCCCGCGAGAGGAACATTCAGATGGGACTGTGGATTCAGAGGCGTCACTTCATAGTCTTGCACGAGCATGAAATCGCAGGGAACAACATCGATCTTGTCCACATAAAGCCAATTTGAGGTGCCACCATGAGCATATTTGTACGACCTGGACCAGTTTTGACGTGAAACGTCTTTAAAAAGGTTGGCCTAGTATTTCACCAAAAGTGTGACGAAACTTGTCCATTTTCGACGCCTTCCAGCTCCGTGCTTTCTACACCGATCGACACCCGGTTGGTCTCTTTAGATAGCAAATTTACGGCACATCAATTTCATATACTTCCTACGGAATTCCCATACACACAGATCAACTCCTGGAGGCAAGAATGACACCCTATACGCCCTATTCTCCCGTGAACATGGCTGCTCTTGGGAGAGGGCGATTTCAAATTTCCAGAGCGCGCGTAACGAAACTCACCGTCAGAAAAATATATTTTCCACTCGAAAGAAGATATTTCCCCAACTTCGGTGAAGAGTTCGATTTCACCAGTGATAATGAGACCTAAAAGAGCCAGTTCCAGACGTCGGAAGTCTCGTTCACGGAGTAAAACTCCTAGTGATTGTAAACGGCCCCGTACAGGCGTTGAAAGGACAGCGCAATGGCGGGCGCGTCGACTGAATACGGTGAGCAAGTCCCATAGCAATGCGAGACCACATACGAATCAAAGAAATAGAAGCATTGATGCGCTAGTCAGTCCGATGGAGGTGACTCCCGATTCCCGATGTCAGCGACATCGGACCTACACGCAGGCATGGCAACGAGCCACGACTCGCTTCAAACGATCATTCCGAGACAATGGATTCTGACATAGCTGTGACGTCTGCGATTGCCTATGGTTCCTTGGGGAGCTAACCCACCCTTGCTTACCTATGCGATCGTGGATTTCCATTGCGCTCGGGTAGGAGCTGAGTTTAAAGAAATAATAACGATGCTCAAGTCTTACGAATAGCCATCCCGAAGACGTTTCTTGTCCTCTACACGGTAGTGGCTCTGCTGCTACCTCTGAATTTTTTTTCTCCCCCGATGCCTCTGGCGGCACGGAATAGGCTTCGAGTCCCGTCATGATTTTCAGGCATCAGGGATGGGGACGTTGGGATGGGGACTGTCGGAATTCATAAGTGCAGCGTCTCGCTGTTCTCACCTGTATTCCGCCGAGTGAAAACGTTTGTGATGTGATAAGTGATAAGATATGCCTGTTGATTATTTATACAGTGCTTTCATCATTTCATCGTCGAGTATTTGATGAAGGTAGGAATATGCTCGGTTGGATCAATGTCTACTTGTTTGGAAACTGCTGACAATCGGACTTCTCCTCGGATGCTCAAATTCAGTCTACCAGTCTGAAGTCTCTTTGATCCATTTCTTACCCTTTGTAATTCTCTAAACTCGTTCCTGGAATAAACCATTTTTTGCAATATCCGTCAGATTCTTGGCTGGGTATCCGAAAATATAGCCCAAACTTTGCGGGGCGAAGCACGCTGTTGTCGCGTTGCGCTCCACACGGAACTAATGCTAATTGTTCTTTCAGAGTTCCGACGCGAGGAGCTCGATGCATCCTTCATTGAGTCCCTTTTTGCTGAGTTTCACCCTAGGACAATGTCAATAAAAGCTTTCTCTCAGTTTCGACGCTCCTCTGATTCTTTTCTTCCATTTCTTATATTTTGTATTTTGCTCTTAGCTTCACTCTGTATTTCTTTTGACCGACTGTTCCCTCGACCTTCGTGGATTCTCTCGGTACTCTCCTATCCCGTTCGCTGTCGTTCGTCTTGAATTCCGTTCCACGCAATGATTTTCCTCTTCTCCGTCGTGTTCGCAACGAATTCCAATTCCATGGGGCACCGATTCCGTTCCAGCGCCGCCTCTGCTGATAACCCATCTGAAAGAGAACTTGGTCCTCGAAGAAATCCCGGGCTGCTCAATACTCGGTGAGTTTCAAACCCCCTTCCCCCGAAACGAGAATCGTGGAAGCAAGGGGAGCAATCGACTAAGGCTGTACTTTGTTTGCAGCCCAGCGCCTACAGGCTCGGACGCCGCCGTTTGAAGAACCGTCGGTGACCATCGCTCCCATCTCCGCTCCTGTTGACTTCCTCTGCACAGGCTGCGGTTTCGAAGCAGTCGATGAACAAGCCCTGTTGGTGCATTCCTATCAGTGCGGTACTTTCCGCCGCACTATCCGAGGCGGGTGGACGCAACAGTCCGAAATGCGAGCTTTGGGAACCCACAAATGTAGATTCTGTGACTATAGGGACTACGCCGAGTACAACGTGAAGAAACACGAGCAGCGGAGTCATTTCGGCCTACGTTGATTAGAGCGTCGGATGTCCGCGAGGCGTTTCTGATTTGACTTGTATCTGTCCTGTTCGATGTGGTCCGAACCAATGACATCAAACTCAGCGAGCCCAAGTGACGGTGCCGGAAGTTTCTTCCTTGAACAATTTTCATAGCGAAAATTTATCTAGCGTACAAGTATTCTGAGAAATGTGTTCTCGAAAGCCAAAGGCATTTTATGCCTCGACAGTGCCTTGCGTAGCAAAATGGTAATAGGACTTTGTGATGAATGTTTGTGACGTGTCTTCTCGTTTGTCTCGCTTCTGGGACAGTGCAATAGGTGCGTGATCAACGTCCCGGCGACCGAAGTTCGACTCAAGTTGCCTGCCTGAAGTCGCAATACAGTCGAACCCGCTTATAAGAAAACCGGTTAAGAGAGAAAACCGGATATAAGAGACCGATCCCGATTCCCCGATTTTTTCTTCATAGGGCTTCATGTTGAAAACCTCGCTTATAAGAAACTCGGATATAAGAGAAAACCGGATGTAAGAGACAATTTTCAAACCCCAGCCCCATAGAGTTCCATGTTGGAGACCTCGTATATAAGAGAGAACCGTCTCAAGTAGAATTTCTGTTTGCTCTTCCATGACTCCTCTTCCTCTCGGCACCTGCGCGAATGAGATAACACGCCAGTTCGATAGTATCATTGCTCCGAAAATGATCGTCTCTCCACAGGATCATGATACCGGCATCCGAGTCATACGATAACGAGATGTTTCGGGTCTTTTCATCGAAAGACCATACCTCGGATATTAGAGAAACCGGATATAAGAGACCATTTTCAATTCCCCGAGAGGTCTCTTATAAGCGGGTTCGACTGTAGATAACTATTCAGGTTGGGTATCAAAAGCTCTCAGAGAATATTTTTCTGCGTCTATCATCAGAAACTCTCATGATTCCGGTTGGTCAAAAGCAAGCAGAGAGATCGACATCCCTCGGCGGCCGTCTAATTGGGGGTCTCCGATTTCCGATGTCGATGCGCCGTTAGCCACAGACTAACTGGGGTACAGCGGTACAGCTCCGGGAAAGATTACGGTTTCAAGAGCTCAAACGGTCCTTGCCCGTGTGAAAGCTCGTCTTTGCGGTGCTGGTTCCGCTGAACTCATTCTTCGTACTTAGGAAGGAAGCTAAGAATTATTTATACTCGTCGACAATCTCTACTATTCCGTCTTATCTTTGAAGTAAGAAACGGCCCGAGAAGGGCCACTTTGTTGAGTATTGTGTATGTTTCCAAATGAACAGAAATGAGGAGGGTTCCATATTTTTACATCGATTCATGTAGTTTATACATCTACAATTTTTCAATCGGGAGGAGACTCTGCGAATTTTCTCTATTTTCTCAATAAAATCAGGGCAGTCTTTGCTCGACTACAAGTTCTGAGCTTCTCTCTTTGGGGCGGCGGGATCGCATCTGACGATTCGACTGGAAAAAAGCCCTTGATAACCCCGTTATGTCCTTCCAGACGATCGTCATCCGCTTCCGCGATCGATTCCATCAACCGGTCCGACATCACGTGTTGTAGAGATGGATGTTCAATAAAGAATAGGAAACGATTGGCAAAGCGAACGGCTGATTAATTATCCAATTATTAGCTCGCGACCACGTTAAGGCGACCCCCTCGACGTATGGACGCAGGATAGCACTCGATATCTCATTAGCGCTTCAATTACAGTGAGCGGGCAAAGCCTGCACGCACCAAGGTTGGCAGAGGAAGACTTTGAGACAATGGAGATATTGGTTGATCCACCCAACATCGATCCGTCTGCCAATTGCAATATGGTTTATCACGCGTTGGCTCAATGTTTTCGAGAGGACGACACGTGTTTCGTCTGTTGTTACTGCAGCAACACTTACCTAAATCTAACTCAGCTGCTTCTGCATCTCAAAGTGCACCCAGGTAGGAGGCCGTACAGATGCCACGCGTGTGGTCAAGCCTACAAGACTTGGAACAACCTTGATTCTCACCGGATGATGACTCACGAGAGGACCTTGTACCATTGCGACCGCTGCAATTACAGAACCCAGTGGGGTAGCGAATACTCATTTCATGTAGATAATGAATGTTAGGAGCGCGCGAGTCAATGAAGGAAACGCTCGGACAGTGTTCGACTTTTCCAAATCCTTCGTGTACATTACACAATTTTTCGAAGTCCAAAGTGACGGGATAATATAAAGCCAAATGTAGTCACGATACGGGCCCGATGTGTCTGACGGCTTTTCTCAGTACACAGTCGGGAGGCTTCATTTCTTGCCGATGAGCTGACCTGTATGTGAGGATTCGAATAGCAGGAGTTGAAGGAGGAGATCATGAATGGTGAAGTGAAGTGCAATGAGATATACATGCATATATATATAAGAGCCAGGCTCACTCGCTCTCAAGATCTTTGGAGATATGTATACTGATTCTGTTCGACCATAAAAGCGAAATGATAGAGCGATCCCTGTGTCGTACTCCCTCGAGCTTCACGATTATTCATCTTGAAGTTCATGAGCTCGTCTGACATGATTTTCCCAATTCCAGAGATATCGCTTTCAATGGCGGATGAGAGAGGGGCTCCCTCATCCTAGTTCTCGGGCCGACCTTCGCCATCGCCCTGCTACCGATGATTTTCGGCCACACTGCTCAATGCATCAATGTGTCTCTCGTTGGTGGAGTGGTCGTCAGCTTCCGCAAGGAAATAAAAATGCAGGGGAACCTTATTTCCCCACATTCAAGCAGTGGTTGAATAGCTGGGATCCGTGTCGAGGGAATTCGAAGAACAAGCCGATTTATCGTCCAGTAATCCTGACCCGGGGAGTCTGACTCGCCGAGACTCGACTTGCTTCCACCTCTCGTCGATGGCATCGCTCAGCCAGTTCGGATTCGCCTCTATATCCCGCTCCCCTCCGATCTGGATTCGGTTCTCGATTTCCCTCAAATTGAGCTCTACAGTGAGGCCTAGTCCTCGTTCCGAGATAATTGGATGACTTCATTTAAAAACTCCTCCGAATGGAAATTGAAATTCCTTCTCGCGCCCCGAATGCTTGGAGGCAATACCGAGCTCCGTCAAACAGTCAAAGCTCACCCATCGAATGGACGATCTAGTGAAAAAGTCTGAGCTGAAGAAGAGCAGGAGGAGAGCTCGAGAAGCGTTTGTTCAATGCGAAATCCGAAATTTCAGGCGCGCGCCAGCCGCTTCTGATCCTAGATGAATCGCTTGACGCGTACTCGCCCGTTGCTCCAGTTTTCAAGGAAGAGCCCGGAGAATTGATCATCGTCGAAGACGAGGAACCCACAAACCCAAACGCCGCTGGACCCCAACGAATCACTGTCAAAGAGATGCAAATGATCGTAGACTGTGCCGTAATGAACAATGACTTCAAATGTCCAATCTGCCATTATAGCAAGGCTAAAGGGAAGAAAGTTTTCGAAGCTCATGTGATGACCCATACGGGCGAGAGGCCCTTCAAATGTGATTATTGCGATAAACGTTTCAATAAAGTGGGTATCATGGACACACATCGTTGGACGCATCCCGAAGCTGAGCCGTTTACGTGCCACTGTGGAGTATTTACAACGCGATCTCGAAGAGAAATGAACACTCACCAAACTCGATGTACCATGGTGTCTCGTCTGACGGTGAAAGGCTTCGAGCATGCCGTTCTGCATCTAAATAACAGTGTATCCCGCCGACTGAATATGTGAGCGTCGTGATCGGTCGAAAGCTTCTCCCTGCTGATCAGCTGTGGGGGAATCCTGGTCCTCCGCTTTCGACTACTCGAACTCACGGAAGATAGGCCATTCGCGGAGCATAAGCTTTATTCGTCTCAGTTTCCGACGAGATCGCGGTCGAGCGCGCGGTTTTCGACGCTTGATCGTCTCGGTCGCTTTGTTTGTGCTGATGTGTGAACTAGTTAGTCTGTTAGGCTAGATCGAGATTAGAGTGAGACTCTAGAGTTTAATCATCACCTTGGACTTTTACTTCTGAATTCATCGACACCCCAAGAGATAAATGGACTGCTCTGTCAATGAAGACCGATCTGTAATCAGAAGGCTGCCCTCCTGAATCAATGGAAACATTCAATTTGTTCTGATCGACGGAAATCCCGGGCAGCAGTCAAAGAGAGATTTATTTATTCCGGTGAGGAAACGCCGGTGTCGAACTATTGGATTCATGGGGATTGTATTCGACAAGGGAGGCGAGCAAAAAATCCGAGAAATGTAAAAAGGTCACCCTGCATCTTCATCACTATTGATCCTGTAGATGTACATATGGAGAGCGTGCAATTGTTAGATAGATTCTCGACCCCTCTCTCGAGATGTCATAGCTCTTTCGATTAGAAGAAGTGTTCCTCCTTCTCTGATAGAATAAACTTATTTATTCGTCCTGGATGACTAGAGAGAAAGCGTCTCGTATGTTCTCACGCTTCGAGCGATCGGGTAGGCGGTAGGCGCAACGAGATTTCTACGGCGGTATGTTGGGGATATTCTCCCAGACAAATCAATCGCGACTTTCTCCGATGTCTCGAACCGATTCTAAACGATTCTTCCCCTTGCAGAAGCCGCCAGCATCCGAACGCCGGTTGTCGAGTGGTGAACTCGTCTCTTGGAGACCTGTCGATAGAACGATGGAATCACAATAAAGACAAGTTCTGTCTACATTTAGTAAGGGTCGACAAGTATAGCAAGTGCTTTGCGTACAATGATGTAACTGGCTACTCCTCTGATGGAATTGCAGAGTGGATGCTCAATATCGACATGGGCTACTATACGCTGGAAGAGGCGCGATCATCGAAGAGGCTGACTCCAGGACCGGATCAGCTGTTCGGCTGCGCTTTGTGCGGCTACAGAACGGCGGGATCTTACAGCCTACGTCGACATTTCCGAGTTCACACGGGAGAGAAGCCCTACGAATGTGAACTCTGTGGGAAACGCTTCTCTCAGCGTTACAGCGTCGCGATACACAAACGTACACACTCGAAAGAGACGCCAAGCGATCCGTGCGGCTCCTGTAGCCTCCGATCTGCGGATGAAAGTCACGCCAAGCGTCGCGTTAAAATCCATAAGATTCAGCGTGAAGGTTCAATTTGAAGGATTCGATTTCGAATCACGGTGCAATAGACCCGTATCCTGTTCAGCGAGGGCCGTTGCCCTCGAGACGTTGATCAAATCGTCTGGTCCCAAAACTCTCGGGATCGAGTTACTATCCTTGCGCAAGAGCGCCTGGTTCCAGTGGTTCGAAGCACGTTGTTCTACGCGTGCCGCTGAACCATCAGAGGTGTCGATATATTGATGTACAACTTTGTACCATGTTCACAGCCCACCAAGGAGTTGAGACTCTTAGCATTTTGGCTCCCTGGCATATTTGGATTCAGTGAAGCCATGTCTTCGGCATTTATCCCCGGTCAAGTTTATGTATATTACTATGTTGAATCGATGAGGCCGGATGTGCAACGATCGACTGCATGGTATCGCTATCGAAGTGCCAGGGCTGCTTCCGATGAGTCATCGCGGGCTCGGAGTGCTGTCTCGTTTCGCAGGCTCACCGTAGCCGCATTTATTTTGAGTCCTCGAGACCAATGTAAATATTGTTGAACGAATGATGAGGAAGCAGGATGTGTACGAATGCGGTTTCTCATAGATCTTTCGAGTCGATTCGATGGGACAATAAAATGCAAATCGCAAAACTGTTCTGACAAAATACTGTTATTTTCAGTATCTTCGGATCGCATAGGCATTATCCTGAGTTGCCGCACCGGAAAATTATCGTTTCCTCAGTTGCCTGCGTTTGCTTACTTTCCTGTATATCGCCGCTGAATAAATTTCCTGTGTCTCCTCCCCGATTGTTTTGTCACGGCTGGGTTCGAGGTCGTCGTCTCTTCTTCTTAACCTGTGACCGAATATTGCTCGATTGTCGGAATTGTCCCCACTCGTTTTATTTATTTCGATTTTGTTTGCTTTTCCCCTCTGGCTCATGGTTCAATTTGCAGATGATGACGTCCTCTCGCTCCCCGGAGGTCTGGAAATGCGGATCCTTCCCGAGCCGGATTCATCTCTCGAAGAAATGTCCGGCTGGTGTCTACCACAAGGAATGGAACTATCTCCCGTCGAGGGAAAATTATTTTCGTGCAAACACTGCTCGTATAAAACACAGGTTGCGTCGATTCTGCAACGTCACATGCGTGTGCATACCGGCGAGAAACCCTTCAAGTGCGATATCTGCTTCAAGAGCTTCACTCGGAAGAGCAGCGTGGAGACCCATCGAAGAATTCACACCGGGGAGAAACCATTCAAGTGCAGTTTTTGCGCATATTCATCCGGTGATCGCAGTGCCGTCCGGCGACACTTGATGAGCTGCAGTGAAATCTACAAGAAATAGTAGATATTGTCGATATGTGTAGAACAGAGCATCAAAGTACAGGATCCTACGCATCGAAGCACCCCACAACGAAATGAGAGCAGTCGAAACGGTGGAGGTCAACAAGACAGACGGAGGAGCAACAGTTCAGGGCGACGATGCTCGAGAACAATCAACGCTCTCGGATCGGAGAGCGGGATTGAATCACCTATTTAAGCATTCCTAAGCAATCTCCGATACAGAAGGGACCCAATTGTGAATCTCATCGATGAACCTCAAACGTAAAAACGTGCGATCACAGAAGACCCTCCAACACATTTGCATGGGGCAATACCGAACAATCAGCAAGCTAGAAACGTAGCCGCCGTCATGGTCACGAGACAACGCGGTTGGTGACTTCAACGTAGAAGGCGCGTGCCTCCCTCTGAAGTGCGTCACTCGAGAAGAAAATCGCTTGTCTTCCTCATGGCATTCTACAAGCTCGTTGTCCGACCCCCAAAGGGCGTCCGGACTGGGTCATTGATCAATGTTGTACGGAACCTTCCGCGTCGTCAACCCTAAGTCAGAGAGACTCTCCCACGAAGCTCTCAAAAACAGTTATTCCTAAGTGCATTATAGCCACTGCAATCTTCGACGGATCACAACGAGCACGTGAACGACATACTAGGGCAGCGACACGGACAAGACGGAGAGCGCCCGAACCTTTCCCGTCGTTTCAAGAAGTATTCCTCTCGACGCGAGGACTTCCGTCGCCGCGAGTGAAGTAAAGAAAACGACATGAAGATCGTCGCTGCCGACGAAGCCACCTGATGAATGCGCGCCGTTGTCAAGGACGACAGCAGCGGTCGCAGCCGTTTCCAGACATGAGATTGAAATGCGGATTTCTCGCGATTATTGTTTTGTTGAAATTCGTTTGACGTTTCTCTGTATATTGAACCGCTGTTTTGTGCCGCGCCGCACAGCGGCTCTAAGGATTGTTCGTTCATATTCCCTGGGAATCTAGACTACGAAGCTCCGTTAATGAGTTCGAGCGAGCGAATTCCAAATCGAGACGTGCAATCATCGCAACGCATTTTCCCTGAAACAACGAGCGGCTCTTCACACACTTATCCCCAGTGGAATACCCCGCCTAACGCTCATTCTCATCAGGTCGCGCATCAATCGATAGAGCCGCTTGTGCACTCCTTTTCCAGGCTTATGTCTACCTTCTAGAGTTCTCATGGCTAGAGCCAGCGGACTCCCAGTGGACAATGCAATGACCCGATGGGTTTCTCGAGTATTCTTTTGTTACTCCATAAGATCAGGTAATGTGAAATTAGGAGCGTTCCTCAACGCTCATCTTTCATCATTCTCCTCGACCAACGTCACAACAGGTACAACGAAGCAGTTCTCTCATGTTGAGGAACATATTTACCACGATACATGCATGCATACATACGAACGAACGAACGGACGAACGAATCTTCATAGGTAGCGATATTTCCATCCACCGACTACAATAGCTCACAATCGAAGCCGAAGCATCAGTGTGAACGGTACGATTCCGTACAAAACCACCAACTCCGATGAACTCTCGGAGATTCCTGGCTCGCGGGAGCCGCATCCACAGAACCACGCCAGTTTACCGGAGAAACGACTTCACAATCCTTTGCGGATGTTCCTCAGATACGTATTTGCGACTCCCCGCACTTCTCCACCGCGTAGACGCGGTACTCCCGAAAGCCGCTCCGTTCCCCGATCGATTCTTCCGCGGAAGCCTTCCCCGGAACTGTATGTGGCTTCTTTGTAGACTCGACTATTAGTGGGCCGCAGATTTTTCTCTCATAGCAGCGTACTGCATTTCCATTTTTTCTCCTCGTTCTACAAATATGTTCCCCCAACGATGTAATCACCCCATGTATACCTTGAATTCTGTAGTTAGCAAGGAACCGGAGGAATACTTCGGAACCATCGACGGAAGTCGCTCTCTCACGATCACATTCTTCTTCTAGTTTGCTTTAGATTTTCGCCATCCATTGAGCTGCTGAATTCGCGTCCAGCAATTGGTTTTTTTTGTCTGTTACCCTCGACATTTTTGACCCATCGATTCCTGTGGAGTAATTCAAAAGCCAACACGCATGTATTCCAAACTATGTATGAGACGTTCTGAGGACGTGTGTGGCGAAAAGGCTCTCAAACAAAAATCATGGAACTTACTATCATCATCCCGCAATATTCGCTGTTGTGACGAAGCTTGCGCCTGAGAATCACAGCGATCGTACAGAGGTGTGGTCGATCCACGACCGTGCTCCAGGCAGACAATCCATTCCGATGAACCCGGTTACAGAATCTATGACAACGAAAAATAAAATACTTCATATACCTATTTATTTCCTTAAAATCGAGTCTTCAATCCAAGAGGAAGGCAATCTTCGAAGTTCCTGTGCGAAGGAGGAGTTAATCAGCACTAACTGAAATTTCTGCTTTCAGACGCGAGGCCTCCAACTCGGCGCAGCATCCCCAAAGCTCGAGGACCTGTTCGACCTGTCGACGCAAACTGGCCGTATTGTGGCGAATAAATTTGAAAAAAGAAGCGATTTTAGAGTCCGATGTGTGTGGCGGTGGCGAAGCAGAAGTGTCGACCTGATCCCGTACCCCGAGGCATAGTCAATTCTGATCTGTGATCCGTTCTCCTCCTCCCAGAATTCCCAATGCGCTTGGCAGAACTCGGGGACCCAGACTTGATTGTACCTGACGTGGAACCGAACAACAACAGTGCAATATACTCATCGCTGCCGCGGAAACCTACGACCTTGACACCATCGAGAGCCATCATCATCCCCCGCATACTGCAGCCTACGACACGAATTTCGACGCCGATTATCAATGCTCGTCAGATTACAACGACGCTTCCAAGGACGAACGTTCTCAACGCGAATATTCAGATGACCACTCATCCGGGCATCGTCAAACTTCCACCTGGCACCGATATCGATTACCTCACTCAGACCAGTACCCGGGGGAAGGCTAATCAGTTCTGGCAGTACGTCTGCAACGATTGTCCCTTCATCACCCAAGATTCTCGTGCCTATAAAAAACACCGATCCCTAGTTCATGAGACTAAGTCGCAGTCGACCACCAAGGTGAGAGACAAAACTTTCCGTGGACGAGCGCCCGTGGGGCTCTCCCGGTGTATTGGGTGCGCATGCTTTCCGCAACTCATGGAGCGACCTTGATTTCCAGGTTTGCAACATCTGCAACAAAGGATTCTTGGATCTCGAAAATCACCTCAAAGTTCACGAGCACGGACGCAATCACGTTTGCGACGTTTGTGACCTGGGCTTCAACTCGATGACGGAACTACGCAACCATGCGACGAAGATGCATCAGGGAAGACAGTTCCTGAAGTGCGGCTATTGCGATTTCACCGCCGTCAAGGAAGAGATATCGAAACATCTTCTGACTTGCGAACCTTTCAAGCGACAGGAACAGCAACAGCAGAAACAACAGCAGCAGCAACTTCTGCTCCAATCCTCCGCCCCTAAACTATCGTGAGCTGCGTACGATCTGCTATGAGCAATCGAGTTCAAGTTCTCTCAGAGAGCTTACATATCATTCGCTGTCACTCGACCGAATGGGAAATCGAATCCAACGAAACGTCTGCGAGAGTTCCCAAGTATTTACTCCTGATTTTTACCGCTGACTGTGAAACTCGGAATATCATGCTGTTCACACGGGTTTGTGAGCTCACCCGCCCACATCATCGAACGAGAGTATCACCCTAATATATGATCGATGCCTCTTGTGCGAAAGAAATAATCATCATACACTTATATATGAACATTGAATATATTTTGATTAAATGGAGAGGTGATTTCATCAGCTATGCCCGTTAATGTCGATAGCTGCTCTGGACCCGGTTTCTTGTTTGCAATACCTATGAATATACATCTTTGTGAAACTTATACATAGAACATATACAGAGTTCAGCACGATATTTTTATAGAGTGTTTTGACGTCGTGTTTTGTTGCATCTTCCGGGAGATTACCCCCGATATCATGTTGGAGATCGATGTCTTCTCTCCGCACGCCGAACGTATCAGTCGTATATCAGCTTGAGACGTTTTTGGAACATTGAATCTAATAAAGATTTATGGAATTCGCATCGTGATGCTCGTCCTGGATCGACATGGGGCTGGAGAGCGAAGTTCCACGACTCATGAGGTGCTATTGATGGATTCTCAACGAGATCGGGAGCCTACTAATTCCCACTTTCTGCCTTACAGGACTTCCGGCACATGGACAGTGGACAGGACTTCGACGCCAAACTCTGATTCGTCTGATATCGAACTCGAATAAACTCATAGATTTAAGAAAAGATGCACTCGGCCTAGAAAAGCAAGTCCTCGACCACGTACCTCCAATAGCCACGGAGAGCAATTTCTGAATGAGTCGATTCTGGGATTTTTCCAGCACGAAAATCTCGCGCCGGCGAATCTGACGATGACAACGATGAGGAGCCACTACAATTCTTCCCGATCCCGTTCGTGGAACTCGGAGAAACTCTGGAGAGTGAGTTCGGTGAGGGTCTATCCACCTACAAGATGGCGAAGAGGTCCGACGTTCAAGAGAAGGGAAGAAAGAATTCTCCCCGGAAGGAAAAATCCGCGACCTTGACGGGACGGATAGCTAAACCCCAGTCAGCGACCAAGCTGTTCATTTCTCCTGGAAGAAATGCTGCAGAGTTGGCCCGTAAGCACGTCACTTTCAACCTCGAGACCGCAAGCAAAGAAACGGACGGCAAAGAAAAACCGAAAGGTGAGGAAACCCGCTTGAGGCACAGGTACCTAGAAAGCGCCGGAGTCCGCATTGAATCTCTTTTTTGCAGTTTCATCTACTAGTCGTGAGTCGTCGGAGGATAGAGGGCTCCGAATCAAGAGATCGCCGCGCAAGAAACATTCTGCGTGTGCTTGCTGCAAATAAGAAAGAAGCAGTCGGGGCTCGGTCTCGGAATCCGAAGCTACTACGGTTTAATCTTGTGTTCAGAGCCAAAATATAGCTGGGAACCAAATTGTTGGCAATATCAAGGCGGCATATTCATCTCATGCAAATCATAGAATCTATGAGCTCAGACTCCTGCAGCTTCCGCTGTCGGTGTTTCAAACCGCTCCCCTGTCCCCGGTACGCTTAGTTTTCGGACATGATAGAACAGCCTTCGAGCGAGCTCCATAGCAATTTTATTTAACCTTACTGAGCACCTTATCGTCATTGACTTCGAAGCTTGGAAGTGCTCCTGGAGGCGGAGCGTTGAGGAAAAATAAAAGTGTCTCGTGCGATTATAATGAAAAATCGTCGCCGTTCTGCATTCTTGCGCTTTGACCTGAGTCTCTCACGTTTCAAAAATTGCGGCTCAAGCGGAAAATTCTCTCGGAGCTAATCATCTTCTCCTTCCAGGTACATCTGTCTGTCTGTCTGTCTCTCCTGCTTGGCTAACCCTCCGCTCTCCAACGCTCCTCAATTTCATCCCGGCGAAGAGAATAAATACGTTGCTGGCTCGCTTGAGAAACTGCCTCTAATTCAGAATGCTTTGGTCCAATTAAACGATCCAGATGAATATGTGCTACAGCGATATCTCCGCCTTGCAGCTGAGGAGCGACTCCGACCCAGGCCCCGAAATCTCACGTATAGAGAGAGCTCCGAAGAACCAATGGACGAAGAAGCTGTCGAAGATCCGCGTCTCATCAGTCGGCCCGAAGCGCCTGAAAAGGAATCCGTTTCAGGAGGCAGAGCAAATATCACTCCGGAGAAGGGGAAGGATAACTCAACTTTGCTCGCACCGGATGCATCTAGTCCGCTAGTGAGACTAGCCCGTCGGACCCGATCGAGAATGTTGATCCCGAACCCTGTACGGAGCAGCGAAGCTGCCTCTTCCAGAGATAGTGAAAGCGTCGACGAGTCAGACACCTCGTCCGAATCGCAAGAGACCCGCTTTTCGAGGACCATATGGTTCAACTGTATGCGATGCAAGGCCAAGCTAGCGGGCAGAGAGAAGTTCCGAGCGCACATCAACTCCCATCAGTGATCACAACTGATCGGGCTCATCTCGACGGGCGGGACCGTTTTCGACGAAGCCAATCTGCTGAAAGACATTCAGGAAACTTCACCCGCGATTTCTTTCTTCGAGACGAACAGAATATTTTTAGATGGGACGAAAAAATTCAAGAAATGTCTATCATTGAACGAGGATACTCGAATCATTTCAATTGCGAAAATGCATTTTTGAAATAACTGATAGACCCTCATGTTGTCACTCCGCGAGTGAAGCTTGTTCAATCGTTACTCCAATGGTCAGTCCGGAGCTTGTATAATTCACACGTTTTATCGTGCGCGATTCCCGTGATATGTCTAACTCCTTAACGACTGCGCAATGAATCGCTAATCGAGGGAAGGTGACACTATCAACGCTTTGCGAACAAGAATAATTTTCTTACTCTTTCTAAAAAAACTCCTATAAAACAAAGAGGTATCCTGTCCGGATGTTGTTGTCTCTCTAAGAACTGCTGAGGTTCGGATTGCTTCGTTTCTCTTATCACTACCCTGTCGAATGCTTAGAGGCGATGTGCTTTGGGCATTGAATGATTTCTTCTCGTGAATTCATTCCAGCATCAGGTCGCAGGGGGTCTATTGACTAGGCAGTCGAAGTTTGTTGACTCTCCCTTCAGACTTCCGTCTCAGTCAACCATGATAGCCCTTTAACGATACGAGGGGTAACGAAAACTCTCATTGCAGACTGCGTGTTGAGGATTCAACACAGGATTAGAAGCGATCACCGGATTGATTCTGTCCTCCTATCAGCCCATTACAGAGAACAGCGAGAAATAAAGGACCGAGCTTCTTCTTGATTTGCGTTCGGCTTGACCATCTTCGCCTGCCGTTCACACGAAAGTTCTTGTCGCTTCCAAAAGTGACCGAATTCTGATTTCAGACTCGTTGACGTTCTCGCCTACTCCGCTCGATCAGGAACTTCCATTGGACGACTACTCGGAACTGGAGGTCTCCCCTGCCTTGCGGAAAGGCACGCACGGCTCGTACAAGTGTGACATCTGCGGGAAGACGAGCGCCACCCGTGCGAAAGCCAGTGGTCACTATCGCGTTCACACGGGGGAACGGCCCTATAGGTGCGATCGGTGTTCGCGTTCATTCAGTGACAGTAGCAACTTCAAGCGGCACCTGAGACTACATTCACAGGGTGAACCCAATGGGAAGTGTTCGGAAAACTGAAGGAGTGCAGATGGAAGATTAGGGAGCTGAAGTGAGAATGGTTCTTGCTGAAAGCGTCGATGGAAACCCTCGGTGCTTCGCGCTGTTCTTGGCGGCACCTACGAGCACACTCTGTTAAGATCTCATTTTCTCGTCTGACGACTCAATTCTTCTCTTTTCTCGAGACGTTCATTGAGGCTGTGCATTTTGCTCAGAAGCGAATATTGCACTCGAGATTCAATTTTTCTATCGTTCGTCGATTCTTCGATAGCGTCTGCAATCCGATGAATCCGCCATTGTTAGTGAAGCCATCCGAGGGAAGCGTGTGCGCAGGAGCCGTTCCGTTGTAGGGGCTCACCGGATAATTCGCTCAGCCGGTGGTCAACGAACACTTTTTAGCAACAAATGATTATTAGAGTCTCGATCGATTGTGAGGTGCGATGAACTCAATTTGCTTACAAGTACATAAGTGTCCCGATGCCTTTTGGAATGTAGTCCGAGCATGGATATATGATTGTTAGGAAATAATGTAACGGGTCGACTGGGTGATTGTATCCCTGAATGACTGGCAGTCCTCAACTCACGACTTCAGGTATGATGAGCGGAGGATCAAGGTGTCTTAACACACTCGAATGCTCGGAAGAGTAGCGAGACCGCTACGTATTTATTCATTTTAATGTGTAAATATATATTTCGGCCTCCAGAGGTCAAGAAGTCAGCAGAGAATAAAGCTAAGGATGGAGATTGTTGTACAAACCGTGACTCTCAATCCTATTTCCGTCGGGATTTCCGACGAATTTGAATACTCTCCAACAGTCACTCACTCTCTATCCTCTTCCAGATGGAGAGATGCTTCCCATCATCTGCAACTCGGACGAGCTACACATCGAACCCATAAGAGAATAAAATAGATTCATGTATTCGATCCCGATCAGCTTTTTTCGCTCGATAGAGGACCATCTGGGCTCGGTAGGGTAGAGTAGCGAGAATCTCAAGTTCGAATTCCTCCGATTCAAGACGACGTTGGCTCCGATTCGGTCCGTCGCGTTGGAAGGTTCAGCATCTCCAAGATAGAACAGTCGGAGGACGCTCCAGCTGTCAAGCCGAAAACGACTCCGGAAGACGAGCAGGACGCAGCCATTAAATTAGCAGCAGCGAATGTGGTGGATGAGCTGTTGGCAGCCTACGCCGCGGCCACCGCCGAAGAGGACGAAGAGAGCGATCTCTGTGAAAGTTCCGCCAGCGTGAGTGACAAAGAGAATAACCCATCGAACGATGATGAATCTCTTGAAGAACTCGCTTTCGAAGAAGGTAAGCAGACGAAGCTGGACCGATGCCGGCACCAGAACCGACTGAGCGGTCATGGGCAGGCACCTGCTAATACAAAGATTGTCTTGGTCTCTTTTCCCGCGCAGAGGGCCCGACGGAGGAGGCCTGCGTTCCGACCGTGTCGATCCTCCCACTCATCTGTGGACAGTGCAATTATCAATCCACCTCGCAGCGCGATCTCATCAATCACATGAACACGTGCAACAACGGACGACCTTTCCCCTGCAAATACTGCAACTACGCTTGTGGTAGCATGCGGGATCTTCGTGAGCACGAAAAACTACACAGGGAGAGCAAGTATATCTGCGATGTTTGTGGGAAGATATTCCGCGACCCTCAACGCCGTGATCTCCACCGTGACGGACACGTTGGTTCGATCACTTGCAGCCTGTGCGGTCTCTCTTTCCCGACTCACCGCAGCTTCAACGATCACGTCCGATCCCTCCACCCGGAAAGGAGCCGCCATCGTGAGGGACGGAGCGCCAGCGCAGCCTCAAATCTGAGTTAAATCCTCAAAGGTTTCGAATCGGCTAGAAGTCCTGACGAAGGTAGATCAGGCATAGCGCATCCCGTCGAGGGTCAGCACTCGCAGTACTGTGCTAGGCTGGGAGATGTCCTGGTGAGATTGAGAGCCTTTGCACTACTCTAGAATTCCCGTCTATTGAAGATTTCGGCTTTGTAGGCGGAACCAAGTAGCGAAGCCGTAAGCTATTGAATAATATGAAAGATGCGTCGGCACTCTGAGTCTTCACGACGTACAGAAACGTCACCGTGCATCGATGAGACACATGCCGCGTACGGATGGCTTTTTGAGAACCCTGTCACGGCCAGCTGTTTCCCGCAGACTCGGCCTCTGCTACTGAACCACTTGACAAGCATTCACGAGAGGATCCGGGTTGATTCTCGTTCGACTGAGAGATATCGGAGACTTATTCCTCGGCGAGCTTTGAACTACGAATATCACAATGGGGACGATGACGGATTTTCCGTGAAGAGAAGCACGAAGGAAGCGAACATGAGGGCCTCTGAACGGGGAATAGTCCCTCCAAAGAATAAAATTCCCACCGAAAGCGAACAATGACTCGGGCTTCCGCCCGCTGTTTCGGTGTAAATAGCGATGAGTCCTATCTCGGCTTACGTAACTTGCGAAAGAACTCGAGGAGTCTTTAGCGTTGCTAGAATAGAAGAATGTGGGCTCATGTGTGTGAGCTCATGCGCAATTGAGATTTTCGCTCCCGGTCACGATTCTAATCTTGGGGCTTTGTCGGGAGTCGTATTAGTCCGAGGTGTCAGATATTATTCCTATTTTGAGCCGTTGAGAGAGCAATGAATTATAAGCTAGTCGACGGGCCAATGGCCATCCACTGTGCCAATGAGGCAGTATTCAGACCATGCGGAAAAGGACACTAGGTCAGCGTGTTGAAATGATCAGTATTCCCTTGGCTAATGTTCTTGAGTAGTTGGAGGAAATAACTCTAGTCAGAAGCTTGAGAAAGTGAGCAGATCTCGCCGACCGGTCTTGGAGTTCGCATTATTGTCGTGTGGAGAGATCGGTCGAATATGCATAGATAGTCGGGACAAAAACTTAATGAACGATGGAAGATCGTGTGCTAAGTTGTACTTTCAAGGAGCGAGCCGCTCATAGGGGGCCGTTTTCTGTGAGCGTGGTCAATAAATTCGGTTTAGACGCTTGTCGAGGACATTCTCCCTATCGATTCTCATGGTGCTGACGTCAATTTGGGATGATTGCAGAAGGAATTGATAATTCCATTTTCGGTTTCAGATCATCGGGAGATGTGACCGACAGCTCCGACATTCGATAATGAGAACATTCGAGTGCGGAAAGAGGAATAAAAAAACGTTTTCAAGAGTTCCCCGGTCAAGTCGTTCGATGTCTAGTTAGTTGACGCGGCTGATGGGCGGAATGCCTGCATTAGCCGAATCGGATGTTCGGGGTCCCGCTGTCTCGACGCTCATAGCTCTGTTCTCTACAGAAGGCATACCGCTGGAAGCGGAATCCGGGAGTATTTTCATCAATGAGGAGAACGCGTTCGCTGAAGAGCCGTATGTTTTCTCCGATAAGCGCTTCGTCTGTGAGCATTGCCCATATTCCTCGAACCGACGAAGCCACTACAACGAGCACGTGGCGATTCACAGCGGACTGAAGCCTTTCGCTTGTCGTTTCTGCGACTACAGGTCAGGTTCGGAGCTATTGGATGATGCTGAGTTAGGATGAGAAGCTCGCCTGTTTGAGGACGAATCAGTTGGTTCAATCAATGATCCTTTCTAGATGTGGTCGGAAGTGTCATCTGGACCGCCATGAGAGAACGCATACGGGTGAAAAACCCCACGAGTGTGCCTTGTGCGGGAAGAAATTCAATGAGCGAACTTCCCTCAAGATCCATAACAGGGTTCACACGGGAGAAAAGCCCTACAGATGCTTAGACTGCGGAAAACTATTCTCTCAACGAAATCGACTCAAGGATCATGTGTTTTGTTTGCATCCTGAGAGAGCTGATGTCCTTCTGGCAGTCACGGCGCATGTACTGAGAACGAGGAAAAATTGAGACTCCTCTGACCATAAGTCCGACGCTCCATTGTTGATTTTGAGAGAGCATTGTCAGGGAGAAGATTGATACGAGAGAGATACTTCGAGGCCTGTGATTTCCAGCGTATAGCGTCTTGAGCTCTCACTGGCCAGACGGAATGTACGTGATAGTATTCGAGGCCAGTCCTCCGATAGGCTTAGTACCCAAAATATGTCTATGTATACAATTTCGGCAATCGATAAAGTACTCCCTCATTTTTCTCCTCGTGCATTTGTCTCTCAGCAAGTCACTCATTCCGTCAATCGCGCCACATAGCTTGGGCCATTACCTATCATTTGCAAATCGTTTCCTCTTGCCAGACGGATTCCGATCAGACACTCACCACAGTTTTCTTACAGGCTCCGAACCCAGACGAAGTGACGGATCCAAAAGTCGTTGTCCCTGTTCAAGATCAGAATGCAAAATAAATTGTCTCGGAAGCAGTCTCGGCCATCGAATCTCGTCCTCGAACAGCGTCGCTGTCTTCTTTGAATGGAGAAACTCCGACTAATAATTAACTTCTCGAGGGATCTCCAGCATCTGCGGGAGGGTTCGCCATTAACCCATGCTTCGGTGATTCCTTCCTACGAACTACAATGCTTGCGTAACGATCGCCTAACCTCAACTCACCCAGTCTGCCGCTCGACTCACACGACTTCATCGGTCAGTCTGCCGAAATCACGAATCTGAACTCAAAGCAGCGGCCTTTACAGGTCTTGACTTTGCCGTTCTGACGCCACTCTTAGCCGAACTGGCGTCATCCAGCGACGATCTGCCGGGCCCGTCTTTCCAAAGCAGAACATGCCCCATTTGTGGAAAGACTTTCTCGCAAATGTCTTATCTCAGCTCCCATCTACTCCTGCATTCAGGTCACAAACCTTTCGTATGCACAATATGCGGAAAGGGCTTCACGCAGAAGACCAACCTCCGAACCCACGAGTTGAAACACTCCGGCGCCAAACGCTTCCGTTGCGAATACTGTCACAAGGAGTTCAGTAGCAAGTATTCCCAACAGGTGCACATTCGGATCCACACTGGGGAAAAGCCGTACGCCTGCTCGTATTGCGCGTACAAAACAGGCAACCCCAATGGTTTCCGAGCTCATTTCAAGATTTGTAGCGCGAAGCACGCGCGTAGGAAGGACTAACTCAGGCGCCTGCGGTGGAACTCTCGCGCCGCTCACAATGTTTTGGGGCGAGAGATATCATCCGGGCCGAGATTCCGGAGGAAGAGATCCCATTGGATTGGAAATGGCATTATGAAGAGTTCCTCCTCGTTGTGTTTATTGTTTGGAGTTAAAAGGAGCAGCTAAAACAACATTCCGGACTCGGAGCATACCCGGTTTTTATCGCCTACGGTTTTTCAAAAACAAATGTGTAACTTTTTATGGAAGGTGTTTCTCACGGGATATCCTTGATATCGCTGCGTCAAATATGTAGTAGGTCGTGTACTTATACACAGATACTTGGAGGATTACAAAAACTGACTGTGAGATCTTAGACCCGGTGCCATGAAGATGTTGGTTTTCGGATCATTTTGCATTCCGCGAAAATTTCGCAATCAATGCATTCCGGACGCGAGGGGCTCGGAACGATTTGAAAGTTTGACTTATTCGCTGGAGCATTCCAGAGGTTTATACAGATATCTGTGGTAAATTCAAAATTCCATTTTATCCCGGGAAAAATGAGATATCCGAACCCGATGAGACTCCATATCCTGTTGCCAAGATCAGGGCCCCGTGAGGCATTGGTTGTGAACTCAGAAGCAGGAATCGCTCATCACCACTTGCGGTGAGAAAGAGCTCCCGCTCCGCAAGGTCCGTGAAATGTTGAAAGGTCGACATATTTTTGTGCTACACAATATACCGACAAACAAACCATTTTTTGGAGCAAGTCGCAGAGATTCCCTTCTGGGCATTCTTGGCATTAGTCCGTGATCCTATGGAGTCGCGATTCCGACTCATTTTTGTGGCTATTATCGAATCGCTTCGAACACAGGGGGCATACCCATAACTAGGGAGCTACATTCCATGTATCTGAGCAATAACTTGTGAACCATATACGATAGGAGCTCATCAGCGACAGAAGCCGCGAGCAGATGACATCGCCTGACGATTTTGCGTATTTTGGGAACGCTCGGCTGGGAAGGGTTCCCCGTCTGTCGGACCTGACATTCGTGAACGATCCACTCTCGTCTTTGAGACATGGACGCTGAATCGTTGCGATTCGCCGCGCTCCGATGGACGGAGGTTCCCGATCCGCGCGATGCGGGGACTTTGCGCTCCGATTTTTCTACGAATACCTTCATTCGAATACCGGTAGACCGGCTCATCCCGCGCGGAGCACCGAGGAACGCAGACTTCCTCGCTGCCACGAACCGATGAATTTCCGGAATCGGAATCACGTCAATCATGTGGCTCGCTCTAGATTGCGAATGGCTGAGTGCTTTTCGAGAGCATCTAAATCAGCCTTCTTCGATTCTTTCGCTGTTCCTGCGTTCATCTGTTGTATCAAAGGACCCTGCGCATACGAATTTTCTTCCGATCAGATCGCTCGCGGAATAATCGAAGAACGAGCGAGAGAGAAACTTTCACATACTCACCAAGGTGTTTGGATAAGGGTACTGTTGTATTGTTGGCAATCTCATCGATAAGAGTGTACATTTCTCTCATTGGAGCATAAATCACCGAAAGAAATGTTAACGGGGCAAGTTGATTTCGAAAAGCACTTATTAGCGAGAGATGATGCGCATCATCAATGAACTTTCCGAACGAACCAACAATCCACTTATTATTGTTTATACTAAACCAATCATATGCGACACATTATGAACTGTACTTGCGTACATATTCATAGTTGTCCGCCACACTCTTTCAGATGTCCTTTTTTAAAAAATGGTGCTGGTTTTCATTCATACCTGTGATTCTATCCTTGTTATTATCTTCTTTTTTTGACATACATCGATATTGAATCATTTTTCTAAATATGGTATAGTGGCATTTAGGGCGATTTACTGCAAGATCATATGTATGAATAAACTTCGATATTAACGTTTTCTTCTCTTTTCTCTTCGTTCCAAAACGGGATCCCTCGCGAAGAGCTTTGAACTACGTATCCTTCGAATCCGCGACATTGTCGTCTTCGCGTGCAGCTCAGTCGCTTCGTAGGCGCCCAATCGAGTGCACGCGCCGGCAATAATCTAATATGTCGCCGAAATTTTCAGAGACCGATTTCGACGATGACGATGCAGATGAGACCAGTTCCGTCTGGGGTCTGATACAGGAGATGAATGAGCCGATCCTGCCCGAAGTCATCATCCCAATCAGAGGTTTATCATGTAGTTACTGCGGCAAATCGTTCAGCACCCGTTTCAATCTGAAGGTCCATCTACGGATCCACACCGGTGAAAAGGTGTATTGCAACCCCAAGCTCAACCAGCCCGATAGGTTATTCGTCCGCGGATGAAGAATGAATCAGGATGGCGGAGTTAATCAGGAGATTTTATATTCCAGCCCTACGAATGTCCAATATGTCAGAGACGGTTCAGCGATCGATCGAACATGAACGGACACCTAAAATCTCACGCCGGTCCAGAGCCGCCATTTCGGTGTACGCGGTGCACGGAACGATTCGACCGCTACATAGACCTGAAGAGTCATACGAAGAATATGCACTTAACGGATGAAAACATATATAGGCTCAAGTGATACGATACATCCTTCTTGATAAGAAAGCGTCGGCGGGTCGACGGGGCCCGTGAGACTGATCGAATTTCGAATCGCTAGTCGTCGTGTATGTACAGCTGCACTATTGTGCGGAGTCGGCTTCGATCAATGTTATTTGGGCTCAAAGAAGCAGAATATATCAAATCCCAGCGAATTTCCAAAGGTTTTACAATAATATCATAATACTCCCCGAATCGATGATCTCTAAAGCACATCTACTTGAACCTTGTCCTAGGTACATATTTCTGTACAACGTTGTGGTATTCTACGAACAGATCTTGTGATTTACCGATCTCATATCTATTGCGAGATATGACCGCTGTTCCGTGCAATGTTCGCTGTTAGAGAAATCCCAGGCCAGCGCCCGACATACGGCGAAGAGTTTTTCCGATGGCTCGCCGACATTCCGCAATGCATCGAACTCCAAGAATCCGTAACTTGATGGCGTGTGATAAAGCGTCAAAAAATGTCTAGTCGTTATCTAATTCATCCTGGTGTTGATGGGACTTGCAAGAGCTTCGTATCCGATGGTGTTCGGCGATGCAACTCTCAATACTCACCATTCAGGCGAACGCAAAAATAAAAGCGAGCTTCGTCATGTCAGTTTCTCTGTCGTTTCTCATATACGGAAGGTACGCGTATTCTATCAATGTCTCGAATGCAAAGGCGAAGAGCGTGACTAATATAATTCTCCTTCCAGATGTTTCGCGGGGTACGCGAGAGGAGACTTCTGATCGGCTCGAGACTGCTGAGCTCTAGGCAGTGATACTCTTTCTTTAGAGTAAAAAAGGCAAATCACATTCCAGAATTGTCCGTATTCTCTTAGGCTCGCTTCCGTGAAAGAGGAGTAGCCACAGGCTTCAGGATTTTTAAGGCAGTATAGCCAGGGAGCCAAGGTTCGGCGAGAAGACGTCCTATCGCGAGCCTGGATTTCCTCCTTCACCCTCTAGTTCGTGGAGAGACTTCGAATGAGTGGCTTGAATGCCTTCTGGCGGTCGAAACGGGTGAAATTGATGAATGCGACAATGACATCGATCCACTAACCTTCCAGTTAACCCCTTCGCATGTGCTACCACTACTAAGGCTCGTGTGGGTTTACCATGCCGTTGTCAATGTTGTCGCCGTCTCGCTTGATCGTTACCACTACTACTCCTGGAGCTGTCATGCATCGTCTGCGATAGGATCGTCGCCGCGTCTACGCAGGTCGCTCGCTGAAGCGATCAGCTACATATAATCGCTCAATAGGAAAGAATCGCTGTCCTTACAGATTTTCCGGGGAAAGAGGACGCCAATCGGAACTTGCTCGATATCTTCCTGGAAGAAGACTCACCCGAGAAGTTTCGCTACGCTTGTTGTGCGTGTACCTATCGCACAAATTGCGTCACGAGCTTCAACCGGCACATGGACGCTCATTCGATGCAGAAAGGACATCGATGCACATTTTGCGATAAGTTATTTGTCGATAAAAACAAAATGATCCGTCACGAGAGAATTCACACAGGAGAACGGCCTTTCTCTTGCCTTCATTGCAATATGACTTTCAACCAGAAGAGTTCACTTCACCGCCACGTCAAAGTTCGGCATTTCGATCTTCTACAAGGGTCGATGTCGCTGACGGATTTTTGAGGCCTGCCGTGCGGCGGTCAAATCACATTCTAACTCACAAAAAGTGAAACTCTAGCTCGAGCCTCAGTTTTCTCGTTTCGGAGAGATTTCGCGATTTTCCTGCTTTTCATCTAGAGACGACAAGTGCAATTTCATAGGTAATCAATAGCTTGCAACATACTCAAAAGCGACTGATGTCGATGACTCACCCAAAGGGTTCGTCGCGTACGTCGATGCCATCGGATGTGTTGTTATTGCCACACTCTGATTGTTTATCCTCTGAATACTCTGATGAGGGGAATGATTGTGCCTTTCACGGGATTAGTTTCTACATCCTACATAGTTACCTGATAAAATCTTCGAACAGTCAATTGCCGAAGTCGCTATGGGTACCCCGCCATCCCCGGGCTACTCGTGAGTCTCGCGTTTACTCCTTGTTATTGAAAAGAGTCATTTCTAATGATTGAACGCAAGCGTTAACTCAATTGTTGAACCTAAATGCAATCAGATTGACGATGGTATCTTTCGGACAGTTGGTCTGCTCGAGCCGTCAGTCGATCGTATTCTGGCCATGAAAGCAATAATTATACAATCTAGAGGAGATGAGGACATACTATAAATATATAAATATATATATATATATATATATACACACACACGTGCATAGATAGATATATAGAGAAGGGAACTCATTATGTTTGCGAAGTGCGTGAGAGAGTGGAAATAAAAAGCTCAAACGAAGTTGAAGCGGTGCCCTCTATCTCGGCCGGCTGAGAAAAATTATGGCAGTCTCCTGATGCTTGATCGACGAGGATGAACAAATTCTAATGCGGTGGGTTCCATTTCAGGTTCAATGTGCAATTAACATGTGCGTGAAAGGGGTGTCTTGCAAGAAAATCTTTCTGGTCGCGACCTGTTCGATAACTCGAAGTTTCAAATAAAATATCTCCATGCTGTTAAGTGTCATTTAGTGCAGGAAATGTCTGGTCTATCGCTCACACCTCACACCGCTCACCGGAATCACTCGGACGCTGGCCACGGCGGTGCATAAGCTGACAGTCCAAGCTAATCAGGCATTCGCTTTCAGCTTTCAAGCCCGTGGCGTACTTCAAGGAAGAAGAGGAAGATGAGTGCAACGGCATCGCCCCCGTTCAGTTCGTGGAGGCGTACGAATCGAGTCCAGAACTCCTCATGAAGCACCAATGCCCAATCTGTTTCAGAAAATTCGCCAACAGACGCAACCAAGAAAATCACATCCGCTCCGCACACACGCGAGAGAAACCTTATAAATGTTTCTTCTGCGTCAAACGATTCTGCGCGCCAAATACCAGAGGCATGCACATGCGTAGGCACCATCCTGAGAGGTACGAGCAAGAGAAATGATTGCGAAGTCAAGCGACATTGGTACGCGAAGACGATATTCATCGCCATGAATGAAGACCTGAAGTGAGTCATCGAAGAAAGTCATGATAAGAGTCAAGCCACAAATTCGTCAGATAGGTATTCTCATCACTCGCATCATCATCTTGACCGCCATCATTGAAGCATTGAGCCCAATCGAGAGGGAATGCGCTACTTAAAGCTATTTTGTAAGGGGTTTGAATCGCAGAGTCGAATGAGGTTCGACGAGGAAGCAGTCATGGGGACGATTAGAGCCAGCAGGTGCCCTCGTGAAAACACGACCACTCGTCATTTTCTGACATGTCTCTTGTCGACGTGAGAAAGGAGGGAGTAGGTGGACTCGATCGGATCGGGATACTTCAAGATACGTTCCTCCCGCGGGAACGGCTCCGGGTGGCTTTACGGATGGCTTTGCAAAGTATTAAAAATGTGACGGGGGTATCAGTAGTGCTCGACGGAAAAAGTTTAATACTGAATGATGACAGCAGAGATGACAGCACAGTTCCCATCGTGTAAGAGAATGGAGGACGCTTAGCCATTCTCTCACTCGACGACGGGTCCGTTGGCCAACTAGATAATATCAAATACATTATCATAGATTGAGCATCAGGAGAAGGTGACAAAGAACTACAAACTGTTAAAATCTTGGGGCATTTTTCGGATCATAGTTTTTAGGGGTTTGTTGAAAGATGGAGTCATATTATCCGTTGGGAAGCTAGCTCAGACCTGGATGTCTTGGTCTGGCGATATGCATTTGAGTCCTACGTTTTTCTTTTGTTTTCCCATACCCACAGAATGTATGACTTTGGATTGTAAATACGGGCGGAAACGAGCGGATGGGGATATAAGAGTGAGCCGATTTTGCTCTCGTTGAGTTCTGAGGTGGTCTCGGGAACCACTGGCGTTCGAAACGGCTTGATCATTCAAGTGACTGTTCGGATTTTCTTATGAGTTGAATAAAGATGTCTTCGACTCTATCTTCATCTTGCTCATTCTCCACGAGGCCCATGAATGCGTAGGATTATCTTACTGGTCGGATCTGTTCTCTGCTATGAGAACCTCACGCAGGATTGCCTTTAAATTTTTTACAATCTATCGTGAGAAAGCTCGTTGAACGGAACCTAATCGCTCTTTCCAATTACAGATGTTTGCCCATCGGTCATCCGACGTCCAGGCCCCTCAAGTCTCTACGGATTTCGATCGATTCAGCATTGGAAATAAATGACTCTGAGTGGTTCCGTGAAATTTCTGGCTCCGATAGATAATGTGTATAACTGTCAGCCAATCTGCCCAGATCCTGCTGAGGCCAATGAATCCCTCTTCCGGAGCCAGATATGTGTCAGAAACAATTCCACACTTTCAGACTCACCACCGCCCGATTGGAGGGGCTGGACTCTGGAACCTCTGGCCCCACCGCTCGAGACCGGGACCAGACGAGTTCAATGCCATGTATGTCGTCGATGGATGAGTGGGAAACAAGCTCTTGAAGGTCACATCAGATCACGTCATACGGGGGAAAGACCATATCCTTGTACTCTCTGTGGCAAAGCATTCGCAACCACGCCCGCTCTCCGTCTGCATGAGCACCGGAACCATTAAGTTTCTATTACCCTGTTTTCGATGCGTCGGAATAGGCTGCGTTACACTTCTCTGGAGCCCGACTCACGGATCTCGACGGGCGAGACTGAATTGCAGGACGATATCTCTCATCGCAGCTGCCTGCGGTGATGTCTGCCGAGAACTTTCAACGATACTTCGGGTTGATTGCAAGAAATCGTCGACTCTCGTCCTGCTCTCGAAATGAGCTGCAGAATAATCACAGTGCCAGTCTTCTCATGCGGTTTCCCCATCCCGCTACCCGTGAGCAAGAGGGGGTGAGGTTCTATCCCACGGGGCGGCGCCGTCCGGGAGATTACCAGCCTGGTGCAGCTGCGCGAATTCCCTGGAGTCGACAGTCGAAAGGATTCACGTTAGAGAACCGATTCACTCGCTCTAAGCTTTAAGTTGTACTCCGGTGGTGAATCACGCGATACGCGTTACGCGGCGACAGCAACGGAGATCGGGGACGAACAGTGTTACGACTGTTCGAAGAATGAGGCGATTTAACATCTCTAATCTTGGTCAGCAAGATACCGGGAGCTGATCCACGTCTCGGGGTTCCCTCGGACCTTGCGCTGTACCGATCACTGACAAATGGGTGGAGCGAGTTGCCCATAGAGATGATGATCGCCCAAAGAACAAACTCGTCGACCACCCGGCTTTCAAATATACCCACGAGCGCCTAATCATTGAGGGCACTTCCGAATGAGGAAGACTGAGTGAGAATGGGGGAATGGTGATCGTCTCGATTGAGAGACTACTGTAATCGTAATTAGCATAGAGCATAGGTATGAGCAAAACGTGCAGTTCAAGAGGTCTAGTCGCTTTTGAGGGTCGTACAACTTCCCGAGAGGCTGTGAAGAGCGTCACAGATCGGATCAAAATTCTGATCCGCCGAGTCAAGAGAATTCCGGTGACGGGGCAGAAGTTCTTCAGGCGGAGATATATATAAATATATGAGGTTGTTGTGTAGATATTCTTATAGATATATGGGAAGTGAAGGAGGAGGAGTGAAGTGTATTGCGGAATCGCATTGGATCCGATCGGTGTTATGCTGAGACGCAGTCTCACCCGTGATTGGAATATAAACGTCGAGTATTGTATTACTTGTGTGTTCTACCTGATTCTCCTTCGCCTACGGCGGCTGTCGATTCAATTTAACCGTGGAGGTATGACGGAGGAATGAGAGTTTTCTGACCACCCATTTTCTTCCAGGAGCCGTGCCGATTTTACGATGTAGCATTTATTCGAGCGATGTCCGAGAGTCGAACTCATCCAATCGGAGTTGTGAGAGACAAATGAGAAATCAGCCGTCATCGGCTCGTCGCCACATAAGGACGGTCTGCCGGATGTCGGCTAGCGTGGTGCTGTCATTGTACACAAAGTATATGCGCTAAAACCGAATAAATTATCCATAATGAGGAATAAAATTCAAAGGGGACAGATTTTCTTTTTCGCTCTTAGGCCGTCCGATCAGAGAGGGAAACTGGGAAAATTTCATGCTGAGGCGCAATGTCTTCGACTCTAGAGACTTCCATTGACAAGATAATTGCTCTTCCAGGGAATGATCACGATTGGAATCTCTTCGGTTTAGGTTCGCAATCGGCTATGGAATGGTCTCGCAAGAAGTATCAGTGTCTGTTGTGTGGCCGATGGCTTTCCACCAAGCAGGTAACTACTCGCTTCGCGTAGTTTTAAGTCCCGGCTCTTCTGCTCAGGTGAACGATCAAAATTGTCCGGTGGCTTGTTCTACAGGTACTGGACTCCCATTTGCGAGCTAAACATACCGGAGAGAGACCATTTCGATGCCAACACTGTGAGAAAACTTTCGCGTCATCGGGTGCTTTGCGGCTTCACGAAGACCGCAATCATTCGGCATAGCGTCTCGTTGGCGGAGGTTCGAAAATCTTCGGGCTGAGCAAGTTGTCAGGGTCTTGTCAAATCGAATGACGACAGAACCCGGGGAGCTATGTTGGCATGTTCATGAGGCGAGGAATCAGTATCTGGGATTTCGAAAACACGGGAAGTTCTCCCTTCAGCAAGAAGACGCTGTTAAATATTTGCTGCAAGGGGGAAAACCCACTCTTTGATTTTGTTGAGGTTCAATGCGACAGTTTAGACTTATCAAATCCTGAGGAGTGTTTTGCTCGATGGAGGAAGCTTGTTTTCTACTGTAATTTTCTCGCTACAGTCAGGCAATTCGCCGGTTGGTGACGACGTGAGACCGGTAGGGCGTCATATCGTCGGGCCACGATTCCGGATACGGATCTGGCTCGATACTGCGTTTCTGTATACACAGGTTTTTATGGAATTGTAACGACACAGTGAGGATGCTGAACGAGGCTGGAAAGCTCGCGGCAGGAGTCGAACCGGACAGATGAGTCAGTTCCCTCGACGATGTTCTGTGGAAGTGAGACTGGAGGAGCGTGATTGAAACCAGATATCTGTACGATGAAGCGTGGATAGCGGCTAGTGTCGCTCATCAGAGAGGCTATGTTTTTAATTTTGAGAGACACCAAAGTTTATTGTACATCCTCGACGCCGAGTTAATCAACGGTCACATATATGAACTAGTCATATTGGTATGTGGATCTGGGAATTTGTTTTCAAAGAATAGGTAGAGAGATACATATGTGCAGGGCGAGAAGAAGAAGGGCAGCAGGCGATTGTTTGTGTGATGTGAGCTATCAATCCGTGAGGGCTCCGAAAGGAGAAGTTGCGTCTACTGTTCCCTCAGTGTTTATCGAATGCGAGACCAGGAATTTGTGACTGTTTCTCGACTCACGCTAGGTATTCGCAAGCTAGTCCGATGTGTACAGGGTACAAGAGGCTCGATGACTCAAAGTTCTGAGGGACGAGGCAGAATATGGGTTTGTCGGGAAGAAAGTTATATACTTACACGATGGATAATATATCGTCCCAAATTATGTGAAACACTGATTGTACTATAGATAAGGACTCGCGTGAGAGATTGAACGAAGGTCGATATTAATAAATCGCAGCTCACGTTGGAACTCTGCGCTGGTGACCTTTTGATCAACTCCGGAAGGCCAGGCATATCATCTCATCGCGCGATGGCCGACCCGAAAAAACTCTGAGCAGAGCTCACCTCGTCGAGTGGGATCGCGGTGCTGTTTCATCTAAGATCCATTTTTTTCCAGATAATCGCGGCTCACGTCGCAGCGCTCGGGAGACCCTCGGGAAAACGCAAATCCCTCATATCTGGAGCCTTCGTGACAATAAAGTAACTTTCGATCTGCGGCTAGGCACTGGGGCACTGCTCCCCTGCCTGAATTGGAACCCGGCCGCGCTCTTCTTCGCAAGGATCGGAACCGCTCTTGGAAGGTATAGGGGTATCTGACCGCATTACATTTTCCACAGAGTTTATCTATGAAGAGGAGCTGCACCTACCGAGCATCCCACCTGTGCCGCACCTGAGCGATCCAGCCGCACCGGTGCGGGCTGATGACCTCTGTCCCCAAATAGTTCTGACGGGACCACCACAACCTCACGAGAAATTCGCCAAGGATGGAGATTTATTCAGCTGCCATTGCTGCTCGTACACGACTTCGCGAGTCGATCATATGCGAAGGCACATTTGGCATCGTCACAGCACCATCAAACCGTATGTGTGTACATTCTGCGGAAAAGGTTTCAGCCGTGATATGTCGCTGAAAGATCATCTCCGAACACTTCATACCGGAGAAAAGCCGTACCAATGCCAGCTTTGCGATGAAGCCTTCCCGTCTAGTTACCATCTATGGCAGCATTGTAAAAGTACGCACAACGGCAGGAAGTGATCATCCATACCTCAAATGTTGTCCAGCGCGAAATCTCATCTCGTGTAATTTATGTTGAATAGTTGAATTTGTGAATAAATAGGATATCGATCTGTTTCATAAGCGGAAAGAGGTTTGAGGTGATTCTTTCACTCTCACGGGCTGATGTTTCATATCGATAAGGAGCCCCCAGAACAAAGCTAATAAAAAGTTCTTCTTCCAGATGTGACTCCTCTCGTCGAAGTCTTCCGAGCTCTACCGCTCCCCGCCTTCTCGTCTGATTCTCATTTCAAGGGAATTCCGTTCCGTTTCTGTTCAGTCGATCGATATGCCTGAATACTCGAGCTGCTGTGCGAGATCCTTTTTTTTCCATTTCTCGATTCGGAGGAGAGTTTTGAACAGACAAACAGCGGATCGCGCTCAGTGATTTTCTGGTCTATCGCTGTCCAGGATCGAATAAATATTCTCCTTGAGTTTGGGTCGGGCCTCATTCGTTTCGACCTTTCTTCCCTTTTTTCCCTCGAACTCGCTCCCTCTGACAGTAACCCCGTTTCATTTCCTCATATCGTTATTGTGTTGATTTTATGTATGTTTTCGTTTGATTCGTAACTCGGGCACCCCTTCATTTCAGGAATGCTTTATCCGATGCCCGTCGGCGACGTTTTGCCTGCGAAATACAGAGACAACTCCTATATCGGGAGTTACTCGGCCCGCTCTAGATTGCCCATGATAACCGTGGAATCGAAAGTCAATTACAACGATCAGTACCGAACGCAAGGCTCTCTGCACCATTGCAAACACTGCGAATACAACACTAGTCGAGTAGATCACATGAAGAGACACATCCAGGCCCGGCATTTCGGCGAGAAACCCTACAAGTGCGCCCATTGCGAGAAGGCTTTCGCCCGCAAAGAGCTCTGGAAGGCACACAACCAGAAATTCCATTGGTTGGAACACCTGGCTAACTGAGACGGTGATCCGATCCGGAGCGCCGATCGATAGTCCAATATCAAGACTTTGCTTCGCAACCCGGTTAATTTTCCTCTACTATTGTCAATGGGGAACCTTATTCAATTTACTTTACAGAGCGTACATGAGCTCTACGCAATATACGATGCTAGACTACAATATGAGAAATCCTGAGTGTAATTTAACACTCGAACTACACATACTTAAAGCACCCCTCTCCCAGCTCGCTGAACACGAACTACGGAGTGTTGATCCTTCATCATTGCTATTCGTGTCCGAATAAGCCATTGGAGTGCCAATACATTAGTTGCAATCTTTGTTACGATAAAAGCTATACGTCTACTTTAACTATCCAGCAATCGCTAGGTAAATCCGGAGAGGACCTGACAAACACTGGGGAATTACCCATCGGTATAATCGTAGAAGCGGTTGCAGCAACTGGAACCGTTCGGAATATTCTATCCAGATCGATTCGGAACACATCAAGCTACATATTTACACCACATATTGAACGCATATTTTTTCTATATCATCGATATGCTCCTTATATACATATCCGAACTTATCCGTTCAGCCTCAATTGTTGGTAATCCATATTGAAATGAATAAATTTTTTTCGAGCTGAAGACTTGATTATTTCTTACTGCTCCCTTAGGCTGCGAAGATTCCGGATATCGAGGCGGGTCCGAGAGCAAAGTCAGAGAGGAGGAAACTCTATCGGCTAGCAGGGGATAGGTCCCACAAAGGCGTCCCGTAGAGCGCTAATAACGAAATACGGGCCCCAAGTATATCGATTATGGTTCCACATACTCGGTCCCAAGCCCCAAGAATAAGAACTAATGATGTGAAAAGCTAAGAATTATCACTCTTACAGATATATTACGGTCTGGAGTCTCCGCATCGTTTAGCGATTTATGTCCCGGCCCGCTCAGAGGATCCCAGACGGACTCTTTCCAGATCACAGAAGCCGGCTTTTATGTCTGTCGCCAATGTTCTTATCGATCGGCCTGTTTCAATTCTATTAATAGCCACGTGCTCTTGAATCACTTCGGTCCTCGCAGAACTCGCTTCGTCGCGAGTGACCGTATAACACGCTATGGGAGGCATTTCTTGTGAGATTTTACCTGTCTATCTGAGTTTTCCACGGATCGAACGTGTAATCAGCGGGATGGTCCCTCCGCTACGGTTCCGCTTGGGTAGTTGATTAGTTGAGCACATATCTCGAGTGCGAAATCGCCGCATTCTCACCGTAGTTGCACATCATTTTTCCGTTTCGTGATCCGACAAGCGTGCTGTTTCCCTCCCGGGATAATCTGCCCCGAGTCCCATAGTGTAAGAATACGAATCGACTCCGTTGTCTGTTTTCGAACCAGCTTGAGACATTCCCATAACGACTGTCAATAAATGTGTATTCACGGTGAAGAACGTCCGCTATGATCTCTTCGGGTGCTTCGGGTCTATCGACGGACGGGAAAGCTATCGGTCTCAGATTGCAGCCAGAAATGAACTTCCAAGGGAATCCTTACTAACGTCTCTTCTCCTTTCAGAGCTCCGACTGCTTCTAAGGCCAACGAGCTGGGAGACCTTCGATGTTCTGCTTGTGTGAATAAATTCGGAATTTTGACCACCCTCGTTTTCCGAAAGAGAAGGAGTAATGCATCTGATTCTGATATTCCAAAAATTGCTTGCAGGCCAATTCACGATAACCCCCACCGGACCTTCATTGGTAGGTCGGCCGGCTTCTCAAGTTCCATCCGGACCACCAGGGCAGCCAGCACCGATAATTACGCATCCACCGTCACCTCCGTTCAGCTCTTGTTCGGCTCTGGTTCCCGTTAGCTTAGCGGCATCCCTCCCAAGCAGCCTCCTAGTTTCGTCAAGTATTCTAGAAATCGCTCCGCATTCGGAACAACTTGGACCTCTGCTGAAGTTACAAAGACAAAACGGTCTCTATCATTGTCCGGACTGCGACTACAGTTCGCCGGTAGTGACCAATGTGCGGTACCATTTTAACAGTAAGCATTGTATGGTGAAGCCGTTCTCATGCGGATTCTGCGGTTCTACCTTCGGCACGCTTGTTCAAAGGGATAATCACGTGCGACGAGTGCATACGGGAGAGCGACCCTTCCGTTGCGACCGATGCAATAGGGATTTCTTCTCGAGAAACTCACAACTCTACCACAGCTGTGGTAAATAGTCACATCAAGAATCTAGAGCTGTAGGTACCAAGTAGTTTGTTTAAGCGTAGCGCTAGGGCTGGATGCGTTCTGTTAACGAACCGAGTAGCATTTAATAGAAGTTCACCGAGAGCAGCATACATGCCTTAGGAATGTAAGATCGAGTCATCTGATAGTCACTGCTTCATTGATCGGCTCCTCATCTCTCTTGATCAGAGAGCTTGAAACCTCAGGTGGTTCCCTCGAACTAGGAGAGAGTCTCGAGAGAACTTGTCTGGAAACCGTTCTTTCCTGCCCCGGAAGTGCGTTCGGTGGTGATTTTTCCCTTGTTCCTTGTTTTTCCGACCTCATGAGAAGAAATTGGTATCTCCGGGGTCGGTCCTCTGAGAGCTGTTGGAAATCATGTAAAACCAATGTAAAAATGAATACTACTATTTAAATAAACTTAGAAGGACTTGCACGTCGGCGAAGAGTGTTTTACGTTCGAACCTCATATCTCCAAAAGCGTGAACTTTTTCCCCGGGGCCCGGACGAGGAGAAACCGTGGCGCTCGGAGATGCTCCAATCTGAATGAGCGTCTATAAATGTATTCGAAGACCTCAGCAGACTGAGCTTATCCACGCTCGTAGAAGGCCAGTAACTGACACCCATGGGGGAACCTCGCTCAGTCCCTGAGATGATGGGTCGCGGTCCGGGCCGAAAGCAGCGGGATAGATTTAACTCTCAATCGATGAAGCAAGAAATCCCCGATAAGTCATTGAGCCTTTGCGTGGAGTGAACATAAATATTACCGCTCAGGTGCGCATACGGAGCCCCTTAACTGATTCAAGTTCTTCTTCCAGATTTCGCAGATTTGAAAGATCAAAACCTTCCGGTCCCATCCTTCCCTCCATTTGTTCCGGAGTTTCATTCAGTTCAGCCTTCTGTTTTTTCCCTAATAAAAATCGATCTATGATTTATCTTGATGAATATTCCCCGTATCTATGTTCAGTTTTTCTCAGGAAGTTCCTCTGGTGTTTGCGGATTTATTCCCTTCTTTATAATTCGCTTCTGTTGCTCAAGCGAGCTCATTAAATTCCGTGTTTGCTCTATGATGTCTTCGATTTCTGTTCTTTTCCCGTTCTGATTTTGACTTTTGTTCCCTTTTCCAACCTCCTCTCTAGACGCAGGCGACTGGAAACAAATCTTCGACGGTATCGGTCTTCTGAACATGCCCTGGCCAGGGAGCGAACTCGAACGTGCAGAGAACAACAACAATCATATCAGTAACGCCGATGCGGGCACCCCGGGCAGGCATGACGGGAAGGAGAGAGAATACAAGTGTTACTTCTGCGAAAAAACCTTTTCGCGAAAGTATCGCCGAGATACCCACGTCAGGTGAGTTCATGGTGTCGTAGCCTATCGAGCCGCAGCGACCTTGCTCTATGAGCGTTTGACTCACGGGTGTCTTATGTTCGCAGGTGTATACACACCAAAGAGAAGCCGTATCCTTGTCCACATTGTTCGAATACATACGCCTCTCAGGACAAAGTTTGGAAACATATCAATACTGCTCACCCTGGCAAGCCGACGAAAGCTCAAACTCAGCTCCAGGCCGTAACTTGGCACTAGTTTCGCCCAGCAATCACAATCAATGGTGAAAGTGAAATTGGATCGGCACAGTGTCAGCCGGCTGGCCGCGACGGCATAATCTCTTAACTACCGCATCACAGCCCGATAGTCCGAGAAAGACTCTGTTCGAAAACTGTATCGTTCGCGAAGACTGATCAAGCGCCCTGTGCTCCGGGTCGACCCCGGTTGGATCGAGCCGGAAAAATCGGGAGCTGAAGCGACAGGATCGGAGGACTCGACAGTTTCAGATCCGGGGGTTCGATTCGGGAGTTTTTCGCTCCGAGAGGTCGGTGCGACGATATTAAACTCTACCTGATCTCGAAGACGACAGACCGTAGCTGAAGAGGGAATATGAAGAGGTCTGAAAGGTGCCAACGACCATCTAATCTTAACTCAAGGACAGCGGAGTCCCGTCGTCGTGGGGGACCGTCAGATAGTGTGTTTTCTGCCCATGGTGGACCAGGTCGACACGCGGCACAGGAATCAACCTACCCAATGAAATTAGTCGGTCATTTTGAATTCCGTTCATTGTGGGTGTTGCTCTCCGTATCCTCGGGTCCACGATGGCGGGAATGGTATAAGTTCGTCACAATCGATGTTCACAACTTTGTAATGATAAATCATCATAGGTACCCGCCCCATATCACTCAGTCTATCCACATCTGTGCTGCGAATACTCCTCCGACGGTCGGATGTAGCCGTATTATGGAACGCGCTTCCTAAGAATAAACGATTCTCATGGAAGAGAACGACTGTTGGTTTCCTATGAAGTCAATTTCTAAATCCGACTTCCTTCGGATAATTGCGAGAAGATGTGAGAACGAGAAGTCGATCCGACTAACGCGAACTTTCCTTCCAGAGGATCGAGACGATCATCGCAGTCGCCGCCTCGTCCAATCCCATGGGATATCGATCTCTGCCCGAGTAATTTCCGCTGAATAAAAATAGCTGCTATCGACGGGCTTCAATCAAATGGAGCTCCGTGTACTCCATAACTCTCCGAATTTAGCGAACGAAGGGCCGACGGCTCGAGTAGAGGAAGGTTGGCCGAGCCGAAATATAAAAATCTGACTAGGAAAGGTTCTCCGGTGTTTTCAGACATCGATCCCTCCTACGACGTCGATGAAGACGACTCGAGGATGATGGCCAACGAAGAAGTGGCCCTCGGGTTCTACAATGATCTGCAGGAACGCTTCGGACCGGAGCATTATCGCCGCTTCGGCGGAATGTACTTCTGCAGGTTCTGCGCTTACACAAACGCGGTCTGCAAAAGTCTCAAAAAACATTTCTACCAACATCACGCTGCCATGCGACCCTACGTGTGTTCCTACTGTCCGAAAACATTCGCCGCGAGAAGTCCACTAGTTCGGCATATTCGAACCGTCCATCTGAAGCAGAGACCGTACGGTTGCACGCATTGCGAGATGTCCTATACGAGCTCGACGTCCCTGAACAAACACATACGAACCGCGCATTGAGAGCTCTGCGGGAATTCTCTCGTAATCTCGTCCCGCGCATTGATCATGAATCATGAACATTCTAGTCATTCACGATTCTAGTCATTTACTCAAAAGAACGCTGCGGCAGATCTCTTATACATATAGTATAATATATTTATAGTGTACAGCTGTATCCCATGCATTGGAAGCGGAGATCGCGCTACCTACAGATTCTAAGCATATGTAGGTACCTTACCTGAGTCCGGCGAAGCATACGATACGCCTTTATCATTCCCACCATTGACCGCTGTGTATGTATATTACTATCGAAGGAGGCATAGCGCGAGCCGACTTTCTGGAACTTGGAACACAGTGGTGACTGATGACTGTAGAGCCAAGGGCAGCTATTCTTCTGAATAGAGTTTTAGCGGCAAACTGCCTAGTTCGACAAGAGGTAATGTGATGTACGCTCATCACCCGAGTTGCCAAGGTCCACAAGGAGCTCCTGGGGTGCGCAGGGGTCTGTAAATTCGAAATTCCTAATCGAATCGTCGTGAAAATGGGCGCAGATTTTTCGCGGTTTGATCTCCGACAACTTCCTATTCTCTCGGGCAATCTGTCTCGAGCAGGTCTTCTCGAGTCTGAGCCCTCAGTGAGGTCGAAACTCGACCTGTGAGCGGAATTCCTGTGAAAGGAGCACCCTGAAGTCACCGTGAGCCGGAATAGAGTTCCTCTAAGTAGCCCATGTTGAGAGGATTACCTTATCCGAGTGGAGGAATCGAAGCCCAGTTCCTTACTCGAGGTGAGTTCATACGGGGCGCTCTCCTCGCGAATCAAAACGTTGGCGGGTCGTGGTTCGACCGAGCTCGACTTTGATCACGTAGGATCCTGGAATAGGGTGAGAGATTATCCCATCGGAGTACGCGAGGTATCCGCTCAGGGAATCGCAATCTCGGAAGTGACGTCTTGAAATTCTCACGGCATGGATGGTGTCGTGGTAGGTAGTAAACACTGTCTCGAGAATCTAGTCTTGATCGATGGAAGGTGCGATAACCTGGAATAAATATCGAGTGGAGTCATTCGGAGTGAATCCTCCTCATTGTTTATCATTGAAGTCGCTGATCGACAGAGCGGGCGAGACCGACCAATGCTAATGCTTTCTTTCCTTGCAGAATCTTGTCACACTTCCAATACTACCCGCAGCGCAGCAACGTCATTCTTCTCTTTGCTCGTCCGTCATAAATAAGTCCCGAAGTTATTTGCGAATCCAGTGCGGAAACTCACTCTTTGACGGGGATAGAGGGAACAGGACCACCTTGAGCTGGCGCGGAGCCTAAGCCTTGAATCGTTTCCAGAGAAGAGGAGCGTCGCCGTCGAGGCCGTGGGCGTCTTCGACTCCGATGACAAGGATTGTCGGAAAGCTGGGGAGAACGATTCGCGAAAAGAACAGGAAGAAGAAGAGGAACCGCAGCCAATGCCCCCAGAGAACAACACCAAAGAAACCTCCAAAGAGCAAAACCGGACCCCACAGAGAACTCCGCCTCCCAGAGAAGACGAGAGATTCAACAGTAAAATTCACTGTGCGGGCAACGGCCGCCAGGTGGACGGCGTTTATTATTGTGCTCTGTGTGATTTCCAGCATTCTAATTACGTCTCGATCCGCGATCACTTCTACAAGAACCATCAGGCAGCGTCTCTTCTGAAATGTTCTTTCTGTGAGAGACAATTTAGCCGCGGAACGAGGCTCGAGGATCACATCCGAGCCAAGCACACTAACGAAAAACCATTTACGTGTAAAAGATGCAACAAAAAATTCGCGTCTACTTCAGCGAGACTTATGCACTGTAAATCTGCCCATTCATCACGAGAGACGTAGAAGTTATGTAAGCCCAACTATACATCCATCGATCAGTCGACCTGCTCAGATGGATGTTGGGGATTGGTGGAGACCCAAAGATTCGAGCTCAAGCGATGAGCATCGGCTCGAGGCATGTGCTGAGAAGATATTTTAGGATTCCGCAAGGATCCGCCGTGAAGGCAGTTGGTGTGCGAGACCGTGTGCCGAGATTCCATCGTGGACGCGGGAATGAACGCGCTTCGACATCAGTGGGCGGTGAATAAAAAAGTCCTGGATTCGATTCCCCGTTGTGTTTTCTAAGAGGAGCTCCAATCGATCGCGAGGAAGTTGGCAATGTATCCGTCTGCATTTTTGAGCAGAAATTCAGAATGGTCCGGAAAAGTTTCCCTCGATTTCGTTTGAGAAGTCCGTTCGTTGTGGAGCTCCTCGAGGAATGTAACCAATTGATGAAGCTCGAAGTGTAAGTCCGAAGAGAACTCTCCCTGAGTAAAGGCTGGGGTGTATTGGGTTGAGTCGCACTATTTCCAGTAGCGGCGGGCCCCGAGCCCCTTCCATGCTTTGTTCATCCAACCGCAAAATAGAATAAGTGCACAGACGGGGAGGTAAGGGTACCGGTGATATGTTCATTTGGATTGAGAGAAGCGTTGACAAATTCTATCAAGCATTTTCTTCTTACAGATCATTGCGAATCGGGATTTTCCGAGAGCTACTTCGCATTGGGTCAGGAAATTCGCGGATGTCCACATCTGATTCGGAGAACATCCACTCCTATCTCCTATCCCTTGTGAAATATAAGAAGTCGCTGGTAGATCCGAGGGAAAACGCTTCGGCTGAGAGGAGCTGCTGGTGATTTAGCCAGGGACTTCCTTGAGCATTGCCCCCCACATGTGAAAGAACGATAACTCTGTTTCGGGAGTAGTTTTCGCCCCATTTCTCAGGGGTTCAGTCCCTCATTGGCGAGCCGATTGCTCTACACGTCATGATTCTTTAAGTGCGTCTCTTCGAGGGAATGGTGTCTCGGCTCTTGAAGTTGATCTGGAACGTGAAGAGATCGGAGATTACTCTCCGCAGCCTGTTTGCAGTTATGGTTCGCATCGGAGGTTTCAAGTTCATCGTTTCTCGAGTTTTTATCGAGTTCGTTGATATCTCTGACATTTCCCATTTCTTCGTTCGCTCGGCCTAGGTTCTGCATTCCAATAAATCCCCGATTGTTTGTTTTGTTTTCATTGTATTCGTGCTTCCTAACAAACTTGAGTTTCCGTCCCGAACCCACCGCAACGACAAGTCGAGTATTGATAACTGCCGCGGATTTTTCTGACTCGGTCGACTGCTTTTTGTTCTAGACGATCTCTTCTCGAATAACGAGTTCTACGGCGATATTTCTCGTCTCATGGAACGCAACAACAATGCTCTCGTCGGCAAGTACGGTGATTCGCTAACACAAGACGCCTCAGGTAAAATGGCGAGATTCAACCGGGAAAGCGACCTTCAGAAAGTCTTCCAGGAAGACGAATACATCGTCCGCGATCCCGACGAAAGGTATTTATCCCGCCGTTCAGAGTTTTGCATTCAATAAAAGCCTCGGTAGGAGCTGCTCTGAAGTCTGAAGTGTCTTAATCCCCTATAGGTTCCGCTGCCTATTCTGCGAGCACAGAACTTCGTCGCGATCGCGTTGCCGAGAGCACGTGCGCACGCACACTGGCGTCAAACCGTATCAGTGTGCGATGTGCGGGCGCTGTTTCAACAAACGGGAATGCCGCGACAATCACGTGCGATCACGGCACACGTTAGAGAAGCCTTACAATTGCAACCTGTGTCCGAAATCCTACTCGTCTTCAGCAGCCCTCGCAGTCCACCGCAAGACGTGTCGCATTCGACACCAGCTCGCCAACGAGCAAACTCAGTAGAGCTTTCTTTCTAGAAATTCTGATCATTGAATCCAGGACACAATCACAAGCCCGGTATCGAGCCTGGCTCGAAGTAACTTTTCGGTAGTCCGTCGCGTTCGAGAGAGTCGGCGCCGATTTTCAAGCATCGTCGTACAGACCTTATTCCTTTCGCTATAGAGAAGAGGATGTGTCGCTCCCAGGGAGCGGTCCGAAGAATTCACGTCGAATTCTTTCTAGAATACATTCCACATTATAGTACACAGTTACACAGTGATGATTGACGTTGAGCTGGCGGTTCAATTGGAGAGACTACGCTTTGGGTCGAGTTGTCCGACTCAATGGATGTCGATCGTTGTTGTCAGCAGCCAAATTGAGAGTAGCTGGCAGTTTATACTTGAACGAGAGGCATTTGAAGAAAACGGAGAGACGATTGTCTATTCCGAAGGGTTCGCAAGGTTCACATATTCCTTCAAGCATCGATACTGATATATTTATAGGCCACTTTCGGTTCCAATATCGAAACATTCATCGCGGTCCGTCACCGGAACGCTCAGAACTCTTATCGGGGCGGCGTTGTTGATCGCCGGGTCGAGAAGATCCCGCATACCGCCTCCGAGAGTCTTCAACTCTGAGTCGTTGACTTTTTTCAAGTCTTCGGGACATTGGGGGAGTTTTCCAATCAATTGTATTTCATTGTTCTACATTTTAGATTGTGTCTGAGCGTCCCAGTGCTGTGGAACCGCACGGGTGTACCTTATGTAGTCAATTTAGAGACGATCATATTCTGATCATACCATATTTTATTTACGAGGAGCTTTTACTTCAAGCATTCCGAACGATCCCGGTAAAACTGTACACCTTTCAAGAATTTATCGTTATCGAACAAATTGTTCGCCCTCATCGAACACCCGACTTTTATAGCGATGGCTCGCTTTGCGGTGCCATAAAATACCGAACATTCGAATCCCTAGTACAAGATGCATACATACATAGATACATACCATACGAAAGATCGAAGGATCGCCTAAAGTGGCGTCCGCAGGCGTCCAAACATTTCCTTGGCATATATAGGAGGGGGATTCCATTCTGGATCACAAAGCCATCCCGAGGCGCACAGCCGTCTCGCATAATTCATCTCCACCAACATTCATTGCCAAGCTTTCAATACTAGACATTTTCCTTCGTCTGATCCGGTAGCTTCTGCCTGAATTCATTAATGGAGAACGGCGGACAGAATGAAGCAGGGATCCGAAATGGGGATATCGAGATGAATGTTGTACGCCAAGGATCGACTTCCGCCATCCATCGAGTACCTCGCCTCCGATCAAGCTGTGGCGACGAGGTGGAAACTGACGGATTGCCTAAATAGGAATCGAATTCGGTTTGAAATTGAAATGACCAGGGCAGCCGACGGTTGATACGTCGAGATAATTCTCATACCGCCACAATCATATCCTCCACTCTTTTTCCTCTCCACTTTTGACGATGAGCAGTTTTCTACACTGTGCCAAACATCCGTTTATTTGACACTACGTTTTCGAACTCGAGCCAATAATCTGAGAACGATCGCCAGACGGCGGAAAGTTCTCGCGACAATTGCCAATCAGCTTCCATACCCGGTACGCATGTTAACTCGAAGGAGCAGGACGACGTTTTATACATTTTGGACGTTGCTCCCTCACTGTGTTGATTTATGGTTCAAAGGAGCATGTGCCAAGAACTTCCGGCTCGAGACGATGGTTGAAAAACGCTGAGTCGTTTGTTGCCAGACTGTTACTAGTGTACACCGCGTTGGTGTAAAGGAAGGGCATCTCCCCGTGTGTACAATCCCTCCATGATGACTAAGAACCTATGAAAGAAGAGCGCAAGTTTAACACAATAAAGTTGGAAATCCAACGTCTACTTTTCTACCCTGAAGATCTCGCGTTCTCATTCGCTCTATCGGAAGCAAATATTCTTCTTGGCAGAGATTTAGATGAGCAAAACTGACGTTCGTTTTTCTTCCAGGGTCTGTTCCCGCCTAGGATCCGGATTCTCGACAACGGTCATGGGACCTCGAAGAGCTTCTCGATGGAATGTTCTCTCAAGTCCTTGAGACGCAATAAAACTGATATGCATTCGGGACAACTTTCGAATAGCGCCGTGGAATCAGATGCGCGACGCCTACGTCCCGCTCAGCGAGTCTTCTTTTCTGGCATATGCTCTCAATCAGAACTTATGCATGTCTGGCTTTCTCTTCTGGAGTTTGATGATGATTTCGCTCGTGTGCTCGATATGCAGGAAGCTGTTGCAGAACGCTTTCGCGAAAATATTCGTAATGAAATTTTTGAAACGCTATCTGCAGACGTTCCTGACCCGCTCAAAGAAGACATGGATCGCGCCCAACTCCACGCCGTTTTCAGCCACCTATTTAGCGTAGTTTCGTCGCCGTCGACGTCTTCGACCTCGACAAACTCAACCTCTGAAAGATCCCCCTGTCGCGATCTAGGTAATCTGTCGGTCCGAGATCCGGACGGATCTTTCCGATGTCTCGTCTGTAATTATAAATCCAACAGGAACATGAAAACACATCTCAGGACCCATACAGGGGAACGTCCATATGAGTGTGAGTATTGCGGGAAAGGATTCACCGTTCGAAGTGTCTTGATGAATCACGTCCGCGCCATCCACACCAAGGAACGTCCATTCAAGTGTGAGAGATGCGGACAGGGTTTCCCGTCCACTCCGGCCCTTTACATGCATCGCAAGACTTGTCAAGGAGTGCCCAGTCCCATCTAAAGCGACCTCCTCTTCTGAATGATACTCAGTGTCAGTCGAAATGACGCTTTTTGACTGTATTCTCCGTCGGCTGATCTCACTTCCTGTGGTCACCCGTCACCCGGCGGTGTCTGTGAACACCGTGAGGCAGATCGCGTGCTTATTTTCCAACCCAACCTTGCGCAATCTGCATTTCCCAGCTCAAATCATAAGTTCATGCGAGTTCAGTCTCGAATCTCCCGGGAGCATCCCAAGTCTCTGAAAATCCTAGGTAGTTCCTCCGAATCGCGGCCTCCGCAATCATTAAAGAATCCGAAGAATGATATCCAAAGACTTGCTCCAAATCGAGTGCGTTCCCCTGTGATCGCCTGGGTCTGCATGACGCTTGCATATGATGTCTAGGAGCTCCGCGCACTCCTGTTTCATTCCCGGCTTCCCGGGTCCCGATGAATTATGATTTGACTTAGTGAGGTTGTCCGCTCGAAACTGCTTGGAATCGTGTCAATATCTTTTCCCGCATACTTGATTAGGTAGCCGTGGTCTACCCTCGGATATGCGCCACTGAAACCATGATCTCATATTTTTTCGACAAGTCTCCCTCCCTTGGAAGAGAGAACCTATGTATGATCTCATTATTAAGAACCTCATTTCGTTCTTTTTGTGGATCCGTTGGGTTTCCTAAAGGAATAAATCTCGTTTTATTTCTCAAGCGATCCGTATGTTTCATTCTCTTGCTCAGAACCTATCAATCCTCGGGATTCTGTGTCCTCTCATTATGATTTCTTCCTTGACTCAGCTTCTGGGCGATGCCGCCAGCTGAGATTTTGATACATTAGTAGATCAGCAGCTCTCCCGATTTCGTGTTGTCTATCCTCGTCTCTGCCCCTCCTCGAACCACATCGTACTTCCGAGTCGGAAGTTCCGAGTCGGTCCCGCTCAACCCCGGTTTCTGGGTCAGGATGACCAAGAGGAGATTCTTAGACTCTTTCTTGGAATAGAAAAATCAGAAGGGCATCATATGAAGGGTAAACGAAGAAAGTTTCCAGCGTTGACGATATATTTATATATATTTATCGTTCCAGAAAGCCCGAGAGACACCATCCGTCCTCTGATGATCGACGGACTGCTGCCGGATAATTTTTGTGCCTTATCTACGACTATCCGGAGCGAGCTCCGCAAATATCTCTCTGAATTCGTCCAGCGTCATTTGCAAAAACTGTAGGCATATAGGAGGGGATCCGCACCGACCAATCGGTCTCGGGCTTAACAGCGATGAAGATTCATGAGGAAAGCTGCTCGAGATCCTTAGACGCCTACTTTTGGAAGGAGCGACAGCAAGAGTACTTGATCCCTATCGAAGCCAGCTCTCGCGTGGACTCGATCCAGAGTCTAGATAATCTGTTGACGCTCTTTATCGTGTATTCTGTGAGGTATCCTCGATTCCGAGCGTGAACTGATCTCTGCCCCTCCTTCCAGAATCAGCGTGGACTCGCTTGCCATGGCCTTCATAACTCGACGCTCTTCACAGCTGCATCAGAGGCGCTCCTCGAATATACGGGAGAATTCGCTGGGCGAGGAATAAATGTGATACGATTCTCTCAAGCCTGTCATTGATCTCCCGATCCCACTACCGGAAGCTTAGAAAGCCTACCCTTATAGACGCGCTACGCGCTATGCAACCATCGTGGCAGCTCTTGGGGCTGCGAGGAGACGCGGTGATCTATCCTACGGGAAGTCAGCGAACTCCCGATCCCGAACTGAAATGAATAGCTCCGCTGCGGAATATTCATTCGGATCAAAGATTGACGCTTGTCCTAAAAACACGCTATTGACTGGAAGATCTCCCAGTAATCGTCGGGTTGCTCTAGGTTCTTCGATTCGAAGTCACCCCTGATATGCATTTCACAGGAAACATGGTCCGTCGCCGTGGGAGACCGGGACGAGATATCAATTTCCCAATCACGATTGACGAGAATCCCAGCATCCATTCGGAATCACGGCGAATATTCCGCTGTACTCTCTGTCTCTATTCGACCACGGTCAAAGGGAGCATGGAATCACATGTTAGGCGTCACACCGGAGAGAAACCGTTCCAGTGCTCTGAGTGTGGTCGAGCCTTCGCTCAGCGAGGGATTCTCTATCGCCACTATCGAGAGGTCCACCAGAACTTCAAAAGGAACAATATTCGCCTCGAGGAATATTAGTGGAGCCTTGGAGCCTAGGATTCGGGAATCATTATACCGTCAACTGACACTCGATAATGCTGTGTCAGAGAAGAAACGTAGACTTCAGTTTCCAAAGAAGTGGTGTATAAACAGTATCAGCAACGTCAGCATGAGACGCGGCTAGACGGTAAACTGTGTAATCTAGTCTGAACCACTCGTTATTCTGTTTTGTTCATTTGCTTTAGCATACAAGCATTTTACCAGCTCTGACAGAGCGCCAAGAAGTCTTCATTTCGTGTTTCATTGTATTCTAAGAAATCATCATAAACGATCCCTATAGACTGTGTCGCGTGGGGCTCTCTATTGATCTCTGCGAGTGATGAAGGGAACTCTGGATTTTCGAATGCGAAATGCGAGCGATCTGTCTCCACCAAAGATTTTGGGCATGGTCTGGTGCTCCTCACTCCCGAACCATCTCCTGTATCCTCTGTAGAAACTAGGGCTACATCATAGCTGAACTTGCGGAATGAGCGAGCGAGCGATCACTGTGAATAACCTATCACATCTTACCCCATAGAGATAACATAACATTGTAAATAAATCACTCCTGTGATGTTGGCGCATCCACAAGTACTCGTTGCCATGCCGAATTCCTTGAAGATTCATATGAAAAATTGATCGATTACCATATTGACATGAATTCTTCTTCCAGATCATAGACCTCAGAGATCAGGTTGGCGGCTCGACTTTTTCTTCCTAAGTTCCCCTGGGTCATCTCCGATTAGTCATCGAATCGTCTCTTCCTTGGCTTGATAAATTCGTTCTTTTTCCGTTTTTCTGCTTGAATTGTGTTGTTTATTATTGAATTCCCTACTCTAGGGAAAACCATGATTTCCTGGCGAGCTCTCGCATCTCCCCTGTTATTGTTGTTATCATTATTGTCTCGACAGCTGGATTCGTTCATTCTTTCGACAACTCCCTCGATTCATGATCTGACCACCACTTTCATTTGCTCATATTTGTATTTTATTGCGATTTTCCCTGATCCTGATTTACCGCTGACCTGAATTAGAACTCATACTTTCCTTTCTCCCACCGTGCAGTGAGCTCATCATCGTCTAATCCTGGATTCTTCCGTCTTGAAGAAGGAAAAGGCCGCGTTCGGAAACCAAATCGCAAATACGAAATGTCGCCGCATTTCCGCGTAGTTGATGCAGAGGAATCGGTCGACTCGATTCTGCCTTCGTTGGAAGAAGGAGAACACTACACCTACGACCCGAACGCTCGCATGCACTCGTGTCGATACTGCCCGTACACCTCACCGCAACGAGGCCACATGACCTGTCATGTACGCACGCATACCGGGGAGAAGCCTTTCGAATGCGCGATGTGCGGTAAATCGTTCTCTCAGAAAAGCATCTTGACCCGTCATCTCAAGCTGACGCATAAAGTGCCGGGTGTGGGAAACGTGGCAGCAGTGACCTGGTATTCTTAGGCGAACTTCTCGATCGATCGAACGACCGACCGCCCACCCGACGGTTCAAACGAAGGAAGAAGCACGATTTAGTCTCTTTGTACGACTTAAATCCTTTTATAGCACATAGGGATCGATCATATTGCAAATGCGGAAACGTGACGAAGACCTTTTAGAAGCATGACAGATTGATTGATTGTTTGATAGACTTGCAGATTAGCTATGAATGAGTGATCGATGAAGACGAGGATCCCTACCAGGTGCTGATCTAAAGTTTGGTTGTGTAAGGGGACCGTGGAACTTGGAGCCGGTTCCCGGAGCGTAGAGAAGTTTTGCGCTTTGTATTCAAAATCATGTATTACGAGGTTTCTGTCCCCTTCGCGGAGCCAGACTCGCTCATTCACACTCTCCGAAAGAGACACACGCTCACAGACGAGTCATTTCGACCCGTTTGTAAACACGCGAAGACACCGCGTAACAAACGTTTCTTCCCGACCAATCGGTTGGTTCCAGCAGCAAATGGTTCCAGCAGCGCGACGCTGCGTCACGTGAATCGGCGTGCTGACGACCGATCCCTTCTAGCGTAAGAGTTTTTTCTTGATCATCCTCGGGACAGATGTGTCGTTCACGACGGAACAATGCGACTACAGTAGTCCGTAGGCAGCGAAGTCGATCGAAACAGAAAACCACTATTCGGATTTGTGCTTTAAAGGGAGCGGAAGAGAATTTCGCGGCCTCACTTTCTGAAGATGAAAACGAACACAAACCCACAGAGGATCGGATAAAATAAGAGCTGTTCTCCACAGAGTTCGAGTTCGCCTCGGGTCAGTTCGGGGTTTGCTTCGTTCCTTGACGAGCACAGAATGGACATCCCGAATATTCCGAGCGTGCGGCGAGAGTGCAAACCTGAGTATTCTATACCTAGTATTATTGCTATTCATTTACACGAAAATTATCATGACAGAATAATTAAATATATATCGAATTATATCGACTTGGAGGAGAAACAAAACTGTGAGCAGTGCAATACGATTAGCATATCTGGAAGAGGTGAATTTACGATACGTACCGGCAAAGGAGTGCTAATGCAATGTGGTTGTGGTGAAACAAGAAAATCATTTCCTATCACACCCGACATCACGGATGATTTCAACTTTACGAAAGGCCGTTGGCGATGAGCTGGCAGCGATTTGTCGTCTGACCAGTTCCCCCTTCTCAGGAACTTATGTATTATATCGAGCATTCTGAAGTAGTGCAATACAGTGGACGAGAACGTTCGAGCGTCTTCGCGGTCGGCAGTCGATAATTTTTCTGAGATCCTCATGCCCGCCACGGGCCGCAATATTATTCCCACTAAGACAGTACGAATTCGTGCAATGTATGCGACATGTTCACTCGTAGATGGGAGTAATTCTGCATGCAGGAGCTCCTCGCTACGATATCGCTCTTATCACACCCTGAGTATGTAATAAATTTGTCTGGTCCACTAAGTCAGCAGGTCGCTTTTTTTTATCGTTTCAATTATTTCATCGCATCAGAGGCTCATTGAATCCCGAAGACATTTTTCGAAATGCCGAAATCGACGATCATATACTAAAATTCCGTCTTCTTGCAGATTACAGGCTCGTTGTACCTTCGGTGAATGCGGCACCTGCTTGAGCGCATGTAAAATGGTATTTCCCCGTTAGCGAAAAAGTATTTCGAATGCAGAGGTCGTCGTGTCTGAATAAATGGCGGAGCTGCAATTTATTTTGGTTCTTTTTTCGTTCTCCGACGGTCCTGCCTTATTTCCCCCCGCTTGACCTCTGCATGCCATCCTCTGATTAGCTCCGAACGATGTTCCTCCTCGAGCGCCCGCCCCCTTCCTCATGCCGGTATGCTGGCAAATCGTCAGAACCCAGCTTGCGAGATGCTTTCGTATGCTCGTTCTCCGTCAAATTGACCTCTCTCAGGCCTGACTCTTTGTGAAGATTCCTCGCGTATCGTGATATGCCATGCGATTTTCGATTTCATCTTATATTCGACTCATTTCCCCACTTAGTTCCATCTAGTCATGTGCTTCTTTCCATTCGACTTCGTTGTGTCGCATCGAAAATTATTTCAGTCATTTCTTCCTGATTTCTTGCAGCTTCTCCGCTGATGGGTTCCATAGCTCCGTTCGTGGATAACTTTGACTATTCGGAGCCGAATCTTTTCTTCAGGAGCGAGTCACACTACATGTGCTCCTTTTGTGTTTACCAGAGCGTGAATCGTCAGCACATGATGGATCACGTGAGAACCCACACCGGAGAACGTCCTTTCCCCTGCATGCATTGCGGATATAATTTCCGCCAGCGAAGCAAGCTCCAACGTCATATTCGCACCGTTCATAAAAATAGCGTCTGAATTTTTGATGAGCTCGATCGAGCACTAGTAGTCTTCGCAATAATAGGCTTTCGTTGGAATATTGGACGTTTGTTGGTGGATATACATATATATATTTACACAAAAGGCTCGTCAGAGATGAAGGCTCGTTTCACAGGATCTTACCCTCTACCTTCCACGAGACAGGCTCATACGGAACTTGTTGAGAGTTTTCACTCGATGAGTTTGCTCTTTTGCAATATTTTCGGAAGCGAAGATTGTTTGACGCCCAGATGGCAGAACCGATTGGTGCTCGGGACTTCATTGGCAAGAGGTGATCTAGCTTTCATAGTTCTCGATGAGACCGCAATCCATGTCCGAGCCAAAGAGAAACCAAAGATATAAGGAAGAATCGCCTACGATTCCATGGTATCCTTGATTATGTTGCATGAATGGGAAGCTAGTCATTGAAAGTTAAGTCATAGGAGACGGAGTTGCCTAATCTAGAAAATGAGCGTATAGACTCGTATGAACTACTTATTCCTAGGCGAATGAGGGATGGATATTCGCTAGAGTTCTGTCATGGTGGGCCGCTAAAGATCGGAAGCGAGCGGCCCAAGCTCTAGAGTCCAGTTCTCGAACATTGTCATGGGTTCGGAATGATGTCACTGGGAGCGGATAGAAATTCGACTGACCAATTCGAGTGTAGTCAATGAGGATACTGCTGAAAGTTAATAAAATGGTACTTCCAACGCTTTGTGATTGATGGACAGAGTGAGGGGCGACGGACTTTCAGTCGGTGGAGATTGTGATGGATGGATGTCCACTCACGCTTGTTCTCCTTACAGGGCAATCCAAGGAGGAACCGCACCGCTTGGATTGCATGTGTGAATTGATTTTTGTAGAAAAGAAGGAGAATGAGAGGGGGTTGGTCATTCTTCGGTCGGAGAGGTCTACCTCAGTATCTCACATACGATTCCAGATTCTTATATTTCGTGCTCACCCATGCTCGCTCGAATAGTTAACTTTTCTTTTGCAGAGCTCGCATTCTCATTGAATTTCCCAGCGGAGGCCAAGTTTATCACGATCGGCCACCAGACGTATGTTGATGTCAGCCAATCCTTCCGCTCACCGGCGTGGAAGTTTTTCTTGCTCACCATTGACAAAACGCAAGCATTATGTCGACTGTGCCAGGGAATGTACGGATGCAATTTGGGCGTCAGCTGTAGCATTATGAATTTGCGGAAGCATATACACTCGTGTCATCCCGAGTACGCGAACCTCGCGTAGAGACAATCAGGGCCGAATAACATTTCCGAACGCTCTTACGCCAAGTTCTCGATCGAGCAGTGCAATTTTTTCATGAGTTTCCCGCACGTACTTCTTTCTGGGAGGGTACATGCGAGCGATTCCTCAGCTCACTAGTGGCCAAACTGAGTGTATCGGATTATCATGGAGCTGGAAGCTCCTTCATTGTGTTCCAATACATGTGTATAATATACCCTGTGATGTAGATTGTGCAACATGGACTCGTCCATGGAATCAACCCGATATATCATTTACTATTGTTGCATTCCTGGGAAGTTTATATAGACATTCAGAGAGCTGTCGATGACTCACAAGGATTTCGGGGTGCCTTGAGGCGACATCGAGGGATCAATGATTGTTGAACCGAGGCCGACATCTGCGATAAAAGCGTAATGAAATTATCGATTTGCGAAATAAAATTCAAGATCAATCGGCGCTCCTTGATGATATATTCTCCTCCTTGTGCATTGCTATCAACATGATAGATGCTCGACGAATTCTTCCGCTGCGTCCTGCGCTTTGATAGCTCCGTAATTGAAATTGCCTCGTCCGATCGGATCGAGATCGAGCGCACTAATCTGACGGTCGCTAACAACTAGTTCTATTTTCCAGATTATCGGTTCACCGGGGAACCAGGCATATTCTTCACATTTTCCCCAGCAAAAAGCTTCCGTGAACGGGCGCCGTTCAAGTACGGACATCCGAGGATTGATTTTTCGCCCGCGTCTCTGATTCATCCATGAAACGGAGTTCATCGTAACGAGAAGACCCTGAGTCCTGGTTCCTTTTACTGTATGAAGCGACCGCCGGAGACGAATAAAAAATCCGCATATCATAAAATTCCTTGACGATCATGACCTCCCAATCCTAGGAACCCAGTGGGAATCGTCCCGTCTCCCATCTAAAATCCTCTCCATATGCTCTAAACGCAGGGATGGTGATTTTCTCATATCCCGATGGCTCGAAACCCGAATCGAAGATCCTGATGCTGAACCGAGACCTGCTGTATCGTACCAGACAAGGAGACAAAGCGGAGGAAGCGTCGGTGTTCATAGCGGACGAAAAACCCGCGCAGTACGTCATGTCGAAGCGCGGGAATCCTTTGCTCGTTGTGGACAATTATCTCTATCGTAAAAACGGCCAGACTGGGAAGAACGGTCAGCAGTATTGGGTTTGCATCTCTCCCCAATGCAGCGTCCGAACCAAAACCCTGAACGAAAGGGTCAATGTAAGTGGAAGCATCAGTCACATGGATGTAGTTCCATGCTCGCGTCGAAGATAGCTCTCGGGGAATGATGAGTAGAGTTCCTGAATTTCGGACATTTCATATCTTTCCAATCTGCAAGAGCGAAGACCGTATCGACGAGGGAATCGCCTCTGATGAGTTTTTCCTGCCGCCGGACGATGCGGGAAACGCTAGAATAAGGATGCCGCAATCGGATTTATCCTCATTCGAGAGTCGGAAAATGAAAATGTCAGAAATTCAGGAGCTCTAATGATCAGCTATCCTTAGCTATAGGTGAATATCGAAGGAGCTTCCACAACTATTTGAGTTCTGGACCAGCTCACCTCGTAGGTTTTGGGGATTTAATTCAGACGAATAAACTCAATTGCAGAGCGCTATCGCTACCCACAGTCATCCGCCCCAGCCTCAATACGTTGAGCAGTTGCGAACCGCGGGCGCTCTGAAAATGGCGAGCATCTCGCGAGGGAATGAGATCAGCGGCACTTGGGAAGATGTTCTGGTGTCCAATCTGTCGGAAGATTTGGTGACCGCTGAGCTTTCGGAGTCGAGGAGCAACCGGACGAGATTGACACGAAGTCTAGCGAAACTCAGCAGCGAGGATGACGATGAGATGGGAGACGTTTCGTAACAAAAGAACTTACGAACCCGAAATCCCCCGAGGAATGCTGAATCCCATCGGAAGGGAATATTGAATACGTCCCGGTGGCCCGACCACCAAACACCGTGAGGAATCCACGTACAAATGGTTTCGGCGCCTATGTTGAAGAGATATGTAAATGTTTATGACCCGGTAGTAGAAATCTCCCTCCTCGGTGAAACCTGGGTCCCAGATTCCGGCCCTCGATGGAGGAGGGGATCTCTCGGGGAGACGAGTTGTTTTCCCCAATGTTATCTTGTTACATTTGATCGACTTAGATAAGTGCCCGAATGGAAGCGGATCGTGGCGTAATCCGCTCCGGGGCATCAATCAAGCATGGGTGATCTCCTCATGTACGCATGTTGAAGCTCCGGGAGGAGCTGGTACGATCTCCGGTCCCCTGGATTGGAGAATAAGACACCAGATATGCGGGTATTGCGGTTGGGAGTGTGTCAGAGTCCACATGAACTCCTAGATATTCGAATCGTCACCGTCAGAACACACAGAACTAAAGATCTCGTCGAGCTCCTCCGTTGGCCGCTTTTTTGGCTTTCGTAAAAAAACTGGGGATGGCTCCCATTTGAATAAAGAGGATTCTGTACTCAAGTCTGCTCATTCTGTATAGTCGAAGGGGAGGTGTGAGTGAGTTGGTTCACAACGTCGACCGTGTTGTTTCTATAGAACTCGACCGATACAATGCACGCCGGCTCCGATTGGAGCCATGGCTCGTGTCGAATACACAGGTCATGTCTGAGAACATCCGGCAACTTATTCGTTTCCGGGGCGAGGTGTCTTACATTGTTTTCCTTGCAGGGGAAGACCACTACGTGAAGCTCGACGAGTCCCGACAGCATCGTGAATCTCGCGGGCGCTATATCAGCAAGGGATGAAAAGCAGAACGAATGTTCATTAAATGCTCAAGATATTTTTGTGTCACCGTCTGCGACCTAAAAATAGCTCAATCGCCAATCGCCAACCCCAGAATCCTCATCCGACATTCGGTTGCAGGTGTGCTTCTGGCAGGAGCGCCTTGCTCCATAGAGCGAGAACACTTGGAGACAGTTGGAGGCATTGAACTCCTCGCGAGGAGTCCCGTGTGGGCGTGGTTCGAGCAAGAGAACAGGTTCGCTCAATGCCGAATATGCTCGGTTCCGTACAGGATGTCTCCCGGAATCGAAGTTATCCTCGCCAAACATGTCCAGCGTGCTCACAAAGCCAGGCCAGATGACTTAGCCAGCTTCAGGATTCTCTACGAGGCCAAGCTTTTCAATTAGTTTCCGATTGAAACAATCTATATGGACTCCCCTTCCCCGTGAGCGTCGTACGGACTGGTGTTGACCACGAAGGATCGCCGTTCGTAGTCAGAAGAGAACGGGAGCACGGGAGGAGAGTCATTCGCTCAAATCATTTCTATGTATAGTTATTTATTGAATATGTTTTACTTGACGAAACTGACCCGTTAGTGGATTCTGCAGACGGATAGCCGTAACTGTGTAGCAGAGACGAGGCGATAGAAAAATCTGTTGTTGAAGAATAATAAAAGTGGAGAAGGCAGCAGGATCAAGGAAGCAGACTGCACCGAGAAGCAAGGCTCATTCATTCGTTCTTCGGGTCCATAATACTACGATACTCTCGGTAAAGTGACGGTGCAAACCTGAGAAAGTCCTTTTCTTCCAGAAGACCTAAGAACTCTCGATAGCTATCGCCTACGACAGTGCTTGGTGGGATTGGTACAGGGACTGGTCAATAAAGCTCGTTTTCCAGACTCAAATTAAGCTGATAGCTCCGATTTTTGTCTGACGACAAACTCCGCTGCGAATATCCAGAGAGGCTTGTGCTGTGCTTCACCTCTGTTCTCTTTTCCTGCCATTGATTCCATAATTGACCTCGCGGCTCGCGGTCTATGAGTGGATGAACACGACGGGATGAAAGAGAAGAAATAATTAATATTCCAGAGGGTCCTCTAGAAGCTTTCGAGGTCGATCTCGAGGAGAACGTGTGCCATAGCTGCGACAAACCTTTCGTGAATCGCTTGCAGCTCCTCACCCACAAACTAGAAGAGCATCAGCTGAAGAGAGGTCTGTAAAGAGCAGCGACCTTCGCTCTCCGATCAGATCCGTTGCGCGATTATCTCAATGCTCGTAATAATCACGTTCGTTTTCCTAGGTTCTTATGTCTGTCCAGAGTGCAAATATACGTCCGCGCGGAAGCCCGACGTGCGGCGACATCTCCAAGTTCATCTAGGGAGTCCGGGCAATGGTTTCAAATGCAGCGTTTGCAACGGGGATTTCAAGAATTATCGTAGCTTATCATCACACATCAAATGCGTCCATGGTTATAGCAATGTACCCAATTTTGGTGAGTCGATAGGACTGAAAACCATCACGCATCGAGATCGTTCCCAATGAAGATGCTTCATCGCGGAAAGGAATCCTGGGAAGAAGAATTATCATCTCTTGATTTGAGAACCTACCTTGCTTGCAGTTCCTATACCGCCAACGAGTTGGACCCGTCAGATCGACTAGTCATTTTGTATTGAATCGCATCAACACCAAATCCGAGTGACCGTGAGAGAATCCAATGAGCGGAATTGGAATTCGCCTAGTCATTGCGGAAAATGCTTTATAAGTTTTGACTTTTTTTCCGTTTCGTTAGCTCCTCGATGGGAAATATATATTTATTTGTTAGAAAATGTCGTCACAGATTTATCGGAGCTCGGAGTGTGCGGAGAGTTGTTAAGCGGACTGATGTCTAGCACTGCGTATAAACGAGTCTATCAGAGAATTCGAACGGGAATAGATATTTAAGGAGGAGAAATGTAAATAAAATATCATTGTGGAATACACACCGGTCTCTTCGAAACCGTGCTCGTAAATGATCTGATTGGGAACGTCCGTCGGAGCAGATTGTAATCGAGGCTCTCTTTTCTAGGCGTTCCGAAGCCCCCGAAAAACCAAGACGAGATGGCCTTAAAGGGAAGTACTTTTTCGGAGTTTTCCCGAAAGATCAGACATCATCGAGTCGTGATATTCGCTTGCTCCCTGAATCAGGCGTCGGCCTCTGAGGCAGGAGCATGCAGAGCGGGACCGAATAAATGCTGTTTCGTAGATATTGTAGATTTGCGATCCTTGTGGAAGAATGTGTAGATGACGAGCGAATCGTCCGATGGATGGCCTAATTGTCCGTCACTGGATCCTCGGCGAGATCCGAACTCTGACATGTAGGGAAAGAAGCTCCTGGCGGTCCAGGAATAGCTGGGATTCAGATTCTCTTCTGCTTGTGATATTTCAGACCAGTCCTTCGTGTACCGACGGATGGGACTTCGCTTTCTCTGTCCTTTCTGTGACTATAAATGCCAGAGAAAGTATGACTTGCACCGTCATATGAGGAAGCACACCGGAGACAAGCCCTATGGATGCACTTACTGCAGCATGAAGTACAGTCGTCTGGAACACCTCAAAACTCACATTAAAGCCAAGCATCTGTGCCAGAGCGCTTAACCCTTCATCACATCAAACTTCATCATCATCACCAGTATTCGCACCAGACCCATCGATTCTCCGGGAGGGTACCGTTGTGACTTGAATGCACGAACTTTCAGACCTTCAGATGAGCTTCATCCGGGGTACATAGCTCTCAGAGCAGGAATATGATCTCAGGCGAGGTCGCGCGGTATCATATGGATAGTGCTGGTACTGATCTCAGTCAGAGCTGACGTTTCGCTGGAGTTATCAGCTGCAATGACACGTCTTGATTTATTATCTAGAGATAACTATTTTCAAGAGATTGTTTTCCGATGAATAAAACTTGTCCATTGAGATTGACGACAGCTCTGTAGCCTCATGCCCTCCTCGATCGAGGCCGCCGGGAATAATTATATTCTCATCTGACTCTGGGGACAGGACGCAAATAACACGTTTTGTTTTTGCAGATGGAGAACGCGCGGATCCGAGTGGAAATGAGCAAGACCAAGCCTGCAGGATATTTCCGAAATTGAGATTTCCGGCATCGAGGATCAATCCACGGTCAATAAAAAAAATTGTTTCACAACGGGTAGTTTCATTTTAGAAGTATAGCTTTATTCGATCGGCCCATCCGTCAAGGACCGATAGGTCTGGCACAATTTTTTGCGAGGGAGGAATGGATCACTCGCCGCCGCCTTGGCTACCCCGCTGACTATCTTCTGCCTTGCAGCCCTTGTGGAAATCTCCCGTCTCTTGGAATCCAGTCCTTTCAACCTACAGATGCCCGACTGCAAGACAAACCACCACTATCCACCGGCGAACATGGGATATCCTCCGGCACCGAAACCGATGTCCTACGTTGTTCAAGCCGTGAACACAATCCCGGAAAAACCTTACGCGTGCTCGTACTGTACGAAGACGTTCAGCAATCGCAATAATCTCAAGTACCACATGAGTACTCATTTGGGGGGCAAGCCATACAAGTGCAAGAGCTGCGAATACCGAACAGCTTATCCCAGTGGAATTTATCAACACAACAAAGTCTGTCCTGGCAGACGACACGAGATGCGATTCCGCTGACAACGTCTGTGAGCCAGATCGCGAGCATCACTCCTCATCACGCAAGCTGAATCTTTCAAGTTATGGACGAGTTTCCAATGAATGAGATGCCCAGCTGTACCGAGATCCTATCAGAAGTTCCACGATATCTTTTTCCATGGATGAGGAATATTTTTGACGCAGCATATCAGTGTGCAATTAGGTTTGAGGAACCGTTTCCACGACACACGGGGTGGGGGGGGGTAGAACGAAGTTCAGAAAGCTTCCAACGAGCCATGTACCGAGGACCTCATGAACTCAGCCTTCTCTGAAAATTTGATCTCTACTGCGTGAGTCTTAAGTACTTGGTTTGCCATCTGAGTTCTCAGCGTACTAACCTGCCTCGGGAACTTGGGCCAATCGTGGTTCCAACTATCAGGCTGAGGAGAAGTTCCGATCCTAGAACATAGTTCCCAGGGCGGATATCGCTTTAAGCCTTACGGGTTAGTTTGGGGGCGGAAGACATCCTGTTTTTTTGGATGAGAATCCTTCGGCGGAGAGCTTGAGTCCGCAAAATCAAGTTGCTCAAAAGGCGCATCAGATCAAGACTCAATGGCATTTTTTTTCCGCGACTCAGAGGGCTGTATTAGAGTAGCGAAGAATCCCGCATTGTCTCTAATGAGGCCGGACGAGCTCCGATTGGAAATCACGATCATATCACGGTGATTTTTATGCCGCGTTCCTCCTCGCAGAGCTTTTCTTCTACAGAGAAGTTTCCTTTACCCTCCCCGGAGAACTCCGGAGTGTTTGGCTCCTGCATCCTTCATGAGCTCAAGGAAACGAGCTGGCAGAAGTTTCGTAGACTCACGAATCCATGCATTTATTTCGTCGGGCAAAGCTTCCTTCTGGAAAGCAGCATTCGCGACGACATGAGGGACTAGCCGGCATTATCCTCGGTGTCGAAGCGTTGGCGACCGTGAATAGCTGTTTTCTTCTCTTGAACAACATACCTAATTCCCGAACATCGGGTTCGAGTTGGAGACAATCCTTGATACTTCTCCATTCATTCGTGAAGCCCATAATCGAGATCCGAGAGTTGAGCGCGTATTGATCCTAGATGGGCCGAGACGACATCCCTCGATGCATCCAAGCTCTTCCGAAACCTCAATCCCTCTTTGTCGCTCGCCTCCCTTCAGAGGGGTCTCGATACACACACACAATAATCGAAGAGTGACTGTGCACAGGAAGCATATTCAATAGGTACGGTCGACCACAAACGCAATGATCTCAATGGGAAGTAGTAATCAACGAGGGCTGGGAAGAAGAATGAGAAGCCGAACGAGGTTGCCCCGGGCCTTGAGCACTCCGATGTCGATGGAAGGGCACCCGTCAGGCCATGATCATTCTCCCTCGCCGTCTGATGCATTCATTTCGTTGGCCTAACCAAGGGAGGAGACCCGATTCATTCGCAGAACAAATCGATCCCGGGGCAGCTTCGGTCGAGTTGAGAGATTTCTCGAGCCCCGGAAAGCAATATTGGGGAGTGTACACTCATTTTCGCGTGTCCTAGGGGCAATTGTTTATGTTTCCCGGAACGTGAGCCTCCACCGCGTGCCATCAACATATCAATCAGTCGGTCACTTACCGTAGGCAAGAATCTCCCACGACAGATATACAGTAAGTCTCATAGCAAGAATATGGAATAGAGCAGCACACTATACTCAGCTGATTGTTTCGCGGTGATCTTTCTCTGTTGTCCGACTCGATCACCTATTTCATCCGCCAGCTGTAATTTACAGAATACGTTCCGTTCTTCATTGCCTCACAGAATACAGTCCGAATGATGAACCATGTATCCATTTGTCTTTAATTTCATCGTACTGTATACCGCGGGAGACGCCCTACATACCCGTGGGCTCAGATTGGACTGTAGATCGCTCCCTCTAATGGGGACGTATTTTTTCCAGAAAAACTCGCAGAATGTCAGCCAGACCACCTTCTTGAATGATTTTCTCGATTCCATCGCAGCTGAAACATATTCTATACTGCCTCAAATAAATCTCCGAAAACATGAAATCCGACGAAGTACATATCTGCCTGCATTGGGACGAATCATAGTCTAACAATCATATCGATCATCCCCGATGGTCAGACTCATTTTGTCGATCGTGATATCGAATAACACCTCCATGGAGGCATTTTCCCCTCGCCGAGATACGCTGTTGTGTGGTTTTGTTGCTGTGCAATCTCCCGAACTAAAACGCGTGCCAGCATCCCCTCCGACATCTCGAGGGTGAGTTTTGCGCCTGAATCCCTATACATCTGATTCTTGATGATGATCCCATCAGTTTGCGGGGGCGCTCTTTCAAAATTATTCGAGCTCATTCCGAGAGATTCCGTTTCAGTCACGGCAGATTCCATCATCAAGGAGCTCGAGGAGTCCTTGAGAGAGTTCACGGAGGGCATGTCCCAGACTGTCGACGTTTCCTCATCACTGGCTGACGCGACGACCCCCCCTCAACCACTCGATAATCCGCCGCCCGCTCTCATAGCTGCCCCACGCCTGTCTGTCCTCGATGATTTCGATTTCCAAGGAATACACGTTGCAGTGAGGGGAGCAGAATCAGAGATAGACTACGTCGCGAGCGCTTCAGGAAGCTCGAATGCTGGAAACGATCGTCCAGCATGTCCTTCGGCGACTCCATGGAATCCGTCTCTACCCACCCCTCAACACGTTGAACCCTCTCAGGAAGGAATGAATGCAGACCAACAGGCTCTTGCGAGAAGTGTGCGGCCGTGTGACCTTGGTAAAACAATATGCGAATATTGTCAAAAAGATTTCGTATATCCAGCGCGACTGTTGCGCCACAGGCGAGTTCACACGGGCGAGAGACCGTTCAAGTGTGAGAGCTGTCAAAAGTCCTTCACGCAGAAAGTTCACTTGAAACTCCATACAAGAACCCACACGGGAGAAAAACCCTTCAAATGCGATCAGTGTTCATACGCGGCGAGTGATATCTCTTCCCTGAAGAAACATGCGGCTAAGCACGCTCAGAAAACGACAACGCCGAGCCAGTAGAGAAGTCGAAATCGAAATCGATGTACCGCGAAGAACTTCAGGAGTTGCTGGTCTGATAGAACCCGATAAGTGATATGTGACAATTATCCACCATTTTTTTAGAAAATAAACGTGGTTTTCCTCCGAAAACTCTACGATATGATTGCTTCCTGGTTTCAATACTTCAATTCGGCTAAGCCTCAGGACTTTCTAATTCGGAAATTTCCTTGCAGACGCCCCAGTCTGATGACTGTGACCATTCCGAGTTCAACAATCCGGCGATGGGAGAATTTGAATGAATCCCGATCCTGGCTTAACCGTCGATGTAAACCTCTTCATTGCTAAATAAATTGAGAGATTCTTTCGGGAATCAGAATAGTGTTGGCGCTATTTTATTCTGGATAGCCCAGCGTGGCATCGTTAATTTGCGCGGTACTTCGGTGATGGAGTGTCCACCCTGTGTTTATATACTAATGCGAACGAGCGGGTGATGGTCCTCGATTTTGAGTGCGCGGTGGCGGAGAGTGTATTTTTTTGTATTAATCGCGAGTCAATAGACCCGGCGTTGGAGCTCATTTAGAGTACTGAAAACAGCAATCTTACAGCAACGAGATATGATCTCGAAGACGCTACGTCTGCGGAAGAGGAAGAAGGCCCGGATGAGGCTCAGGAAGCGTCCTGTTCATCCACAAGACCGAGGAGATCCGCGCGCCAGCTAAAGACCCTCTTACTATCGTCGTCGGATACAGAAGAAGAGAACGTTCGCGAATACCAATGCGATAAATGCTGTTTCCGGACCTTCAAACGGAGTGAGATGCGTGACCACGAGCTGGAGCACGAAAAACCGTACCAATGCCACATATGTGGCGTACGCCTCAAGAAGCAGACTTTCCTGAATCAGCATCTCACCATCCATACGGGCGAACGCAACTACAAATGCGAAGTATGCGGACTCGCATTTCGAACATCGAGCAATCTGAAAGGACACATGGAAGTTCATAACGATACGAAAAAGTTCGAATGCAACCGCTGTGAAGCTACGTTCGCTCAGGAGAGATATCTCAAGAAACACATGAAAACACATTCGACCGCGAAACCATTCTCCTGCTCCGTTTGCGCCTACAGAGCACGGACCAGCTATGATTTGAAAGAACACATGTGGGTCCATTCTTCTGTGAAGCCCCATAAATGCTCGAAGTGCGAAGCGAGTTTCAGTCGTAGGAATTACCTTGAGAACCATATGTCCAAGAATCACTGAGAAGACATCTCGAATTGATTCATGGCCCGACGTCACGGAAAAGCCCATGACCGAGCGGAAGGACGGATGGATGGATGAAAGAATGGACGTACATTTGTGGGCTCGATCGTCGCATGCAATGGATGTGTAGTCAATGTCGTTGTCTTCGCGGTCTATGTTTGTCTCGACGGCCGTCTCATTGGGCGCTTTGCACACTGTTCGGAGACTGAATGGCGGTATGAGTGTACCTGAAAACGTGCCGGTGGCTTCTGGAATGCATTCCCTCTTGTCCCCCCTAACGGCAATCAGTCTTTTTGGGTAGGAACGTTCCGATTGGTGAAGGCTCCCAAGCTCAACAAGAATGATTCCTTAATGGAATCATCTGGATCTGCCTTTACGAGTTGATTCAACTCATATCGGGGTCGCCAAGCTCGAGCGGGAAGATCGTTCCCGCGTTGGCCTCACGTGGCGAGCCACCGAAAGCCATTTTGTGCCAAATTTTTCCATATTCGAAGCACCGCGCTTCCATGCAAACGTACGCCAGAGTTCTCCCTTGTATCAACAGTGACTTGTTCAATAAATGCTCATAAGGGCTATGCGAAGCCGCAGACGTGCTGAAACTTTCCTCTTCTTGCATCGATCAGGTCCTGAAAGGATCGAGAATAACCGCCTAAACGGGTCCACCCATCCTCCGAATGCCAACCTTTCCTTCTGCGATTTAACACTAATGTGAGAGGAGCGGGGACAAGTCTACTTCATCGGCTCATGCAATCCTGTCATAGCAGCATTTTTCAGAGGATGCTCAGAGCCCTGTGGTTCCCTACGGGACCGCTGACGTGACGCAAAAGTACCGCGTCACCTCGATGCGGCCGGACAGTATCACGCGAGTAGAGTTCCGAAAGCGCGGTGAACACTCATATGGTAAGGAGCGAATGATCCCGAAAAACTCTCCGGGCTCACGGAGGAGGGGGGAAGGCTCGGAGAAGTCTATTGGAGCGTTCGGTTAAAACGACAAAATTTTGACAGGCGCAAGTTATGAGCTCGTTCGTTTCACGGAATCGGACCCATATTCGACAGGAGGCCCAAGCGACTCCTGTCGGGAAACGCCGCAATCAATCCTGATCGATGCTCCCGAGCTCTTCCAGTGCCCACGTTGTGGAATATTATTCCGACGCAAATTCTCCATTAACTCCCACATTCGACGGAAGCATCCAGAGACGCCGCTCCAATGAGATAACCATCGAGAGGCCCTTAACTTGTGATCCTGTAGCCTGTAGTGTACAGTTTGTATAAGTGAACTCGCCAACGGCGTGATGGGTCGTCACGACCGATTGCCGTCCCGTTTCATTCATTGTAAGACTCCTCTTGTACTGTATCTTTGCTCTCACTCCCTCGGATAATTCTAATGACGTGACACACATATCTCCTGGGCCGGTGGTTCGGAATTCATCGAGCCCTGTCGTGAAAGAACAATAAAGACTAAAATCACTCCCAACATTCGCGCGACCGCCGACAATCGTTATGTGCGTGCAGAACCGGAATCATCGATTTCTCCTCCGGACTTTATTTCCCCGGATCTGTCTATTTATTTGGAGGTTCCATTAGTTTATGATTCACGAGTTATTTGATTTCATTCATTATATAGTCTGATCAGCATATATTTGGGCGCTAATCGCTACCAACATCGAGCTGTGTAGTATTTTTCTCTTTTGGAGTTTCTCATCTGTCGAGCTCCCAAGATTCGTTTCGCTCCGGACTCAGGCTTGCAGTCGGAGAGAATTCTCTTTTCCGTTCCGGATCATTTATCCTCCCTTCCTAACATACGCATCATCTTTGTAGAAATGATGAAAGAAAATTTGTGTTTCGGTCAATACGGAGATGCCAATGCCAATATAATCGACACCATCGCCCGACAGCCTCAAAGTGGAGCCCGACGAGAGAAGAGATTCTCTTGCAGATTCTGTGAATACACGTCGGCTAATGGCTCTCACGTCAAACGTCACGAACTGCGTCATACTGGTGAGTAGCTCGGAGCTTCTGAAAAGTCGGCGGTTCAACGCCTCGAAATCGGCTTTATTCGATTCTTTGTGGCTTGCAGGTAGGGAACCACATTACTGCCGATACTGCGGTAAAGCGATCGCGAGGAAAGACGACCTTAAACGGCATGAGCGGACTCACGAGCGAAAATTCACCTGCCCTATGTGCCCTTGTGGTTACGACACTCAGGAGCTCCTATTTGACCATCTCTTAGTGCGACACAAAGTTTTTCAAACTTCGAAACGCTGAGCTGTACTCGACGAGTTTTTTTTCCAACAATGATCTCTTTCCGATTCGGTAGCTGACGCATTTTCAATTCATTGATTCATCGATTTTGTTTCTTCTGATGGTAGGGGAAACTGGCAATCCTCCACCAATCATGCATTCTTTGCTGTAATAAACAACCGACATAGTCTCTTCCAACTTTTGGAAAATGAGTTTTTTGAGTTTGCATGCTCCTTTCGTGCTATAATCTTCTTCTTCCACAGCTCATGCTTTGTGACTTCTGTTTCTCGTCAGCCTTATGGAATGCCTTCCTCGGCCTTCAGTTCCGGCTCCTATGTTTCGGGGACATCCGGGGGTATCTCATCAGACGGGTATCGCTTCCCGATGCCCATGCAGCCAGAGACGGGCGATAGAGTCTGGTTCAAAGAATTTCTCGGCATTGTGAACTGTAGTTTCGAGTCTTAATCGTTTCTTCTTCCTTGCAGACAGCGTCTCCATCGTCAGCTTTATAGGGAAAAATGTGTGAAGTTGTCGCCGTGAAGTTCTTGGAAAATAAATATGAGGCTACCCAGTTTCCTCGCTTCAGGAGTGTTCGCGTGCGACAGAACCTTTTCAAGGCCGATCACTCAAGAGCCCGGGGCGAATTCGGCTCCCGCTTGTTTATTGAAATGGGACTTTCTTCATCACAGATCTAGAGCCCTGCTCGCCCTAGCGACCCGTCAAGGGGGAAATGTCAAGTTGGCACTTCGTTGAAGTCAAACCGGGTTTTCATGAGCCGCGGCGTCGACCCGATGGGTTGCACGAGCGCCTGATCACGGCTTTTCCCCAGCCAGATGCTGGAACTTCCCCGGAGTCACGATGTGTTTCTCCTCAGGGTTCCCCAGCGGGCTCGATGTCAAGAGTATGCGGGATGCGAACCCCCTTACCTTCCCATCATACATAGAGCTGATCTATCTTTTCGAAAACCCTAATTTGGGCCCCTCTTAATCAGATCTCCGAAGAATCGTTCTGAGGACAGAAGAAATCGACGACGATGACGAAGACGACGACTTTGACTTTGTTGGGTCGAAATCTGGCAAAAACAGTCGCAAGCAGAAGAATGTGAAATACTTCTGCCCAATCTGCAACTACAAGAGCCGTTACGGCTCTAATATGCGACGACATATTCGCTCGCATACAGGTAAAGATTGCAGTCGACTTCGTTCTCGAGATATCGATATGGGCTGACCTCACAGAGAGTATGATGCTGACTTCATGGTTTTCTTTTGCAGGCGAGAAGCCGTACACATGCCGTTACTGCGGGAAACGTCTCAAACAACATCTGAAGCGACATGAAATGGCCTGTTCTTTGACTATGGCTATGGCCAGAGAACTCGAAGATGAAAGGATCGGCTTCCAAAACGACCCAGTCTCGGACCTCATGTGAAAGCGCTCTTTCCTTTTCGATCTAGAATACGAGGAGAATCCACCCGGGCTATCCCGAGATCTAGAATCCGCAACTTCTCTGCGTGATTCTCAAAAAGTCATCGAATAATATAAGATGTCGATGAGACTCGGGACTTCCTAGGGGTCTCTGTGCTCGACAAACATTCTAGTCACATGTGAGAGTAGTAGATAATGATCGATGGAATGACTTGACTAACAAACAATCAATCAATCAATCGAGCTATACATTTCGCCAGTATAGTATGCCCAGTCGGCACAAGGCGACTCCATTATGATCTCATCGTGTAGACTTCGGTGTGCCTGGATAAAAAGTGGTCCAGATCAAGGATTAAAGATTCCCGAATATGGTGAAAAGCAAATACGTGTGCATGGAGAGTGTAGCCGTCGGATTCGATGGAAAATCGACGAATATTGAGTAACGAAGGGACATTAGATGGAATAAATTCGGAGAGAGCTGTTCGCCCTACGACGATGGAAATCTAGTTTTCCTCTCCGAAAATATTATTATTCCGACGCGGAGAAAAGTGTGGGTTTTCCTGTGCCCATCCGAGCTCACTCGAATTCCATGTTCCAGGTCTCAATGTCCAGGGGATGATACCTGGTCATCGCGGGAAAAATATCGGAGACATGTCGGCGGCTCCGCCAGTGTGTTCTTAATAAAATCGATTCGTCCTTGTGGTCGACGACTTCCTGATAAGAGAACCACACCAAACGACTTGTAGTTCCCCTCGCCTAATTCTCATCCGCTTCCTCCCCAGCGGACCCCGAGACCATTTGCGATCCAGTATCGGAAGGAGGAACCTTTCGTTTCGAAGATCTGCAAGCGGAGTTCCGGCAGCAAGCTGCAACGGCTATGACTGCCATGAATTCAGCGCGGTACCCATGCAGTTTTTGCAATTATTCTACAATCTACAAGGACACACTGGTGAAACATGAACGAACACACACAGGAGACAAACCTTTCCGATGCGCAATCTGTGGGTATGCAGCCAGCCAGAGGAACAATGTCCGAATCCATGCCGCGCGTAAGCACGGTACATTGGACTGCGTCTACGACGAACGGAAAGTGATGAAGACGTTTTGACAGAGTCTCCCGGGATTCGATCGGACTCCTCCGGCGAATCCGTCGAGCGCAAGCTTATGGTCTCGGCATAAGTAGGTGATCAAGTGATCAGTAACGCACCCGTTACTCAAGAGCACCCTCCCCCCGAACCCTTCTCAATCGTTTTACCGTCTATGCCTGTTTTAGGAAAATCGTAACCACCGAGGGCTCCCGTGAACTGTCCTTCCCTAGTCATTCCTCCGCTATCCCCGACGTGGAGGAAACTGATCTCACTGATGAAATGCTCCATTTGATGATCTTGCTCAAAGATAGATAGCCTCTTTGAATAAAATGCGGAATCCGGCAAGCTGAGCTATTGTTGCCTGATTGAGACGAGTGTCGCGCAGACTTCTCAAACCCCCGGAGCAGCTCTGACTCTTCTTTTCTTCCAGGCTCGCTGCCAGAGTCCGAAGAGCGGCAGAAATCCAGATTTCCCTGGTCGACACCCTGGAAGCGACGCATGTACACTGTTCGAGAATAAATTCCCTCGAGGACATCGACTGGAGAAGCTCTCGGCTAGAAACTCCTAGAGCCGGGGATGAATCGTGTTCTTACGGCGATTGTTGATGACGATTTCAGATCCTTCGAAGGCGTTCAAAGACCCGTCCATTGGTCATCGCTGCGCGTACTGCCTGAAGCTGTACGCGACGCGGAGGATACTGGAAATTCACATCAACACAGTCCATTTGAAACAGCGACCTTATCCATGCTGTATCTGTCATCAAACATTTACACAACGGGGTACCTTGAATCGCCACTTGCGCATCCACACTGGCGAGAGATTCGAATGCGTTGATTGCGGTCGATCATATACGCAAAAGTTCGGGTTGCATATGCACCGCATGCGAGGGCTCTGTCCGGGACGGAACGACCAGGAAGCCTTGAGGGAATGAGCTACCAACCTTTGGGGGTCGCGTCCCTGCAAATCATCGGAAATCGAATGACCTGCTGTGCCATTGGTCTCGAGCATTCACAAAGTATCCAATTATACTGCGTACCTCGTTGCACCCATCATTCGCTGGTGATGAACTCATTCGATATACATTCGAAGCCAGTCTCGCATCAAAGACTTCGCGTCTCTCCCCCTGAATACAACATGAAACATGTAATTAGTATTTATATGATGAGCTTAGATATGAGGTGTAGATACGTCTCGCAAGATATGGACTCTGTATTTTCCGGTGACGACCCCCCGCGTTCACCGTCGCAGAATCAGAGTTCTCCTGAAACAGGGCCCGAAGACGGTTTTCGTCGGGAAACACCGACGGCTGTCGATCTCAACGTCCGAAGATGGCTTCGTGGTGAACTACCGAGACGAAGTCAGTGATCTCATTTAGTGCAATGTTTTGAATACGAGGATATTCGTAGTAGGTGTTTCTTCAGGTGGGTCGGGGGCGATATGTTTTGTGGAAGCTAGGTAAGTAAGAAAAGTTGTAATGTATACAAATATCGGTTTGGAAGCGCATTTCGCCGATCGGTCCCGAATCAGCAGCCGTCGATATCGAGGAAGCATTTATCAAGAGATGAATCCCGCTGGTGGTTCCCCGAAAAGTAGCGGAAATGCAGGGAATATCATCCAGTTTGTTCACAAAAACTTGTATCATTTTGAGGTCTCCTACGGAGACTTTCTTTTGTGGAATAAAGTTCTGAACTTGAGGTTACACTGGTGACGGTCATGTCTCCATGAATTGATAATGTCAGATGCACAACGAAGATAGATCATTGTGAGTCCCCCTTATCGGAACGGCGTTTTTCCCGGGAGGAACCTCACCCCGTCAGCATATTTTGTTATTCTGTTCGAATAAACACATTTTGCCGCTTCGTTTGGCATGCCACCTTTGGTTCCTTTCCTTTAAGAATGCTCCCCATGGAATCATTCCTAATATAAGTGTCTCCTCTCATTGATTGGCTGAGTTCTATCTTCGGTTTCGGTTCATAATTTTGTCTGTTTGGTTGTTTTCTTTATCATTTCAATGGACAAGTCTTATTTTTTCCCTCACAGTGAGTCTGCTGAATCTCAAGCTCCTGGAGTCGTCTGGTCTCTTGGATCCGCAGGGGTCAAGTTTCGGGTCGTCGGGAAATGAGGGCGAAGGTCAACACTTTCTGAGGAATGGGAATAAAGGCTTCTACCACTGCCTGCACTGCGAATACAAAACCTTGTGTCGGTGAGTAGAGTATATTGTTTTACTCAACACTATTATTCAGATACTATGTAGTCTGGTGAATAAACCCTTCAGGCTTCTACGATTTCTCATCGATTCTGTAATCATGAACAGGTCCCACATGGTCGACCACGTGAGAACCCACACTGGATCCCGCCCGTACAAATGCTACGTATGCGGTAGGGGTTTCACCCAAAAGAGTCCTCTGAATGTTCATCTGAGACGCGTGCACGGTGAGACCTTCTGAGTTCAATCGGTGAAGCCTGGCACTTCAACTACTCACGTGGAGAATCTCAATCTCATCAACTATGGAAGAACTTCGCACGGCTTTCTACATCAACCTAGGTTGTTGGTTGTGGTAATGGTTTAGGTGATAAGATGTGATCGGCGTTAATTGTCAGACCTGAGCAGGGCTTCGATCCTTCTCTCGGGCTTCGGTCGTTCTCATGAATCTCTGAGGATACTCTTAGAGTTCGTCATTCATGAACTTTGGTCTTCTCGCTTTCTCGGAGCGGGCATCGTAATGTCGTAGCAAATAAGAGGAGAGGAATTACGGAAAATATTCGGAGTCGACCCAGCGCTCATGGGATGCGGTTCGGACTCGGGTAGTCATGAGCGGCGCCAATGTGCAGCGCTCGGTGAATCGTGATCTTGCCTGTTTTCTGAAACTCCGACACACTCATCGACCCTGTGATGGAACTCACGAGACGGCTGTCTCGTTCCCTCGGATCGAAGCTCTGAAAGTTGATGGTCTGGATGACAGTTCGCCACGAACCGCTATTGTGATGTTAACTTGAATCCTCGATGAAGTTCGCGAGTTGTCGACCCGGAGGGCCCGGACGGGCGATTCCGGGGACTGCGAACTTCATCATACCGTAATCTGTGAATGCACTCAGTATTAGGTCAGCGAACACGATATCTTCCGCGATTTGCGTCGTTACTCGAGATTGAAGTATTACTTCAAAATATAAAATACTGCATATACGTATACATAAACATCATAATATATATATATATATACATAAAAAGAAGTACAAATATTATACACACACGCACGGAAGAAAGGAAGAAGAGCGATTCGCCCCACGAGACAATAGGGAAGCGAGTCACGAATAATGATGTATCTATGTAAGTGGATCACTGTCAGAGTGAAAATTTGTGATGGAGAAATGGCCTGGGCGACAGTCCGGTCCCCGAGCTGTTTACGCCGGAGGCCTCCGCGAACTTTCTTGTACCTTATTCAGTCACTATATCACGGATACTGAGAGCGTAGAGCTCGATAGCGAGCATACCGTAGCCGATGTACTTTCGGAAGTTGATTCGACGCGATCGAAAATCCTCGGGGGGAGCTTCCGCAGGATTAGGAGTCGAATCATTCGACTGAAGGATACTACAGGTATGCTACGGATCGTCTGCGCAGCACTGCTGAGCGAGAAAGCTCCGATTGTTCCTACTAGTATGTGCGTTGAGGTGAGGAACGCATGCACATTTTAAGATGAGGAAGCGTTCGAAGCCGACGAATGACCTTATCTATAGGAGATACTGTGCAATACTCGTACACAGGGTGGTCGCAAACACATCCAAAGGTGTCACACCGAGGTGGTCATTCCATTTGGTAGTCTCGCTTTGATGAGGGCCGTCCCGGCCCGTAGGCGCGGCCTGGATGAACATGTCGATATATCATTATTGTACACTTCTGCAATCTATTGCGATGATCGTGATCTGAACACAACCTTCTGTGATGTTTAAGTCTTTTCCGAATACTTATTTCTATGGCAGATAGCATTTACAAATACACTCGAAGAAGAGTCTCACTCATTCCAACAAGCTATTTCGGTGGCCGGTGGCAAATTTTCCGCGGTTCATACCGTTCATGAGCAATAAACGCCTGTACATTGGAAAAACTGAGTCTCCTCGTTCTTACTCGAGACTTACCGATTCTATTCGATATGAGCCTCACGCTGATCGAATCCCGAGAAGCTATCAGTAGCGTCGAAGTCAAGACCAGACCTAAGCGAGTTCTTCTTCCAGACCCGGGCCGCCGGAAGGGTAGGAGAGCAACGAGCTCCGATCACTGGCCAGAGGAGTGATACCCGCGCAAGGCCCTGTCGGCTTGGATCTGGCTGAATAGTGGAATAAATCTCGTCTCGAATCAGTCTTGCGTCTCATTCTACCCAGCGACGATTTTCCATTAGGATTCACAGGGCCCGGTCAAGCGGACCCAGGAAAGCTCGCGACTCCTCTAATATGCGAATCCGGAATGATTCTCGTGTCGTTACAGGTGCGCACCTATTCGGATTTTCTTTCGGAACGGATCTTGGTGAATTGAACGATTCACTGTACTCGAAAACTCGTGATTACAAGTTCGCTTGCGACCTGTGCGAGTTCACCACAGGTGAGGAGGAGTCCTAGATTCTTCTCCGAGCATGATTTGATTTGATATTATTTATGGAGATGGAGCTGAAAGTCCAACGATTCTTTCTGGCGTCGGTTACAGATTATAAACAGAGTATCGTTCGTCACGTTAAGATACACACCGGCGAAAAGCCTTTCACGTGCAATCGATGCGGTCGGCAGTTCAGACACAAGAACTCGCTATCGTATCATCAATCATCGCAGAATTGTCTTCGCAACGAGGATATGACGGAAGCTGACTTGTCGTGACCGCCCCTATCGTCGAGAATTTTTTAAACGGTACATCGCACCGATACGGTTGCCAGCAGCAACTTCAAGTACTGATGTATCCTCGCGCGGTAGCTCAGAGTGAAATATATCAAATCTATGGCATAAAATCAAACACAGCAAACGTATCCCCAGACATGTGATCGGTTTATCCGTCGCGGATTTGATTGTGGTAGTAATGGATCTATACAGGAGTCGATTCAGAAAGAAGCGTTCAAAGCTACAACCAAAAACGAGGGAACTCCGCGAGTGAGTGGGCTGATTCCATCATCGAAAGGAGGACTTGGGCGTGAGGGGAGAAGGGAACGTGAGAAACCCTGGGCTTGTGTTCGACGAGCGTTACACTGATGATGCAGGTTGCTTGTTCTGATCGAGGACTCCTGCGAGTGACCTGCGCTTATCCTTCGGAAGAACTGAGAACAGTATTCCCGATGAGTCACCGTCGCTGTATTCCGAAAATTCTTTCATTTGCTCTAGTTGACTGCAATTAGCATCCGGCGGTCCTTAACTATTACACTACACACTGTTGCAACTAAAAGCCTCTACGGCAGAAGCCAAGCTGAATTAATAATAAATAAATGAATAAATAAATACTTGGTACGTTGAATGTGAAACCTCCGGTCTTGTTCTTGAAGGGACCGATGCAGAGGATCCGTAAAACCTCTCGATTCGAGCTAGACCAGAGGCTCCCGATTCCTCACCAGCGCGGGACTCTTGCAATGTCATAGCGAAAATCCTAGTCGGTTTCTTGGCCGGACGAATACTATGTTCCTGTCTTTCATCGAGCGAGAAATTCTGACGCAGTGGGTACGGTCGACAGTCTTGCGAGCTGTATCGAATATGTTTCTTCAGATGATGAAAAGGTAACTTCTCACCGACCTTCGGGATTCGGGAGCGTCGAGAACAGGATCTGAGACCGCCAGGGGGTCCCAGGCCCCCCTTCCGGGGAGCCCTGAGCTAGAGAGAGCCTATTGAGCGACGGAATAAGATCCGGTACTGAAGGAAAGTTCTGCTTGCAGGTCAACTTGGACCCTCCCGACGCGACGGCTCCAGGGTCGTCATATCTAAATAAACTGATCTCTCCCCCGACTTACCGTATTCGGCTCGATAGGAATAAAAACGAATTCTAGCTTGCTGTCCCACCGGAATCCTGTCGTCTTCCTTGTCATCGGCCCAATCCGGAACTCACTGGCAGCCGTAGTAGTACGCCATGCACTGACCGAGCTGGTGTTCCCCAGCCGACTCTGTTCATCGGAGATCATTATTGCTGGAGCCGCTGAAGCGGAAAAATTGCTAGAAAAATTGAACCGTGCGCGAACAAATCCTCAAGTCAACTTCCGGAGGCTTCATATTGGGAGCAGAAAACTTTTTGGATTCCGTCCTTCAATCCGATTCCTATCGGCGCCTGCGTTCTCTTTTGAATGTGGGCCCATGGTCAATAGGTGCAAACCTATCCGGAATGGCTGCCGTCATCGGGAAAAAACACTTACCCCTTCAGTCGGACCTCCGGTTCAGATCTCTCGAACTCACTCGTAACGGCGGAATGGAGCTCGGGGCGCTCAAAGTGGAAGTTAGATGAGCCCCGGAGTCGGTTTTTCGGTCAGGAAACGTAGTCTCAGTTCCAATAGTAATTTTCTTGACGGGGAAACTGCCCCAGCGAGCAACGACTCTATGTCCCGGCGCCTTAGGAGCGTATCGTTCAGACTATTCCAGAGGAGCGGAGAGTTTCGCAGACCTGAGTGTCGAGGAAGTTTCGTCTGCCAGGAGGAACCCCATGTTCCGAGTCAACGACTTCATATACGAGGTCGATAAAAAAAACAACGGGAAATTCTTTTGCCGGTGTATCAAGAGAAAAACCGAGGACTGCTCGGCTCGGGTAGTAGTGGTTAAGGTACGTTTCATTTTCTTACTTAGATTGGAGGAGCATACGGGAGAAGTCATTCGAAGCCCTTGCTGATTATATTCCCAACTTCTCCACAGGACCCCGCGCCGAAAGTCGTGAAATTGACGGGCACGCACACCCACGGAGTTGAAGTGAAGGAGATCATCAGGAGGACTGCTAAAGACCACATGAAAAGGCTCATTCTTTCGAGGCCAGACAGGTCGTATAAAGATATCTACGACGAGGTGATGGCCAGCGTCGCGAGGGAGTTCGAACCGATTTACGATTCTCAAATGATCGATGCGGCCCTTCCGAGCTTCAGCGGTGTTCGCAGCGCTCTTCATCGTACGCGCGCCAGAGCCCGATCAAGTCCCAACACTTCACTAAGCGAGATAACTTTTGATGATACTTGGATGACCACAGTCCGAGGCGACGAGATTATTCTGCTGAACGATGGGGGAAACGCGACTCAATAAGAATCTCGAATGAAAGTTCCTGCTTGTTTACGGATTATGACCTCGTTGTAGCGACGATCTTCAATATGTATCATATGCATTATACGAAGAATAGTCTGAGTCATGGAAGGGCTGAGGCCTGCGATAAAGAGGGAAAGCGTCGAGCTTTGGCCCAGACGGCGATAGGAACTCTCCGAAGATGACGAGCATCAGGCGCACGCCAGGACAATCGGTGCTTGGGGAGAGGGCGCTTCGACGTCGAATGATTCCTCCGAGAGACTCCCGTTTGTGACAGAGGTGAGTTTATCGAGCATTCTCATCTCGTGTTCTCCATTCTGCGATTTCGGTGTGCTCCGATCAGCCACCCATCGAGAATCCCGGCTGTCCATCTGTACGGATCTGGTCGCTGCTTCGATTTTGATTTCAGCTACTATATGTGTGGATATTAGACATGTATGGCTCGAAGTCTCATAGTGGCGCAAGCTCTGATCAGCGATCAGCATCACGTAACAATTACAGGCTTACGCCGATGCGAGTTGGCAGGGCGGGTCCTTGGACTCACAAGAATGATTCGCATTCATTTTCGACAGGAATGATGATTCAGGACTCGGATTCGCGGATCATGCCAAGTACCTAACGTCGCCTTGTTGAAGATGCTGAGAAAGATTCTCCGTCGCTCGGAATTTCGAACCGCATAATTGTGATGAAAAGGAGCATGAAACCTTGGTTCTTCGATACTTTATTTATTACTCTCCTAGTACCCTTGAGTGTATGTTCATTTCTGGTCAGGGAAATTACTCACGCGTGACGTGCCAGTCTCCCGTGAATTTGCTCGCGTCGCGTGTCTTTTACAACTTTCCCTCGAGTTCCGGGAGATCTCTATTCCCCATGAATATCAAGCCTCAAGCCCCACAATAGTTCTGAACCAGTGGTAGGAAGTCGGGAGAGTTGTATCGTACCGAAGTTCAGCTCAAAACATGTCTTGAAGAGCCGCGTCCTGAAAAGTGGGACTCGATATTGGTCGTCTGCTTGCCGCAGAAACCAAAGATGAAAGTCGCGGGAGATGACCCTCTGGCAAGCATCGTCAGATGAATCTTGTAGTTCTGAGCTCGCTCAGATAAAAAGTGTACAGTGTAATAAAGAAGCTGCCATTCTCAGAGTTTCGTCTGGATTCAATGTCAAGGGGGTTCAATGAGCGGGAAAAATCAGTGATTAAGAGAAATTCTGCTTCCAGGTCTTATCGAAGCTATACAGTTGGGAAACGTTGCAGAAAGCACCTACCTCAAGAATCGATTTCGATAGACTAGCGCAATCCTGGTCACAAGCACAACTTTCCCTTATCTGAAGAGTTCTGACGCAGTGATGCAGGAGAATCACAACGTATCGGATGAGGGTGCTTGGGCGAAAAAGGTCCAGCCGCAGGAGTGCGAAACAATATTAGGAGAAAGAGTTGATTTGAATCTCAGGGACAGGGAATGCAGCATTTCATCTTCCCGAAACGATGTATGCGGCCCATCCGAAAATCGACGGTTAGCGGTGCGCTATTTCATTGTATATTGAAGGCAATGACTGTACTAAATTCAGCGAGCAATAATAGTCGAGCCGAACGATATCATGCTGGGCAGCCGAGGATCCGATGAGGAAATCGGGGAGGAATTCCCGACGTATACGAGTGGGGAAGGAGTTTCCTGGACCGTATCGACGCATCAAGAACCTCGCGAGCGCGAGGCTTCGGTGGGGAGCGGGCACCTGCGGGAGTCTCCGGTGGAGCACGTCGAACGTCACGGGCGCCGCTCGTGCTTCGCATCGAGCACGTCGAACGGTGTTCAGTCTCCGAAGTAAGCTCAGGGTGATCGAAGGGAGCAAAGATATTCCAGTGATCCCCATTCGGGAATCTATCGTGTCCGTACCTGATCGCTACTACGTATTTCACTATCGATGCTCTGGAATTCCGCAGCTCCGAGTAGAAAACTTGGTGAGCTCCCGAAGACCCTCACCACACACCACCCTCATGAGGAGCTCAGGCCCTCGTCAAGACTGTTCTGAGTTCAAGATTAAGGATGAAAAGAGACGGACTCACCTTCGTAATCGAGGGAAAATCGGAAGGGAACACCGAGGAATAGGAAGAGAGGGATCCCAATAAATATTCATCGGATACAACGCGTGTCTTATTTTCGGGTTTTGGTTCGTCGAGACTAGACATTGACCTACTCTTTGTTATCGGGTCCGTAAGCTCAAATCGCTGTAATGCTTAGTCCAATTTGCACTGGCCCTGAATTCTAGACTGATCTCAATCCCCGGGGAATGACCGATTCAATCGTTTTTCGAACTTCCTGGGTTTCCTTGCCGAAGGATATCCATCTATGCGAGAGCTCCCAGAGAAAGGAATCCGAGGAGCGACTCAGAATATGAGCCCGGTCGAGAGCCGTCATGAGCTTCACCCTCGAGCGCGTCGGGTTACATGCTGTTTCGTGTGAGTTGCAGCTCTAGTGCTTGCATTGCCCACCCGCATAATCTATCATTTTTTCATTTGGAAACTACCGATGATTGATAGATGATTGGTTTCCTCGTGGATTATCCTATCTCCGGAAATCCTGCGGGTCATTGTGCCTGGCTCCTGCGTTTGGGAGCATTCCGTGTCCCCTCACATTCACTGATCTGATCCTCATGGGGAATATGTGTTGGCCTCTTTTGATGGAGTCAAGGAGCTGTAGTCCCCCTGCATGCCGTCGAGTGGCACCTCCACCCGTCATTGCGTTCGATTCACGACATCTTCTATAAGTTCAGCCATCGCTTGAGTTTCCTAAGTTTTTCACCCGAACACTGCATGAATCCTCTCACCTTTCCCAGCTCGGAATTGCCTTGGCGTACTCCGATGCGCTCGCTGCGGATTCTCGGCGGTGGATCAGTCGGTTCTGGAAACGCACGTGAACCTTAAGGAGTGTTCTAAATCTGCCACGCAACGCGTAAGTAGCTAGTTGATGAGTTTTGCTTTACGAGCAATGTGACCTCCGATCCCCCGTGCTCCGAAATCCAATTCATCGAGGTGACGCCGCGAATATAATTCTACGCGGAAATCTCACGATCAGGAGGACCAATATTGCGTGCAATATAAATATACATTAGTGATATCCTCTCATTTGAAGGAAACGCCCCTGAAGTTGGGCCCCAACTGGCGGCAGTGGCCGAAGTCAGGCTTGGATAGCAACGAGAACGAAACAACAAACGCTTGCGAGTCCGGTGGCCCACACAGCTGTAATGAATGCACAAAATCGTTTAAAACTCTCATCGCTCTACAGAACCACAGGTAGGGATGGGATTAATTGATGAGAATTCCAATGCTTGCCGAGCCGCATTGCGCGTCCATATGAAAGTAACGCAGCTCCGCTCTCAGGGACGATGATCACTCCGGAGTCGTATTCTGCCCCGCGTGCGGTCATCCCCTGATGTCCATGAGGCTCCTCAAGCTCCATTCGTTGACCCATGCGGCTCAAGACCCGAACGAGAAACCTCTCGATTGTGTGGTGAGCATACCCGTGGTTTTTCGTATCGTGCCCTCCGGTATTTTCCATATACGAAGCTCTCCCACGGGGGAGTCGAGGAAGTCATTAGTCAATACTCATGCAAGGAATTTATACCTCTCGTTTCAGATATGCGGAAAACATTTCGACCTGCGCTCCAACCTCATTCTGCACAGACGTCGACTCATCCGCTCCCAGGGAGCTTTCACATTGTATTACTGCCACGTACGAAGATGTAATGAAAGATTCACTCAAGAAATCGATCTCATAGCGCACACAAAAAGCTCTCACTCGCTCGAATCGTGCGAGCTAAAAGCCTGAATGAAAGCTTCTCATGTAAATATTTTCACGGATCCCATACCTAGTTCCCGGTCAATAAAAGCCAAAAGTCAATGTCTATATGCTGAGCTCTTCCATTTCTCCAGAGATTGAGTCGTCCTTTACCGGACTCCAGGTTACGTGGCCTCTGGCTGCTTGAAGGGAAATATTTGGGAACTTTTCTGCCGATCGGTCGGCAAGCTCAAGGTTCGATCGAAAAAAACCCGCCTTGTCCGAATCGTTATGAAAAATACGGTGCGGATATCATTGAATCCCGATTCCGAACACGAGAATGGTGTGAAACTCATCTATCTACAGAAATAGTGCGCTTGTATTTCAATAACGCAGACGTCGAAGAATTCAACGCCAATGCTATTCCGACAACAGAGACAACGGAAATATCAATCGCGATGGATTCGTATACCGGGTACAGAACCGATGGTGAAAGGCGGGAAGCTATCGGAAAAGTCCACAAAATGAACTCACGCGACACCGGCAACTTGGCATACCAGATAACATTGACCAAAGGTTATCCATACATGTTGACCACAAATATTGATGTGGAAGACGGACTGGTCAACAGAGCGATCGGCGCATTACGTTATATCGAGCACTTGCCTAACTCACAGGATGAACACGACTATAGACGCCTATGGCTGGAATTCGAATCAGACTTCATAGGGCGCCGTATCCGTGTCAAGAATAGAGCTCATAAACGGAGCAAATCTGGAGAGCTGGATGATCGCTGGGTCCCAATCGACCTACGATCACTCATCATCAACATCACCCCGAGAATCAAATGTCGGCGCCTCCAATTCCCCGTATTACCGGCTTGCGCCTTGACAATACACAAATCACAAGGGGAACATTCGAACATATTGTTTATGACTACCACAAGAATCATAAACAACAGCTCGTTTACGTAGCCATCAGCAGAGTGACACACTTGGAAGGTCTCTATCTCACAAACGTCGCTGATGACTTCTGCTTTCATCATGCCAGAGGCTCGAATACAACATCAATCCGAGAAGTACAAAACGAGTATAATCGATTAGCAAGGCATCGTCTTCCTACGATAACATCAAAGATAAAGGAATTCATCGATGGGGTCGATAAAGACAGTAGACATCTGATGATTGTGAACATCAATGTACAGAGCCTGAAAGCTCACGCCGAGGACATTTCCTCAGATTCTCTCTTGAAGAAAACGGATCTCTTGGCGGTGACGGAAACATGGATGAATCACGAAACACAACCAATCGCCATCGGAGGCTTCCACATGATCGATCTATGCCCATGCGAGACACGGGCGGGCGGAGTAGCTTCATACGCAAAGAATGAATCAGGAATAATTACACTGACACCCATACTTGCCGAAACGCAGGATCGAGAAAACACAGACGCCGTGCATTGTGGGGATATGACACTTACGCAGGTATGCTGCGCCACGGGGCAAGTTTTCGACCTCATTGTCCTCTACGTGCACCAGGGAATCGGCTTTTTGGCATTGATGAATTTTTTGGATCGAAAATTACGCAAATATGAGATCCCTCTTCTAAGCGTAGGAAATTCCATGCCCATGATCATGATGGGAGATTTCAATGCCTCAGTCGACGAACGACTGAAATTGACGGATTTTCTGGATTCGAAATACCAGTTGAGACTCGACAGCAGAATGTCCGAGAAAACCACGCTCGGCCAAACTAGCATTGACCTGACATTTTCAAGAGGAGTGGATGTAGCCTGCGAGCCATACATATCTTACTTCTCATATCACTGCCCCGTGTTCGCCAAAGTAATATCCATAAGAGGGGAAACAAACGACTTCGGACGCCGAAAAAACTCGATCACTGATACTATATAAAGCCGATCAATTTTCGCTAATTATACCGGACATCGATGATTTATAGAAATTCGAGGTACACGCGACTTGATTGAAAGCTAAATGTACACGATGTCATTTCACAGCAACAGTAGAGAACTAAAATTTTAGTGTTGAAAGGGTGAAAGACGTTTTCACGCAATATTACGGTAGTGGCGTCGACACTACCTGCGCGGGTTTTTTTTGATAAATGTCCAGGATTCCGCGTGAAGTGAGTGACCCATCAAGCGAGCGACCTAGCCAGTGAGCAACAAGATGAGTCACTGTATGAAACCATTCGCTACAAACACGAGTTGGCCCACTATCCAATTCGCTCCTCTTGTTCTGCTTGCTCGTCGGCTACTGCATCTCATGTTCAGCTGAATCTGGAATCGTGAATCCATTCGGTACCTCCGTCGGAGCCGCGCTCAGGTCGGCGCCTGGCTCAGGCTTCAAGGGGAGAAAAATGCTCAGAGGCGAGATTATAAGGGTCACACATCCTGCTCCAGGATAGATTCTGTTCGCAGTGGCTTCTCGCGAGAAGGAACCCCGAGGTTAATTCGGAGCGGGGAAATCCGGCAACTCACGTCGAATACATAAGATTCACCTGACCAAGGGAAGCGGAAGTGACGTCGTGTTGATGAAATGATATCCTCCTCGACGCGATCCTCGAAATCATATCGAAAACACCAGATCGAATCAAACTAATCAATCCCATTCCTCCCTCATTGAAAATTCAGTATCTCAAGGTCCATTGTTGGGAGCGCGGCTTTCTTTACTTGTATCTAGGTGATTCACATCGATTGCACAAAGCTTCGGAAACGTCCCGACCAGTCCCCCGGGATACCTACGCTAGACGGAACAACTGTAATCATGCCCGCGCTCTCTAAGCAGACCGTCGGAGGAGCTCTTCACGGTCGCAGGACGAGACAACGACCGCGTGAGCGAGGGATCAATCAATGTGGAGTGGCTGATGCAATCGGCTGGAGATCGGTCGCTCCCTGGGGACACGTAGAATACTGGGAACTCACAAGCCACAACTAGGTATCCCCAGCTTGGGATCTCTCCGAATCGCCGCCAGTGCCTTATCGATTCCAGGGATTGGTGTTTCGGCAGAGCTCGATATTTTCAGGAAAGCACCAAACTTTCTCAGCAGTAATTCAAATTGAGAACCCTCGCTACCCGGTTGCGCCTGGGCGTCGATTGCGAGTACAGATTGGACCGTCCACACGACGCTGCGATTCCGAGTCTCCGAGAAGACCCCACACCGCCTCCAGAGTGCGTTCCCGGATTCCGGATCCGACCTCCATGAACTTCTTTTGCGAGAGCTAATGTACTTGACAGTGGTGTCCTTGACGTCGCTGCCTTGGTCGAAATCATGTCGATGCGAACCACGGATCACTCGCGCTCTGACAGTGCCTTCGACGATTTTCCCGACTCCGAGCGACCCTCTGAGCTCGAGGCCATCCATCCGTCGCCGCGAGGTGACGACGATCACGAATCATGCGGGCGTAAACATCGCCAGGGAATGGTCCGTAGCAACAGACTTGGAGGAACAAACAGAGGAGAAAAACACGCATCTGCTGCGCAGCGAGGGAGACCGACACGTAAACGACACGGAGGGATCCGCTGTGAAAAATGCCGCCTGCGGGAAGCAATGAAGTTCTCGACCCGGCTTTGGGAAGGCTATTCAATGCACCATAGACTTATCGTGGATCAAATTTTCCAAGGTTCTCTAGAAAACTTTTCAATCTAGAAATCTGAAAGTTCTAGACACCAGAACGTCACCTATAGCTTTTGGAATCGGGAGGACGAATTTTGGCGCAAATAGATCTTCGATATTTCATCTGGATCAGAGACAGGGATCCATGACCGGGTCATCTTTGGCGCTGCGCCCCATTTTTGTAAGTTGCACGCGATCTCTTGATTGCGCGTCTCATCTCAGCCCCTTTCTCTCCCGACTCCCTCTCCACAGACGCCTGAACAGTTTGTCTTGTGGCCTTGGCGGCTCGAGCGCGCTCGCTTTTACTCCTAACGCCACGTAAGTCGAAACGATCATTCGGCAGACGAACGTCAATTGCGCTTATCATACAGCGAGCGGGTATCCTTGTTTATGAGCATGGGCGCCAACGGAAGCAAGGAGTATCGGGATCGGTGAGTTGAGCCGAAGTTTATCAACTTATCGGAATCGAAGCAAACGACCGAAGGATTGTTGACGAGCGATTATCTCGCGAAAAACCAGTGACAGCATCAAGGGGCCGAGTAAGTCATGACAGCATTGCGACTGATAGCTGTCGGCGAGAGTCAATCGAAGCCGATTCCAGTTTCCTGGTCGATTTTAGAGGCGAGCTTTCCGCCTTGGGATCTCGAAGAGTCCAAACCAGCGATTTGGAAGCCCAGTCTGGACCGAGGCGTTGACAATACGAAGTGGGTGGAAATTCCTCTTTTGAGTGTGACGAAGACCCAGAGAGCCTGACGTATCCCAGTTATCAGAATCATAGCGCGGCTGCGACTAGGCTGGCAGAATCCGTGATTTCAAGCGCGGCCGTCGCCAATTCGAGGCGGTAGGTGATCTTCCTTATTTTTTTCGACAGACACATCAAGTGTCGAGCTTCGAGTTGGTAGCTCCCATTCAACTCCGTTCGATTAATGCTGAACCCGATTATTCGCGGCTTCCTAGAGCTGCCGCCTCCGCTAAGGCCGGCACCAATATACCCAGTAGAGACAGAACGATGGCAGGCTCCATCCGTGCTTCGGAAGTCGCCCCGAATGCTACAATAACGTCGGTTCCATATCCTCTGAGGTAGCGTCGCATTCGCACGAATCGATTGATAAGCTGACCTTGCGGTTTCTGTCGCTCGGATCACGAATTCCGAGAAGTCCCCCGATCCTTCTGAGACTTCTCGATTTTTCTCCGTATGATTTGATCAAGCCAAATTATTCACTCCTGAAGTCGTTATGATATCCAGCTTTTCGAAGATCGGCCGCTTCGAAACGTCGAGTCCCGACCCGTCCATGCAGAGGTACAAACATCGAATTGAACGACTCGCCTGTCCTGGTCGGACCTTCGTCGAATCTAAAATCCCTAGTGTATCGGCAGAGCGATGACAAGCGGCCTCCCCGAAACCCACGAAACGTTCCAAGTCACGCTGCTGAGAACACATACGCCCCGACGCTACGGAGTCAGAGGTAGCCTGCACGAACTCTCTGTTCTGCCCGTTTTAGCTTTGTTTTCGATAGCTGAACGACGGCATACGCCAAGTCCAGGATAGCGGTTTCCAAAAGACCGTTCAGCAGCAGCCTCGAAAATCATTGGCGCTCGATGTCCCCCGATGCAATGCCGATAGGGTCCAGAAAAGCCTCTGTGCGCCTTCAAGCATCGAACCTCGTCTTCCTGATTTCTCCCATGCCTGACGGCTCCGCCACCCGCTATGGGTGTATGAGAGTATCAAAGTCCAGAAAGCGTGGGCCGTCTGTTGTGATTTGATTCTCGTTTTCTCCCTTCGATAATGAAGCCTCCAAACCGCCTCTCCGCACGACTGAATTTCCGCGTCACATGTAAATGATGCCTGATAGGCGCTCCGCGGGGAAATCGTCCAATCTGATTTCTCCAGAAAGGCGCATTGGACGCCACGCGTCAAAATCGTCTGAAAGCTGAGATGGGATTCGATCCTTCGGCGGATATAATTAAGACTCGAATGAGCAGAAACTAACTGTGACTGTGCCTCGAAATGATTTCGGCATAAGTTGCCTCGAACGCTCAAAATTCCTATGATGACTTTTAGACGTTCGTCTATAAATTCTGAGAAATCTACGATCCCTTGGCGAGACGGTGCATTCATTGGTTTGTTCAGCCCGCCTAATGAATAGCACAATCCACGAACTGTCGACGGTCAACGATCGTACCCCGAAAAACTATTTTCCTCAGTCGGAATGAGTAACATATCGTAAGACTTGCTTCTCGCTTCTCTTCCAGTGGATCATCTGGCCACGAAGACATTCCCCGATCGACAATGATCTCAGAGGGAAAGTATGGGGCGCAGCCCAAGAACAAAACGGCAATGTATGTTACCGATACGGCGTCGGCAGAATCTCGTTCTCGGAATGTACCGATGCGCGATCCGTAGGCGAAACATGTCGGCTGCTCATTGCTAAGTTTTTCAGCCATAACGCCTCACACACGAATCCGGCGAGAGCTTCCAGCGCGTCAACGAAATTCGCTGTCGGACCGGGGAACGGGTGGCAAAACATTCCGCCAAATCAGCCTTTGTACCCTTCCCTCGCTCAGGCAGCTCCTGGACGTAATGTCTATCAGGCTCCCCAGCAAAAGTCCCAACTGCAGCCCCAGCAGCTAGCGCCGAAGAAACCGAAGCCAAACAAGTGAGACAGAACCCGGGATGGACTGATTATGAGATTTATCCCGAAAGCCGGAAAATTTCACCATGATACTGCGCAATCATCGAACCCGATGTAATTCCAAAACAAAACTCCCGATTCCCCAGGCAGGCAGTCGAGGCCGTCGTTCAATCCTTGAAGGAAGTAGTGGAATCAAACGATGGCTTCAAGTTCAATCTTGAGGTGATTTGTATTTTCTCGCAGCAGACTGGTGATCCTTCGAAGGTTCAACCCGATCCTGATTGCATCTAACACCGCGTTCCGGCTCCCATTTAGAATATCGATACGCTGTACGCCATCGTGAGAGGCGAGAGGATACCTTACGCTGCGCTTGGCTTCGCGAACTTGAGTTCGTTCATCGAGTCGAAGTGCGATTTCCTCTCGATTGTAAGATCGGATGGGCACACCCAGATAGTCCTGAGGCCTCCGACTTATCAAGATGCTGTGCATGCCCCAATGGTGAGCCAGGAACACCCCATCGAATTGATAGGGGTCCGTGACTAGAAATAGTCAATAGAAGAATACTGAAGGACATGTCTATGACTTGCCAACTTCCCTATTTCTGCAGGGACAAAGTCAATCGACTGCGGTTCCGAGGAAGGAGACGAACGTGACTGATCTGGTCCACGATGAGTTAACTGCGATCGATCTCGAACGTCTGAAGATGATCAGTGACTCGAAAGCCAAGAATGGACTTTCGATTCAGCAGTTCGAGGAAGAGTACCTCCTCGCGTTCTTTCGCAGGATCGACTTCAAGGGATTTTCCCGCACGGCGTTTTTCCGGGGCTTGAGTGACATCGTGGAGATGCGCGAGGAGGAAGATGGAATCAAACTTTACGCCAAGACTCAGAAAATACGCTCCGCGGCCTCACCTCAACAGCATAAGACCATGCAGACAGGAAATGCAGGCGGGAAATCGAGCCTTCAGACGAACCCGAAGAAGAAGAATGCTCAACCCGCCGGAGGACAGAAGCCGTCGCTCGAGAGCAACAGCAAAACACCTCAAAAGCAACAGCGAGGGAGAGGCGTCAAGCCGAACCAGTTGCAACACCAGGTGTGTCAGCAAAAAGGACTGGCGGGGGGCCAGGAATTCGCTCGCCAACGGCAAACGAACCCCGAACTGAAACTTTCTCAATCGTTCGAGAATGAAATCAGGAGGACTCTGCAAGATTGCAAGAGACCCGGAGGGCTCACGCCGGATGAATTCAAGAGGTTCTTCGAAGGGAACTCCAAGCTCAAGTTCGATACTCTCGGCTTTAGTGATGAGGCTTTCTTCAAGGGGCTGCCTCATCTCTTCCAAGTCATTGATTCTGATTTCGGGATTCGTATAATGCCGGCTCCCCTCAGAACTGGCCTGGCACGGAGTAATTTCAATAATTTCAAGTCCACGTCTGCATTGAGCGGTACGCAATCCCGACCCGAAATCAACAATATTTCAGCCTCGACGGGAAATTTGACGATCTCTCCTTCGTCGTGTATGATGCATATGGTGGGAGAGCACTGTCTGTGGATCATCTCCATCAATAACTACGAGTACGTTCCTACGGGATGTGTCGCAAGATTGGCGAATCTACCGAAAGACACCGTTCTGAGCGATCTTCGGAAACATAATATGGATATCCGTTACATCAGGAAGCTCGACGATGAGAGCATCAAAAAAGTTCTTGTCAACAACAGCGTAGCGCAAGCCGACGAGGAAGTGATGACCATCCCGCTGAAATCAGTCCCCCTGATTCTAAGAGTTTTCCTCGGGAAAAACGTCGATGAGGTTTTCATGGAGAACCTCTCGAAGGTCTCCGTGGAACACATTCGCAACAAGAGGGCTGGACGGTACAATCGCTAGCGAGCCTCTAGCTTATCTCCGCTCGCGAGTTCGGAGGGCGAGCGGGCATCACTGACTCGCGATCTGGTTGGGACATCGGTGCCGACGATCTGTTGGTCAGTTTTACGAATTTTATCGAAAATTAGCATGAACTTTTGAGCTGATGCCTGGAAGTAGAATCCTTTCGAGAGTTTTTGGCATTCTACGGAATCGATAGTTCTGTCTAGTTGCGACGGATATATTTGGAGCCCGCATCCGCGTCGATAGTACGGATTAGCTGCGAGTTCAAGCAAAGTCGCACGGCAGTTCGAGAAACACGGGTCGACGTGGGTTTCTCGCAGGGGAGACCTGGGTCCCAGGTCCCAGCTCGGGGTCTTCTTCCAGCGAGCAAGAGGCCCAAGAGGTGGGGTGATCCACGACGACTCCCAAAAGGCTATCATTCTGTTGTATTTCATCCGCGATAAGTCACTCGAGATGACATCGCATCTTCCATTCTATAGTTTGGTGGAAGGGAGCTTTCCGATTTTGGTGAGTGAGGAGAGTCAGAACCGCTCTCCTTATTTCAAGACAACAGCTGCTCACGGCGATAGGAAGTTCCGACAACTGTTGCGATTCCTCCGACGGATCCCTAATTCGGGCCATCCATGAACGACATCATATAATGTACCGTAGAGATCGTTCAATAACGTACGGGGGAACGGCATTTTTCAAGGAACAAATGCGTTCCTTGTGAACGAAGCAACGACACTTGTTACTGGACGGAAGAGCGCGTCAATAAAAGTATGTTTATCGATGAGAATATTTTTTCTTGAGAGTCTCGAGAGTGAGAGCGGGGGAGTCGTCATCGTCGAATGAACACGTGATCTGAGAGCTGGCACATGGAGACGACGATTCCGAAGAGCTTTGCGCGGCATACGGTCGAGATGGGGCGGTCCTTCCGTCGATTTCAGAGCATCAAATTCTTCAAGAGCTGTGATTCCTAGATTCCCCAGGGCGGGGACGGCTGAGACGCTCCCCGAGGCCGCGACCGATGCACTCGAAAGTGCGGGACCCACCGTCCGAGACCTCCGCGGGATGACTCCGGATGCGGCGTCCAAGGTGATCAAATTGGCTCGTCTGATGCGAATGCTCACCCAGAGCGTTTCGTCATCAGCGATGCTTCGCACACGGCTTACATATCGCTGTCTCCAACACTCTCAACGCCCGACGCAAACGAGCCGAGCACGGGGATCTCGGGTAAGGAGAGCTCCGCCGGATGAGACGACGACGATACAGGATGTGCTGACCTCGACTGCGCCACCGATGGCGTCCCTGAGCAAACATCGAAGGATGGACATGAGGAGCTAGATTTGTGGAGTCTTTCGGATACAAGAACTTCAAGAGATCACGTTTGATCTCGGAGCAAATCACAGAAAGAGGGATCAGCTTGCACGACTGCTACAGCGTGCAGCCCTTACGGGCCACCGCGCAATCACCCGGGTCGGTCCCGTTTCCGGAATGTTTCCCATCTTTGACGATACTATCAAGATGCCGGGCGTCACAGCAGGAGATGACTCGAAGATAACTTAAGAAAGCACAGTCGTGGGTCGGGCTGAGTTCCAAACGACGGGTTGTGCGAGCTTCCGACTCATTCTCGAATGCTGGTGCGATCATTCCTGAAGACCATGCGTGGATGTCTTGTGTAGGAGTTTCAGATCTTGAGAGAAGGGCTACATTGATCGAAAATCGTAGACCCTTGATCATGAAGGAACTATTATTCGATTGCGAGACCTGTCAATCGCCGGGGAGATGGTGCTTCGGTTGGACGTGAGGATGCTGGGACACATCGGGAAGAAGATTATCCTGGACGTAACAGACTATTCACTCGGTGCGATTATAGACAACTGGGTTGATACGGTCGGTTATTCACAAAAGCAGCATCGATCGATCGTCTGCCAACAATCAAAGGCCAGTAGTTTTCAAAGTTGCGGCTCTCTCTCACCGGGCAGTCTCCTCGGGGGTACTACCAGCAGCGACGCTCCTACCTGTGATAGATATAGGGTTAGTTTTTCGGAGTCTTATCAGAGGCAATCATTTTCAAAGAAAGGATTCATCAGAAGTGCTTTCAGGCCACGAGTCTCACCGCGAAGGAACGAGAGCGTCTCACCGCGAAGGGACGAGAACTCCGCGCCGAAATCCACCGACAGGCTCCTCCATCACTCGGAGATTCATGTCAAAACCGCGATGGAATCCGAGTTAGAGGAATGACCTATTTCCCTGCCCGTAATACATATACGCGTGGAGCCCGCGCACTCCGTCGATCAAAGCTTCGTATTCCGAATCGATGTCCAATATTTTGCGCTTCCCGTCTCCATCTCATTTCCCAATTTCTCCTTTACTTAAGTCTTCTCACGACCTCCGCTCGAGCTCGATGCATCTCCATCAGCGTTGACACCTCCGCCTCTATTCGCGAAGCCGCCCCGGAAGCCTTCACATCACCTGCCTCGTCTCCATTTCTACGCATATTCGATAGAACGTGATTTTTCCAGTGAGCGACACGTAAAACTTGTCCGCCATGAGAAGGGGTTCCCGTCTCGACGTACTCTCCTTTCATGTCGGAATTAGAGTTGTTACATTATTACATCATGTCCATTCCGCTCATCGGCTTCAGGCTGATTTGTGCCATCGGGTTCGTCTTGACATCCGTAAAGGAGCTCCTCATCGCCTAGTAGGGGAATCGTCGCATGCTCAACATTTCCCGGTGGCCGACTCGTGCCTCCTCTTCCCCCTTGAGTGATTTAATTTTTCCCCCCTCGAGTGTCTTCGTCGCTTAATCTGCCCATTGATCTCCAACGAACTCTTCTACTCTTCCTCCTTCAGCGTAGGGTCTGCTACTCCCGCTGTCTCGACTTCAAACACCTCGGTCCCACCTCCTCTGATGGCCACGTCTTCTGCCCCGATCATTTCGGTTTCGGTTCCTCCTTCCGAATGCTCATTCTCGTTTTCCCGCGTCCCAGAACCGTCTCCATCCCCACGTCCCGTTCGAGGAATCGTTCCGCATGCATTTTCGCTTTCGAATCTTCCTCCATCTTTGCATCCGAACCGTGATCTCTCGCTCTCCTCTACTTCCTTTCCGAGATCCTGCCTCTCCCTCTCGATTTTTCCCATTCTCGCCCTCGGGAGCTGCGACCCTGATTCACCGAGTACTCTACTGCTCATTCCTCCGGCTCCTATTCTGCGTCCCTCGTCTCTCATATCATCTTGAACGACTCCCGATCCCTCCGTATTGATTTTCCGGCGGCGTTTTCTATTCGGATTGACGTCGAAATTTAAGATGGACTGGACGTGTGCATCGAAATCCTCCAGACGGAAATCTTCCACGGCTCGGAATCTCGGAAACTTGATTCGCTCTTTCAACTCTCTGACCCTCTTGATCCGGAGCCTCTCGGACGCAACACCGCCAAGGGGTTCGAGCCTCCCGCCATCTCCGCCACGGCGATTCCGGCAGCGATCAAGTCTTTGTTCCCTCTTGTTCATGCGCGAAAAATTCTCTCGATGGAACTTTTGCAGACTATTACCGATGCCTCTTTTGCTATCAAATATTTCGTCGACTCGCGCTTGCATCTCTTCTTTTTCGAGTTCTTGTCTCTCAGGGACGGCCACCTTCCCGCTTGACAACGGCTTGCTCCCTCCCGTGGCTGTTCTCTGCTGACGGGGTCCTTTAGATTTGCGTCGTAGAGCGTGAAAAGCCGAAGTTCCTGGCAGAAGTGTTCTCTTCATGGTTGGATCTGGTGTTCCGACACCATCATCAGAGACCAGGTGTGTCTCCGAGTCTTCATCCGGCCTCCCGGAATCTCCCGCGTAAGATGTATCGGACTCACTTATTTGAGCTTCCGGAGTTTTGAATTTCGCAAGAGATCGAAGTCCCGAAAACGCCGTCGAGGCGGTCGATATTCTCTCTGTTCGAATTCGCTTCGGACATCCAGCGACGTCGCTTCTAGACACCGTCTCCACGCACGTCGTCGACATCGACGCAGCGGACTCTGGGGAGCTCGAAGACCGCTTCCTCCTTCTACGTCGTCGGCGGCTCATGCTCCCCTCCCGGCAACTTCGTTATCTGGATGTGTTTGAAGCTGTAGAGGTTTAGAATTTAGAATACTCTCTTCGACTCCCGATGAGTCCTTTTATCAGTCGTTTTCTCTGTCCACGGAAATAGCGAATTTGCCGACTGGTGGTCCTAAAGCGAGTGATGTAAGAGGAGATTCCGGGCCTCGTCAGCATGAAAGGGATGGGGGGTGAGCTCACCGAGTGGATGCGTTAGATTGTGGGCTCCTCGGCTGAAACGAAGCATCTGTGGAGGAGAGACATGACGAGCGTTGAAAAATGCGTGACACCCAAGAGTGGTCCCAGAACTCGGCCTCTTGGTCACGACGAATATCATGAGGATGGGGAATCGAGGCTTCATCTGGCATCCAGACAAAATCTCCCGATATCGCATCTGGGGGACTGCGGGGTATGGATAATTCCGGGGAATATGATTGAATATGATCGCTCAGCCACTGCGTGAGAGGGCTAGGATCTTATCGTCAGGCTACCCTTTCTCAATCTCTATTGTTTCGAGACTGTCTCCGTCGGTGTGAAAGTTTTCTGGAGCAGTAGCGAGATTGCCGAGCATCCATCTCAAAATGCAGGTTGCGTGCTTGAAGGATCTGGAAGACATCGCCTCGAAGAAGATTCCCTCAAAGGCTTGGGATTATTATCGGAGCGGCGCCGACACCGAATTCACGCTGAGGGACAATGAAAACGCTTTCCAGAGGTGGGTCCTTGCTCCGTCATCGTGTACCGCGATCTGTAGTCATCCAATCTCATCCCCGTCAACGACCCCGTTCGCTGTCATCCGCCATGTCAGTGACCATATTAAAGTCAAACTCCAGGTATAGATTCCGACCGCGTGTTTTGCGTGACGTCAGTAAGATCGACGCAAGTACATCGGTTCTGGGCACAAGTGTCAACTTCCCGGTCTGCATAGCATCGACCGCCATGCAGCGATTGGCTTCTTCTAGAGGAGAACTCGACACGGCGCGTGGGGCATCCACCAAAGGTTCCCGAACTCATAAACATCCACATGAGCAACCTCCTTAGGATCCTAGCCCGCGAATCCCTTCAGAGACGGTTCAGTAGGAGAAGTGTGAAGCTCGTTTCTTTGCATGACAGGGACTCTTATGATGCTGTCAACGCTCTCAACGACGAGTCTCGAGGACGTTGCCCACGAGTTCAATAACTGGACGGTCGGTCGGGGAGGCTTGTGGTTCCAATTGTACATTTATAAGAACAGAGAAGTCACAGAGAAGCTTGTCAAAAGAGCGGAGACGGCTGGTTACCGCGTGCTGTGCCTGACGGTGGACACACCGTATCTGGGTGCGTGAGAAGCTCTCTCTCGTATAATATTCTCTTGAGATTGAATTGATATCCCAACGACAGACTCTAAACGCAAACTTCGAGTACAATCATCAGGGATTCTTGTCCCTAAAAATTAGGAAACCGTCGGGCTGACGCGAGAAATAAGTTCGAGATGCCTCCTGGTTTGAAACTCGCAAACTTCGAAGACAGCATGGCAGGAGGCATCGCCGAAAAGGGCTCTTGGCTTCTCGAGTATTCGCAGTCCCTCTTCGACCCATCGGTTTCGTGGCAAGATATTGACTGGCTGAGGAAGATCACCAAGCTCAAGATCGTCCTTAAAGGAATCGTCACAGGCAAGTGGGCCGATACCCCTCTGGTTCTCGTACATTCGATGCACGAGGTTCTCGGATTGCTCAGCGATTACGGGAAGCTTTGGATTGCGGAAATCAGATTCGTGATGAAAGATCGACCTCTTCCTCTAGCTGAAGATGCTGAGCTCGCTGTTCATCACGGGGTCGACGGAATCCTTGTCTCTAACCACGGCGCGCGACAACTCGACGGCGCTCCCGCAACCGTGAGTGTCGAATTATTCGGAACCGGTGACGGCAAAACAGATTGGAAAATTGATCAGGATTTCGTTTGGAAACTTCAGATCGATGCTCTGCGAGAAGTGGTAAACGCAGTACAGGGCCGGTGTGAGGTCTACTTGGATGGAGGCGTCCGCACAGGATCGGATGTCGTGAAAGCCTTATGCATGGGAGCCAAAGCTGTCTTCATCGGTAGACCCATTCTATGGGGCTTGGCTTACAAGGTGAATATCTCGAGAATGGTTGGCGTAACTCGGATCTCCCGGTCATACCGAAGCGTCATGATCAGAGCTTTGAATTCCGCGGCGGTTTGCATGTGCGGCCTTTTTGGATCCTCTGGGGAGGAGAGGGGCAGGCTTACGAAAATTCGCCGCACAATTACGGCCGGCGAATTCCTTACTCCACGATGAATCCTAGGCCTTGAGACTCATGCTGCTTGATAAGCTGTTAATTGACTCGCTATCGACAGGGAGCCGCGGGAGTTGAAGAAGTCCTCTCAATCCTAGCGAGAGAGGTACGATCGACGATGGGGCTTCTCGGAGCTACAAAAATCGACGAATTGACCCAAGAAATGGTTGCCCCGAGCTTGCCTTCGAAATTCTGATCTGTGGCGTATTTGTCGGCTCTGTATGATTCGGAAGCTTGGGATGGAATAAACGGCTCTCGGTGATGATCGAAATCATCTCGAGGGGAATGAGACTGACAATGAGAAGGAATTACTATTTCCCACAAAACCAGAATTTAGCCGTACTTCAAATTTATTTGTGGAAACACCTCCGACCGCGAACCGAAGGTTTCTCGGCCAACCTCTCGTCTTAGTGGATCTTTACGGAGTATTTTTCCTCTCAATTCACTGATATCCTCATATATTACTCGATCGATAAACAATTATCATCAATCCTCTCATTGAGACTGATTCTTAAAGCTTCATGTCGAATCGCATCATTGTCATTCAAAAATGTTAATTCCGTCGACTGCAGGGCTCTCCTTCGCGGCCCAGCAGAGTTGGTTCCGATTTTCCAAAGAAGGTATCCCTTCCTCAATCTTCCTGATGCATGACATCGGAGGGAGGTGAATTGCTAAACACAAGGCGCATATTTTCAAAACACAACCGGAACACATTAGGAGCCTATTCCGCCTTGACTCGTTATTGACCGCTCTTCTTCTAGGACCCCACTTTCGACAACATTTCATACTGAATGAGACGAAGAGCGCGCACAGACGCGCATTCTGAAATCTACGCGGATGTTACATACAATGCTCGTCCGAATTCTAAGTTGGCAAGGAGCTCCTGAATCAGACAGGAAAGTTTCAAGAAGATCATCAGAAGCTTTCCTGCGCCGCCAAGATTCTTGAGATGAATAGGATCGGAGTTCTTCTGATAAGATCTACAGAATGTCCTTGGCGCCATGACGGGTTACAAACGACGCGGGATGAGGGAACTTCCGCGAGAAGCGGAGGAGCTCCGGCTCATGAGATGCTCCATGAACTGATCTAGGATGTTGCTCAGGCCATGAGTCCTAAGCGGGTGAGTTTGGCCGAAAGGAAGGATTGAAGGGCGAAGACTGCTGGCTTTGGCGAGCCCATCATATCGAGCTCCTGGAAGAAAAAACGAAATTCGATTGTTTCTAATGAACATCGCTTATTCCTGTCAAGTAATTTCGAGCCTGAGAGCGAGGTACCGTGGCGGGAGCGGGACCACTCACTCGAGGAATGTCTTCTCCTTTGAATTTTATGTAAAGCAATCGTTTATTATCATCTGCCGACTTCTCGATTTGTTCGAAGGGGTGAGCCCATAGGGGACCGTCCGGTTCCTGGGACCTAGGACGTCCTAACCGTTCGAGACTCAGACCATCTTCATGATGAATGCTCAGCATGCAACTCATGTTCATGCTGCCGCTCCCAACCTTGCACTCTGTGAAAGGGATCGGGATGACTTCCATTAGAGGCTGGCTCCTGATCTACTATCGGACCGAGGGTTCGCTATGAATCATCAATCTTAATGAGATGAGGTAGAGCTTCCGAGCTAGAATTCACTGACCGAATTTGACTATTTTTTGACGCGCGACACAGTTGTGAGAGCCGCTCACGATGCCACGAACCCACGAAGCTCTCGATGACGCTGTTTCGGTGCGGAAAATCCGAACCTCCACCCCTTTCGATGTCCCTACCCTCACTGAGAACTTGCAAAAACTTTCGGTCGATGTTCCGTTGCTCTCAAGACTACGGCTGTGGAGACTGCTCACAGAATGGCGCCCCAGGGAACCTCTTGAAAGTGATTGAGTTGATCCTGCTCGTGAACCCGGCCTCTCTAAACTACTGGCGACCACCCTGCGAAGTGATGAGAGAGAATTTAGTGCGATCGTCGAATAATACGTTATGTCAGACATTTATCAGAGCTTCTCTGGGAGCTCTAAGGATTTCCCGCTGTCGAGCAATGATTCGCCTCACCGCAATACGTAGAGAGGTTCACTCGTGACAGGCACAGCCCAAGCTTCTCGAGTCCACGGGACAATGTCATAGAAGAGTAGATCGTTCTGCGTAATCGCGACGAAGACCGGCGCCCACATGCGATCTGCAGCAGCGAGAGGATCCTGTTCGCACAGCCAACCGAAATGCTCTATTGGTGCCGAATCGAGCACGTCACCTGTGAATAACAATCTTGTTTGTAATGTTCCGCTGATTATATTCCTGTCCACTATCAAGCACATGGAGCCACGCGTGGCCACCGGCTTCTTTCGGGCCATAATACCGGGCGAGGGAATTAGACGGCATCAAGAACTAGCTTCAAGGTTACATCCGACTCACCGATAGCTTCGTTCGTGTCTCTCAGCGCGTGCGAGTTGAGTTCGTTGGTGACCGCGTTGATAGCTCTCAGCCACAGGGACGCTTGATTCGAATCAAGGCAACGAATTATACAGCTCTGCCTACGGTCCGGCGAATGAATTTCGATGATTCTGGAACGAGGAAAGAAAAATCAATTATGGAGTCGATGCGCGACTCGTGAGAGACTGCGGTGTCATAATTCCTTCTCTTGTGGCCATTCCTGAGACAATCCGAAGATGGGGAAATCGTCCGAGAGGGTACAAACCGATTGGCACTGTCAGGTTCCGAGTGTCCTCTCGTGACAAGGGCCAGCAGGAGCGGTATCCGTCTCGAAGTGTTGGAGTGCGTCGACGGCACCGACTTCACAAGCAGGTCTGAGTCCAACTCCCAGCCGATTTCAGACAGAATCGATACTTTCCGGAAGTACGGGGTGACTTCTTTAACGTATTTCACTGGAATAGGATTTTCCGATCCTCAGCGCCTCACAGACAATCTGATCGCTGGAGAGCGTCACCATGACGCTTCACCATAATCTACGAGAATACAGGCCGGATTGAATCGCGCAAATATTCCCAGGAGAGTTGTCGAGAGTTCAGAGAGTTCAATCAGGCCTACACCTTTTATTGGCGCTCAAAACATTGTGTAAACACCACCTGGCCGAGATAGCTTGTATCTTTACAATCAAGTGTGACGAGAGAGTTGTCCGACACACATTGCTCTGCAATGGAATTCATGGCAAAGCGAAATGGGAGTATGATCTTCAGAGAAATATCAGCGGATCGAACGTACCTTCAACGTCCACTATTTTGCCGGCTCTCTTCAAAGCTTTGACAGCTTCCTCGTGCGTTGCATCGCGCAGATTCTCGCCATTGACGCTGAGAATCGCATCGCCGACGTAAAGCTGTTCGGTGAGATCCGCCGCTTGGCCCTGATCACGGAGTGGAAGGATTGCTTTATTGGTGATTCGCTTCTGGATTCCGAGTGGTAGAATTTTCTCCGAGAAACCGACTAGACCGATCAGCTCAAGAACGGGTTCACAATTGGCGAGGGATCGCAGAGGTCTAGAGGAATTCGCATTTTTGTTTACGGAATCATATGCTATCGCAGAGGTGTCTTTCATAAAGGGGCCCCAATGTCCGAGAGAGACCAAGAAAAACCGTCGCGGCTTTGATGAGGCCAAGCGAAACATCTCTTGGATCTGGATGTATTATCCGTGGGAGGCATCAACTTTCGCGTTGTGGGTCCTTCATTCCGATCTCGCGGAGCTCGTTCGACAAGTATTATCCTTAACCCCACACGAGAAGTAAATCGTACAATTTTCCGATTCCGTCAACGAGCAGAACTACTAATCAGCAGCGAGATTCGCAGCTATAAAGATTCCAAGAAGGTTGAGTCTCGAAAGCATATTATTGTTTCGACCACACGAGTCTGCACCAAGGGATACGGAGCCACATAAGTTATTCAGAAATAATCGCTGATTGGATCACTTTCGCCTAGGGAACGCTACCTTGAATATTTTGGAAATGATTATCGGCATCATATTATCCTTTCCTCCTTTGATGGATATGCCGAGCCCGGCCGAGTGTGTTTTCTCTATCCGAACTTTCCTCTTGATGTTCGCCAGAGATTCGGGAATGTTGGCTCTCCCATCGGGCGAATCGTGGTCTGGAATGAAGTTTCGCGTTTTTGGTCTGAATTTCACAGTCCGAGAACAGCTCGCGCGAGCTTCGGAACTGATGTGAGAGATCCCGCTTCACGGCACGTCGAGCAAGAGCCCGTCGGACATGCAGAAACTCGGCGATCGACATGCTGTATTCCTGACGAGCACTGTAAGCCAAAGCTTCCCTCAGTCACAAGCGGAGAATTGAGAAAATTTCCGGAGGAAATGGATGCCCGTTCAGCGTGGGACAGAGCCCGCGCCGTATAGCCTGGTGGAAGTCTGGCAGCCAGAACTCCGTCGGTGGCAGACGTACCGCCTACTGCTCGAGCAGCTATTTTCCGGGGAGTAAGTTTCCGGAATGCACCTCTCGGGCTGAACTTCCCGGATCGGTGTTCGCGGAGTGGAGCTCTCGAACAGGAGCGCTATTGCGAACGGTTAGATAGACGCGCAGACCACACGACCTCTCGACGTTGCGTGCACACCTGTTGCACCGAATCGGGACTTGCCGTCCTATTTCTCGTCCTCTTTGAGCGGAGGACCCTTCGAGAGTCCATGAACGTAGAGCTTATCGCCATCTCCGGCTTCCGAAATCTCTTCAAAAATTCACAGCGTCCCGAGAGAGCGGATCGAAACGATGCCACACGAAAGGCAGCTTCGGCCCTGAGTCGCCTTCCGATAAGCCTCACCTACTCATGATGAAGGACCAGACTTCCCCTTCATCGATCTGACAGTGAGAATCCCCCCGAAATGCATGGCCGGGATCTACAGAATCAAATTCGAACTCGGCCGACAGCAGCCGGATCATGGGCTCTACTTCTCTACCGAGAAGGTCCGAATCAGCTGATTAGACTCACCGATCCGTCCAGGTCCAGGCACAACGTTCGAGTTGACATCGCTGTTGTTGGCTGACTGATGTGTGTCGAAGTTGTTTTCGTCGATGCTGACCACAATAGCATCCTCTTCGAGACTTGCGATGAGTTTGTACCATTTGGAACGAACTCTGAGTTCAACAACACCGACTTTCCGAGCCATTTGGCCTCGCGTGAGAGGCCACTACCAGCCGCACTGGCAGCTAGATACAGACTACAAGCAAGGAAGCAACAGCATAAGAGCCGACGGCTTCCCACAGACTCTCTGTTGTGGCCGTAGTTCCGTCAGCGACCACCACGAGCGGCGGTGGCGCTTCGACGCTTCGCTAAGCGTCAAGTACCACGGCACGCGCTTCCGGTATATCTCGATCGCGGACCGCGGGAGTCGACGCAAGCGCTTGGCAGTGGCTCTCGCGAAGATATTCATCTCCAAGATTCCTAATCTCGGGCTCGAAACTTGTTCGTATCTCGTTTTTGGTATCATGACGCTCCGGGGTTTATTCCTGAGGATTGGGACAGATCGGGACCACGAGGGCCTTGTCTAGCGAACGAGTCCCTCTCGGTTTCGGGAGATTAAAGAGGCTCAGGGCTCGACAAGGCCGATTCATTCGCTACCCCTTTCGATGTGCTGGATCCCGAAATAGGTCTCGCGAACGACTCTCGCTATTCTCAGAATAAAACAGCGCTCGACTATTTGCGGTCTCTCCGGCCAGTGTATCTCTCGGAACCCCCACCCAAACGTAGATGGTGCGTTCGGAAATGCTGCCAAATAAACTCGTACATACCTTCTCAAAAGTCTGAGCAGCAGATTCCGACTCATCCTCAGGGATGGGCCGATGCTAATCGTATTCGTGGCTATCAATCGGCTATGAAAGCTCATCCGCTCTTGTGCGGGCCAGTCCGATCGTTCCGAAATGCTCGAGTAGAGACCAAAACGTTCAGTAGAACGAGCGCTACCTATGATATTTCGTAAAGCGGACACTTACGGAGAATCATTGCATCGCCTCAGCGGTATTCTCTGAACTTTGGATACTCTACGACGAGCGCAGCGTTTTCGTATGCATTCTGCGGCAGACGTCGCATGATGCGACAAAGTCTGCGTGACATTTGGACGCTGCTGCATTAGCCCTTTGCGATTCCACTCATCGAGGCGGTGCTCAAGTGACCGGGAGAGTTGGCCGGAGACGCTACTCGAGTAAGAGCAATTCGGAGGACTCCGCGGTTCAAGGAAGTCAGGTTCCGCGTATAGTGAAACTGGGGAAACTACTAATGTTCGATCGTATCAGATGAGAGCATCCACTTCCTCCGCGCGACTTTGCCATCGCTCATCGAACTTCGGCGAGGATTTAACCACCGGGGCCTGACATGTATGCTTGCTAATAACTATATATTCAACCGTCTCAGGGAGACGCTTATGCGCGGAATCTCATCGTCAGGCAATCTTCCGTCATGGCTGAAGATATGGGTGGCTTCAACAGCGAGACTGATATGTTCATCAATAAGACGTCTACCGATTGGTTCAAAAAATCTCCCCGTCGGGGAATCGAACCCCGGTCTCCCGCGTGACAGGCGGGGATACTCACCACTATACTAACGAGGACAACGAATTATTCGTGAGCGGCCAATATATACAAGGTGGGGCAGTATATTCTCCCCATTTGGTTTTGATCATGGAATCAGAACCATGAGGGCTAGCGAAGTTCTGTTTGCGGCAAAATGTTCAGGAGGACTCGCCCTCTCAGGAATAAATTCCTTTGGTCCGATATCCTCAAGCTGGAGAACGAGAATCAGCGGGAAAGCGAGGGAAAGGTTTTTTTCCACGGAAATCGATACCGAGCTCTATGAGAATGACGTTAGCTGAACTTCAAAACGTCAACTTTGAACGTCCACCTGGTGAGGGGTCTCGGACCAGAGAATTTTTTTCAGAAACTGCAAGTCCTCGTGGTCATTCTACTGTAAGCAGGATTCCGCTAGCCGCCTTGGTTCGGATTTCATGGGAATCATTCAGAATGAGGAATTTATACTGCCCCACCCTGTAGTATCCGAACGCAGGTTGAGCGTGAGTCGGATGTACATTCGTACGGTTCCGCTCACGGGGAGCGCCGAGTCCTCGGTGGAAGATCCTTCCGTATGGTTTTTGGCCATTCTCGAACGCCGCCGATGACCAATGATCAATGTGGAGGGAACGCTTGGCGAGAATCCGGTCCCAGCCCCGAGGGGAGCGGACGTAATTTATTCTTCATTCCTTCCCGATCGACACTTGAGCCAGTCGATACACGCTGGACGTGCCGCTCACGAGCATTCCCTTGAAAATCTAGGATCCGAAATCTTGCGGTACCTATTCCAGACGCGTCATCGTTTCAACTCTCGGCTTTTCAGTTTTCGACTACCCTCTCTCCGCTCACGGGAGAGGTACGGCGTACGTCTCTGCGCCCAGGGCCCGGGAGTCGTCACTAGGAATATTGGCGATCAAGAAGCTCCCAAACAAGGAGCCTTTCATTATTTCACTGAGTCAGGGCGGTCTTCTGTCGAGCGGAATGTACGTCTCAAGACGCGATACGTCAGTCGCGCTCACCACGCAGCCGACACCATGATCGCCGACGAGATCATGGACTCGTCGGCTCTCTGGCCAGAACCATAGCCGAATACCATTTGAGCGATCGAATATCTATTGTTTTGGTTTCCGTCGCGGGAAAAGTTCAGTATTGAGAGGAGAGCGATGTTGCGAGAGAGATTACTCCCCGTTGCAGAAAGCAGTAGTCAGTAAAATGACTTCGACGCCCTCCTTATACGGGGGTTGAAGTGGGGTGTCGAGGTCAAAGAAGTCCTTGAAAGCTCGATTTGCTCATTCTGACGAGAGGATACTGACATGTAGGGTGTCCGTCGAGGAAGAGTCTGCCCGAGAATTCCTTCTCTCCGATTCTGTAGAAACCGGGACCGCCTCGTCTGCGTGACCTTGCTCTCCAGTCACCAGGCGAAGACATTGGTGACGAGACCTCGGAGGAATGGAGAGACCCGCAACAATGATCATCAGAAAGATTCATTATGAAAATTGCCTGACGAATGTCCTGAAGTCTAATTTCAGTCCGTCATCCCGTTCTACAACGTCTAGACGGACTTCTTTTCCAGACTGCTCGAACGCGGAATACGTAAAATTTGACAAAGCATGGTGTGCCTCTGTCTGGAGCTTACTTAGTTAGCGGTATTCATCTCCATGAAGAGTTGAGACGAGATTTGAGTACTGCACTGTCGATTTCAATCATGACCAGCTAGGTCTTCCAATCGAGAGGCGTGCCTCAATGTGTCGACGTCTCTGGTACGGTTTGACACCCGTGAACGAAAATCTGTTGCTGTAGGCTTTTGTGCGAGAAATTCACAATGCGGGCCGGGAGGCTTCTTCCGGAGAGATGATTTTCTGTCACCTGCTATTCCTTCTCATCTTTCTCAGATGCCCGAATCAGTGATGCCCGCGGAAGTTTCCTCGTGAGCCCAATCTCTAATCGGCGCCCTTCGAGGGATTCGGGCGACACTTCGGTTCTCCACAAGCTGGGGACGGGACTTGATTTAGCGTGACATCTTCTCTGGACTCTGGGGCCGGGTCGAATCTCGTTGATCTCTCAGTTTTCGAAGATGCTGGAACATACGAGCGTGATCTCTGAGCACGCTGCTCCACTCTGGTCACCCCAAGAAACTTATCGGATTTTACTGCTGTGAGGAATGGGACTTAGCTACCCTCCACTCCGAAGTACATAGTTCATGCCTAGCCCCAGCTGCACTTGGATTCCCCCTCTATTGGGTTTCCCCACAAAATGTATGTGAGCATCGGGGCCCGATCGGCCATGGCTCGAGGAACCTAGTCCGCGGATCCGTACCATCCAGCCCTCGCTTGACAGAACGTTAATATGATCATATGAGTCTGCAATAGATCAGAAGACCGCTTTCAACACTGGATTATTCGTCAATTCAGGGTCTGGCGAGTAAGCGCGGTAGTTGGGACTAATGCTGGATATTTTTCATTTCATTCGGTAAGGATGTGCTTGGTGGAAAATTCCGCATATACGGAGAAAATGTTCCGGAGGGACGAGGGACGTTCGGATTCCCAGAGTACGTGATTTTCCAAGATTCAAAATGATGAGTCTACAGCGGGAATCGGCGATTCATGGTCCTGTGTTCCCCGGGGCGGGAATCTTTTCGCTTGATTCCGCAGTCAAACGGAGCCGCCATGTGAAAAGAATCAGGACGCTTGGAGAAATGTGAACTCAGAAAGCATCCCACGGGAATTAATTTCGTGCTTATCAATTGATTAAAAACGATTGTGAGTGTTTCCCGGAAGACCGCCGCCGAGGGATTCGAGATTCCAGAGCTTCGATTCGAATGCTTGCAGCCAATGTCCTTGTATGAGGACGGGAAACTTTTCCGGGGAATCGCTAGAGCGATCGAATTATCCTGCGAATTTCAACAGCGGCGCTCGGCGAGCTCGTCTTGGTAAGTAGATTTTTCTGGACGGGACTTCGCAGCCGAATCCAATACTCGGGAGATGGCGGGGATCACGCTTTCGAAAATGGATCGCGCAAGCAGCTGACGTATTTTGAGAATCAAGGGACCCGCTAACTTTGGCGACAACGGGTGCGACACGCGCCCCTCGGCGCTTAAGCGGTTTCGCGGCTCTTCGCGAAATCAAATCCCCGGAGTCAAATCCACGGAGTGAAGCTCATGCGCCCACATTGATCTCCGGACACTCTGACCTCTCGAATAAACCGTCGGTCTAGATGTTCGAATCCGGAATGATCCCGTCTAATGTAGAGATGGCTCTCTCCCGAGACAGCGTTCCCCCGATTATCTTCTAATCATCAAGAACATCGGCATGAAGCAGCTGTCTGAATCATTCGGCGAAATGATTCAACTTGTGCTCATAGTATGAATGATGAGCATGACATTATCCCCCCTATCCCGCCTGTCTCTCCTATATTTATAAAGCTGCTATCTCCGTCCGTCAGTACGCTCTACTACGAGCGTCCTCGATTCGATGTCGAGGATTTGACAACTCCGACCGTTGAGGACATTCATCGAGCGTAATCGCCGACCGGGATCGCTTCGGTTTCGATGCGCCGTTCTTCGGTGAGCTTGAAAAAAAACCGATACATCGTCCTCTCATTGGCTGCAAAGGAGATTGGTTTCTGACGCATGGTCTCATGGCCAGGAGCGAGATTGCTCAAAAACGATGTGCTATGCCCCCCCTCCAGGTTTACATTTAGCAGGGGTGATTCTTTTCCCCGGGGAACGACGTCAACACTTTCACATATGCTCCCACGACTATCACTGACGTCAAGCCTCTGAAAGAAACGATTCGCTGAATGACGAAGAGAGAAAAGTAATCGACGAAACTCTAATCGCTGTTCGCAGCCGCCAGCCTCGGTGCTTTCTCATTTACGGCCCTGGAAGCAAAGGGGAATCGTTCCTCAACACAACGCTCTCACATTTAGCCATCTCTCAAGGGTTCCAGGTCTTTGATGTCTCTTGGACGGGCATTGCAGCGAAACTCCCACTGCATGGGCGTACTCTTACCTCAACTTTCCGTTTGAACGTTCAAGATAAGAGTAATTCATCGAGTATGAAGCGTCAACCTAAAGGAGCCAGAGCCTTGCGAGCCTCGGACATCTTCATATGGCACGAGGCATTAAGGGCCCCAAAAACATCGCTGGAGACTACAGACACCTTACTGCAAGATTTAATGCAGAACACGATACCATTCGGAGGTAAAATAATGATAAGCGGAGGAGACTTCCGACAATTACTCCCGGTTGTGGAGAGAGGTTCACGGGCTCAGATCATTGACGCATGTATCAAAGAATCTGTTCTCTGGCATCATTTTCACACGTTCCAACTTCGGCGAAATATGCGACTAGGCGACGACGATGGAACCTTCCGGAACTTCCTGATTGGAATCGGAAATGGCCATAGACCATCAGATACCCCCAAACCCGCTGACATGCATTGCGCCACAAACATCAGAGAATAAATCCATCCGGCTTCAGCTCTCCAAGACGGCACCATAGACTTCACCGGTGTCACAAAAGCACAGAGAAACGCAGAATCTCTTCAGTTCTCAACTTCGCGGAGTCGAGATGAGGCGATGATCGAAGACCCCAGTGATGCTCTGAATTTTCCCGTATTTTTCGTACCGTTTCGCTTCTTCGTCGGAAACTCTTGCCTAATATCTTGATCATTCTTGTGGGAGGAGGTTCGATGCTTGCGGCGTCGTATGTGCCGTATCTATCGCGATAGACGGGCACTCCGGATTCCGATCTTAGAGCTCTCTATCATCGCGACCTCATAAGCTGATGGGAGCTTCGAGATGGAACTCGATCAACTTGGACGCGATTATAGAGGGTTTCAGGTCGGAATACGGGGTGCCCGTCTGTTACAGTATTTACGATGAACACGAAACAATATTTCTTGTGCTTGCGATAGCTCGAATTTTCTTTAGAAAAGGCTGGTCGATCACACGCTGATCGAATGCTACATGTAATAAGCTCAAGGAGTATCAGGAGAGCAGAGCTCGATACCTACCCTCAGATCTACTCGCTCGAGAGGATCAGGATCGAGCCTTGCCGCGCCGCAAGCGAGTACGTCTGGTTTTTTGAAGTTGTCTCCCGCGATGTGGAAGAGGCGGGGGACTTGTTCTGCTGCGTCAGCGCACAGCAGGGGTCTCGCGCTTGACCAACGGTCAAGACCAGGGTCTGATATCACCAGCGGCTGCGTTGTGTAGACACGGCGGATTTGAGGTCTCAACGACCGATGCATCTTCGCATTGTGGTTGACAAGCATCAGTCGTCAGTTCTGGATGCTGATGACGTCATCAAATTGATACAGCGAAATTGTCTGACACAGATCAACCATCCCCCGAACCATCAATCGGCCGGCGGTGAGGTGAATAGTGGCCTAGTCGATGAATAAGATTCCATGGCGCAGCGTCCGAGATGTCACGGGGAGGACGTTGATTCGTCGATGGCTCCCGGATGAGGTTCTTAAGACGTTGGAATCCGGAGATGAATTCCCGAGGTCATCTTAAGTGCCGTCGCTCGCGGCCGCGCGTAGGGGTTCGACTTCTTTTACACATTGTGGAGCGTGATGAATATACTTTCCAAAGAGTTCTTGTTGACTTCACGGCCGGCGAGTTCCTGAGCAGCCTCGTTCGTGTCCATTATAAGCACCTGCGAACACTGGGGGTATTCGCCATCCCGTGGTCGCAGTCCCCCTATCGTGTGGTATACCCGGCCATGTACCCGGAAGCAATAAGGACAGTATGCCTGCGGCGTCTCAATATATGCGGTCATTGGAGCCATAAACAGAGCGTTGTTGTAATTCCTAATGAATTTTCGGAAACTCTTCGAATCCTCATCGTGGTCCACGCACAGAGAGCGCAACGTTAGTGGAAAACTGTCAAATAGCTGAAGTACAAGCGTGTTCTTGGCACAGCATATTGTATATGGAGTCCTACCGGGAGTCGTCTTCTCCGCTCTGAAATGAGCCGCGCCGCAACCGCTGCAGGGGTCATCCATATTCCCCAGATGATGGGGGTCGACGGACGCCGTCGGTGATCTCGAGCCGTGCGTAGCGTGCTCCGGAGCCGGTGATCGTTCTGTAGGGCCCAAAGTCACATAGGCATAAGACGGAATGATTGCGCATGTAGTGAACGCGAAATCGGGTCCAGCTAGTGAAGCGAAATAGTACATGAGGTGTGTTCAGACTGACAGACAGACATCACGATTCTATAGTAGGGGGTGATAGCTTTACCTACCCATCATTCAATGAATTCGAGGTGGTGGTTCCCCTGAAGTTCCGAACGAATCAAGGCTGCCGAGTGTTCACTCTTGTGGAAGGATCTGCAGGAGACATCGGAATCATACAGATATGTACTGATCACTGTGGACGAGCTCTTTGATCAGTCCTGTGCGGGCTGCTGATCGGAGACCACCACCGACTACCGGAATTTCGATCAGGCGTCATGAGAGAGACTAAACAGTCCAGTTTACCGATTTCCAGGCGAAAGGAAACGATTCCCGCGAGCCCAGGCACGTCTTCATCTGTGAGTTGGAATAGACGTAAAATTCACACCTAAGCCTGCCGGACGCTCGTTGAGCATTAATTTGCTCCATCATACTGCGGAGACTGAATTATATTTAATGACGGGAATTTCACCAACAGATTTTAAAGACTTCACGGCCCTCCCGGCCGAACATCGCCATCTACCGAAAACTTCCCCACGCCATATTGCTGAACAAGGCCGTGATCATCGCCACGATCATTAAGACCGTACTTATCGTCGGTGTTGCGGACGCTTTTTCTTCTCTGTGCTCGTATGTTGATTGTCTTGTCACGAGTCATGTCCAAATCAATTGTGAGAAAATTCTGCACCCGCGAACGGCACGACAGCGAGTCGACGTCGGGAAAACGCTTTCGCTCCGAAATAACGACATTTGTTCTTTCAATTTCCGTTGTGGTACCGAATCGCGATCGGAAACAAGGAACGTCGACGATGATCGGTCGGGGCGAGGCTTATAGGAACGCACCGAACCAGAGTGAAGAGGCCGACATGAGCTGTCTGTTGAAGTCGCAATTAACAAACAATTATCCCGCTTCTGTCAACAGAGACTTCTCTGCGTTCGCATGTATGGCTGTCCGTCGACCGTTCGGCCGCCCTGTTCGCTAGCTTCTTTCATTCCTTCTAATTAAGTGATCTCTTGTCTTGTGCAGCAATAACACGATGCCTGGCGAACTGGCTGGCTGGCAGGCAGGCTGTGGGCGATATCCAGCCCGAATGGCTTTGGTTGGTGGTATCGGCGACGACCGCCTCCCGCCGGAGCGTTGGGCGCTTCGTCCAATCAGCGCCGGGCAGGCCGTCCGCTCGGCTCGGGAACCCGCCCGTTTCGAAAGTGCTGCTCAACGAGGCGAGACACACGACTGTTTTGTGCTCGTTCGCAGAGACACGGCTTCTAATCGTGTTTGTGTTCGCTGGCCTCAGGTTGTTGTTGCTGCTGCTGCTATCGTGGTGGACGTGAACGTTGTCGTGCTCGACGTGCGCTCCGTCGACCTTGCTCATAATGCTGATGATGATGATGTTGTCCACCAGCATCTGATCCCGGTGTTCCTCTCGACCGAGTCCAGCGACTGGCTGCCGGAAAAGCCAGAGGTTGTGGCGCGCGGAGTTCTCCCCAGAGTTCGCGTTGGTGATAGGATAAATCCTGCGGAAGGAAGATCGACTTCGGGCACACTAGTGAAAAAAAGTGAAGGAGGCCCTTCAGCCAACATGGAGGTCCGGGACAGAATTCAGGAGACGACAACTCCGGAGTCGCCTCTACCTTCGACGACACTGTTCTCAATAGCTTCGTTGATCTCATCTTCGCAAAGACGCTTCCCCTCGGCCCGGAGTCCCCTCGAGTTCCCGTTCCCACCGATCGATATGAGGGCCTATTATGAAAGCATGTTACAGAGGAGTTTCGGAACCGATAGAGTCTTGGATCTCAGCACGTCATCGCAACAGATGATCGCCGTCGACAGGCGGGAGGACGACTCAAGAGGTGAGCATTTCTCAGTCATTGGCATGTTTGCGCGGCGGGAAGAATACTTTCCCGAATTCTCGATCTTACTGAGCAGTCCCTAAGGGGAACTTCGAGCCAACTCCGGGGGACGAATTTCTCGCTTTCTGAGTCTTGTCGTCTGCGATGGTGCCGGATGTGCTCTATAGAATGCCCGTTATGCCTTCACGCAGCTTCCGCAATCCTGTGTTCTAAATCAGTATCAGAATCCCTTCGGATGGATGCAGTCGAACGTTCGAAATACTCGCCTCGATCTCGACATGTGGTAACGTCGGCTTGGGATTTTTTGGGGGCACGGAGCGATAGCGAACTGACCGCCTCCACGTCCCTTCCCCCCCCCCCCGTATCTCGGAAGAGTACGGGAGTCATTGGGGACAGGGGTTCTCTGGGGACGGGTCGGATTAGAATTCCACCGGCAAGATGTCAGAGCATTTGCTCCTACCACCTAAGGTGTTCTCTAATTTTCGTGGCGAGAAGGTGCTTGCGAGTTGCGAAGTTGCGATCCGTCGCTTGCGAGTTTCCAATCGGTGTCCAATCCAGTTTATTCCGCCTCCTCCTGATTCAGCGCGAGGGGCACTCCAGACCTGCAGCGCGAATGTCGACCACCGGAGGTTTGCTGCTCGAGGCCTTGAGTACACTTCGGGGCCCCTGCCCCGGAAGGATGGGAAGTACATGCCGAGGAAAAAACTAGCCCCGGTTTCCAGCGGGAGGAAACTGTGTCTCTTTGCAATGCTCCAGTTCCTCTAAGTGGAAGCTATACACCGTCCCTTGTCTCTCGGAGTGAACATAATTCAGTGGCGTGTTCGAACATAGGGTTGGTGCTACGAGACCATGAACGGAGGGTCGGGAACAGTGTCACGGTATCTATGATTTCACGTGTCGAACAGGTGTCACCGAAATCTCTGAATGTTTTCTTGGGAGGAGATCGAAATCTTCTGCCTAACTTCTGACAGAAGTTTTAGTCGGATGGCGAGCGGGTACCGTCCCGGTCAACATTCGAATGAAGTCTGACTGACTGAGAGGGATCACGAAGACGCATTTGGGTCCATTCTGACAGAAGGGAGTAATTGGGCGAGCTATCCGCACCTTGTTATTCGCGCCTAATAGACAATCTGGCTCCCGTAGTAGGTACCTGGGCCTGGACCGGTGCGTACGTCTTCCCATGTGTCAGTTTGTCTGTCCGTGCATCCATCTTTCGTCTGAAGCCAGCATCATTTTCATCGTGGACTGGTAGCGAGCATCCTGCAATTACGCTTTTTGGCACCTCGTTTGACGCCGATAGCCACACCGTCGCTGACCATCTGTGCCGTCGTCGCCGTCGTTGCCGCCAAAGTCGCCGTGATGGTGTTAAAATACCTACGCGGCAGAACAACATCGATCCACTCATACCGGCATAAGGACTCAAGCAACAGTCTCGACGACGAGAGAACGAAGAAGGGAACGGTTGTTTTTAAACGTTGAACAAAACTGTTTGACCGACTGGAGCCGCATCCCGACATACCTACCCACTATTCGACGTGACGTAACCCCTTCTGAGGAGTACGCTGAGACCGTACGTTCTCGTCCGCTGTCGGGCCGTGGACTTCGTTCTTTTCTGAACGTGTCATTCGGCCTCATTCGTGTGACGATTCCGATGACAACTGAATTACGTGGCTCTCGACAACTACATCCGAAGAGATACAGAAGCGTAGAACGTGGGTCGATCGGGGCGACAGCTCATCCGGATAGGGGTGAGCAAGAGAGGGCGCACACGGAGGGGTCAGATCGAATCGAGAGCAGTGTTTGAAGAGATTTGCTGTGGCTAATAATCGGGCTGATGCGAGGAATGACAGAAGAAATTGAACAGTGCGCGAGTCTGTCAGCGAGCTATCAAGAGCAGATTCTACTGCTGCCGCTTCTGCTGGATCGAGCACCCGTATATTAGCCGTTATTACCTTAACACTCTGAGGGGCCTCAACACCTCATGTTAGCACCATCAAATGCCAGTCAGCAAGCAAGCAAGCCAGTCGGTCGGTCGGGCAGCCACCACGACCATTTTCTAACAGCACCTCTTGTTCGGCTGCTTAGCCCTTCGAGGATTTAATAACAGGCTTCGGCCAGCGACCGCCGAGCGAACTTCACGCTCGGTTCGGGTGCGTCGCATCTTCAGTTGTTCGGCGAGGAGCTTCTCGTGTTCCTGCCAACGCCGCCGCCGCCGACCTTCATCATACTCAGCCAAGATCATCCGTCCGTGGGCTTCGTCCGAGAAATCGAGTCGCGAGTCGAAGATCGTGCTAAAGATAAACCAACTCCGCTCGATTGCCCAATGGCAAAGCCGAACGAGCGAACGCGAGGGGAACAACTAGGGCCAGGAGCGCAGTCGTTCTTCGAGTACTCCATCGCTTCGACGGTATTCCGTCTTCGGAGATGGAGCTGTCATCATCGAATATCCACGGCGTACAGTCCAGACTGAACTCTTACGAATCACATAATTGTTGTCGCTGTTTCAACACGGAGCATCTTCCCATCTACGCGTTTTTTCGGTCCTCCGAACTAAGCACACCGCAAACGGGCTCATCCACTGTACGGCCTCGCGCTCGCCCTCCTATTGTTAGTCTGATATTACACGACGGGGTTTTCTGCTTGGAAGGATCGATCATCCGTCCACGATCTAGATCCGAGATTACGGCTCGAGATTTTCGGTCGAGTCTCTGGGCTTCTCGCTTCGTCACTGTTTTTCTTCTGCCTAATCTCATTGCCGACCGGTGCAGAAGCAACGCAACAGGCGGCAACGCGAAATCTGAACCCGGGTATCGTCGCTGTGGAAGCTGTCGTGACTCGTACGTTGGGCTGGCTTTGAATACGACATTAGGGAGACCGTCCGTGACAGACAACTAGATACAGACATCCACGAATAGTTAACGAAGCTCGGACCAACAATCGGCTGGATCCGGTGATCAAACCACATTCACGCGTAACAGACACCGTGCCGTGTCCAACAGTCGGAGCGATCTCCGCGCTGATTTCATTTTACGAAAAAGCGAAAACAAAGAGCTCCGCTCGAGAGGGACAGATTTCGGGCTTCATCTGTTTCCTCGTTTGGACGTGAAGGCTCCGCGCGGACCGAGCCATCCTCTTCGAGAGAGGAAGAACTCCGAGAAAGTTATTCCACGGGATATCTGCGGGGAGAGTGATTATCTCTGAAACCGATTGTCGCCTCCTCTCTGTCGTGAGTCGTGAGTTTTCCGCTGCCGAACATCATGTGTACTATCCTTCACTCATTAATTGAGCGCAGAATACAAACAGGCGCCACGGAGGCAACGTGTCGATTACCGAGCAGTGCTGAAATGAGCGGCCCTCCGGCATAAATTTCGGATTTGTCAAACATCGCTCGTCTATGTACCCGCTCCCCTCCGTTCGCGGTGTATATGTAGATTCAGCCGGCTGGAAGCATCTAGAGATATATCATAGTACGTTTCGATAATCCTCATCGCACAGCACCCTCACGTCTGATATCATCGACTTCCGAGTCCACGAATCGTTCAGGAAGCTCGCGAGGGGCTCGGTCCATTTTGTGTTGCTACCTTCTTGCCTCCCGAACCAATGCGCAAGCTGCGAGTCGAGAGCAGTCCTCGCTGACTCTTCCTGCGACCCACGGGTAGATCCCGAATCCCCTGTGTATTCGCCCGGGGAACCTCCTGGGGCGTGCCACTTGCTCGTCTCGTCCCCTCAGAATGAGCCCAATGAACCTCGGAGCGACGATCCCGGAAAAGAAACCGCCGTGCTCGGATCGGGGGACATTGAGTCTCCGGGGAACTTCCGAACGTCCACCTGGAAATTCGAGGCATCGCCACCATCGTGAACGGTATCGTCAAGGAGCAATCCGCAGTGAAGCCAGCGTCACACCGGTCACCCGTACTTCCCGGTAGCCTACAAGAATAACATACATGTATGGCTAGTTAACATGAAAGGCTAGCTTCGAAGCCTGCCGAAATCTCGCTCATCATCAATAATTATGATTAACAGTAAAGTCAGAGCTCCCTCATTCAAAATCGAATAACCATTCCGCCACTGAAGTAGCAAGAGGGTCCCGACTTCCTCTCAAACGACCATTGCTTGCCTCGGTAGGATTCTTGACGATTCCAAGTTCCCATTGGGAGCTCGCTAAATGTATGATCTCCGGATCGCTCGGATTATGAGCTATGAGAGTGATGTATTCATCATTTTTCTCGCGCTAAGCGAGACTCAGCCGGGTTCCTGATACTATCGGTTCTGGACGCACGAAATCCAAACATTCGTGATTGTTTCTCTCGGCTCCCCCTCGCCCTCGCGGCCATAGCGACCCATTTGATAGCCATTAGCTCCGTGGCTCTGTGAATTTGATTTGAAAGAGTGTAGTGTTCACTCGTAATGCAGGAACTTCTCCTCTGGAAGTCAGTTGGTAAAAATAATGGAGACTGTGCAATCTACGCTCCGGTTCGCAGAGAATCGTCCGGGACTCGACTCGTCATTCGCGAACAGGAAACAGCGGAGCGGAGTCTCCTCATCCGACCTAGACTTTGACCTGCCGGATTTCGCGTTCGGATCCGTGTGGGTTATAAGGCTCGGGCGCTCATCGCATTGGGGCCGGTCCTCGCCTCGACTTGGAAAATGTCGGCCGGCGAGGATCTCAAACAAATGGCCCCAAGAAGAGCAGGAAGATGAGACCGGATCAATCACGAGTAGAACGAGGTGTTTAATCCCCACAATGATGTTGGCGTGTCTCTCCTCGCTCCCTCTCCGCGCTCTCTTTCTGAAAGCAGGACGGAACGCGCCCACGTAATGGCGTCGTAATAAGCTAGGTCTTCCCGATGTAATTTGTCTCGAGAATGGTTCTGTGTTCGAGTTGCCCTTGAAGCCTAGCCGCCGAGGCGCTCTGGACAACGGATGGGCTCGATGCAATCTCTGACAATTAATTCTATGCGACCTTATTTCTAGCTTCATGAAACGAGGTGTCGCGCGAATTCACGTGAATGACCGATGGGTTCTCCCGTCGACAGCACCTCCGACGCGGTATGAGAATCCCATGGTCATCTTCGTCATATTTTTTTCTTCGCTGCTTAACGACTTTTAAGCATAGGTAAGTCAGATGGGGCCTTGGTCAGTCTTGCGAGAACTTCAGAACGAGCTGACCGCAAACTCGGCCAGTTTGGCGGGTAAACGTCGACGGCGACGAAGTGTGCGTCGAGATACGGCGATGACATGTTAATGGTTGTCGTGAAAGTCCATCACGGCGTCTTCAACACAATCTTGTTTTTTTCATTTATGAAAACAACATCCGTGCAGGGTCCCGCTGCCTGATCTTGCTACTGGCTCTGCTGCTTTCGTACACTCTCTGCTGCTGCTGCTGCTGCTGCTGCTGTGACGATGACGAAGATTACGGAGAAATTGGAGTCCAAACTTTATCAATTAATTGGCGATAGATTCCGCGAAAACTTCGCTTGCTGCGAAGAATCTGTTTCCTGCGACAGCGAATCAGACGAGCGTCGAATTCACCTTTCGGAAGAGAAAGAGAGAAAGATGAGATTCATGAGCGACAATCTTCTGTTTTGTCCATGTGATTCCCACGGGAATCGATCAGATGAAGTTGCGGTCACCGTAATATTATTACTGGCGACCGACTCGCTTGCGGCAGTAATTGTCGCGAGATCGAGAGGAATCAGAATACATTGAGCGAATAAATGACTCTGTAATTGGAAAGTTAGATTAGCCGCTCCGCGAAGCGGCGCTACCGGCCGAGCCGAAGGCCCGCACGTCGCCGATGTTTGCAGCAGCAGCACCAGCAGCGGTCGATTTAATTCTCGTTGTTGTCATAATACTAGTCTGGTGGTAATTTGTTCTGCGATTACGTTCTACATCGCATCGTCGACGGATCGAAGGGTGACTTCGTGCGCACGCGTATCGACTCAAGTGACGAGGACTCTGCGTATCGGATCCCAAAAACCGGTCGGCAAACGAATAAACCTGCAGTCAGTGAACATATGTTTTTTTCACCGAATATGCAACGCCAAACAAACTGCCTGAAGCCCTCGTGCCCCAAGTCCCGCGCTCGGACCCGGGACGTGATTCGCACTCAAGAAACATGGGTGCCCGAATGAGCTGGGTTTCTCCTCATGGAATTCAAAAGTCGCTCCCTTGCTGCGACGAGAAGTTCATGCGGGCCGAAGTCGAATGATTATGCAATTATTGCGGTTCTCAAATAATTATGAAGATGAGCGCGATGCGAGAACGTATCGAATTTGATTTCTCGGCCCTGCCATGTCGTGGCTTTATGAGATGCACGCCGCTCGAGATGCAAATCGGATCGGCTCGCTTATGCTGCCGCTGACTTCGTAGTTAGCTCCCCTTAGATCGCTGATCTTCTCATCTCGTTCCTTTTTCTGCGTCCGCTCGCTGTGTCTACCCAGCCGGCATAACAGGCAGTTGGGCGGCCGCCTGGCCGACCCGCCGCGCTCGTCGGCGGACCGAGCGGGCGACCGACTGCCAGAGCGGGTTTTGACAACTCCATCGAGATTCAGACGGCAGCGAGCGAAACGTAGTCGCTACTTGACAGATAGGCAGAAAGAACCGCTCCAACGAATGACGGCTTACAACGTAGCGTGACATTTCTCAGCAGATTCAATCGCAATCCGCTAACAAAACGAATAACAGAAAAAAAATCAACTGAAGACCGAACAGACGCACACTTTTCGTTCGAGTAACGCGAACGAGCTGAGCACGCATATCTAAAACGTTTCACAATCGCTCGGCGACCGATGCGTTTTTCGCCTTCAAGGAGGAACTTCCCCATTGATGGCCGATTTTTCTCTCGACGAGCAACTCTTCCCTCACGCACATTAGACGTCATAGGGCCTAATTGAATGATAATCTGGAAGCTCGGGGCAAGGTGGAGTTCGGTTTTGTACTTCAGCAAAGGTGGAAGAATTGTGACGGACAGATCTGACGTCCAGTCTCAATGACAGTGCAATCTTCCTTTCAAATACGAGAAGAGTGAATAGAGCGGGTCCTCCCGAGGCAGGTTGAGACGGGCCTCATCAGCACAATTGCGCACTTGCTGATTGAGTTCTTGTCCGCGACCGCAGAATTATCATATCAAACGCACTGTCACCGTGAATTGGAGCAAGCGAGCTTGACTGACGTTCCGCAGTCGAGCTCTTCGAACAGGGTCTCGATGGGAACACAATCTTGAAGTCTTCCGGCAAATCATATACCTACGTACACATTATTCGAGCGGTGGCGAGCCTTCGAGGCTTCATACATCATTATCAGAGTCCGTGACTTCATGCAGGATGCATATAATGCATGAAAATGCATACTTCGGGTCTTTTTTCTCGAAAACGCATAATTCGGGCTCCGTATCATATTTCTGCGCGATCTCCCGTATATCTGTTGATTCCCGCGGCGCATGAGGATTTCGAGAGCAAGATGGTCGGAGCCCATTTCTGACGCTAATCTCACGTAGTGTCTTGCCGCTCACGTCTCTCTGCCAGCGAGACGCCAGCGATTGCCTCCGGACTCGAGTGACGGAGGGATTCCGACAATTAGAGCGGCGCAATCCAGAGCGCGGAAGAAGGAGAATCTCAGCCGACTTCAAGAATCGAATGTCTTAGCTTGAAGCCAAAACAAAATGCCTAAAGTCGTGCTAACGCTGAGATGTAAACTGCAGTCGTATGTAGAGGAATCAGGCCCCGATATACTCCCCATGGACGGTTTGGTGATTTTGTGCAATGTTTGCGAGAAGGAAAGTTTCTCGTCGCGCAGCACGTGAAGGGGAGAACCACAGAAAGTTGGCAGAAAGGGGGAAGCAATCGACGTCGTCAAGCTTGCGGCAGTTGACAAGTCTCGTAGAAGCTTCAAAGAAGTCTTCCCAGTTCAGCTCAGTCAGATCTTTGCGAAGCTTTTGTGTCCGCGGGAATACCGCTCTGGAAGTTGGAAAATGAACGACTTAAGAATTTTCTACGGAAGCATACTGAGCAACCTGTCCCATCCTCGGAGACCTTGCGCACGGGCTATCTTGAAAAAATATATGAGAGAAAATTGGATTTTATCAGGAGCTGTGTGGGGCGAAATCCTGTTTGGATCTCAATCGACGGGAGCAACGCTTCAACGATTTCACAGGCCTTGATGAACTCATTGACCGTCCTTTGGCCGAACGGCATCAGACATGAAAAAGTTCCTCTATTGGTTAGAGATAGAGCTTCTTATATGGAGAAAGCTGGCTCTGCTCTACGCGTGATCTTTCCAGATATGTCGCACGTAACCTTTTGACCAGATGGGGCACATGGCTGAGAACATCGATTCGTTCTCGAGAGTTGTCAATGCTCTGGATTGCAGCGAAGCAGCGACTATCAAAGAAGTCCATGTACTACTGAGAAAGTCTTGAGTAAAAAAGGATCTCGCTTTCATTAAGGCGAATTTCGCATGTCTTCCAACCGCTATCGAGAAACTTGAAGCCAAGTGCGTTCCATTAGTCGAGAGCATCGGTATTTTCGAGATGCTCCTCGAAGATCTCAAAAACACACCAGGTGATGTGGGAGAATCAACTGGAAGCAAATGTGGGACGATTGTCAATCGAAACAGTGGCTATACATCTTTGAAGACGATTCCGAATGTTCTTCGGGGAGGTCATTCTGATGGTCTCAGGTGGTTGAGACCCGCCAGAGTTGGCTTGTTTTAAGCATGCGCCCATCACGTCTGTCGACGTCGAACGGAGCTTCTCTAGTCTTAAATGCTTACCGAGTGACCGTCGTCACACTCTGACTTTCAAAAACTTAAAATGCATCTCGTCGTAAACTGCAATCCATAGTTCAGATTGACTTCTGAATGGCTTCTTATCGAGATGACTCAAGTAAATATATCCGATCGGTTGGTTGGTGATTAACGTGTGAGCCTCCTAATTATTAGTCTTTCAAATGCATGTTCTAATTTCTATCGTGCATTTATCGGCTGATTCAAGGGCATATTTGCATGCATGTTTCCGTTTTTCAGTGCATGAAGTCACTCTGATCATTATGATTGACGCCCCCAGCTGATTCGATGTTGGCGCGGATGTCCACGAGGGACGAGTGCTGTATGTCGCTCACGAGGGGTAGACTTTCTCTTAGCATGGATATGTGCTTTTATATGAAACGTATTTATCCAATCATTTATTCGACGAACTATCCTACGTTGCGATGCTCGCTCTTAGGAGAAGATATTGTCATGTCCAAAAATGCCGAGAAGGAGAAAGCTGAGAAAGCCTCGGAGACGCCCACCTTCTCCTTCCCCCCCCTCCCCGGAAGATCCCTTCGAGAGGAGCTGTAAAAGGAGGAGTAGGAGGGGGGGCGCGGTGGTGGCGTTTAACTTTTAAATTAAGCAATTAACTTGTCATGAGCAAGCGAAGCCCCAGCGAGGTGACATGAGCTGTCAGCCAATCTGCAAGCCATAATTGAAAGACGGACGCCCGGAGAGCCAAATTGCAAGCTGGCAGACATGGTCTAACTGAACACTGCTGTTATTTTCCAGGAGAGATCCCCAGTTTATGCAACAGCCCGCCCTCTTCTCCCAACTCGTCGATCGACGATAAACGAGTTCCTTCATTGCACGGCGAGGATTTTTTCGACGACGGTGGGGTGAACCGTCGACGACGGACTGCTTTCACTTCGGAACAGCTCCTAGAACTCGAGAAGGAATTCCACTCGAAGAAATACCTCTCTCTGAGCGAGCGTTCGCAGATCGCCCACCAATTGAAATTGAGTGAAGTTCAAGTGAAAATCTGGTTCCAAAACCGACGGGCCAAATGGAAGCGGGTCAAAGCGGGACTCAGCGCCGGTAGCCGGAGCGGCAGCCAGGAGGGACACAGTCGGATCGTAGTTCCTATACCGGTGCACGTGAACCGAGTCGGGATCCGTAGCCAACACAGTGCCCGCGGTCTACACGAGCCCATGGGGTAAGTTTGTTTTCGAGTGTTTCGAGGAAAGCCGCGCCGCAAACTTTGTATCGGCTTAACAACCCATTGGGGTCTTCCGACCAATTTGAGCTTCAAGCACACACCCGACCCGATCCGGTGGCGGCGGCGGCGACCAAAACGGGCGTGTTGCATGTTCGCTGTGCTCGAGCAGAGCGGAGTCGGCCGCGGGAAGAGTGTGTCTACGAGGGCGTTCCCGAGTCTCTGAGGACCGACAAGGCTGGGAGCTCATTTAAATGCAGAGTTCTTCGCTCACTATCTGGAGTTGAGCCTTTCGAATCGAGCGTCAAAAAGTTGACTCAACCCGTCAACCGGAAACGATGAAGTCATGTGCAATCGACTGCGTTTTCGAGGAGGCGTGTCTTATCTCATGGGGGGGGGCATTCGAGGCTTCTACTCCAATGTATGAGATTGCGGGTTGTGTTGTTCGGTCCGATCCTCGCTCGAGAGTTCTTTTCCCTTTGTATTTTCCTTTATTTCAAAATCTACGACGCAACTCGATATCCTTCCAAAAGATCGTGGCTGATTGAGCGATCACCGGCCCCTTGAATCGGAACATTCTACGGCTCGCTTGCGTTCCGCACGAGGCGGAACTGTTTACCGGAGCCCGCTCGTAGACGTCGACGAGGCTCGGATTTCCATGATTCATTATGCAATGTATCTCCGCTTCAATCAGACACTCGATAGATTTTAGGCTGCTGCCTGTGTCCGTAGAGGATTGGGCGGTGCCTGAGATCATCTACGCCGCGGCAGCTCCGTCGTCAGCATGGAAGCTTACGAGCCAGTGAGCTACGGGATCGATGTCGATCAATAACTCCCGCAGCCCCGTTGTCGGCTCGCTCGCTCGTTCGTTCGTTCTTTCTCTCACTTCGGACGAAATTCCCTCCCGATTCGATGCCACCGCATCCATGTACTATTACAGGAGCAGCCGACGAGCTAATGAGAGCTATTCAATTCTGGTTCCAGTTTCCCGCAGTACTGGCTTGACTGATTGTAATAATGAACAATATGAAGATATCAGATGAGGTTCGCTAGAGCGTGTCGACGAAATGCGACTTCTTGATGCGAAGTCCTGTTGTGAGGAATGGCAGCGTCGGTTTTGGGGGTCCACCTACCTGTGAGAGAGAATTCTCGTCGGGGTCCAAACGATAGACTGGGACGACTATTCAAATGAATCGGATTCTAAATATCTCGTGCTTCCAGACCGGTTCCGATAGATTCCTCCGGCGGGTCGAGACATTGAACGGAACGAAAGCGCAGTCCTCGGATAATAATCAGCCCACGAGACGGATCTTATGCGAAATAGAATTGACGGAAAGCGATCGGTCGGGTATTGCGCGACGAGTGTTGGGGTCGCCCTCTTCCATTCTGTTCTCCCTGCTGGTGTTTTCTTTCTACGGGACCCGAGATTAAGCCTGGAGTTTATCTCTATTTCGAGCTGGCACCGAACCAATCCTGGTTGTATCCTTAGTCAGCATCTATGATTATCGATTCGGAGTGGGTACTTGCAGAATCATGCTTCAAGCTCGCTTCTCTGTACCTCATCGAAGAGCGATAGACATCATAGATAGAGAAGGAAGTAGACGGAGTCAACGACGATGGTGATGCGCCTAACGACCTCTCGCCTCTGAGGTGCCGATCGACCGCTTGGCGGGTTGGATGGCCGCCCGGTCCGCCGACGACAGCTTCACAAATACCAACAGCAACAACAGGCACTTTGTCGACAAGTGACTGACTGACTGACTGGCGAGCTCACTAAACGCCTCCTTGTTCTTCTGTACGCTTTCTTCTACCTCTTGCTCTTATACGTCATCGCATTCTGCTCACAAGAAGGAAACACACTTCAACCTCATAATGTAACGATCACTTCTCAAGTGAACTGATCTTCACGATTCACGACGGTCATTGCTGCTCGTTTTCATGTCGTCGTTCATGCGGTCGTCGTTCTAGCTGCCGTCCGCGTTGTTGTTATTGCTGAATTATTATTGTTGCTGTATGGTTTCTCGTTGAGCGTGAAGAGGTTTTATCTGACGAAAACGATCGCCGATCCTGAAGAGGCGACGAATCCGTCTGCAACAAATCAGTTTTGCTTGCCTCTCAGCCATTCTCCGCGTAAGTTGGGGAGGTCCACAGAAAGGGAAGAACATCAACGGAAAGTCAAAACCAAGCGACGGATGGGCGGTCGTTGTCGTTTTCGGTGTGAGCAAGTGGACGATTCACTGTTTGACCGACGGAGTGACTGATTGCCAGAATCATGCGGGACCTACAGCGACAAGCGTATAGATTCAACCTTCGCCTCCCTTCTCGGTCGAGCTCTTTGAATTCCAGTCGTCGCAATAGAACATCGTTTCATTATTGGCCAACTGCAAGAGCATTGCTGAGAACCTCGTGTAACGGTGTCGAACGCGAGACACCTCACGAGGCGGTTTCTCATGAGAGATTTTATTTGAGTAAATCATTCGGTATATCGCTGGCTCTCGGGTTTGCCCTGCATCACCTACCCATACTCATTCGGGGGTCGTGTCGATTCTTCTTCCCTGGGGGATAGCAACCTTCATGCCCGGCTTGTGGCTCTCTTGTAGGAAGTCCACGTGGAAAATGATTTCGGATTTTTCCCTCTGCTCACTGCCAACGGTTCTGATGAGCTCGTTGCACCGCATATTCTCTGAATCGTGAATATACTGCAAACGTTTTCCTTGGAATTGCTTAAGCTGTGAAGTTTTACGACGAGCCGCAGCCGACAGGAGCCGAAAAGAATACCAACGACTGCAACGAAGCAGGAAAATGAAACAAGATTCAAAAAGGAGAGCGAGGAAAGAACGAGAAGGAGCTCTTAAACTGCAGATGTCTCGACTGAAACCGTCCAACTGGCCCTCAACGTTCACGGATCCAAAACGCAAACTGAAACGCCAACCCTCGATCAAGTCTGATGTAGGCACAGACCCCACCTCGTGGTGCGTGTCCTGCGTTTATTGCTCTTTCCACGCGCAACGATACCCCAGGCGCATGGGCTTGTATGTGGTGGCCTGTGTCGATTTCTATATATCCATTCTCGAGCCAACGTAGCCCGGTGAACTGAGGAGTCCTCCCGGTCAAGGATGACTCGGGAATCCGATATTGGGGTCAGAATCTCCCTCTTGCCGTGAGCCTTCCCCGTGCGCCATTAGACGTACTGACCTCTACTCCGCATCTGGGTGTGTATCTCGAGTCGAAAGCCTCCACGCTAGAACCACACACTCACTCACTGAATCGTTCTGATTCAGGAGCACCAGACTCACAGAACGCCTGACGTGTGAAATGTGCATTGCATCCCGTGGAACAAGTCGGAGACCAGTTTGACAAGCTGAGGGACGCGCTCTCCGAGCTGGGATGGTATACGCGCGAGGATCTTCGTGAGGGTCATCGTGGGACTCTTCGTGAGGGTTATCGAAAGGATCTCCGTGAGCCTTATCGTGAGGATCTCCGTGGGGACGAAGTATAATGCCTGTTGCCGGGAGAATATCGAGGTCCCAGCCCTGATCTACGCGAGCACCCTCCTCATCGGTGGTGCCCCGGCAACTGAGCTCCGGCTCTCGACGGGTATGAATAGTCTGAACCAGGCGGATGGAAAAATTATTATTGGGAAACTCATCCGGGGCAGGCAGCCCAATTCACAAACCTTGGCTATGTGACCATCGAGTCCGAGGAGCTGGGGGACAGTCGAATTGCCCGGGGACTGAGACTCGGAAACCCGTGGATTATTTCAGTTAATTTTTCTCGTGTTCTGATCTGTCATCGAGGGACGCAATTCGGATACCGCGAAACATTCGTCTGGTGCCTTCACTCGAACAATCACAGGCTCACGGCGCGAGCGGTGCCCGAGGGAACGAGCATCGTTGATTGCTTGATTGAGTGACAGCGAATGTTTCTGCTAGGAAAAAGGGTTTGAGTAGTCGTTGATTGAAATCTTCCGCGCGCCATCTGGGCGGTTCCGATCCGCGGTCAACCTGTGCTGCAGGCGATGATGATTTTGTGATTGTCGAAACCACGATTTCTCTCGAGACGTTTTCGACTCGCACAACCTACATTGCGAGCCGAATTTCGAAAACACTCCGAGAGGAAAAAACAATCATGTAGACGAGCCACAAGACCCAGTTTCCCTGATCGTGCGGTCGGAAACCTCAGTCGGGCACCCTGACCGAACATCATTAGCGTAACGAGGGCAAATACCGTTTCCGGACATCGACAATACACCGTTTTCCGAGAGCGCTGCGCAAGCGGTTCGAACTCGGTGCGCGACAGAAAGCGGGTCGATTTTGCTTCTTGTTTCCGAAGTCCACGAGCCGGCTCAAGTTTAAGAAACTCTCGTCTTCGAGGCAACGTCATTAGGTTTTGGCACGTGTTGTGCCTCCGAGAGTATCGTTCGAGCCCAAGGAGGGGACACTCGAGGAAGTGCGATGTCGTGATCTACTCGACTGTGTTGTCCGCCATCTGCGCAGTCAAGGAGAGTGTCGTTCGTTGCTCGTCTGCTGTTCAGTTTGTGCATGACCCGTCGTCATTATCACATGTAGTTATGGTCATATGGTAATAATAACTGGCCGGGACGAGCAGCTAGGCATATCGACACTCGGAACGACCACTCGTCGCTGCTCACTCACGCATCGGCCATTATCACCCTGTTGTGGCATCTTATAATTTCGCGCGCCATAAGACAAGAACGCGAGGGGAGCGTAGTTTGGGATATTCTACCGGATCCTACCAAATCACAACACAACGAGCAGATTGACACCTCATATGATAATTCGATAGCAGATGTCATCCTGGGAGTTTTCGAGCCCATTCTGTTCTTGCTCCTACTAACCGGTGATTACGAAAGTCGCAACCCAGGCTGCTAGACTACTGGACTCTTCCCGCTGTTCCTTGCGAAAGCCGCTCCGCCTGCCGACGATGATTTCACACCACGGCCGTGCTGATAATAGTAATGATAATAATAGTGATCACAT